ATGATATTGTATCCGTACGTGCAGAGACCAACAGAAATGCAAAGAGCCAGAACGGCGAGCTGCCACACCGGAACAGGGGCCTTAGAGGCAACTGGAGTGCCAGTGGACCAGGCCGAATAAATGGCAGCCCAGGGTCCTACCGAATTACCGATGTCGTTGGCACCGTGGGCGAAAGACGCAGTGCAAGCAGTGATGATCTGGATGAAGGAGTAGGTGTGCTCGACCTCGTTGGGGTATTTCTTGGCATGAGCATAGACACGCTTCATGCGTACACCCTCCGGTGTGCCCTCGATACCACTCTGGGCTCCGTGGATGTCGTAGTGGAAGCCGTAGAGAAGTCCGACAGTGATGACGGCGGGGAGACGCTTGGCCATCTGCTTCATATTTCGGAGCTCGTAGATCTCGCCAGGGCCCATGGGGTTGTCGCGGAGAAGGCGCATACCCCAGCCAAGGGGACCGCGGCTCTTGAGAAGCTTGGCGTTGTGTCGGGCATCAGATTCGGCCAAGAGCTCGCGGTAAGACAGCTGGTTGGCCTCGAGCTTGTCTACAGATTGCTCGTCTGAAGAGGGTGTGATGGAGGCGACACCGGTCTTGGGCTCCTTCTCGTCGAGCCTGTTGTTGAGCTCGGGCTCGGAGTCCTCCTGGATCACTGCATAGTTCGGGACCTGGGCCAGCTCGGAATCAGTGGGAACCGGGCGGTTGAAGAGAAGAGGGCCCTGGATGATCATCCACCATTTAACGCTGGGGTCCTTCTTGATCACGCGGGAGTGCAAGAAGGGAACGAAGAAGATAGCGGACAGAATGGCGACGCCACCACCGGTACCCATGGTGACAGCAGCAATGTACCAGGGAGGCCTCTTGGACAGGCCCAGGTTAGGAGAACCTTTGTACACAATGGAGAGTGTGCAAATGGTGGCAGCAACCAGGAAGAAGAAAGGAGCGCTCCAGACGGCCCATCTGATAGGATTCTTGCGTGTGTGCACCGTGAATTTGATGAGCAAGAAGATCAAGGAAGCGAAGCAACCAGAAATGACGGGGGCCATGCCCAGACCGGCGAAGATGGCACCGAGACCCTTGCCATCGTTCCAACCCCACTGGACCTGGGAAGCACCGACAGTTGCAACACCGACACCAGCGACGGCAGAGATAAGGGAGTATGTTGACGAGACATGAGCGGAGTGGCGGGTGCACCACATGACCCAGGAGGATGCAGCGGCAAGGGCACAGGTGAATGCAAGCATTTGGACACCGGCATTGCCCTGGAAGGCTGTGTTGGGGATGATGCCGTTCTTGATGGTATCGGCAGTACGAGCACCGACAGTGACTGCGCCGAGGAACTCGAAGATAGTCCCAAGGATCATCGCCTGGCGGTATGTGATGGAACGGGAGGAGACACTGGTAGCCCAGGAATTGGCGACATCGTCTACAGTCAAGAGTTAGCTGATGTCACTCGAGTACAGCATAGGCGACGTGTTACTCACTTGCACCGTTGTTGTATGCATCAAGCATGGCAAACAACGTGCCGATGGCGAAGATGTAGTCGTACTGGTGGAGAAACATCTTGGTATCTTGTATCGAGTCAATGCTCAGTACTGGACTTCCGGTTGCACTGGAAAAGAAGAACAAGAAATCTGACCAGGAGCCTGTCCTTTATGTATGCAGTCATGATTCCAGAGCTTGATCTGACCATCTACTTTCTACGCTTGATTCGGACCCATGGCGAGCACCGGTTCCCTCGAAGGTCAGCCCGATTGAGACATTCTGACCACACGTGCTGGTCCGACTGGAGTGGGAGCAGTATCCGCCATCGCGTCCATGGCTTGGCATAAAGTAAAAGCGAGAAAAGCCTGGCCAAGTCAAGCTTAGGGTGTTAAGCAAATTAGACAAGCATCTTGGCAATCGACTGTGACAGATTTCATACTTGGACACTTTGACATCCCATGGATCAGGACCACATTGGGTCTAGATCTGGTGTAACATGGCCTCTGATTGGATCTCGTAGCTCCGCCATTGGACGGTTGCAGTTCTTGGCAGTTCTTGGCAGGGCTTGAGACGCACGGACCACCTCTACCTATCAGAGCGCAGAGAGGTTACACGTGGGTGTATAAGAGGTTGATTCAGCAATATCAATGTCGTGTGGCTGTTTCTGTTCCAGAAGACTTGTGTTAATACGAACAAGACTTAGATTGATTCACCTCTATCTATAGTTACATTCTAACCTTTCGAGTCTGGACTACAGTGGGGAGCCGGCTACAACCAATGCCCCGGCCGCAACCTCGCCAATTCGAATTGCCAACATTGCTGGGAACGCTTATCGGGGGCCAGGGACTACGATATTGAGCAAATAAACGCTAAGCAATAATGGGTATTTATTAGCCAGCTCTCGGCTGTTCCGCCCGAATGGCAATGCAAGGTTCGAGGAAGCTCGCGTGATTAGCTCAACAGAGAAATATGCAAACCGAAAGAGTCACCATAGTGGCTTCCACTAGCTTCCACATGTTTTCTAACCATCCTATTGGCTTCTCAATAACGGCCGTGGGAAAAATCTGCAATAGGAAGCCAATGGGAATGGAGATTGCGCCGAGAACGACGGAATAAGCCCATTGCTCGCCTGTCAATTTTGTGATTGAGAATGCCCGGCCGCCGACAAACATAATTAGAATCTGAGCCCCTGTCATCAGGAAGGTAACTGCAATGAAGAGCCAGTTGTGGTGAATTCCTTGGAGGAGGTTGAATGACCGCTCGATTTGTCGGTTGCTGTTTGGAAATTGGGGTTAGTGAGGCAAAGGGATGTTAGTGATGTTGACATACTTGTACATATTGAATATCTGCATCCACACATATGTGTTGAATATAGCCGTTTGTAGCTGTGATGTTTGAAGTTCGGTATGATATGAGAAAATAGATGAGCCTGCGAAGTACAGGACGAGTGTCACGACCATCTGGTAAATAGATTGACCGATGATCATCTTCCACATGATAGGAGTGATCAGAGGTGTAGATTTGGGCTCAGGTTTGCGGTTAAGAACCCGGCGAGTTGGGGGGTCGGTTGCTAGCGCCAGAGCTGCTAGAGTATCTTGGAAGAGATTCACCCACATGAGCTGCACTGGGGTTAAGACAGACTGCTGCGATGAGTCCGCTACCGCTGACACAAATGCCAGACCGACGGAGGTGAAAGTGATGGTAATTTGGAACTGGAAACACATGTCAGAATGGGTTGCCACTCATTTGGCGATATTGTTGACCGAGTCTCGTGCTTACCTGCAAGAATTTCTTGACAGCATCGCTGACTGTTCTTCCCCACATGATAGCATTGGCGATTGAAGAGAACCTATCGTCCATCAAAACGATAGAGGAGGCCTCACGAGCAATCTCAGTGCCAGATATCCCCATCGAAAACCCGATGTCAGCAGTTGCAAGGGCAGGGGCGTCGTTGGTGCCGTCTCCAGTAACAGCAACGACTCTACCGAGATCTTTCAAGCGCTCCACCAAAACACGTTTATCGTCTGGCCGGGACCGAGCCAGGACCTTGAGACGTGGAACCAGACTTTTCTGCTGGCCTACACTTAGCGCACGGAATTTTTGACCTTCCATCACAACGTCATCTGGGCCGGTAATAATCCCGCATTCTTCGGCAATGGATTTGGCTGTTAGAGCGTTGTCGCCAGTGACCATTCGAACAATGAGACCCGCTTTCTGGCTTGTCTCTACAGCATCTCGTGCATCGGTCCGGAGAGGGTCTTGGATTCCCATAATGCCATGGAATGTAAGATCTTTCATTACATCCTCAAAGTCCACTGTCATCCCATCTCCCATAAAGGGCAAATGGTCCAAATCACGGAAACAAATGGCCATAGTCCGTAGGGACCTTGAGGCATATTGTCGAGTGACCTGACAAATCTGTCCCATTGCTTCTTTGGTGAGAGGAACAGTCTCAATACCTTGGGTTGGCTGAGCAATGGTGGCTACACATTTCTTCATCAGTGGTCCAGGTGAGCCCTTGATATATGCTCGATATGACCCATTGACGAGCTTGACAATGGAGATCATGAATTTGCGAGAAGAATCGAAAGGTAGAAGATCAACGACCTCAGCATTGGCCCGGTCATAGTCAAGCTGGCCTAGACCGAGATAGTCTTGGGTGAATCTCAACAAAGCGGCCTCAGTTTGGGACCCGAGGAATTCTCTAGTTTCAGAATTGCGGCTTTCAACTGCAGTGGAGTTGATCACTATGGATTGCCTCATAAGAGAAACCCACTGGTCTGAGAAAGACCCCATGCATTTTGCCACTGAGGAAGATGTTCCTTCAACTGAGCTATTTGGACTTCCAGCGCGATCAGTAAATTGCGAGGTAGGACCGAAGAACCCTGAGACAACAGTCATTTCATTCTGTGTCAGAGTTCCCGTTTTGTCCGAACAGATATCCGTAGCTTGTCCCATCGTCTCACATGCTTGGAGCTTCCGAACCAGGTTGTTATCACGCATCATCCGGGTAGTTGCAAACGACAAGGCAAGAGTAACCGCCAACGGAAGTCCTTCAGGAACGGCGATAACAACGACAGTCAAGGCCAGAATAAACACGTTCAAAAACGATTGTCCCTTTTCGGAAGGGGAATCTCTGCTGCGGGGGAGGCTGACACAGAACTTGATGAATAAGATCACGAACAGCACAATAGCCGCAAGTGCACCGAAGCGAGCAATGTTCTTTGCTAAACTGCTGAGCCGCATTTGAAGCGGAGTGAATCCTGGATCGGTATCAAGAGAAAGGAGGATTCTTCCGTAGCTGGAACTTGTGCCGGTTGCCAGTACAAGGTAAGAACCGACACCTTCCACGATCTTGGTGTGAGAAAGAATGAAAGGATCAAACCCAGTATGCGAGCGATCGGCATCGATGCCCCCGACAGCAGTCTTAGAAACCGGATCTGACTCGCCAGTTGCCGAAGACTCATCGCATTTGACCTGATGCCCCTTTATCAACACACCGTCTGCAGGCACAATATCTCCAGGATGGATTTGGACGATATCACCGACGAAAACATCGGAGATGGGGACCTCATGGACCCGCCCAGAGCGAAGTACCCACACATTGCGGTCTTGCTGTTTTTTGTTGAGTTTGCGAAACTTGTATTCCTTGTGGTAATCATTTACGGCACCGGCAAGAGTAATCACGATGATAGCGACGAGGATCGAAACACCCTCAACCCATTCGACGGGCGGGTTGTTGGCAGAATGCTTGGTCCCGAATGTTTGATACAACCCCACAGCGAGCGAAATGATAGCAGCGCCAGTCAGAAGGAAGAGGACATGATCATTGTAGGCTGACCACATCAGTGATAAGAAGCTCGGGGCAGGTTGCGTGGGAAGGCGATTATCTCCGTAGAATGTTTTCCTATCAATGAAGACATCACGACGAAGCTCTGACGAGACACGGCACTCAGGAGTAGCAAGCTTCTCTGCCGAATCGGTGTTTTTGGTATTGGTTGGGACGTTTCCAGGGACATCCACGTAGGTCTCGTCCAGGCTCAGACCGGAGAGAACGTCGGTTCGTAGTCCCTCCTCTAATCCTCGGATACCTCCAAGGGCCTGCAATTTCTGTATATCCTTGGTTTGGACAAGGTCCCCTAGGGCATCGGGGTCTAGAGAGAAAGCAAATATCGTCGAGTCAGTGGATCGCTGCGTGGCGCGTTTGTGACGAGAGTTCTTTTGTGTATTGTAAGCATGGTATCTATTCGGGCAAGGCTGGGGTGTGAGCGTACCAGTCGAAACCAACTTGATGGCTCACGAGCCTTCTCGGTCGCGGTTTTCATTTTCGCATGAAGGAGAAGATATGCTCAAAAATCCGAGACGCCAAATGAATTGAGAGGGACTTGGCGGATACACACTTGGGTACGTCGCACCTGCATCGATGTGTTCCTGGAAATACCAATACGTTTGTAAGAAATCCATATAAAACGCAGTCGTAAATACATACCGACGGCAATCAAAACGCTAGGTCTTCACGGTTGACGGATGGAGGAGATAATTGCGAGAGAGGAATTATATCCGTGGTAGAAACGAGGAAAGGTTTGCAGTTATCATCAGAAGCCGTGCGACTCGGAAGCTTTCGTCCCTGTAGTATTATCGACATCAAAGTCAAATCTCTGAATCTTATTCTTCCATTAACAAAGATATCATTACTTTTGTCGATATTAACATGAGGTGAATTACTACTTGATTACTGCAGGAGAGTGCATGTGAGCTCTAAATATCTGATCATAGCCTGTATCACTCTTCGAAGCTCATACATCCGACTCTGAAAATGAAGCATTATCCTAGAGGAAGGTTTGAGTAGCCATCAGCCCTACGCTTACGAGATACGCGGGTTATTCGGCACCCAGAGTTCATCTCAAAGTATCCGATTTAGTCTATGACAGGGCAGTGCTGCATAATGTATCCTCAGGGGTCACGTCCAGAGATTGCACAGTACCTGTGCCAGCTAACGATTTCACTTCTTGGCAAGGAGGCTGTGCAAGAGAACAGATATGGCCCAATTGCGAACAATGATCCGGCTTCTAGATTTCAGGGCTCGACCAATCTCCAAATGATCACTCGGCGCGAAAGAATCATTGAAAATGGGTATTAAATTCCTATTTCGGACTATCAAGACCCAGTACATGCAAAAATAGACCACAACCCCAGGGATCTTCGGCAATCCGATGCACATTCCAACCCTAAAAGCGCCTAATTTGACGTATGCTGCGCATTACGATCCGCCGCCTCGACCCGCGCCACCCTCGTCAAGTCTTCAAGTGCCGCAAGAGTGTCCGGGTGCTCCTTCCCCAATTCGCTTGCCTTGCGAGTGTACACAATTTCCGCCATTTCCCCCGCAGCAGCCCACCTGCCCTGCGACTGGTAAATAAAACCCAGATTGGCCATTGCGCTGAGAGTGTGCGGGTGGTTCTTGCCTAATGTTTCTTCCATTAAGGCCAGAGACCGGGTAGCCAAAACCTCGGCTTCTTTCAACTGCTGGTTCATTTGGTATGTGACAGCGAGATCCGCCATAGCTACCAGTGTGTGTGGATGGCGCTCGCCGAGGACCTCTTTCATCACCGTTGCTGCTTTCTCTCCCAAACGCATAGCTTCTTCGAATTGACCCTGGTTGCGAACTGTCGAGGCTAGGTTGTTGATGGACATGAGGGTTTGGGGGTGCGTCTCGCCAAGCACTCTCTCGCTGCTTGCTACAACATTTCTTTCTAGGCGTTCGGCATCTGCCCATCGACTTTGCCCGCGGTATGTGGATGCAAGGTTTGCCATGGAAGTCAAAGTGAAGGGGTTGGCTGTCCCAAAGAGATCTCGACTCATGTTGACAACCTCCTGTTCTATCTTTTCCGCATCGTCCAGTCTCCCCCTGTCCCGGTATATTGATGCGAGACTGAGCTTCCAATTCAAAAATGAAGTATCCGTTGGAGGCAATTCCTGCTCCCCGATACTGACCAGTTGGCGTGAAACTGATTCGGCCTCTGTATACCGTCCAAGATTGGCGTACGAGATAGCCAGATTAGACATTGATGCTAAAGTGGACGGATCTTTCGCACCGATTGTTCTCTTCTTGACGTCGAAAATCTGTTCATCAAGTTTCAAGGCATCGGACCACAGACCCTGACTCCGATATGTTGAAGCTAGGTTCGTCATCGAGATCAACGTTTGGGGATGCGCCTCGCCAAGAATCTTCTGTCGCAAGCCCGTCACCCGGGAGGCGAGAGCAGCTGCCTGGTCCAGCTGCCCACGACCCCAGTATGCGGACGCGAGATTGTTCATCGCCGTCATGGTCATCGAGTCCTGTCCACCCTTGAGGCTCTGACAGGCCTCCAGCACCAGGATACCCAAGTCCACGGCCGCACTCCAGGATTTGGCATATAACCAGCCTTTCATGCATATAGCTAGCTCTTCGAGTGCTATTGTCGCGGAGTCAGGATTTTCGTCTGCCTCCATTACCCGCCTCCTAGCTGTCGCCATCGCCGCCTCCAGCTCTAATGCTTCTTTCGTCCAACCCCGGTCACGATAGGTTGAAGCCAGCGCACTGACTTCCCTCTGGGGATGTTCCAGAGGGAGCGACTTTTTGTCCATGGGTTAGAGGATGCGAAAGTTTGAACGGAGGGTTTGACTTTTGTGGTGATAGGTGATGGCGATCAAAACGCGTGTTCTCAATCCCTCAATCACTTTGTGAACTAATCGATATGCAAATTGAGCAAATTTGATAGGTGTGTTCGTGGTCGAGATGGATGGTTGATTGATGGAGGAGACCAGGCTTCGCGTTCGAGATGCGGCTCTGTGAAGAGTGAAGACAGGGTAGAATGTGAGCGCATTACACATTGCCGAGGTGGGGGAAAGAACAAGGACACTACTCGAATATTTGTTGTTAATGACAATACCATCATCGGCCAAGCTTACTTGGAAGCACAAAGCAGAGAGGGGTCGACAGAGCTGTTCCTCGTGTAATACCGGTAAGATAATATCGCAATTGCGGAGCATATTCATTTCGACTATTTATAACTCAGCCCTATGCTGTAACTTCAGCCTTAGGTCTCTTCCCCTGGATAATAGAATATACGACCGAAGATGCATCTGAAATGCAGTTGCCTTGGGACCAAAACAAACGGCTAATCACCAGTTCAGCCCTATGGGGTTGCCAATTTCCCAAAGTGGGGTTGTTTGGCGCTAGTAATAGGGCTAACTTTAAACCATGAACTTAAAATTACCGTACTTGGCGTTGCACATCGGTAACATTGAATTATTGGAAACACCAGATGACATGACCCGTTCTCAATTCCACGGTCCCCGGTCGCCAACTCGTTCAAGCTTCGACTCTGCCACGGTCCCAGATCGGGCGTCTTCAGCCCTACCATACCTCTTCCTCACCGAGACCCCACGCAACCAGAGCCCTGCAGACCAGAACTAAGGACACGGGGAACACATCAACAGCCAACCCGGGATGCAGAATACCCCTATCTCATCCAACGAGTTTCCAACATGCCCGCACAAACAGGGTTAAGGCCTTTAAATATGAAGCATGGATGGCCAGCGCTGGCACTTCTGCCTCTGGCTGCTCTGTCTAGCATATTCAACTGGAACCCGGCCATCATTCTAGTGCTGAACATCACCTCCATCATCTTCCTCTCCCAGGCTATCACCGCCTCCTCCGTTGAGTTGGCCGCACATCTCGGAGAGCTACAGGGTGCCTTGCTCAGTGCCACCTTGGGGAATACCGTAGAGCTGACGGTGAGCCTTCTGCAATACCGAGCATCAAGATGACACCGTTGCTGACTTATGACAGGCGGGCATTGTAGCTCTAGTCCACGGCCAGATTCCATTCGCGCAGTCCGTCATGGTGGGCAGCATCCTTTCGGATATCCTGCTTGTAAGCCCTTACCATTACTGAAATGGCGATGTCATGTCACTAAACTCCTAATCGATCTAGGTCTTCGGCTGCTGTCTTGTCACAGCTTCATACAACAAAGATGTACTGGGATTCAACAACGCCCTGGCAAAGACATTATCCTCCCTGATGATGATAACCGCCGTGACGATGCTCCTCCCGACAGCCCTCTACGCGAGCTTCCCGATTGCCGAAATCAACAAGAAAGTACTGCTCTTCTCACGGGGAACCTCATTAGTACTCCTCCTCCTCTATGGAGGCTACCTCTACTTCTACCTCGGAACGCACAACTACCTTTTCATCTCAGATAACGCTGAAACGGATAGTGACGAAGACGACGAACCGTCATCCCCGCTCGCCAACCGAGCAAAACTGGCTTTATCGGTTACCCGACTGATAGCAGCTGTGGTCGCGACGATATTTTGCACGGAGATTGTAATCGAGAATACGAGCGACATGGCGGACACACTGGGCGTCACTGAGGTTTTTATTGCGATTTTCTTTCTTCCGATTGCTAGCAATAGCACCGAGGGTGTTCATGTCATAGCCGCTTCACGGACGGGCGACACGGACTCTGCAATTCGGGTTATCATCGATAGTCTTTTGCAGATTGGCTTGTTTGTCATTCCGTTTTTGGTGGTCATTGGCTGGTGCGTTGCGGAGCCGATGACGCTTTTCTTTGACTCCTTCCAGACTGTTGCTATGTTTTTAGCGATTTTGGTCGTTAATCATCTACTACGGGATGGGCAGTATGCTTATATCCATGGTGCCATGCTGCTTGCCTTGTGAGTGTTCAATAGGATGACAAGTGAAATTCCTACTAATTCATGGCTATAGGTACTGCAGTTTAGTTGTGGTGATGTATGCGCGCTAGAGTCTCCACAGTCTTATCCGCCACAGCTTCTGTTAGTGCGACACTATTGGCCAGTTGGCTCGAATTAACCAGTTGGCTTGAATTGGACGAGACTCCGACTCGAATCGGATAACGATGGAATGAAGCAATTTCAGATGTATGTTTAGAAGCACCTAAGGTCCAAGGAAAATCACGTTGGCCGGCGGCTCTGGTCGAACAAAGAACGAGAAAGTAATGATAGCATACCTAAAAGTCAGGGTTAGCATCAGACCAATAGTCTTACAGAAAGCAGTCACAGAACTCACGTCCCAATCAACATCAACCCTTCGAAGTAGTTACTCCGTCCATCGGAAATCAAATAAGTCATGATCACAACGCTTAGCAAAAGCGTCGTAGCTTCGAATGGATCAAACCTCAGAGTGAGGGGCTCATCACAAGCCCAACCAAGGAGAACCAACAATGGTGCAACAAGCATTGTAACCCGCAAGACAGCATTGATGACCGCTCTAATCCCAAGCTCGACCTGATGGCGCGATCGTGAATTCACGATAATGGAGTAATACTTGACCGCGTTTCCGAACAGCGGAATAAGGGTAACGGCAAGAAAAGCTTGGTTGGTTCCGACGATCGCAGAAAACCCGCTCAAGCTGCTGACGACGTAGTAGGTGCATGTAAGCGCAGATGCAGACGCAGCTGCTAAAATAAACGCCCCAAGTGCTTTGCCGATATACGGCCGCGGTATCTGCGCGTCGAGAACTCGGCTCTGGCTCACGTCATGGCCACCTTGTATCTGGTCTGGCGGACTAAATGGGGTGCTGGCAAACATGGTTGCATGGGTGCCGAGGCGAAATATGAGAAAGGTAAGTAGTAGGGCAACAAGGATTAGGGAGGTGATGCGTTGCATGAACAGGATTTGGTCTGCCGGTGTGGCTTTGGCGGATGAGAAGATTTCTGTTATGGTCGGCAGTGCGAGGAGAATGAATACGACCATCATGAGGGATGAAAGGACCGTTGTGAGGGCGCGATCGAATCGGAGTCTCTTTTGATCATAGCCCGAGAAAAAGATGGTGCCGCCGAGGACCTACAAATGTTGTTAGTTCAGTATGTAGCTAATTTATCACACTGACTGTCCCATTTAACGGTGTTGATTTACCAGTAGCAAATTGCTGAGGACACTGCCAAGTATCACTGACTGACAGATATGTGGTTGCCGTTGTACAATCGCATTGGCGCCAATCTAGAATTTAGATCGTTAGCTTGGGCTTGAATAGGATCGAATAGCTAGACATCACCATGAGCTCAACTGTGTTCCCCAGTGTTGATTTCAGTATCTCGTTGACCGTGCGCCATCCGCTGATGGTCAGCGTATCGATTGAGCGATTGATCCATGATCCAAGCGGAGCCAGTGAGAGGATGTTCAAGACGAAGACAATAGCGCTGTTCCACCTCAAAGCGCCTGAGATGAAGCCGAGGAGGGGTATCAAAGCCAAGAAGACCTCCAGGTGCTGGAATCTGGCCATTGTTAGATAGAAGGTGTACTTCGTTTGTGGAAGTGATGAAGCTATAGAAAGCCAACCACAGTAGTCGAGTCAACGAGATGTGCTTGCTGTTTACCACATGCAATAATACAGCTTTACATATTGATACAATACAACAGCGTAATTTGCAAAGAGACATCATTGTACGGAATAGTATTTTATCCATTCGTACGAGGAAATATTTGAAAGCAACACTATTTCGTTACACACATGCACATTACGCAGATGCCTACGCCGGGCCACGCACTAAAGTGACACATCATCTTCCCTAGTCTAGGTGAAGAGTTGCTTTACCACCTTTCTCGACTTCGACATCCATGGATGATACCGCCCACCCGCGACTACGAAAGCTAGCGAAAAGCCCAGCAAGAATGAATGGGCCCCTCGAGATGAACACAGCCGCGGGTGAGCGAGAATCACTGCTCAGAGAAGGATCTCCAGAGCCGCGTGAGACAAACTGCTCCAGCTGGAAGCATGCTCTTTTCCTAAGAAAATCAGTGTTATGCGTCGTTAAGTCTACACTGGGATGCAGCTACACTAATTTACTTTTACCATTTGTGTTTCTGGGCATCATTGCAGGGCGTCAAGGGTGGAATGACTCGATTGCCTTTGCGTTCAATTTCCTGGCGATTTTTCCTCTCGCTGCGTTACTATCGTTCGCCACGGAGGAACTGGCGAAGAGTGTCGGAAAGACAGTCGGGGGACTGATTAATGCGACGTTTGGGAATGCGGTTGAAATGATTGTGAGAATCCACAACTTTCGATATCTTGTCAATGGGGAACGCTAACACTGATCCCTACGTTAGGTCGGGATCACAGCGGTCCGACAGGGGGAAATCAGTATCGTGCAGTCTAGCATGGTGGGCAGTATCCTGTCCGGAAATCTGCTGGTGAGTATGGTCCTCGGTCAAGTTTTGATGGACACGCCGACTCACACGTTCATTCACTTCGATTCTACGGTGTAGATACTTGGTTCTTCACTATTTTGTGGCGGCTTTGCCAAAGATGCGGTGATCTTCAACGTCGATGTCAGTGGAATTCTTTCATCGCTTATGGTGGTATCTTCTGCAACGCTAATCATACCCTCCGTGCTCTATTCAACTATATCATCGAAAACGGCCGACGTCGAAGCGAGCATCCTCAGTCTCTCCCGTGCCGCATCCGTGGTCCTCCTCGCATTCTACCTGGTCTATCTCTACTTCCAACTGAAGAGCCATGCCGAGTTATTCATTGATGACGAGGTAGAAGAAGATAGCCAGCGACTTTTAGGCCCTTTGTCGGCAAGCGTCGTCCTGATCCTCGCAACTCTCGGCGTTACCGTGTGCTCGGATGGTCTAGTGGATAGCGTCGACGGTCTGGTAGAAAGGTGGCATGTGAGCCGGGCTTTCCTTGGCCTGATTGTGGTTCCAATTGTTGGAAATGCTGGGGAATTCAACACGGTGATCAATTCTTCCCTCAAGGGTAATATGGACCTTGCCATTGGTGTGATTGTGGGGAGCACTCTGCAGATTGCTTTGTTTGTGAGCCCCTTCCTGGTCATGTGCGGCTTGGCTCTTGGGCAGCCGATGTCCTTGCGCTATAGTCCTTTTGAGACTGTGGTCTTTTTCCTATCGGTCATCGTGATGGACTGCTTGATCCGTGGAGGGAGGTCCAATTACTATGAAGGGTCTTTACTGATTGGAATGTGAGTCAACACATCAATGTTTCTCGGCAATGTTGACTGATTAACTTAGGTACCTCATTATTGCGATTGCATACTTCGTGCACCCAGATGCAATTGATGCACACCTGGTTTAGGATGCTACGGCAAGGAGAATCGCACTGGTTCAAAAAGGGTGTCGCCAAGAAAGACTGATTTATCTTCGTGCTTTTAATTCTGCTTAACCGGATTTGTGGGAAGCTTTCAGTGTATTGTGTGCATGTTTACTTTAGAGGTGCCATTTTGGTGGAATCTACTCATCCGGTCATACTTCACAGCAAATACATGTAAATTATTCGAGCAACGCATAGGTAACTAACTCATTGGAGAGTTTAATTTACCGTCTACTTACCCTTTAAACCCAATTAAATAACAGTGCCTTCTTAAGTGCCTACTCAAATCATTCTAGCCAACTGGCGAACGGACAAGCCAACTGGCGAGCTAACACCACCACAGTCCCTTCTTGCCTGGTTCTCTGCGTATTCCATTACTGGGACCAATTCCGAGGAGACTCCTAATATTACAAGCAATATCTCGGATAGCTTCCAATGGAATCTGGGTTTAGTTCGTCACCAGAAATATACCGACGACTGTGACACGAACGAACCTCCAGGCAACATAGTCACCGCACATAAAGATACACAACGAATGACCCGATACCAGTCCAGTCCCAAAATCCAAGAAACCGTCACATAAGTATCGTATCATCTGAGAACCAGGAATTCAATCTACCGCCTGCAAATCAGCAAATATCCAATTAACCCCGAAAAGAAAGTCAATCTCCTTACTTGTTATACTCATACTCATACTCATATCTTCACCCCTATCCATGCGCAAACCCCTGCTCCATCTCCCCCGGTGCCTTAGTATACACCGGAGCAGGGTGCTGCACAGGCGTATACGGCACCCACTGCTGTATATGCGGTGGAATGAATTTCTCTTCTTTCTCCTTTTTCTTGCGGTCCCGACGCATCTTGATTAGGAGTATAACGGCCACGATGATGACGACGAGGACGACGATGGGGATTATGATTGCTTTGAGGAGGAGCTTTATCAGACCCATTGCTGCAGAGCTGGGTGTGGATGGTGGACAGTCGTATCAGATGGAATGAATTGGTGACTGGTGTCTCCGAGGGGTAGAAGTAAATGATCTAGACAGATGAGGTTGGAAATGGATGGAGTGAGGCCTTATACCCTGGCTTACTCAAGGCCTGGTCTTCTTTGAGTTAGGCTATGGGAGTATAAGCATGGCACGGCGGTAAATGAGCATACTCCGTTGGAGTTTGAGTCCTGAGGGTATTAATTTGAGTATGGAGACACAAGACTGAGTAGTCGCTATTGGGTCCAGGGTTGCGCTTCCTCATATTATGGGGGTTAGGCTTTATTAGGCGCTGCGACTGTGATCAATCTTACATTAATCAAGCTTTGTTGTGCTTTGCGAGACGTGTTCGATACCGATGAGTGGCTTCTCTATAATTGGATCCTCGGGGCTGGGGTGTGTTACTTCACGCAACCGCCCTGTGTAAGGTAGGAAAGAACTGTGTTAAGATTCCTTGTTTCAATTAGAAAATGCGTACTGGATGACAGGAAATCAACTAGGACGGCCTAGTTAGTCGAAGCTATGGAAACCAGAAGAGTGAAGATGAGCGCAAATTTGATCCAGCAAGATAACCCGAGGGCTCGGGGCACAGAAGATGATGTATCCAACGTTGAAACCCGTTTCTGATCCAGGTCAAATCCCAAGTACACAATTTAAAGACATCCATGCCGTAGATGTCGTAAGTTGACAATCCTAAAAAGAGACGTGCTCAATAGTATCCCGACGGAGGATCTCAGCGTCTTCAGGCAGCAAGAAGCCATTCTGAATCTGCCTCTCGATAGCCTCGCCAGCCTGGCGTCGATAATTGCCAACCGTCTTGTAGCTCATCCACATGTGAACATCACTAAAAGGGACCTCAGTGTCTATAGACAATGATACAATTTGCGTCAGTCAACTTCGTGCACGTATCTAAAACATGAACGACTTACAGATATGCCAATGAGGATAGGACCTGGGAGCAACATCAATAATAGTTGCAGTGGGAACATCAGTATGGACAGTCCGGACGCCAGCAAGGGCATTTCCATGCAGGTCGCGCTGGATCTCCCAGTCTTCATTTACCACGATCCTGGCTCCTTGAGGCGGCTCAATGCCAGCTGTAATCCACTTGTCCATTGCTTCAAAGATAGCGTTGAAAACAAAAGACTTGGAGAAAGTGGTCCATTGAGTATTTGTAATCTCGATACCCGAGAGACGTGCCTTGTCGGCCATGGAGAGGTATCGAGTCTCGCGATGAGGCATTCCGGATACTTCGTAGAGTCGATAGTAGTCACTGTCATCGCGGCGTTGATACAAATCGTATTTCGCCCTCTCAAGCCACAAATTGTCTTTGAGGGCCAATAGTTCCGTTTCGCCTTGAATTTCAATGACCTTCGAGGGAGGTATGTCTGTAAGTCGGAGACCGCCGTCAGACTGACAGGGCAAAAAACCGTCAAACGGGCGTTTCCCAGCATTGAGACGCAGCGACTGTCCCTCCTCGATAAACTTCCTTGTCACATCTGCTGTCTGGCAAAGACCAGTCAATATAACCCGATTAGCCTCGATACCCATCTCACCCAATCGCAAAGCGTACGACGCAGCAGCGAGAATATCCATAGATTGCGTGGTTTCAGCCCACCACCTGAACTTGAACTGATAGTAATGCTCCCAGACTTCATAGCCGGCCACCCCATTCGGAATGTCATCCAGGAAATCCGACAAGCTCGCACAATCCATGAATATCATATCCTTGTATCGTTCCGGATCAACCTTTTTGATCTGGTCAAGTGCCGCGGGAGCCTGCGAATCCACTTGCAGCCACGCATGTCCTGTTCCGTTCATTAGCTTCGATACAATACTAGTTCACGGGGAAAGCCCACCATTGCGCATTAGCCAACGGTTGATTAGACTCCACATGCTTGTTCCACCCCAGATGTGAGATGGTTCCTCGACGACGAGGCCAGAAAACCGCTGGGGATCGGCCGGGCAACGAAGCAGGATGCGGGTGCAGAACCATTGTCCGCGAGCAATGCCGCCCATCATATACTCCCGGGTCACGTAGTTATAGACCGGAAGCAGACCATCCTGGGCGTCGTGCGTCACGATTTTCGACGTTTTAGTCTCGGGTAGAAAGGTAACAATCGGCTCGGTGATTCGTTCGGGGTCCCATCGGAACGTCAGCTCGTCTATGACCCCTTGGTCCAACATGTTTGCAAGTTTCTGAGCTGGATCAAAGATAAGGTCTTTATGTCAATTTCCCGTGCCTTACTTAGCGCCTTGGGGCCTTGCACGTGTGTAACACGTTGGACGTACTCACAAGCTAGGGCAGGTGATGGCACATGATGAATTTATCCACGTGCTGATGAAGACTTGGATGAGGAAGGGTCGTTGTGATGATGACAATGGAATAGAGGAGAGAACCTTGGGAAGAGTTAAAAGGCTGAGAGGCAGTGAAGAAGGAGAAAATAAATGCTACGATGTGTCGAAGTAGGAAGGAACGATGATGGCCGAGAAGAAACTTGAAAGGAAGGAGCGCACTTGGGATCATTGATGCCGGATTCTACACCATGAAAGTGGAAGTATGACAGACGTATATTGGTCTGATATTCTACCAACCCAAGAATATCTGCAGGTTCACGACAACAATTCGAATACATCCAACTCCCAGAACCACTGCGCAATTCCCATGGCGCCAACACTCATAGTCGCAGCCATGAGAAGATTGACGCCATTATTGTCTAGCCAGTCATGACCAGTCTCAACGCGACGGCTTTCGTGACCAGGCTCGATGGTGCTCGACGCTTGATTCCCTTGTGAAGAACTCGTGATAGCACTGCCAGTCGCTTTTTTAGTGCCGTCGGCAAATTTAATCGCCTTACCGGTTGAGGGATGGATCAAGACCTTGGAAATAAGAGATATTAGATCTCGTCAAAAGACCCAGAAGCGACATTGTGGACTCACCTTCCTGCCACCACTGCCCTCTACAACTTTCCCGGTCCTCTTATCAACGACACTCGCCTGCAAAAGTCCGCCAAGGATGCTGTCAAGCACACTGCCCAGCGTGCCCCAAAGTGTCATAGCAGCGGTCCACAGAGCCCGATCTTTGAATCCGGCGCTGGCACAGAATGGCAGGACCGCAGCAGATGTCACGGAAACAATGAACGAACCCAGAAGACCGGCTCCGAGACCGGCCGCAGTAACACCGCCATTTGTTCCCGGGGGCACGACACGGAAGTTTAGCGATGTGATGAGGCGAGGTTTGGACTTCGAAAGAATGCCAAGCTCGGAGGAGAAGGTATCCGCAGCGACCGCGGCGTAGTTCCTATAGAGAAAGAACCATGAGTTACGTGCCCAAGATAGTATTTGAATCAAAGATGGAGTGGGGTAACGCACGCTACGATCCCAACCATCAAGATATCGGCCGCATTTCGACCGAGCGAGAAGCACGATTCAGTGCCTGTTTTGGCCAGGACAATCGCATGAGCAATTGATAGTATAGTAGCAACCACGGAGTTTGCCAGGACTTGAATATGGTTCCGTGCGCCTTCGCCGCCTTCTGCGCCTGTTGCGGAGAGTGTCAAGCGTGCCTTGATATCATGTTTTACCTGTGATCGCGGGGGGGTCGTCAGCTGAGTCTTGGAAGGAAGGGGCATAGGGCTGATCCAATGCGGGAATCATACCTTTGTGGCTTTAGTGCCACCGAAATAAAATACTGCCAACAATGCAACTGGGGCCGACCACGGGTGGAGTGCGTGTGCTGACGCTGACAATCCCGCAACGACGAGGCCGAGCGGGGTAAGGGATTTGCGAGACCAAGCTCGATAGAGGAGCCCCCCGACAAGAGGAATGCCAATATATGGTTTCATTTTAAGCAGTTGAGCACCGTCCTGCAGGCCTGGATGGTGGTTGAAGTTGACGTAGCTCAAGAGGATCGGAGCTTGGGTGGGGCCCGAAATGAAGCATAATCACATGATCCGGCACGGCCGTGGTTTAACTCTGGGCTTACGGCTACATATCTCTCCCGATTGAGCCTATTCCATGTAGGGCCCGATCATCTTCCATCCAAGCCGTCGTGAGATGAGCGTAGGGCTTAGTAGTTTACGATATGATCTGCCTGAATATGGCAATATACAAGATACTGTTTGACCAATGTGGAGAGAAATGAGAGCTAACTGCTACACAGCCGCCGTCTACTGCGTACAAGGTTCACGGAAGTTCCCAGTGCCCACACATTTCAAGGAAGCCAAAACCAAATCATGTATAAAGTGAGAATGGTATATGCCGAGTCAATATACAGACAACCAAAAGATTGTGCGCCTTTTCACTCCTCTCGGGGTATGTCCAGAATCCAAGAAGTATAATAGTATACAGAGCGCAAATTGAATCAGAGTCAAGACAAAGAAAATACGTGAGTTGGACGGGTCCAAAGGTCGAGATGAGCAATGGCACGGTCTACTAGAGTGCGAGACCGCTGCCATCGCCGCTCCAGCGGTAAAGGGCTAGCACCTCACGCCTGCGTTGTTGCTGCTCGCCAAAGTCTTCAGGAACACGGCCGCGGACTTGGGCCAGAGCCGAGCGCATCACTTTTCGGAACGTTCGCTGCGAGAATATTAGCTTCTGTCAATCCAAGCCTTGATGTTAAATAGATCTTACCTGGTATTCAGTGTTCAAAGTAACGACACAAGCCTCATGGGCTCGTACGATTGTTTCGCACGCCCGAACAACACTGGGGCTAGCATCTCCTTGTAACTTATCTGCAGTCAAGAGCAGCAAGAAGCTACCTTGGAGAAGGTATATACCGAAGAAGAACGGCATGAAACTCAGATCTGGGTCGTATTCTAAGATATCTGAGGCCGCCTCAGCGGAGCTGACTGCATGACCCATGGCGGAGATGAATGAGTCCGAGGAGATCCAGAGATCATTGTCATCAAGCAGGTTGATTGGGTCCCACTTTCCAGCCAGAAGTATGTGGAGAACATGCATGATGTGGGTGCCATAGGCGACCACCATCTTCGTATGGACGATAGACTCGCTAACGTGGGATCCGACCGTGCTGCTCGACCGACCGGACGGACTGACGTGGTTGAGATTGGAGTTTTCCATGGCGGTGTCGGGCTCCCCAGCCAGTGCGAGAGAGTTTGTATAGCGAGCCTCGAATTCTTTCAAGCTCTGAGCGTAGATATCGAGTTGTCGGGTGATTTCCATGGCTTGGCTTTCCCATTCGCCGCTGTTGCGGAAATAAAGACCGAAGCGTGGATGATTTCGGGCATGCTGCAGATCCACGATCTCGCCCAGAATGGACATCAACGGTAAGAAGTATCCAAACATGCTATGCCCAGTGCATTCATAAGAAGGGCCGGCACGGCGGTAATTGACAGACGAAAAGTCGCCCGCTTGCCATATATCATCGTTCATCGGTTGTAACAAGCTCTCGCACTCTTTGTCCAGTAGCGTTAATGGGCGGTTGTAACAGAGCGCCAGATGACGATCGGTGGCATACAGAAGCCACCAGATCCGACGGCGCTCCTCGCGTTCTTCCTCTGTGAGATTTACCACAGTATTTCCGGGGCCGTGGCCCATTAAGGAAGATGGTTGCCTGTTGTTGCCATTCACGTCAATGTCCCCATCGCCATCCATTTCGCCATCTTGACGAGCTGTCGTGTTTGGCGGTAATTCACGGCCGAGTTTGAGCTCCCGCGCAAGAGACCAGGCAGCTGTCCACCATCGCATACTTGCAGCCTTATATTCGCTAGCGGAGACGACAGTCGCCAAGTGAACATACGTCGCAACGTCATCAACCGCACCAGTGGCACTGCTCTGAGCACCCAATTGATCCATAGAGACCCCGAAGCCACCGAGAGCGACCCCGTTAATCACCATGTTCGCTGGGTAATTGGGTGATGCTTCCCCAGTGGCAGGCCCATGAATCAATGGCCGGAGCAGACCAATCGTCAGCTCCAATAGCTTCTGGCAGACTCGGCCTCGGGCTGACGGGGGCGATGTCAAGAATGCAGCCTCGCTCGTTTGCGCAGCGACCCACAACATACTGGCAAGGAGGCCAGGACTGCACGGTCGCGGCTTCGTGGGATGTAAAAACGATTGCTTGCGGAAGACGTAACCAACCACATACGGCGACGATGGAGAAAGACGCGAGGAAGAAGAGCTGGTGAAATAGACGTCGAGGAGATCACAGGCGAGAGATTGAGGGATGATAGAGACAATGTGTGGTAGGACGGGTTGCAAAACGGGGTATCTCAATGGACTGGAGAATGGAGGCATGCTGAAGGAGGGGAAATTAGCTGGTGAAGGGGACGGCAATGGCAACCAGCTTGGTGACTGCGCTGGGGGAGAGAAACCCATAAAAGAGGCGGTTGGGTTGTCGGTCGGATTGCCAAGGCGAAACTGATTCATCGAAGTCGGATTTGCATCTTGTGAATTCATCAAAGGATATGCACCATCGTGGTAACCTGTGCCATACCCCTGAGATTGGAGCATTGACCCAGGAGATCGAGGATTCCCAGTCGCGTTTTGCATGATCTGTATGGAGCGCATATCGGGAACGGACATCGACGGTCGGTGAGCTTCATGCATCCCTGCATAATTGGGAAATGGCATGCCAGCCATGTTGGGACCCATCTGCTGTTGATGGGGAGTCTGAACGGGGGTTGATTTTGGCGCATCGCTGTTAAACCGGCCACCTCCCCGTTGTGCGATCGGGATTGTGCGCCTTCGGCCAAAGTGCGCGCGGCGTCGAAGGCAGGGTCGTAATTTTCATTTGATTCGTGCATAGATTGTCCATTCGAGGATTGTCTCTTGGTATGCGCCATGTTTTCGTTGCCACCGACGTCGCTGTCGGTAATGACGCTGGCAGCTATGTCTTTTTTGGACGCTTTGCCGCGCTTCTTGCGCTCACGGGCGTACTCACAGCTGAGTCCGAACTCTGTGGGTGTGTTAGTTCAACCGATGCGCAAAGTGAGAGAAAATCCATTGCAATATCCTACCAACACAATGCGCACAGGGGTTTTGTCCATCACACTTGGTTCGCAATTGGTTGCACTGGTCGCAGGCCCGGCTGATTCTCCGACGGACCGGGGTTGCAGAGGAATTTTTGCGAATTGCAGAGCGCGCCTCGGCAAGGGAATCGCGCCGTTCTGGATCCTTAAGACCTGAATTGGAACCGTTTTGTTCGCTATAGAGGATGTGCTGAGAGTGCTGCGACGTCTTGGAGTCGGTGAGAGAGTTGCTGGGGTCGGTCGGGGCGTTGGAAGCTGCACCGGCTTCACGAGCTAACTGGAGCTGCTCCAGCGCATACTGCGACCCCTCTGCAAGCGTATCCAGTCCCGGAGTCTGGGATTGTGTCATTCGTTTGGATTGAGACGAAAAAGGAGAGTAAATGGTGGAGGATTGGAGGGAGGGCATCGACATGCTTCTCCGAGGAGGAGGGATCAGGACTACGGCGACATAGAGGGACAGATCAAGGGGATCTATACTCTCTAGTCATCCGACCAGAGATGAGAAATAAGAAGGGGCCAAAATTGATGCAAAGCTTGTATCAAGTCCGAACAGCCCGGCAGAAGGATCAAGAGAGAAACGCCCCCGGGGAGGCGACTTTTTTCCTGGGGGCGGGACCCGAGCCAAAAGCTTAGTTTTCACAACGTCGAAGGGCCAAGCAGGTGATTCCAGAGACCAGGTGATATGATATATCAATAAATTGGGGTAAAAGCGTCGAAGATCGCAACAGGAGATATGAAGATCAGAAGATCTGGGGAAGTTGGTCGCATAAAGGCGGGGGAGAAAGAACGGGCACGTGGTGTAGCTTCAGGAGAGTTGGGATGAGATGGGGATGAGACTAGTCAGGTCTATTCACACTATTCTACTACAGTAATAATCATCGTACGGAGTACGGACTACGGAGTCAGTCATCCAGATATCCCCGGGGAACCAAATCAACCAATTCTGCAGGGTTCAAAAAAATACTGCAGAGACCCCCTTTTCGCCCCTTCGCTTATATGACCATATCCACCTTCCCCTCTTCGAACAATATCCTAGTCAAGTATGACTAGTTGACTACTGTATGAATACCTTGTCCTTGACAGGGATTGGAGGGTGAGAAATGGGGACTGGACAATGAGAGGACTCCGGACCGGAGCCCCTCGTCTGGCCGGTCTCGTACCCCAGATTTAACCCGGAAGAAGGAGGACCAAGCACATTAGGTACCGGGGGGGGATGTATCCGGATATAGTATTAGTAGCGATGGATACATTTGGGCTCGTACCGGCAGATCAGAGTGGCAAAGTGCCGAATTTCAGCTTGGGGTTATTCCGATGCCTATGGAGAGTATCAAGATGGGTGAACCTCCTCAATTATTGTCTGTGTAGGCATCTCGATCTGAGAATGTAGGTACACTTTTATGACATACATCAACAGGCAGCCAAGGATGTAAAGAGATTAAAGGGATTAATTCGTCAGGCCATCTCCCTTGGGGAATTTTGCCTAAATGCAACGTTGGGGCACCAATCCGGGTATTTAGTCTAGAGCCGTTATGGGACTAGGGGATGGTACTGCGAACTACTACCTAATGCCTGCAGGTAAAATCTAGGGTACTGTAGGGTTGTCAGTGAAGGTCATATTCGTACAGGGCTATATATGCATGAGTCAGTTCTTTTGGCTTCTCAACTCCCACACTCGCCGTCCAACATGCGTAATATACAAATGCAAACAAATGCAACCAATCCAGCCATGGAAAATATATACAAAAATTAAAAGTCAGTTAATGAAGCCAGATGTGACGCGTCAAACACCGTTGTGGAGATGACCAAATGAAGAGATTTTTAAACAAAATGTCAAAGACATGACGCCGGCGGAATGCGATGACACCCCAAAAAACAGGGAGAGGGGACAATCACGAGAAGAAGTATTTGCTGTCGCGGATTCGGGTCAAGTCCCAGTCGCCCTTTTTGGGAACCGGGCGGAAAGTAAGAGGCATCCAGAGCCAGGTAGTGTTCTCTCGCTTGCTCTTGTACTTTCGGGGGCTCTTGCCCTGCTGAACTGGGTCGACCTCTTCAGGCTCGTCGATCTGCCCTAAGACCTCATCAGGGCTATCGTCGACCGTACAATCTTGCAGCTCTGACTTCGAGATTGGCTTCCCGTCAAACATCTCAAGGTCGCCCACCAGGCTCTGGATGGCAGGATCGTTGACGTCCATTGTATCTGAGACCACTGACCGTTCCAGAGCTGATACATCTTCCGGGACGTGTCCGATTGCGTTGCGGCCCATGGTTTTGAACGCAGTCAGGTCCTCAGATGTACCGCCCAACTCCTCAAAGATACTGCCGGCTGTCACCATAGCGCGACCCGCGGCCTGATCTTCTGGATCCTCAGATGCAAGGAGTGTCTGGCGTCGGTGTTCGTTAACCAACTCTTGGAGTCTGGTGAGCCGATGCTTGGAACGGTACGCATGGATTTTCCGACCAAATTCGGTGGTGCGGGAGACCCTGGCCAGGAAGAGATTCCTACCATACCGCACCTTAAATTCAGCGCCAAGACGCCCGATAATGTCATCGGAATGCATACGAACAAAGGCATCTCGAAGGATGTGGTTCATCCGGTCGACATCAGCGGCATGAGTCCAGAACGAGTCGTGAACAGCGGAGAATGTAAGGCCCGCTTCATGGCATGCATTGGCAGACAAGATCATATGAGTGGCATCAAGAGAATGGATGAAATTTGGCGGGAAGGCCTGAAGCTGTTTGCGTTGGGTCACAACGTCGTCGGCGCTGGGATCAACGATACTGATATCCTGCAAGCTGGTGTGGACTCGGCGGGATTTGCGCGTGCGATATGGCTGGACGACTGGGAGACCAAGTGGGGTGGTCCAAATCACAGTCGACCGGAAGGACTTTTCTGGATCGCTCGTCGTCGTCGTACCGCCTTCGTTGCGTCTTTTCGCATTTTGCTTCAAATCCATTGCATTCTGCGTTAGCTCCTCGATTTGTTCAGGTGTCAAGGACTGTGTGATGCGGTGGGCACTGTCGCCAAGCCAATATTGAATCTCATGAGCTCCATTGAACATGGTTCCGAGAGCGCCGAAGATTTGCTGGGAGATATAGTGCGATGCTTGGTTCCTCTGGCGAATATCAAGCTCAGGCATATAGTCGATGAGCTGTCTTTTGACCTGTCTCATAGCTCCCAAGAAGGTCACACCGTAGACATTAGTCATAACCGTTTGCTTCACAATCTTTCTGGTAAGTCTGCCATCGAGAAGTTTGGCCAACGGATCGCCTTTAGCCGCGTCCCGCGCAATAGCCTCTTTGACGAAATCGCAAACACCCGTATAGACGTCCGAAGGGCGATCAGAGGGCTCAAGATTGACCTGCTGGGCGCCAACCTTGTCACCACCCAGGGCAGCGTAGTGCTGAAGACCGTTGCATGAGCCATCTTGATGGATTGGAAGGTGAGAGATATATTCAGTGGGGTCGGGGAGCTGCATAGCGTTGCGTAGTTCGCAACACGCTGCCAAAAGCTGCCACGGGTCCTCGGCCTGGAGCCACCATCGTCGTCCGTGGAGCCCCGTGTTGGCAGAGTCAATGATCTCGTCCAAATGGTCCATAGTGAATTGCTCTCGTTCAGACATGCTCGCTTTATCAAATCCATACAAATTTGCGATTTGAATTTTCAGCCAACGCAAACCAGCTGCCCCAAGTGCTTTTCCCTTGTCGAAGAGTAGCAGACCACGCGCGTTGTCAGCTCCCATCTGATTGAGGTAAGGGGGAAGAGGGTAAGCTCTTCCGCGGAAGTCCATGTTGTGTGGTAGATAGAAGACCTCTTTCCGGAACGCTCGCGCCACCTCCAGTTGGAAGTTCTGGAAGCACCGAACGGAGTGGTATCCAGAGCGGATGTTCTCGATTTCACGCATCTTCTGGTGCCATTCTCTCTGGGTTTGATGGTCGGCATCTCGATCCAAGGGTGCTGGCACCGGCAGGTCCGGTTCGAGGGGCGCGATTTTCGCCACGGCCCCTCCGTCATTCCAAGCCTCGAGCATCACATCAAACACCTGCTGATTGATCTTCCAACCCGTGCCGCCAAGAACATCAAGACCCGCTCGAATCTCCTTAAGCCCATCCTCCTGCATGACAGCTTTGATATAGGCTGGTTGCAGAAGTTCACCAGGAGTAGTGCGCACTAGGTTGGATTCGTAAATGGTATATCCGCCTTGTCTCGGCCCGGTCCATGGCTTGGGCTTGCAAACCATAGGAAGGTGGCGGGCCAAGAGCTCAGCAGGCGGCTCTTTGGCAACAACCTTCACAAGGTGGGGGTGTAAGTGGACGAGGCCAGCACGTCTTCCAAAGTGGATCTGATAAGCATGCTGAAAGGCCGGCTGAAGAGTGCAGGTTTTCTTATCAGTCGCAGGGTCCTTCGTCCAAACCGGAACTTTTGCGGATTCGTGCAACATGCCCATCAAGACACCACCCACTCTGACTTGTGCGCGCGATCCCCAAACTACGGATTCAGTGCTTGCAGTGACCTGTTCAACGAGCTTTTTCCAGCGCATCCGACCGTCCTTGTCCTTGCGGTTGGCAAGAACCGTCTTCAAGGCGCTGACACGTTTTGGATCGATTGCCTTAGCTTTCTTGAGATAATCGTCCGCAATGACCTCGTCCTGCACTTCCCTTCCAATTACGGAAGCGATGTTGGAGAGCCTGAGTCCCTTGTCCATACCTTCACGACTGAAGCAAGCCATCACAGACATGATGGCAACAGCAGCTAACCGCTCAGCATCGAGAGCTCTCAAGAAAACACCATATTCACAGCGATCCCTTTGCTCAGTGCTGAGGACAGGGCGGTTAAGTGCGTCCTGAACAAGCTCCAACTCCTTCTTGATTCTAGCCACGAGGTCTGTGTGCCACTGGCTCATGATTGAGCTGATTTTGTTCGAATCGGTAGAGGCTGTCAAGCCAGACTTTTGCTTTTTGGCAGTTTCCGCGCGCCAACGCTCGAGAGCTGAAGAGAGACTGTCGGCCTCGAGTCGCTTTTGTCGCAACTCTGCAAGTAGCTTCGTTTTTTCTTCTTCGGTGCCCTGGAAATCTGGGGGTAACTGCACTTCAGCATTACCCGAGAAGAGTGACAAGGAGTCTCTCAATGATTTCAACCCAGATCCATGCACATCAGCAGCTTGTACCTCAGGGACATCATCAATGGCGGGGGCTGTCGCTTCGGTGGAATCGGGAAACTCCATGTACTTGGAAACCAAGTTTAGTGAATCGGAGGAGCAGATCTAGATTAGGGGGATCAGCATAGACCCGGCATAGATATTAGGAAGACAAGCTCACCTTAGACAGTTCACCGACATCTGCGTCTTCGAGAATCTCAATGCCGACAAGCTCTTCCTCCACGTGTGCGATTTGGGCAAGTTCCCAATACCGACGCACAGTCCTATCGCGTTTCGCACCGTGAAGCATGCGCAGCGACATCCGGATCATGATCGCGAAAGTTATCGCATCTGGTGTGACGCCACCGGCAGGCATATCCACTTCGACCCATTTTTGTAGCGGCAGGACCATACTGTGATCGCGATTCAGGATCATGTGGGAGACCATAGTTTTCAGGTAGCGATTATGCATAGCAAGATATTCCTGCGAACCCGGCGGATGGTAATGTCCGAGACGATTGATCAAGGAAGCGGCGCGCTCGAAATGCCCAACCTTTAACGAGACCTCCAGGTTGGCCCTCATCTCTCTCTCGTCGCCACCGATACCGTGCCTCCTGCGAAAAATTTTTGATTGTGATAATGGTGTTGTGTCAAGGACGACTAGAGATGATGCGTCGAAGCTTTCGAAAGGCATGTACATGAAAGAGTCGGAGAGCTCCGGAGAATGATCGTCAAAATCAATGCTGGAGTGCTCGGCGGCCGTAGCAAGATGACGCTCTGATTGAGGAGACAACTTATGCGGACGATCGTGAACCGAAGTGCTTGATACACTCAAAAGCGGCGTTCGGTTGCTAGAACACGAATTAAAGCGTGCTATGGACAGATGAACCGTTGATCGGAAAGCCTGAGCCTTCCGCAAGTGAAGTAACCCATTATTTTGACGAGCCACGCGCGATAACATGGCGCATCAATATGGATTCCTCGGGGTCTGAATCCGAGAACCGAAGGCTGAAGGCGAGGAGGGAAGGTAGGCGTAGGAGCGAGGATATATTAAGGGTAGATTATAAGCGTGTTGTAGGCATTCAATGAGGATGGCCGTCCAAAAAACAGAAGACGGCGATAATGGATGTAGAACGGAATCAAGCGACTTGTCCGTTATGAAAACCGGATGATGATCGCGTTGATACGCTGTCCTCCAAACCTCGACCGAACTGAAAAATAAAGAAAGAAGAAAAACGGAAGGCGAAAAGAATGTCTCGCGAGAGAAAGGGGATTACTTGACCTGTCGAGATAAAACAGAGACGGCAGAAAAAAAGAGCAATGCACGTGACCTTATCCGACCCCTAATCGTGATTGGCGGAGAGTTCTTTGGGTGGCGATCCCTGAAGGCGCGGGTGCGTCCGCGACCGCCGCGTAGCAATTTCCGGCTACTTGACGTGTTTCAGTGCTACGAACTTGAAGATACTACATGCATAACAGTAAAGTGAATCAGTTGCAAGTCGTGAACTTTGAAAGACTCTAGAGCCATGATCAACTGTCGCTCGATGATTCGTTGAAGAAGTGATTGTTTAATATGGTACACCGTTCTCTTTAGTTACTGGTCTATTGACCATCTCGTTGCCTTCGACGATTTTCCTTCATGGCCCAGCCAGTCAGGTCAGGACGAGCAGGATCAATCCTGGGGGCGCTCATTCTATCGAGGTAATCTTCGGACTCAATGTTTGATGATAAGGGCTCGAGGTTCTCGGTGTCCTTGTGAATCATGTAGCTTTCATATGTGAGCCATGATTCCTCAGTCTGAGAACGGTCAAAGTCAGTAAGTACAAATAGAAGTTATCACACATCTTGTGGGAGAAGTCACGTACCTCGGCGTCAACCCAGTTATATGTTTTCCATTTCTCATCCTGCATTTGCTTAAGGAGATCCAGATTGCTGGCATTTGTGGCTGCTTCACTATCCTCAGCGGCCTTGACCTTAATATCAATTGCACGGGCTTCAGTCTCAGTAGAGCGCTCCTCGTCGTCCTTTTTACCACGGCCACCCTTTCCTTTTGGTAATTCGTCCAAAGCATCCAAGTGGTGTAGGTTAGGGTGGAATTGGACAAGTGACGTGACAGGCGAAAGATGCAAATTCTCTAATCAACGAGACGTTAGCTTTTGCCAGAGGGAAGGAAAAGTGTTCCCCGAATGCGTTTGAGTGGGCTCCACGTACTATCCGTAAAGGTGCCCAGCATGTAGACTGGATCGCCTTCTTCAGCAGGCTTGATCCGTCCTCCAAGTGACTGCACTCGCAGCAATGATGCCGAATCCACAGCTCTCTTGTTATCCATTATTTCGACGTCCCCATTTGCTTCCATCTTGACTCTCCCACCTGCAGCTGCAGTACCACTTCCGGCAGAGAAGCCACCCGCCATACCGAAGGCGCCCCCATCGCGAGCAGAACGACTCTTCTGTACTGCATCCCCGTAGCGCATGCCCTTGTTCACATCATAGTTCTCACGGGTGCTGATGGGGACTTCGACTTCAACCAAACCGGTTCGATGTTTCATTCGAAGTTGTAACGGTCGCTGATTATGTTGGTCATTATAGGGACGGTCATGCTCTCGATCGACGTATTGAAAAACAAAGCGACTGATATCGGAATCAGTGAGGAGGACATCGTAGGAGGCTACTACAGGGTCGTCATCCGAACGTGTCATGGTGGAGTAATGAAGAATTGGTTCGGTGACCGGTCTTAGCAAGTTGAGAATGAGCAAATATGAACCAAGCAAAGACAGGAAAGTCCCAATGATTCTGTAAAGAATTCCGGAGATAATGATTGACAACTTTTTTTTATCGAAATTCATTGGCGGGAATGCGGCAGAAAGAAAGATGTCCGTGCGTTAGTGGCCCACCGCTTTGTGGGAAAAACCTAAATGGGTCCATCCCTTTCCCCTTTCTCTTCTTTTTTTTCTTCTTCGGGGACCTCTGAATTATACTGAGAGAGAAATCATGCTATCCTCCCTCTCACCATAAAGTACTCTTCATTGACGTCGAGCCTCAGCCTCCGTCACCATCCAGCATGCCAATCACCCCTCGATGCCTTCCTAGCGTGAGAGACGCACCCCCTGCTCAAATTCTACTATCTTTCATCGACTGTTGTCAACCCAATCCTCAACCTTGACCCCAACCGGCTGCCATGACATGAGTTGATCAGACTCGAAACATTCACGCCAATTGTTGTGACACTTTACGTTACAATCGAAACTCGCGGCTCCTTTTCAGTAAGGCAGTCAGCTCGAACAGAAACCAGTCGACAATAGATGCCCAAAAAGTGGGGCCAGTCGCAGATTTTGGGAAGTGTAGAAACCTGATGGAGGTATTCTCATTCCACACGATGAACAGACCAACGATCGGTCACGAAACACGCGGTTACCTTGATACAGGCGCAACCAGAAACAGAAACCAGTCGACTTTCCCCGACGGGATCGTCGCAACGATTTGGGACATCAGGGCCTCCTTGCCGGGGGAGGTGGATTTGTCCCACGGGACTCCGGTTCCTTGACAACAGGTCACATTGACCAGATGGAAAATAATTGCCTTTTTCCTTGACATGTGCCGGCATCTTGATGGTGTCGGTTTTCCGTTCATGAATACCATGACGAGATAGGGCCAAATATGACGGATCTCTCCCTCACGATTCATGCATCCGGCCTGGGAGCTCTGGGTTGAGTGGTTGGTGCGATGACAGTTGGTGGAAATGGTCGGGTCTGAGCAGGATTTAAATACCATTAGTTAGACAGCTCCAGATCTTTTTGGTCTGCACGTCAATTGAGTTGTTTCGCTAAATCTCTATTTTTCGTCCCTAGGGACTAGTAGCCAGCTTGTCCTTTGTAGTGTATGTTTACTGCTGATGGGCTCAAACATCCCATGCGCACAGAGACACACCTTCGTTATTCCTGGGCACCCAGTTGTGACACATCATGTTTACCTCGGGAGCACTCGACTTATGAAAAACATCCACCTCGGCTCTCTCTCTAGCCCGGCCGCAAGGTATGGGCATATAGGTACCTGAAGACGGCATTTGTTCCAGCATGCCCTTTTGCGTACGTACAATTCGAAGCCATTGAGGTGTTTCTGAGCAGCTGTACCAGCTGTTAAGTTAGACCACCTTCAATGGAATGGCCCCAATATGCGATATTCATGGAGTAGAACCCCTGGAACTAGAGCCGACTCCAATCTATGCCACCCTTGATAGGTACGTAGACAATCCATGTAACTCTACCTAGTACCTCTTTGAAGCTAATGGGATCTTTCCCAGAAGTATAATAGAAGTGATTCATTTCCAATAACTAGGTTGAGTCAATCCTAATCCCAATCTCATAAATCATCAAAGCCGAATACACAAACGCGAAACTCCTAATCACATAACTATGCGAAGCCCATAAAACTAAATAAAACACCATAGTAGCACGTTAGCCAAGGCCCAAAAAGAATAAGAAAACCCCGAATTCATCTGCCCATCGCGTCCATTCCAGCCGTACGCGTTCCTCAAGTTTCAACATCAGCCAGCACCAGCACCGAGGGTAATGGCAGCATGACAGGCCAAAATAAAACCATACCAACCATCTATAAACCGTGAGCAGAGGACACGAACACCTGGGACAAAGCCCCAGAAAATTTCCACAAACCTGATCGTTCCTCCTCATCCGGAAACTCATCGATCTCATTCAGGGCAGTCTTGTCCTCGGGAGACGCCGTTTGTCGCGGGTGTCTGCATGAATAACTTCAGATTAGTTACCCCGCGCGAAAAAGATCAGGCAACACATAGTATATGTATGCCTAGCTTTGTAGGTTGTATGTACATACCGATCTCTGCCCCAGAAGTAAAACCAAGCAACGAACCCCATGGCAGTAATACCAAATAGGATGATGGTCACGGCCGAAAGTAGCCATTTATCCCGGGACTCGCGAGAGAGGTCTGTTAGTTTGAAGGAATTATGTCGCTCTGGTGTTGTCTCGGTACAGGTGCGGCTCCACGTCCAGTTCACGGCGCATTGGTACCCGAAGCGAGCTGCGTCGCGGATTATCCTCGGGATGGGCACCATTTTCGTTTCGGCCGCGACTTGTTTCGAGTGCGCGGCCGAGAGATGGGTATGCGCGTTGGACTTTCCAGTGATGGAGTAGAAGGGGGGTTTCTGATATTGTTGACTCGTCGGGACCTTGGAACGGGAGCAGTGAAGTGATGAATGAGGGAGAGTGATTGATGGCTTTTGTCTGAGACTCGATGGTGACTGGTTTTAATTTGATGTCAGATCAGGCTTTGTTGTAGTTTGTATTTATCATGTAAGGGAATTGAGAGAAAAAAAGAAAGAGAAGGAGAGATGGTTGGGGTTGTTATGTCTGAAGAAGATGGAGACTGCCTGAGGAGCAAACAAACATTCAACATCCAACATCCTAACTAGGGAAGTATAAGAGATATGCGTGAAACCTTTATTATGCAGGACATTGATCAAACACATAGGCAGTTCCAAATATAGGTGTCCTCACATTTACCATAGAGGCTCAACTATGAAACATCATGCCATAGGCATAGGTCGAACCAAAAGGTCAAGGCCTCTGACGAAGCCATCAAGGGACATAGGTATTTCATTCGAAGTGTCAAAAGATTCCCTGCCAGATAGCATACCTACTAAATAAAGAAGCATCAAACACCACAGGACATAGGTATTGTAGTGGGGAGGTGTGACCTCCCCCTACAGGCATGCTTCCCCTGTCCACCTTATAGTCGCGAGGTAGCTCTAGTTAGCAATACACACTCCTACACATGTCATATTTGACTGCTTGTGCGCAAGCGTCCAACCCTGAACCCTCTTTGCTACCTCTGGTCCAATGTCTATGCTAGCTGGTATCTGCTGAATCGACCCGTGTGCCTCAAGAGCACACAGCCTTGAGCGTTCCCCTCTTCAGTATATAACCATCGGAGGCATCATTGCTCAGCCTATTGGAACACTAGGTATATGCCTAATATCTGCATCACCTGCAGATGCCGCCTGTACGCTTCCCAAAAACATCCCAGCCTTAATAGCACACTGCTCAGCCTCCTCATGAAACCCCAAAAGCCAAGCAACCATAATGATATCGTGCGGCGCAAGATCCTGCACGAAATACTCGACTCGGTCCTCATTCTGCTGCATCTTACTCAAATGTCTCGTCATCCGATCATGTTCCTGACACATCACCTCTTTCCCACCAGAAACAATCAAAAGAGGTGACGGCAGGGGAAAAGGATGCCATATCGGCGCAAGGTACGGCTCGTAATCTTCAGTGATCTCCAGATTCCCGATGACGTGTTTCGCACCCCAGGCAGGGAACGAGGGCGGGATATAGTCTATCAGCGCGTTGGGAATATTATCCCAGAGGTGGTTGTTCAGCGCGCCGGGGATGTCGCACCAGGGCGAGAAAACCCAGCTGCATGTTGGAGATGGAAGAGCCTGTTCGTCATCGTAGTCGCTGATGTAGCGGAGCAGTGCGAGCACGAGGTGGCCACCTGCGCTGTCGCCACTGAGTACGATCCGCGAAGCCGGGATGTGCAAAGTATGGAGCAAATACGAGTATGCGGAGATGGCATCTTGGAGCTGGGCGGGGAAGCGGCCGTTGGGTTTGCAGGCGAGGCGGTACTGGAGGCTGAAGACATGGCTCGACGGGGTGTGCTTCAACAGGTTCTTGGCGAGGGAGTGGCAGGTTGATGTGCGGCCGTCGCCGAGGATGTAGGAGCCGCCGTGGAAGTGGATGATGACGTGCTTGTCTTCTTCGGTGGTTGTGGTGTATTGGTAGAGTGTTGGAAACCACGTACCTCCGACAGTCACTGGTTGGATCTCGTCGTCTATTGTGATGCCGCTGTATAACTCTGATGCTGCTGGCTCTATCTGGACGAAACGGTCTCTGTCTAAGCCGGGTCTAAGTGAGAGAGGTGGTCTTGTGCGAAAGAATATGAAGACCCGTAGGAAGACCTTGACGAATGTAGTCGTCAGTGCCTGTCGATACGACCATTCTCGCACTTGACGAAACCGAGGGTGTAGATAGAGAAATGGCGCAAAAGGCGCTGATAACATCGAGGTGATAACCATCTCCACCTGGATTGAGAATTCTCTCGCAAGATGAAGGCAATGAATGCCAGTCAGACCGCAAGAAAATGGTCTCGTCACTCAAAATCGGCTTAATAAAGTCAAAGTAGCGGTCAGTTGTGATGTAAATGCTGCATCATCTTCGCCCCCTGTTGTGATTCCACGGTTGGGGCTTCATTGATGCGAAGTTCATCTTGTCAACGACGGCGATGTTTACTGTGGTTCAGAGAAGGATTGACAGGAAGATATCAGTTGAGTGAGTACAAGCAACATGCTTGGGCCATACATGTAAATGCATCATTGAATGGAAGAGAAATGTGAATTCTATCGGTGTTTTTGCAAAGTGGAATCGTACAATCGCCAAGACATCAATGCATTGCGACATGAGATACAGATAATAAGAATATCCAAGAAATTAGAGAAAATAACAAAAGCAGGTTTTAGTTTCCGTGAGAGTCATAAAACATCGGAGATTAGATGTGCAGCTGGATGCAGCTACTCTTCTTCTTCCTCGTCTTCGGCAACCTGTAGAATATCATTAGAATCAATGTTGTGCACATCACGGAAAAGAGAAATCACTTACGCCATCGTGGAAGTTCTTTCCATCAGTGGTGGCCTTGATGACACCGGCGCGGATACACCAATCACCGAAACGCTCAGGGGTCTCGCCGTCAGTATCGCGCTCAAGAGAGTAGCGCTTGAGAAGGCCCTTCATGATGTCGAGAATCTCGTCCTCCTTGATAGAAGAGCGGTAGCGCTTGTTCAAGCGCTGGCCGTGGTAACCACCACCAAGGTACATGTTGTAAGCACCGAAAGCCTTTCCGACGAAGGCCACCTCGGCGAGCCAGGGACGGGCACAACCGTTGGGGCAACCAGTCATACGCATGACAATGCTGTCACGGCCAAGGCCACACTCCTCGAGGGTATCCTCAAGCTTAGTGATCAGGACCGGGAGGTAGCGCTCAGACTCTGCCATGGCCAGACCGCAAGTAGGGAAGGCAACACAAGCAGAAGAAGACAGACGCAAACCAGAGAAAGAGGTGTTGTCGAGCTTGTACTTGGCCATGTGCGCCTTGATGGCGGGGAGGTCCTCATCGGCAATGCGAGAGAGAATCAAGTGCTGGTTACCAGTGAGACGGAACTCGCCCTTGCCCATCGCAGCAAGCTCGCGAAGACCAGTGCGCATCTTGAAATCGGCAGTATCTTCGATACGACCGTTCTCAATGAAGAAGGTGAAGTGGTTGAGACCTGTGTCATCCTTCAGCCAGCCGAAGGTGTCGACGTTGGACTTGAACTCGAAGGGACGGGGCTCGCCGAACTTAAGGCCGTCGGGAAGGAGCTTCTCGACCTCGCCCTTGAAGACTTCGACGCCCATGTCGTCGATGGTGTACTTCATACGGGCGTGCTTGCGGTTCTTGCGGTCACCGTTGTCACGCTGCACGAGCATGATCTTCTCGCAAGCGATGTGGACCTTGTCGGCGGGAATGTATCCGAACATGCGACCAGTCTGGGGGTAAGTCTTGGTGTTGTTGTGAGTTGTACCCATACCACCACCAGCCAGGACGTTGAAGCCCTCGAGGTGGCCATCAGCACCCTTAATGGCGATCAAACCAATATCGTGAGCGTAGACATCAGTATCGTTGTGAGGAGGAATGGCAATAGTGATCTTGAACTTTCTGGGGAGATAAGTAGGACCGTAGAGGGGCTCGTGGTCAACCACAGCATCTCCAGCAACCTGAACCTTCTTGTCGTTGTCATCCTTCAGCCAAATCTCGTGGTAGGCTGAGGTAGAGGGCAACAAGTGTTGACTGATCTTGGCAGAGATGGCCCAGGTCTCACGGTGGAAGGAAGAGAGCTCGGGGAGAGAACTGCACATGACGTTACGGTTCACATCACCGCAGGCAGCGAGGGTATCCATCATGGAGTTGTTGATGGCACGCATAGCACCACGAAGGTTGCGCTTGATCACACCGTGGAACTGGAAGGTCTGTCGGGTGGTAAGCTTCATGGTCTCGTTACCGTGTGAGCTACTGATGGCGTCCATCTGCAGCCACTGCTTAGGGGTGGCAACACCACCGGGGAGACGGCAACGAATCATGAAGCTGTAAGCAGGCTCCAGACCTTGAGCCTTGCGCTCATCACGCAGATCACGGTCATCTTGCATGTATGTACCATGGAACTTGGTCAGCTGCTGATCACTAGCGGGGATAGAGCCAGTGCTCTCATCCAGAAGAGCCTCAGCAATAGTGCCGCGAAGGAAGTTGGAGCCAATCTTGATGTCCTCGTTGGTAATTGGGGCAGGTTCCTCAGGGAGACCTTCCACTTTATCGACGCCCAGAGCCTTCCACAGACGGGGCTCCCACTCGGAGTATCCGGTCTGGTAGGCATCGGGGTCTTGATCGTCACCGAGACCAATGTCAGTCAGCTTGCGACCACCCAAGAAGGCAACACGATCATCGAGATCCTTTCCAGGCTTGTTGTAGTAGATCTTGTCCTCCTTGCGGGGCCAGTAGTGGCTGTCGCCAAGACCGAAAACGGAGTAGTTGATAGTGGAGAGATCGAGATCGCCGGTGTTCTTGACGTGCTCCCAAAGGGCACGGCCATTGACAGGGAATTCACCCTGGCCTGCAGTACTGGTGATGAACACAACGTTCTCCTCTGTGGGCAAGTCCTCAAGAGGGAACTCATCCATAGCAATGACCATGGTCTTCAGGCCTCTGGCGCGACCACGGTTGCCGAGACGCTTGGCAAGGTTCTGAGCATTTCCGCCGTCGGACGCGTAGAGAATAGTCAGAGGAGCACCGAACAGACCGTCCAAGAGCTTCTCGTAGGAGTCCTTGGCATTTCTCTTCTGAAGAGCGCGGACCTCAGTACCGTAAGACTCGGAGAGTACAGGGGCGTACTTGGGCTGGCGGTTCATGAGCTGGCTGAGCTGGTTATCGCGGCGAAGGAACTCCTCGAGATCACGCTTGATGCGCTCGGAGTCGAGGGCAAACTTGGGCTCGCCCTTCTCCTCGTTCTCGGGGTTCCAGCGGTACAGGGGCCAGTAGCCAAGATCGATGGCCTTCTTGGTCTCCTGCAGTACTGTGAGAGCGGAGTCGTTCTCCTGGTTGTAAGGGAGGTAGGCAACGACAACGGAGGGGCCCTTGAACTTTTGGGCTTCGGACATAGCCTGGAGGACCTGGGTGTACGAGCTGTAGACAGCAACGGAGGCGACGTATGCGTTACCCCAGTTCATAGCGTAAAGACCAATGTCCTTCTTGCGGCGGGTGGCGTCAGCAGCAGCGCGCTCAGAGTAAGGCTGGGAGTCGATGATGAGCATGTTCACGTTCGCACCGGATGCGAGGACGTGGTGGACACCGGAGTTGCCCAAGTCGTAGGCCCAGGCATCGGATCCAATCAGCCACTCGGACTCCTCGTAGAAGAACTTCTTAGACTGGAGGAGTTGGCGGGATAGTGAAGAGCCATCGGTGGAGAGGTGGGAAATGACCTCAGGGGCGAGCTTGTTAGACTTAGCGGCTTCCTTCACATTCAGAGCCCAGCGGGACAGCCAAGTCTTAGGGATGTCCGTGGCGAAGGCGTTGGACTTGGAGGCTTCCTCAACCTCCCGGATGAAGCGCTGACGGTGCTCCTGGCGAGCCAGCAACGAACCGAATCCATACTCAGGGCTTGCGGCGATAGTGTTAGAAACACCGGCGTTCTCGGCTCCAAGCTGGTTAGCGATGTAGAGCTGTTCGCCGAAGAGCTGGTGCAGAATCTTCAAGTAGGCATTCTCAATGCGGGGTTGCTCAAGGACGGGTTGAACAGTGGGAACCTGAGTGTTTCCAATCTCCAGACCCTGGATGGGAGAAGCAGAAGCCAGGTTCTGCAGGACGCCACGGAGAGCCTGAACAGCGGTAGAGGGCTCAATAAATCCAAGACGGTAGCCGACGATTTGAGGAGCCTGGGTGCGAGCGCCTGAGGGAGTCAGGCTGGAGAGCAGATCCATGAAGGAGGGACCCCATCGCGTAGTCTTGCGGACCTGCTCCAGAACAGCGATCTTCTCAATGGAGCTGGGAATAGAGTTCGAGATCTGTCCACCGACCCAAGGGCGGTACAAACGAGCAGTAATCAGACCAATGTTCTCCAACTCCGGGTTGGCGCTGGCATCGGCGAGAGCATCCACGAAGACACCGGTGGAGCCAAAGACGAAAATAGCAGACTTAGCATTAGCAACGCCGGTGTATTCAATAGCATTGTATCGGCGGCCGACTTCTTCGAATAGTGTGTTCCAAATCTGAGAGGTCCATGCAAAAGTATCACTGGCGTTAACAGGCCGGACGGTGGCGCTGTCAACAGTTGTGGCAATTGAGCTCGGGGCTTCACTGCCAGCGCTGCTATCTCTCCGTGAGGAGCCAACTGACGAGTTGTCAACGCTAGCGTTGAAGGGAGTCTGGGGTTGGGAGGGAACAGTCAAGTTCGCTTGCTCTTGTTGACCGGAGGGTGCAGTACCCACAGCCTCTTCCGTGACAGTGGCCACACTGCCGGAGTCGGCATAGAGTGTCTGTGCTTCAGCGGAAGTAGCAGCGTTGCCACCAATGCTGAGGACCTTCTTCACAACCTCAACATCCTCCTCGGGGATAGAGGGATCCTTGGCAGAGTTGGCGGGGTCGAAGAAGTGAATGACACCCTTTCCGGACTTGCGAGCAAGCGCATGAGCAGTGATAGCAATATCCTGGGCCTCCTGCACAGTTTCTGAGTGGAGGAATGTGAATCCGGACTGGCGAATGGAGCTGATCACGGAGTAATCGGGGAATGGTGAGGGCTCCAGCGCAACGTGAACAACCACGGGGCTGTTGGCGAGACGGTAGAGGTGAGGAACCGCGCTAATCAGGACAGAGGAGCTGGTAACGACGGAAACAGTCTCGCCATTTTGAAGAGGGGTGAATGCGGACAGGAGGGGGTCTTCATTATAGCGCACAGATTGGACCTAGCCATATAGTTAGTTGCGTTCCGATCTCGCAACGACAACGATTCCGACTTACCACAGGGGCTTTTGAGGAGAGGTTGCTCTTCTTGCTAGCCTTGAGGGCCTTTAGTGATTTTGAGAACAATGAGTCATCCTTCAGCGAAGGCTGCACGGACAGGACGGTATCACTAGTAAGGTAGGCGATTCTTGCCACTATACAATTGCACGATGGTTAGCGATTGCGCTGGATTTTCAGAATAGAACTGGACATCGATGACTTACCCGCTTCAGCAGCGGTCGAGATCTGTGCCATATTGGCTGACCTTGGCTGTTAAGCTCACAGCACAAGTGGGATGGTAAATAGATGGATCGTGATGGGTTCTTATCAGATATATGCAGCGATCTCCCACTCGCAGCACGGATCCAAACAGAAATAACGAGCAGAGGAGACGATAGGTTTATGTCTCTCAGCTCTCTTGAATCTTCTTCAAGAAAAAAAAATAGAGCCAACGGTTTTTTTTCTCTCGCTCGCTCAATTCTCCGTCGTCGGGGGGTTAGATCAGCAGTCCGTTGATTGGCCCACTGATTGGTCTTCGATCACGACATCAATGCAAACACCGGTCGACAAAAATGCAAACTTACCGTTTTGGGACCAGTGCGGGGAATCCCGTGATCCTGCCGAGCACGTCACTGCATCGGGGTTTGCCTGTGTGAGGGGTGGCATCAGGAAGACATCTTCATTATTGGAGTAGATACGAAGTGATCAATAACAGTGTCGTAAATCAAGTTTGATATTTGTTAGGGCTCAGCTGCCCCCCTTTTAGTAGCCTTCTGTGCCAGACACTTGATATCGCAAGACTGCTTGTCTGCACATTCTTTTAGTCTACCAATAACACCACAGCAATTACCGATGCTCCAACACTTGTATTTTTTTCGGAGTAACCCCGGCTTTTGGTCTGGCCTGCAACATACTGTGTAGGGATTTGTGACCGAGGATTAGGGATTCTCTCCCAAGACAAGACTACCGGTCAACTGGGTCAAATGCCGACAGTCGAGGCCGCACCGATCTCGCATGGCGGCGTGACTGTAATTCAGCCCCACTATCGTATATTCGGCCGAGTGATGTGCTCCACGGGCTAGCCTGTGTCACTGTGAAGATGAATGATCAGAATGAACTCGTTCGATGAGATGCCTATTCTTTTGAGGCTGGTACTAGTTAGAAGGTTTGACGGAATGGCTTCCAATCTTACTGAGAAACACACTGCTGGATCGTCAAAAGCAAATTATAGCGATAGTATGTGAGGTGTATCAAAACTAATTGTGTACAATAACAAGACATGAATCCCTTCCGGGAAAGATACAGGAAGTTAGGAACCCATATCAGAAAAGCAATGTACATATGTCCCGACGCCAAACCCGCGTTATTAGATCAATGAACATGAGCGTGGCCGTCAGCCAACGCTTGTTTTGAATTCAAGCGCCCCTATATCCCATGGTGATGAGAGTTCAAACGCCTTCCAGGGCCAGATAAGTGGATCAAATCAAATGATTACACAAGAATGAATCATCGTGAAATTCCTGGACCCGTCCCAAATTCATATATGCAGAGTTTGTCGTAAGTTTTGAGCAGGAGAAGCTCGGGATTCGTAATGTTGGAGTATCGAGGGAAGACAGAAATCGGTTATCGGAAGGAGAGGGAGAAACCTCATGAAACGATAGGACAGACACAAGAGCCAAGGTAGATTGTGTCCCTTGGCTCCTCTCACAGAGATATACGGCCGAATGCATATAGCCGGGAAGGAGATTGGGGTTGAGGATGTTTCAGTCTGGTAGAGGCGAGCGTTATACATTGGCGCAACCAAGATTGTGGAATAGCCGCTAAGAAAGCGCGCGTTTATCGCGGCGCGTTCCAATCCTGCATCTTAACATTCATGCCGCCAGGACCATGCTCGGGAATCGGCTGTTGAAGCACAGTGGATCGAACGATAGAAGGCGAGGGTTGTGGAGGACCCGTTCCAGAACGACGTCTCCTCTCTCTTTCGAGAGCTCCGGGCAACTCTGTGTTACCCGAACGATTGCGGAACTTATTACAATCGATACCGCTGAGCCAGTTCCCGTCCTCTTCTTCGCCCAACCAGTAGCCGTGGCCGATGCTAACCATGATGCGACCTAGCTTGCCTAGCCATCCCTGGCCGTCGGGGCTATAGGGAGAGAAGGGCTCTCTGTCAATGTCGGCAACGCTGGCGACTGACACGTTGCGGCTGTGAGTCGGGAGTTGAGTGTGTCGGGGAATCGCGACCCAGAGGCGAAGGGCCTGGCGCGCAAACGCGAGCATCACCAGCACAAAGTAAACGCGGATTACCCACAGAAGACAGATGAAGATGATGCTCTGAAGGCTCTCGGGCTGCAGGACGACGTTGCTGATATCGTCGGCCGTGCGCGGCGGATGGGCGATGAAGTTGTTGCCCTCTTTGGTGTTTTGGATTTCGACATAGGCCGCGTCGTACTTGGGGCTGGTGAAGCCTGCGGTCTGGGCGATCGTGTCGCCCCCTGGGCCTGCCGCTTTGCCACTGTCGTAATGTTGCGACACCACCAAGAACCAGGTCACACCGAAGGCGGCAGTGTATGCGGCGTTAATCAAGCTGTCGAATACATAGAGATAGGCGAGGGCGAGACATTGTAGGGGTGATTGTTTGCGAATGTGAGGGAAAAGAATTGCGGTAAGTCCAAGGGCGACAAGAGACCAAAGGTACATTGACAGTTGGACAGGCGATAGGTGGTAGCCGGTCAAGAGGGCCAAGAGGCCGTAGAGACCACTGATCTTATTTAAAAGAAGTGAAAGGGTGATCAGAGAAGCACCAGTCTCTAAGCTCATCACATAGAGAAAGGACTGAAGTCATCATGATTAGTTAGCTTTAGGAAACGGACAGGTCAAAATCTTGACTCACCTCTGGCCGCGGAATGCGGAGAAAACGGGACGTGAGCCCCATGAGTGTGGTTTAAGGCCTCTGGCCAAGAATGTACGTTATCAAGACGGAAATAGCGATGGAAATGTGGTTGGGTATATATACGGGCAAAGCAAGGGAAGAGGAAAAAGGCTGGGTGTATGGCGCCGCAGATGGGCCAGGGGCGCCATTTCCCGGGCGATCCGCCTGAAGATCAATTTCCCGATTTCGTCCTCGGTTGCATTATTCTTTGACTGCTAGTATAAGGAAATCATGTTGGCTTCGTATTTCTGGATTCTTTCGAGTAGACGCTGAATTTCAGGGGTTTGACTCTGATCTGTTCAGTCAGAATAAAATAGAGGTCAGAATTATCTAGCCACTTCGCAGAAAAGATCATCTTCATGGCTTTGGAGTTTGGCCCCTTGCTTGATTGCCATTTATGAATTTTATGAAATATGGATGCATCTGGATGTATGGACCCCTAAAATTCTGGCCTGACTGCCTGACTGCCTGACTGCCTGACTGCCTGACTGCCTTACTGCCTGATTGCCTGACTACCAAGGCGTAAATATTCCAACCTACAAGCTTCTTCCGAGTCGGCTATATACATTGCACGCTTTGTGCACATGTCTTGACTCCAGCCATTTGGATCTACAAAGTCATATAACGATATGGTGAACTAGATGTCAAAGGGCAAAATCCAGGTTCATACAATATCCGACGAATATCTAAAACTGCTAGGTTGTGCTCCCACATATGATTCCGTTGACCATTTGCATACGGCATACCTCGGGAACTAACTTAAGCCCACCTCGGAAGAGGCGGGGTGAAACAAGTAGATAACCAACATCAGCTGCCCGCTTTGCCCCGCATATATTTGGAGGACGATCTGGGGTAGATGTCGAGTCACTTCATCAGTCTCTCATATACCTTGTCTCATCAAAGGAGTACTCACAATGACTATCACATCAAACGAAGAAACTAGAACCGATCGACTGGTCAAATGGGCGGCCGAATTGAAGTACAGCGATATTCCCGACGACGTGATCCAACGCACCAAGGATTTCTTCCTGGACACACTAGGCTGTGCTATTGCCGGTCGTAGCCACCCTGCGGTTTCTGCAATGGTGCGCTTCGCAGCACAAATGGGCCCGTCTGATGGAAAGAGTGAATTGATTGATGGCTCCCAAAATGTCAGAACTAGTCCGGCATTTGCTAGTTTGATCAATGCTGCTGCGTCTCATGTGGTTGAACAGGATGATCTTCACATGCGAAGCATCATGCATCCAGTGAGTATTTAGGTGCTTCCCATTGCACATCGACCATGCTGATTTTGCTATAGGCAACTGTCATCTTCCCAGCTGCTCTTGCAGTTTCACAAGACATTGGAGCTACTGGAGAAGAGTTCCTCACTGCTTGTGTGGTTGGCTATGAGGTGGGCTGTCGTGTTGGAGAGTACCTAGGAAAAAGCCACTACGAGGTAAGCTTTGGACATGCTTTGATCTGTTCATACGCTGGAAAGTGCTGCGCAAGCATCATAAGCCTATGTTGCTATTTATCGGTGACTAATAAGGACTTCTATAGAAATTCCATACTACCGCAACTGGAGGAGTCATTGGAGTCGCAGCGGCCGTAGCTCACCTTCTGAAACTCGATGCAATTCAGACATCATCAGCTGTCGGAACAGCCGGTACTCAAGCCGCAGGTTTATGGCAATTCTTGATGGATGCAACGCACTCAAAACAGGTGCACACCGCAAAGGCCTGTTTCGACGGCATCTTCGCTGCCTACTCTGCTCGCGATGGCCTCCTAGGTCCGCGGGATATCCTGGAAGGGCCACGAGCAATGGGTGCTGCACTAGTCCCGGGTGAACTACACCCAGAGGCCATCGACCAGAACTTGGGCAAAGACTTTGCCGTTATCAATTCCAGTTTCAAGTGGCACGCATCTTGTCGTCACACGCATCCCAGTGTGGACGCATTGCTGAACCTGATGTCGAAGAACCAGGTCACGTTCGACGATATTGACTCTATTCTTGTTCCTACATACCAGGCTGCTATTAACGTGCTGAGCTTGAGTGGGAATGGCGACACGGTTCACCAGAGCAAGTTTTCGATGGGCTTTGTACTTGCCATCGCGGCGAAGAAGGGACATGCTATGATTACTGATTTCACCGAAGCTGATCTAACGGATGCCTCTCTGCGTGATTTCCAGAGTCGAGTGACGATGGAGTATAATGCAGAAATTGACTCTAAATTCCCTGAAGAGTGGCAAGGGACTGTTATTGTCACTTGCAAGTCTGGGAAGGTTTTCAAGGAATCAACCAGATTTGCAAAGGGAGACCCGGAGCTTCCTTTGACAAGGTGTGTTGTTCTACATCCCTACGTAATGAGTCGGATATATCCTGACCTTACATCCAGGTCTGAAATTGAGGCGAAGACGCATGCGCTTGCCAAATATGGCGGAATCACGGATACCGCCAAGGTTGATTCTATAATCAAGAGAGCTTGGAACTTAGAAAATGAGGTGGATCTTAGAGGTTTCGTTTTCTAAGCCACGATATATGGGATGTTGTGACCGCATGTTGAGGTGTCACCGAAAATAATAATCTTGACCGAAGCCCGGTGGGAAAGTAGGCTTTATTACATCGAGGACGGATACAACAGCTGTAACCTTGGAATATTATTGAGTTCATGTTTCATTGGAGCCGGCTATAGCGTGCATTGCCCAGACGGGGAATACAATATTGTACAGCTTCATCAATTAAAGCATATCAGGCATATCAGACATGTTAGCTCATGCTGTCGCAGTGATAACAGAAGACCCCCTGAAAAAGGAGCCAAGCAAAGTAACTTCAACCGCCACAGAAAACGTATAATGCAGGCTGAAAGGAAAATAAAACACCTAGTCTCCTCCCGAAATCTTGAAAAAGGGATTTGACACGACCGCATCGGTACTGAAAAGTCTAGACACGCGCTATCGACTCGGGGGCAACAAAAGAGAGAAGAAACATGTACATGTTCGGAAATTGAAAATATCATGGACAATCCCGATATCGATCATCGAGATAGGGCGTTTAGGGACAGAATAAGGAGCGTAGGGAATCTTAACAGGCACAACCATCATTGCTGGTCGTCTCCTTGGGGCTGATGTTGACATCGATCACTGGAAAAGAAGCCATGGTCAGTATAAGGGGTTTATGGATGACAGTTGAGCATAAACGTACTTGTGCTCTCGCCCTGCTTGGCCTCGCCGTCCATCCCCGGAAGAGCCTGAGCAATTCTCCGGAAGAGCTGTTTGACATTATGCCCGACCTTCGCACTAGTCTCGATAAACATCAACCCATTCTTCTTGGCCTCCTCTTCACCCTGTGCGGTGGTGACTTCCCGCTTGTCGTTCAAATCGGTTTTGTTACCCACGAGAACAATTATCACATCGTTCCCACGCTCTCCGCGCACGTCATCAATCCATTTACGGGTATTTTGGAATGACTTTGCATTCGAAATGTCATAAACCACCACGGCAACGCTCGAGTCTCGGATGTAGGAAGGAATTAGGGAACGGAAGCGCTCTTGGCCGGCGGTATCCCAAAGCTGAAGGCGCACAGTTCGGTCTTCGAGGTACATAGTCTAGATACAATGGTTAGCCCTATATTCGCTCATATGTAACCAGCTCTCGGAGGATTGCTCAATAAATCTGAACCTTGTGCGGGGTATGGGGTGGCGTACCTTAGACAAGAAGTCGATGCCAATAGTTGCTTGATATGTGTTGTCAAACGAGTCATACATAAACCGAGTAATCAATGACGTTTTGCCGACTGTAGAAATTGTTAGGCATCTTGTGCAACCATCTCTCATCGACTGGGCCGCAAGGTGTAGATGTAGGAAGTGAAGAGACGCGTACCACTCTGTTCACCCAGGAATACAAGCCTACACGGAGTCATTAGGATTGGAATTCTAATCTCAGGCGTGGTTTTGAAGACTTACTTGAACTTCTTCAACGGGTTCGAATACGACCCAACCCCAGAGGCGGACGCCATTGTCGCCGATATGTTGATGCGGTGGAAGTCAGGGGTAACGAAGAATGGCGGAGCGAGGTGAAGGGTTGGTGACTGAGAATAGTCACGCGATAACAAGAGCAGTGAAGATATAGAAACCAAGATAAATCACTCCACCTAGAAGAACAGTTCAAGCAGGGGGTGGAATAGCTGGTCCAGTCCGTCCGGGGAAGCACAACGCGAGGTCACCGCCCGAGGGGAGCAGTTAATCCGCTCCGACCACCGAGTCCCCATCACCCACTGCCATCTTAGAGCTTCAGCTACCTTATCGGCTGCCTTTCCTACAGCTGCGATCGGCCTTTTCATTCATTCTTCATCAGGTTCTCTGAGGCCACCATGGCTTACCTATATCCGGCCGGTTACGTGACCGCCGCTCTTATCGTGGTGGGATTGTGTATGTTCCAACGGATCCATCCCATGTGCGATCTGGCAGCTAACGAGAGGGTCTGAACTCTAGATATGCTCTTCCATGGTGAGGGAGAAGCATTCAATGTACGTCTTCTTCCCTGAAATTCAAAGTTCAGCAACCTAACACGAACTAGGTCGGCCGTTTCCTTGAAGAGGTTTCTCCTTATGCTTGGGCAAATATCGGAATCGCTTCATGTATTGGTTTCTCAGTTGTTGGTGCAGCATGGTAAGCCGATCGTCTCATATGACTTGATACAGGATATTGACGGCGGACTCTTCATAGGGGTATCTTCCTTACCGGATCATCGATCGTCGGCGGTGGTGTCAGAGCGCCTCGGATTCGTACCAAGAACTTGATCTCCATTATCTTCTGTGAAGTCGTGGCCATCTATGGTGTCATTATGGCCATTGTCTTCTCCTCAAAGCTCAGCCAGGTGCCAGAAGGCGCAATCCACACTTCCAGCAACTACTACACTGGATACGCGGTCTTCTGGGGAGGAATTACAGTCGGTGTCTGCAATCTCATTTGTGGCATCTCTGTTGGTATCAACGGAAGTGGTGCTGCGTTGGCTGATGCCGCCGATCCTAGCTTGTAGGTGGTCCCCAAAGTGTCCTTTATTTCGGATTGTCACTTACATTATTTATTTCCCAGATTCGTCAAGATCCTTGTCGTCGAGATTTTCAGCTCAGTGCTGGGTCTGTTTGGCCTGATTGTCGGTCTCCTCGTGGCGCAAAAAGCCGCGGTATTGGATGCAGCGTGAACAAAGCCTCTCTTTGACAGAGAAGAGCTCCAAGCTTAGGCAATAAACAGCTATTGCGGACTCGACAGACATAACTGGTGATTACCCATTGCCACCTTCTCCTCGTTTTCATATTTCATGTTCATGTTTCGATATACACCGCATAGGGGCGTCTGGGATCCGTCACGTTGGCCATTTTGGCTTTGCTGAATTGCATCGATGATCTGAGGATCATATGTATCAGATATGAGGCTGTGTGAGCTAGTTTAAGCTTGTTACACTAGGGATAGGAGAGAATCACTTGTAGAAATCGCCGTCGGATGCAGTCAACTTGCCTATGAAAACATGCAAGTATCCAATGGATGCTATCACCTACCTCCGAGGTTCTCTGTGAACTGTTCTAGATTCAACTGTCACGTTCTCTTCGATATGCGGCCTTGATAGCCCTCGTGCACCACGCCAGCGCTCCTGGGCGTCGTTCTGAGTCTGATTGAGCCCTAAATGGACTATGTCTCGGATTGGCAGTCAAGGCTGGTTCCGCGGCCTCGTTTAGTAGCCCTCTCGGGACGATTAGGACCAAATGAAATGGATACAATAAATACGGACAAATGGGACAATCGTTCACTACGATTGGTACAATTGGTACGACCCAGACATGTAGTTGAAACACTAATTGCACTAAGCACACTAACTTACGTCCGGGAGTTGGGGATAGTCCGATGCTTTCCCCGATTGAAAGAACATCCCCCCTCCCCCCCACCAACATCCACCCAAACATCACCAACAACATGGACAACAAATTAAAAGTCGCCATCCTAATTATCTCGGACACAGCCTCGGAAGACCCGGCCTCCGACAAGGTAGTCAATGCACTGGCGCCTATCTTGGCCGCAGAAGGGAAGTGGGAACCCCCCGCATTCAAGATCGTCCCCGACGATGTACTCCAGATCCAGGAGTCTATACGCAACTGGACCGATGGCCCTGATTGGTATAACCTTATTCTTCTCAGCGGAGGGACAGGTTTTGCCATCAAGGACAACACTCCTGAGGTTTTTATATTGTGATCTGGTTTGATATCGCCAAATGCTCATGACATCACTAGGCAGTGACTCCCCTGATACAGCGCCATGCTCCGGGCCTAGTGTGAGTCGATTCGATATCCTGGCCACCGCATTGACGCTAGTAAACTAACCAAGACCTCCAGACACGGCATGCTAGCTGCCTCTCTCAAAGTAACCCCCTGTGAGCATGACATAGGGGGCGCCTGCATTGGCGCCTTCCCGAGACTATATACTTCAGCTAACCCCTCGTCTAGTTGCTATGATGGCCAGACCAGTTGCCGGTGTGCGTGAAAAATCTTTGATTATTACCTTACCTGGGTCACCAAAAGGAGCCATGGAAAACCTCGATGCTGTCGTTAAGCTTCTGCCACATGCATGCTTACAGTCTGCGGGGGCCAATTCGCGCAATCTCCATGCTGGAGGTGTGACAAAGCTGGAAGCAGAGGCTGGCGTTGATGATCGTCAGCATCGGCATCATCACCACCACCATCACCACCACCATGGCCATGATCATGGTGGTCATGGACATAAGGTTCCCAGGGCTCACACGTCGCCGTCAGAAAGACCACAATCAAACGACCCTAGTGCGGGCCCTAATCGGCGCTATCGCTCTTCACCTTACCCAATGCTGTCTGTAGACGAAGCGCTTCGCCGGATCAATGAGCAAACCCCTGAGCCGGAAGTCATCGAAGTCCCAGTCACCACGTCCTTGATTGGCTCGGTGATTGCTGAAGACGTCTATGCCGGGGAAGCCGTACCAGCATATCGAGCCAGTATTGTTGATGGCTATGCCATCATCGCACCGGACTCTAGCTCAACTGGCCCGTCCACGAAGGGGATTTTCCCCGTAGCGTCCATCACTCATGCCAACGTCGGTGGAAACCTACAATCCCTACAACCGGGTACCATCGCTAGAATCACCACGGGAGCCCCTCTACCTCCCAACGCAAATGCCGTTGTCATGGTCGAAGACACAGCCCTGAATACCAGCACACCCGACGGCCAAGAAGAAGCCACAGTTGAAATCCTCGCCGACGACATCGAACCCGGCGAGAACGTCCGCGAGCCCGGCAGCGACGTAAGCCTAGGCTCCAAAATCCTCGCCCGCGGCGACCTCATCAGTCCCGTCGGGGGCGAACTCGGCCTCCTAGCATCAACCGGCACAAGAACCGTCAAAATCTTCCGCAAACCCCGCGTCGGCGTCCTAAGCACAGGCGACGAGCTCGTAGAACACAACGACCCGCGTCCCCTAACAGGCGGCCAAATTCGGGACTCAAACCGCCCCTCCCTCCTCTCCTGCCTGAACTCCTGGGGCTTCGAAACCGTCGACCTAGGCATCGCCCGCGACACGCCAGCCAGCGACCTAGAGCAAGCACTGCGCGACTCCCTACGCGGCATCGGCCGCGTATCCGCCAGCGTAGACGTGATCATCACAACAGGCGGCGTCTCAATGGGTGAGCTAGACCTCCTGAAACCGACGATTGAACGCTCCCTAGGCGGAACCATCCACTTCGGCCGCGTCGCCATGAAACCCGGTAAACCAACCACCTTCGCAACAGTCCCGTTCAAAGCATCCGGCGATGCTTCCTCCCAGCAGGAACGCCAATCAAAACTCATCTTCTCGCTGCCCGGGAACCCGGCTTCGGCGCTCGTTACTCTCAACCTATTCGTTCTGCCATCATTGCACAAGCTCGCTGGCCTGGGACACAGCTCGCAGGCGCTCAGTTCGAGGCCTTGGCTTGCGCCGCAGCTTGGTCTGCCGCGTGTTGCGGTTGTACTGACGCATGCTTTCCCACTTGATCCTAAGAGGACGGAGTATCATCGGGCTGTTGTTACGGCTTCGCGGTCGGATGGGAGGTTGTATGCGACGAGTACGGGGGTTGAGGGTGCTGGACAGCGGTCTTCGAAGGTTGGGAGTTTGGCTAAGGCGAATGCTTTGGTTGTGCTAAGGGCTGGACGGGGGGTTTGTATAAGGGGTGAGATTGTGGAGGCTTTGTTGATGGGGGATGTGCATGGTTCGGATACGAGGGTCATTTGCTGAGATGCTGATAACGATGTATGACTTTTGGGTGGGGACTGGATCTCCTTGGACTTATTGTGGTTTCATTTCCTTGCCTGTTTGTCTTGGAGATATGTACATTCTCTTGATTGATTGAACAATTTGTTACTGCTGTTTTTGAACTGGACAGAATATGCACGATCTATTTCTGTTGGATTGGCAATCTTATGACTGGATAGCCGCCTTCGCATATTAAAGAAGTTTCACATATTCTGTTCTAGGCAAAACCATGAAACCAACGCCGAGGCTGTGACCAAGCATGTAGAAAAATCAGTCAACTCCCTGTATGCCTGTATGTGAAATCAACTCTTAGAATACTTCCACCCCTTCTTCTTCTCAGCCCGGAAAGCAGGCAGCGTCCCATCTCTTCCCTGCTTCCTCGCAATTTCCACAACCAAAAACCGCACGAAATCACCTAGCGTCCAGTAACTGCTGTGCGCACTTAACATGTTCAGGTACTGGATATTCAAGGGACCGCCGCCTCCAGAAAGGTAATAGTCAATCTGGCCGTTATCGTTGAGTAGAAGCATGCGCCTTTCGGCGATTTCTTCACGCGTGAAATCGTGGGTCTCGAGTTCGACTTGGGATGGGAGCTTGGAGACTGCCGCGGGGCGGGTAGAGGTAGCGGTGGACATCAAATCTGATGGGTTTGAGCTCCAGCGAAAAACGCTGCCGAAGGATTGCCAGAAGGTGGATGTGGAGCTGGGGATGGTACCCATTTTGAGGGTATTGGCGAGGTCTGAGTCTACTGCTGCGTTGACTCGGTATGCAATTGCTAGCGGTATTGTTAGTAAAGAGAAATGATATATTGGGGTTGTCTGGAACATTTGGATATCCACATACGGTCAGTTGTGTGCACGATATTGTAGAGATTATCTACGGCGAGGCAGCCATATTGGCCCGCTTCACCGGCAACGTTAGGAAGTAAATCGTCGCCTTCACTCCCAGGCTTGTCTCTGCCCTTGCGGGGACGAAGGTTAGCTGTGAGGAAGTTAGCAGTGTCTGCAACATCGGATACTTCTCAAGCGTACCCTTATTAAGCAGCAAAAAGAAGCCAACCGGGCTTCCGCAAAGAAACAGATTTGTGGTATCGAACTCGAATATATCGCTATGCAAAGGCATATCAGAAAAGTCGAATCGAGGAACATGTGTTGGTTGGTTGCTGAGGATGTCCACGGCCATTACACTTCCGAGCGAATGAGCAATGAGATGTACCCGTCCATGGTCTTGGAATCCACGATTGTTCTTGCACCAGAGACGATACACACGATTCGCCTCTCTGACCACTGCCTTAACCATCTTCGGTTTGTGATGAGAGAGGTAGTAAGGGATGTCAAGCATCACATCGCTGATCAGAGATCGAATAGCGGGAAGAGTCTGGGGTGTGATATCCGCGAGCGAGAAATTGTTGCTCACTGTGTCTTCAATATCAGATTCAGCCTCCGGATCATCCAATGATAATTTCGCGCGCCAATTCACAGGAAGAACCATGATTCCTCCATGATCTGGACGCACGTGCGGCCATACAGGTTCGTTGTTGAGCTCCATGTTTACTTCTCGTCGGAACGCATTGATGGCGTGAGTGAAGTGGAAGCTTTCCATCCTCTCCGAGAGCTTTTGGCCGATGCCATGAATAACGAGAACCAAGTCTGTTGGAGGTGGTCGCGACTCTTCCATCTTGCACGCATAACATATTTGTTCACCTGGTGCGAAACCATTCTTTAAATGGGTCTTGCGGATGTAATGGCGGACATCGATAGGATTGGGCTTTGATGGATGCAGCTTTTCCCATGCTTTGCGGCTGAAACCGCGAACCACAGGTATACCTATTTGTCGACCTTTTCTAATTGCACCGAGAGGTCGTCGGCCCCTCGAAACCGAGGGAAGCAGACTGGGCCGAAGGACTTGCGCATTTGTTGCATCGACATAAATAGCACTGGACGTGAGGTATGATTTGATGTTCTCAGATTGAACAGCAGTGCCGCCAGCAGCTTGGCTTTTGTCAAATGTTAAGGCCTCTGCTGCTTCACCCATAGGTGCGTCACTACTCTGTGGATCTTGTGCAGTCGAAGGTTCAAAGTCTTTCTTTGTCCACAGCGGGTAAACGATTTTCAATTCGGCATCCGGCCCATTCTCCACACAACTATTCAGTTCATCTTGCCAGGTGTCGCTCCATGGCTTTAAGTAGACATAGCCTTCCTCCAATTTGTTTGCAAGTTCTGTCTCAACTGGCAACATGGTATTCTTATAGAACCAAGTAGCTCGGATCACATTCGATACGTCATGCAAAGGACTCCAGTAAATAGGTTTCATCTGGACATTGTGAGTATAACGCGAAGCTACGCAGGCGAATTGGTCTTACTTTGAGATTTGGTAACTCAACCAGATGGAGTCTTGAAACACCGACTGGAATCTTTAATTGTGAATTTGGTTCTTCTGTCCTCTCCTCCTGTGAGTCCTGTGTCAATTGGTCCAAGCTCACGGTAGTCCGCAGACCTGACGGTTTCGGAGCACTCCGAGGAGCAGTGCTGGTTCGCAGATCGGCCTGTCTTTCGCCCGCGTCTCTTGAGGAAGTGGACTCGTATGAGCGACCAAGCGGTGTTTGAGACTGAGATATCGGCGCTCGTATGAAAGGAGAGCCACTGATACTTGCATCACGAGAACGATTGGCCCGCAAATTTCCCGTCCGCTCTTCACCTTCGCCCACATCCTCGATGTCTGACAGATCATTGCTCCTTCTTTTGGCTGCAACGGCTTCATTGGCGGCTGATGAGCGCGGTCCTCTCCGATCAATAACAATTCCTCTGGGGAATTCTTGTTTCAAGCCATCGTCCACCGAAGAACTCGGACGCTGTTCCTTGCCAAGCTCCTGCGTCCGAATACCATCACTGCCAGTAGCTAAAGCAAGGTGGCTTCTCTGACTGCGAGAGGGCAGTTCGTCCGGGAACGAAGGGGGACTGCTGAAAGTGCTTCCTCTGCTGCCGACCAAGTGCGGGTCCTCTTGGTCAGCCGCCTTGCTTTGGCGCTCGACACTCAAAATCGATTCATGGCCTGGCACAGCAATTCCTGGCCCTATTGATGTATTTGGCCGTGACCTGTTATCGGTTGTTCTGGTCTTCCTCGCATCCCGTAGGCCACACCAGGCTTCCTCTAAAGCGATGTTATCCCTGGCCGAGAAGGGTGTTGGAGAAAGTCTCTCATTCCCAGTGGCGGGCGGTGGCAGGGGAGCCAGTGGATCATCGATGGGTAACGCCGATAGATAGAAGAATTGTGATCGAATTTCTGGCGGTGAGGGCATTGACTGTAGTCTGGCGAAGTCCTGTTCTTCATCGGCTAGCAAGCAGCTCGGGCCGTAGGTGTGGATCGGGCCCGCCATTCGGATATCTGAGGAAACCCGAGCTATCTGAGCTTTCGTTAGAACTGGTACTGTTCGCCACCCCGATACTAGTACGGAGTGTTTAAACGTGGGATGTATTGACAGTCATTGGGGGCTAAATCGTTACGGTCCACAACGCGTGCTGTCAGAAACACCCGCTTGGAAATGAATGTGTGATCATTTATAAGTGGGAGTTGTCAAGTTCCAAGTCAACACCGTGCAGAGCGGTGACTGCCACCCGTGATCCTTGAGCCGATGACGTCGCCCCACGTGCTTAAGTACGACTTCAAACTTGCTTCAGTTGCTTTTGAAGAGGCTCTGAAATTGATATTTAAATACATGACAAGTCAAAATCCCCCCTTCACCCTTTCTGAATTATTCATCTTCTGAAGACAGACGTCTCACTGAGCAGACCTCACTACTATCAAGTGACCAAGTCTACAAGTGGGCGTACTGGGTCACGTGATTCGCTTTTTGTTTTGAAAAAATGTGATGAGTAATCACGTCACGTTACATGGTTTTTGGCGCAAATCGCAATTGAAAGCCCCCCATCGGGCGGCCACCTTCGGCAAGCACTAGCCTAGCGAAATCCTCAATTTCCTCGCGCTTATCAATTCTCCACGCCCCCCACTGTCGAATGGTCAAGAACTCGTTCTTGGTGATAGCCTGCTTCTCCTGGTCCTGCATGATGGCTATGTACTTGTCGAGGCGACGAGGGCGTAGGCCTTGGCAATGTATAATTCGTCACCATCTGTGAAATCAGCAGGCCTCTATACACATGGAATAGCACTTGGTTTCTGCCGGATACTGACCGGGAATGAAAGCAAATAGACTTACCTGTCCTTGGCCAGGCCTTTTGGAGGCCCCGTGACAAGAGCAGCGACCAGCTCCGCAGCTTCCTGCATGAAGACTTCTGGACTGTGTCTGCCGCGACGGTTGGCTTTAGCCTCGATAATGACCTGGGTCTGTAACGTGGCCTCTGACGCAAGCAAACCGTCCAGGAGGCACTCCATGTGAGCCCCTCTGAACTCTGCGGTCAGGGAGGCCCGCTGGGGGGTCCATCGAGCTTTGAAGCTGGGGTGCTTTTTGCAGATCGCAGTGAGGAACGATAGGAGAGAGGAATTAACGATCTCCTCATTAGCACTTTGCAGGCCTTTACTCCCTGGGCTTTGCAGAAGCTCGCAAACTTGTCGCTGCTGCTCCCGAAGAATTTCGAAAATCCCTATCTCAGAACTACCCGGCGTCTTGTCGTCGTCGATGGTGTCGAGGTACGCTTGGAACGGGTGGAAGGTAGCCAGCCAGTCTCTGGCCTGATCAAAGAAGTCTTGAAGATTCAAGTCCTGGACGGCACGCATAGTCGGCCACTCTATATCCCATAGAACCTTCAACAGAAGATATTGTTCTTCTGTGACTTTCGAGCCTGACTCAAGCTTCTTCTGCCTGTGGATGCTTGATCTGAGCACCCCGTGCCTTCTGGCAGCGGTGCTCCATTCCAACCATGTCTTCGGGACGGTCTTTGATTTGCGCTTTCTGACTGACATTTGAGCTAGAGGAGGGATGTATCGTGTGTCGATTAAGGAGACGTAAGATTGTAAGAGTACTTTAAAGGAAGGAGGGGACTTGCGTCCAAATCTCGATGTCGGCGTCGTGAGTGGTGGCATGGGTGGAGATGACCTCGCTTCCTGGGAGGACCCAGCACTTGCTCCACATTGCGTTGGCATCGTACTCGGCGATGGCCAGCGGGCTGTGGAATAGCGGCGGCCGGGGGAGAAGCGGACTGAGGAGAGGTGGAATTGGCCCGGGGAGAAGCGGCCTCAGAAGAGACTGAATTGGCGGGGGAGAAGCGGCCCGAGGAGAGGTGGAATTGGCCGAGGGAGAAGCGGCCGCAGAAGAGACTGAATTGGCCGGGGGAAAAGCGGCCTCAGGAGAGACTGAAGTGGCCGGGTGAGGGGCGGCCTCAGTGGAGAAGACTTCCCGGAGGCTAGGAAGGTCTATGGTGAGGTTGATGTTGATTGGCAGGAAGCTCGGTGGTGTAAAGGTGGGTAGTCGAGGGCTAGTAGATACAACATTGGCCAGGTGGAGGTCAATGGCGGTTTCAGGGTGGCTAGGTGGGCTGAATGTGGGTGCTCGAGGGATTGCTGACACCACGTAGCTTGGGCTGAGATCGATGGAAGCCATGTTGACCGACAGAGAGCAACTGCAATCAAGATTGAGAAGTATGGGGATCACGAATTCACAAGTGATATGAGGGATGTCCTGTCAGCTATGTGTTCAGCCCCATATTCACTCATATTGGGAAGTGTCTTGTCCGGTAATCGGGCGAGAAGGGACTTCATGATGGGAGCGTGGAACAAGATACTGTGTGAAGAACCCGAACATGAGTGATTCGGCACATCGTCCGACACCTCCCATTCTGCATAGACCGGAACCGAAGCAGCATCAATAGTGGTCAGGTCATCTACACCGGGAACATTAACGTGAGCAATTGACGGCTCAGGGTTCACGTGCATTGTTAGTGCAAATGCGCCCCCTGCCTCCAGCTCAATGAGCCATGGCCTGATGGCAGTCAACCCAGCAGGTAACTTGGGCATCGTCGTGGCCGAGGTGATACCGGCCGAGGTCCTCATTCGAGGACCCTATAGCAGGTCACTGGTGCAGGCTTGGGTGAAGGAGGCTCAACTCGGCCAGCTAGGTGCCTACCCTCATATGCGCCTCCTAAACCCCGGTACCAAGCTGTGAGTTGTCCGAGCCTGATATGTTGCGGAAGGAAGTGTGGGAGGAAACATTTGGAAGAAGGAGTTGTGCGCCAAATCGTTGGCAGAAGTCATAGACGCGTATCAAATGCCCGATAAGTGACAGACGAACCGAGCGCTCGGTGGGAGTAGGTGTGTCGAGAGGTCTGCTGTGAGACGTCGACAAACATGCTTATCGACAATGGTCATGTGAGTAGCGATAAGGACGTTGAGGAAAGGCAGCGATATGAAGACGATGGTCGATGATGATGGAAATCTTGATATAGGTTGGTAAAGAATAGGTAATAGACATGGATGAAGAAGGAAGCAAAGCCATTGATGGGAGCTATAAGTAAGCGAGCAAGATCACCTGATATCACGACTAACGTCCTGCTTTAACCGTCCGTTCTGCTTCTCTGGAAAGTACGTTCAGAGGTCTGATCTAGGAAGTTGTTTGCCATTGGAAGAGCCCAAGTCTCCAGCTAAATACAAAATATTTTCTATCTCTTTACTCGGAGATGATCTAAGCGGTGCCCGGTACTTCTAGTGAAGAAATCTTTCATGAGTTAATAATATTGTGAAATGTCACGGCTATCAGGCTCCTTGTGGAGAAACATGAAGAAAAAAAAAAAGGAAAAACCAACGAAAGAAACGAAGAAACAGAACGAAGAAACGAAAAAACGAAAACACGAGAAACAGAACAAAACAAAACGGACAGAACAGAAGGGAGAAAACGAGAGCCCGTCGATCGTCACGCACCGCCTGGCCCTTCCAAAGGGGTGTCAGGGGAAAGCCGACGCTACATGGAGACGTCGCTCCCCGAGGCTGACAACTGGCTTGCTGGCTATAGACGATCCTTCATCAGGCTATCCCTGACCGGGGAAGAACCATCTATCATTGACTGGTCACTTGACTCACTTCGTCGTGGGGAACCGACGGAGCCGTCCATGCCGGTGGAAGTCGCGGGGAAGCGATCCCACATCAGGCGATCGTCACGGTCCTCAGGATTGCCGCCAGTGGGCCAGTTCGGACGGCGTTGCTTCCTGGGAGGACCCGGCGATTGTTCCACACTGCCGCGGCGATGGCCAGCGAGCTGTGGAATTGCGGTGGCCGGGGGAGAAGCGGCCGCAGAAGAGACTGAATCTGCCCGAGGAGAAGCGGCCTCAGGAGAGACCGAAGTGGCCGGGGGGAGGCGGCCTCGGGAGTGACTGAAGTGGCCGGGGGAGAGGCGGCCTCGGGAGTGACTGAAGTGGCCGGGTGAGGAGCGGCCTCAGTGGTGAAGACTTCCCGGAGTCTAGGAAGGTTGATATTGAGGTTGATGTTAATTGGCGGGAGGCTAGGTGGGCCGAATGTGGGCTCGAGGGCTAATCGAGACAGCATTGGCCGGGTGGAGGTCAATGGCGATTTTGGGGTAGCTAGATGAGCCGAAGGTAGTTGCTCGAGGGCTTGTTGACACCACGTATACGGGGCTGAGGCCAATCGAAGCCATGTTGGTTGATAGAGATTAACTGCAAGGAAGATAGAGCAGACGAATTCACAAGTGATATGAGTGATAGGGTACAGTGAGTTGGGAAAGGATTGGATGAAGCGCGAGCTTGGATGACTTTATACATAGCTGGAGGTATAGGCTGATATGCTGCAATTGCAATTGCGATGCTATTCAGATCAATGAATACGTATAGAATATGGAGTCTATTGTGGTGCCGTGATATCAGGCTATATGGCTGGCATTGAACAAGGACCACAATAACAGTGTTCGAACAGTCAATATGTCCTCGTGGCCAAATGGATTGTGGAATAACCCTATTCAAACGGACGAAAGTGGACAATAAGATGGGAACAATGGACAAAGTACCTAGAGACAAAGACCAAATGAACCTTAAACGTATCGAGTCTCAGTTACTGGGATAATAAACTATTGACCTATTGACCATTGTCAAATGCAATTCCAAGTCCCAAACGCATCCCAATCAAATCGGGTATCTTGAAGAATGTGAAATACCTGGTATATTGCTATTTCTGCTTGACTATCTGGGCATGTGGACACATCAACACTTGAGGCTTTGCGTTTTCAGAAGGAGATACACAAAAGCCCTCAATTCAGGAACAAAAGACTAGTGCACTTTGCATAGGAGTCGAGACCATTGCGGATACCATGCTCCCCAACATCTATACACGCAGTCTCTCTGCAGATTATTACATGACGGAGAAAATGAAATAACTACCTAGTACTTCCAGGGCTCTTTCCATGGCGGGATGCCGATGCCCCATACCCACTTTTTTCCTTTCAATTCTCCAGACTTACCTTTGGATGATCCGACTTCGTAATTTCTTCCTTCCTTTCTTGAGCTTTCCAAGTCTATGAATACAACGAAAGTCTGGTGTTGCTTGCAATCACACTGAAGGTAGTAAACCGACATCAGTTGACTGGTGGCAGGTGCGCATACCTCCAAGTTCCTTGTGCATAAGAGACAAGGCTTAACTTTCTACACCCCCAAGCCACAGATGTCAGGCTCCAAGTTCAAATGTCTGAAAGAGCTCATTAGTAGCTCAATTTGCAGTCATCCATTTTGATGTTGTCATTTCTATCTAGGGTTGTTGTTGGCACGCGATATAGTTCGGAGCGGTACAACTTGCGTCCGAGAATTAGGCTTGAGTCATTGTTGCCTTGGGCTATCAGCGTTTCCGGTACAATCACTCGCCACCTCAGCAAACGAAGCGAGAGTACGACGCGTACGAGGGAATCTGTAGATTTTGAATGGTTATGCGTCTATCATGTTATGGTCATAACTAATCTCCAAGATTGCTCTCTGACTGTCTGACAGGTAGGTATGTCGCAGTAATGCCGACAAATTTGAGCGATACGTACCTATACTGGCTATACCTATTTTCGAGTGAGGGACTTAACCTTGCAAGCACACGAGCATCATGAAATTGAACGTCCACGCCGACTAGGTTTGCTTGCCTACTCCGAGCAGCTGAGAGGGTGTCTCGTAATTACTTTTAGGTACCAGTATAGCACTACTCTAGCTTCATCAATCCTTTCGACTGGAATCAAATCTTATCTGAATTGGACCTGCATGTAATCCATTGATCCATTTGTCCTGCGGAATCACGTCTGTTCATCTCCTGTTTAGTAAAGGTGGAGTCAATCATGACTTCGAAAAATGGCAGACTCTCCCAAAAGGCTGAATTCCTGGTTTTAGAGAAAAAGAGCTTCCAAGGCCATTGATGGAAATCGTCCGAATTGATGTTGAAAAACTCCTTCAGAGCCAGGAATGCAGTGGTGAATCAATCCTCTTGCCTTATAGAATCTGCAATTTTCCGGAAAACTTCGCATCTGAAGTGTCCTTGAAAATTGTCGAGCACCCAGACAATTCACAATTGAGAACACTAAGGCGATCAATCTGCCATCCTACTGACCGAGGAAACCCATTGGGAACAGATGCCACGCCTCCAGTGTGTTGCAAATATCACCTGGCAGCAAATTTCGGGTATTTCGGAGTGCAAGTACCAGGTCAAACTACCTTGACCGCGTGGGGCCGAGGCGGGTGGATAAGGTCTTCACTCGGCAGGACGAAACGAGTGACAGGAAACGTGTATGTTGTAGTTCTTAATGAGGAGAGGGTATTTGCTGGCCTTCCTCGGTATCGACGGTAGGTATGATAGCGAATCATCAACTACCTTCCTTTTGTCGGAATTATCTCGTAGAATCATACATTCTGTGTACAATATTGCGAGTCCAAAGCGGGCTCCGGAGTGTCCCAAGTGAAAGTCCCAACGTAGATCCCGACAGGGCTGCCGAGACTTCCTCACGTGAGTCCAACACCGCCTGCCGAGACTCGCTTCCGGGTGGGGCAGAAAAATTGCAAAGCCCAGTCAGAGGCTTTCAACTGAATGCCTCCACACTTTGTCCATATGCAACTCGGGATCAACTGCGGTACGGGCTACAATGGCTGATGACTTTGTGTGATCCCAGTTTGCCCCCCCCACATGGCCTTTAATTCTGGGAATCTTACTAATTCTCCATCACTCCATTTCTACCGGGTCTGATTGGTTTCCCCGACCCTTGGGCCCCCGTTCCCCACGATTCAGCCGACTCTGAATGCCGTGGATGTTCTCCGTGGCTTCAGTCGAACTCCCAATCCGTTCGCTTGATCCAGTTCCCGAACAGTATATAGGGACAGCCATGGCCCTCTTCATTTCTTTCGCTCATTGTGCTGGGTGATATTCTGATTTCATATTATATATACACATCTTTTTGAACATACTCCCATTCATCAAGATCATACCTTATATCCCCACTCGAATCATCGTGTTTGATTTCGGCCGCCGAGATGGTCCAACAGGAGACTTATGACATCGTTATCGTGGGCGCCGGCCCTGTCGGTCTGCTCCTCTCCCTGTGCATGTCACGATGGGGTTACAAAGTGAAGCACATCGACAACCGGCCCGTGCCGACCGCTACTGGTCGCGCCGACGGTATCCAGCCGCGATCCACCGAGATTCTGCGCAACCTTGGTTTGAAGCGCTCGATCATGGCTTATGAGCCCGCGAAGGTCTACGATGTTGCCTTCTGGGACCCCAAGGGTGACGGCTCTGGTATCGGCCGCACTGGCAGCTGGCCTAGCTGCCCCCGCTTCATTGACACCCGCTACCCCTTCACCACCCTGGTCCACCAGGGTAAGATCGAGCGTGTGTTCTTGGACGAAATTGAGAAGGCTGGCACAAGGGTCGAGCGTCCCTGGACCATCGTTGGCTTCAAGAACGACGGTGCCAACGCTGAGTACCCTGTTGAGGTCAACCTGAAGTGTCTTGACACCAATGTTATCGAGAATGTGCGCTCGAAGTACTTGTTCAGTGGCGAGGGTGCTCGCAGCTTCGTCCGTGAGCAGCTTGGTATCAAGATCCACCACAAGGATCCTATCGCCTATGTCTGGGGTGTTATGGACGGTGTCGTCCGCACAAACTTCCCCGATATTGAGGTAAGAATGCGCAAAAGAAGAATTGATTTTGAGATCATACTAACGCATGTATTTACAGACCAAGTGCACTATCCACTCCGATGCTGGCTCTATCATGGTCATCCCCCGCGAAGACAACATGGTCCGCCTCTACGTTCAGATTGCCTCCTCCACCGACGCCGATTGGAACCCCCGAAAGACTGCCACCGTCGAGGAGGTCCAGCAGACCGCAAAGAACATCCTGAAGCCCTACTGGATTGAATGGGACCGGGTCGAGTGGTACTCTGTCTACCCCATTGGACAGGGTATTGCTGAGAAGTACACCCTGGACGAGCGTGTCTTCATGGGTGGTGATGCTTGCCACACTCACAGCGTTAGTATCCCCTATTCTGCTTCTAATCTACATCGCTAACGACCCCAAAGCCCAAGGCCGGCCAGGGAATGAACACTGCTTTCCACGACGCACTCAACATGGCCTGGAAGATCCACGCTGTGGAGAGCGGTCTCGCCGATCGCTCTACCCTCAGCACCTACGAGACCGAGCGCAAGGATATCGCTGAGACGTTGTTGAACTTCGATGCCAAATACGCAGCTCTGTTCTCCAAGCGCCGTCCTTCTGCCGGCGAGGTTGGCTCTGCCAGTGATACCACCGTTGGCGCTGGCGCGGAGGAGGACGAGTTCGTCAAGACCTTCAAGTCATCTTGCGAGTTCACCAGTGGATACGGAGTGGCTTACCGCCCCAACATCTTCACCTGGGACCGAACCCACCCCGCCCAGTCTCCGCTGTTCGAGATCCCCGGTGTTCATCTCACTCCTGGTCGCGCCTTCACCCCGACCACCGTCACCCGTCTCGCGGACTCCAACTTTGTCGAACTCGAGCAGGAAGTGCCCGCCAACGGTGCCTTCCGCATCTTCGTCTTCGCTGGCAACCAGGCCAAGACCAAGCAGGCCATTGCCGACTTTGCCGCCAATCTGGAGAAGGAGCGCTCGTTCCTGTCTGCCTATCGCCGCCCTGACATCGCCGATATCTCATTCTTCGAGCGCCACAACCCTCACTCCAAGCTCTTCACTCTGTCTGTGATCTACGCAGGCTCCAAGAACACCATCGATGTGGACTCCATCCCCCAGGTGCTGCGTGACTACCACCACCACCTCTATGCCGATGACATCCCCGATGTGCGTGTTCCTCAGGCCCAGTTCGCAGCCCACGAGAAGCTCGGCTTCGACGCTGAGAAGGGTGGTGTCGTCGTCACCCGCCCTGACAGCCACGTTGCCTGCACCGTCCAGCTGGTCGAGGGAAGCGGCACCGTCGATGCTCTCAACGAGTTCTTCAACGCTTTCTCGACCAAGCCCCTGGGACAGGCCCCTCAGCACAGCCGTCTGTAAGAGATTCGACATGTTAATGAGTCTGTATTTTACCTTTGAGATGTATATAGCTTGTTTGGTTCGTTTGTTGCGGTAGCTTGGGCATAACCGGCGTTCATTTTCAATTTAGAGATTATATAAAAATCAAATTCTCTTCCTCCAGTTCAGTTCAGTTCCATCAGTTCCATCAGTTCATGATTTGTTGTGTTTGTACCTTAACCTGAGAGAAATGGTCACATGCCAAGCCTCGATCTACGTCGTTAAGTATTTTCCATCTCCACCCCGCATCACTTGCAGAGAGCATCTCGACTTCAGCTATCCACAACACGAGCTCACGTCACTCGACATCGAAAAGTCAAAATGCTCGCTCTCACCGTCGAAGCTCAGCTGGAGGGGTAAGTGGTCTCTGTCTTGAAGCTCTGTTAACGCGTCTTCGCGTTGTCTGCATCTCCCCGCACCGCACTCCAAATTTTGGAATGTTGCGCGGGCAGGCCCGTTTACTCGCGGTTGTTGAAGAATAACCCTGCTGATAAGATGATATAGCGTCACTGCTCTCGTTCCCACTGACACTGAGGAGAATCCCTACTTCTACACATTCAAAGTGAAATGCAATTCCTGCCATGAGACTCACCCCAATTGGGTCAGCTTCAACCGCTTTGTAAGTGAACGCACCCACCTGGACTATGCCACTTTTTTCTTGAAATCGAATGGATCATTGACTGAGTTGGTGTATAGGAGGTCCACGAAGTCCCCGGCAGCCGCGGTGAGGCCAATTTCGTGTGGAAATGCCGCCTTTGCACGGTAAGCAAGACATTTGGTCACATCTGATCAAGCACATAGCTCCACCTCTGCGGTTCTCGCGTTCTTGTTCCTTTTGGCCTTTCCTTGCATTGTGCCGTCTTACCCCCGGTTGTTTCGGATCAATCAGCTAAAAGTAACACAGAAAACCCACACTGCCTCCATCACCAGTGGACCCAAGCCCTACGAGGTCCAGGAGAAGAGCAGCGCCCAGAAGATCATTGAGATGGACTGCCGTGGCCTTGAGTTCACCGAGTTCAAGCCTGATGTGAGTGGACTTTCTGAGTTGTCAGGATCGGGCTGCATATGCTGACAGAGCGTGTTTAGGGCGAGTGGGAGGCCAAAGCTGTTGATTCTACCACCGTCTTCACTGGGATTGACCTCTCAGAGGGTGAGTGGTACGATTACGATGAGAAGAAGGGCGAGGAGGTTAGCATTAAAGAGATCACCTGGGCTGTTGGCCGTTAGGTGAAGATGCTGTGACGAGATCGTGATGAATAGGCCATGCTTTCACTGGATATTTGCCTTTCAGATCTATCAAATCTCTGGTCACGTCTTTCCTTTGTATTTTTACTGGTATCTTAGCTCAATTCGCGATGCAAACTGATGACGCGCTTATGGCGAGAGGGAACAAGCCGTAGGGTGTGTTGCATTATTTCTTCATAGTTAGAGGACCATGTGTATTGACAGTATTGTCTACGGCCCTGAGTCTGGCGTGTCACCATAATAGAGTCTCTGAATTAACGACAACACCAAAAATTCCCCAAAGCGTGCTCGTGACAATCAGACTACGTATCAGTTCACTAAGAGCGCTCTTTGCACAGTAGAGAGATCACAAGTGGAGGGCATCTAACCAATCAGTGTGCTGTATTCCTCACCGCCTGCGCAGCTCGCATTTTCGCGACTTGTCGCCGACTCCGATGCCTTAGCAGCTAACAGCAACCAGCTCAATCCACCAAACAGAGAAAAAGACTCCACCGAGCTTTTTCTGTTGCCATACCCTCGCCTTTCAACACCACTATACCCACTCAGCATCCTGATCAGCAGCAACAATGAGTGTATGTCCCTCACCCTCGAGCAGCCAAGCTCAGCGATACCACCCATCAGCACCAAACCCTGCTCGTTATTCACAGAAGAAACCAATTGCTAACCGTCGCTACAGTTCCAACCACTTAACCCCCGTCCTTACCTCCAGGCTCGGTAAGCGATCCGCTCCCCAGTCCAACCGAAACCCCGCCAAGCAATCCAATCCCAAGCACCACACCGATCTTTCTCTCCCTACATCGGCACAATCTCCATCGGCATTTCTACAGACTTATACTAACCTATATATCTCCCCAGCGTCGGCAGCGAAGTCATCATCCGCCTGAAGTGGGGCCAGACCGAATACAAGGGTGTCCTTGAGAGCATCGATTCATACATGAATGTCCTGCTGCGCAACCCGGAAGAATACATTGATGGCAAGCTTGCAGGAGCATTGGGTCTGGTTATGATCAGGTGAGTGATATGGCTTCTGGAACTCAGCCCGAGTTCGATCGTTCTTGGTTCTTTGGCTGACTCGCGGATAGATGCAACAACATCCTCTATGTGGGCTCGGCAGATACCGTTGAGATGACTGACATGGAATATAAATAATATTGTCGCATATGAACGGGGAATGCGGTGCGGTGTGGTGCTGTGCCTGGGAGAGGTGGTGTGAGGGCGACCGCCGCCTTTGTCTGGGTCTCTTAGCTTTGACAGCTCCGGATCTTGCACTCAGCGCAGTGAGATGCTACGCTTTTGGTGGATATGTGGCTCGGCCTGAGTGTCGCTTGGTCTGGGGAAGGGACTGCCCCACTACGCTGGCTGGACGCCTTATGAAACACTACCCGAGCTCAGGCTTGCACCGCGAACATGCCACTTCTGCCGGTTTGCTGAGTCTGGTGTGTTTCTGCTTGTTTTTGGCCCACACTTTCAATTATCACGAGGCGTTTCTTTTTGTTTATGGCTTTTCAAAGTCGGGTTTGTGCATGGCCTCTGCCTAAAATCGAATCAATTACTTTTCTGCACAATTCTGGGAGGCCTATGTCGTGGTGTTTGGTTATCGTCATGTGGTTAGTATCAGTCTACTACGACATTTTCAGGTGTCAAGACGGGTGCGGCAGTGTATTAAGTGCGGCGCAGCGATCAGCCTTACGTCTCCAGCTGCCTTGGCTAAATCTCACAATCCACCAGAAAAGAGTAAGCGTGAGTGGCAGATCACAGCCTCAATTCAATCGGCATCAATCACTTATTGCGAATGCAAGTACGCGTACTATGTAAATGGGTGTGAAAGAAAAGGAATGATCAGACAACATGACTAGGACGATCAGTCAGGGAACATCTACTGTGATATGTCGGAGCTCAGATCAGAGCAACTAGTCCCCACCACCCCGGACATCCCATACTACATCCATGCAGGCGCACCTGTGCATCTCGATGCGAATTTAGCCACATCGTGCATCGTGTGCAGTTTAGGATAACTAGATGAACGTCCTAGTCAGAGGAGGTCGCAGTGTTAATTTCTTTCTTCTCGTGATAGGTAATGAATGGTTGCCAAATGCCTCATATATTACTAGTTATGGAAATAATATTGAGGGCCTCCCTTGATCGACCGGAAAATCACCGAATAGTAGCAGCTGGGTTTCTTTTTATAGAGCAGGATGTACCACATGGGATACGATGCATCGTCATGGGCCTTATGCGAGGGTCTGATCTTACGGGGACGGCCAAGGTTGACCTGGAGGATTCATTGCCGTAGACGTCATTGGCGCAGATGGAGGCATCCACTACGGAGTACGGAGTATGGTAAGGGTCCTAAGGGAATACTGTACGGAGTAGGTAGGCAGCACTAGAAGAGGGGTTCTGCAGGTATGCAAGAGGAGGAAAGAGGAAAAGAGCAGAGCAAAAGAGGGGCCGATGGGGCCAACAGATCTTCGCTTGGATCTTCAACGGTCGGAGATGTCTGTACACACTGTTCCGTAGCTGTCACTACATAACTATAGTTAGACATTCTCTTGTACTTCTCTACTCCTTGTAGGCTTGTACTCTGTACTCCGTACTCCTTTATACGCAGTATTTACCCTCAAGTCCAGAACAAATTTCATGCCGATCTCCAATCTCTTCAGTGCGACGAATCTTATCCTCATCCCATCCAATCATCTGTCTTCCCCTCCCCTGATCGTCCCTTTTCCAGGGCCCACCGCCCTCAAACTAGGTAAATTGTCTGCATATCACCTTCTACGCAGTATTCTTTGGCCCTACTCCGTACACGGACATCCATAAAACCCTCATCGTCCCCCTTTTCCTTTTTCCTCTTCCCCTCTATAAATATACCCTTAAAACACCAAGAACTCCCCATCTGCAGTCATCCAAATCTGCGACATCTCCCGTCTCATCTCCGCCAACCCCAAACAACTACATAACACCCTCGTGACTCGTCGCCCTTATAAAAACCCAAGCACCTCCGGGTATTGGTCTTCCCACCACCTCCCACCCGATTTCCACATTCACCAGCACAAAGAAAGCAAACAAAATGCGCGACACACCTTCCAAATTCATCGAGATCCTCGATCCAAAAGACTCATCCCTCCGCATGTCCGACTCAGATGTCCGCCTCGAAGATGTCCTCGCAGACCACGAAGCAACCCTCACCAACCGCGCCTGCTCCTCAACTCAGTCCTCACCGAAATCACTAGCCAAGACTGTCTCCAGCACGAACATGACTTCTCCAACGCCGCGATGGAGGCGTTTGAGTAGTATCCTTGTGCAGCCGCGTCGCAATTCTTGACATACACCCAGAACTGTTTCGGTGGTTTTAGTACTTCCTACAATTTGTCTCTGACAAGTTGATACGCTGGGTATCAGGACATGTCCGGATGTGAGACGAAACAATGACATTACGGACATTCGCGAATCCGCGCCTGGGGCACGGACTTAGAAAATCGTGGAATGGATGCGCAACGACATTACGAAGTGAAATGATATGCGAATCAGGCCGCGCGCTTGGTGTTCGGTCCGGTTAGCAAGGGCGGCACAGGTTTGCCTTCCCGATGATTACGAAGGGTTTGGGATTTCAGGGATTGGATTGGATTGGAATTGGAATTGGTTGACGCAAAGTCTACAACAATCATCGAATGTCTTGTTTTATGGCCAATGCAAGAATCAGATCCAAATTTGTACAGATAAAAGATTTCTCTGAAACAGAAACAAAACGGTCTGAGACCGGTCTTTGTGTGTCGGCTATTCATGTACATCCTTGACGATAACTCCTCTCTACGGAGTAGTTACTGGTACTGGTACCAGGCTGTTGCACGTTTCTTTTCCTTATCTAGGCTATGATACCCCGGTATGATGAGACTCATCTCATCTTTCACAAGTTGCTACCTAGTGACAAAATTAGCTGGACTCGACCCGAATGTTTGCTTCCGAGGTCGTGGGCATCGTACCTGGCAAATATCCAATCTACCGGGGTCTGAGCTCTGGCCTACCCGGTCTGCAACCGCAACGGGCAGTAAATTAGCCACTACTGCCCTGTCCCACTCACTACATACACACAGCATCGGTACCTGTGATTGTACCTTGCACAGTGCCTGGCCTGAGTACAGTGGACCCTGGACCCTTGGAAACTAGTGTTCTCTCGGAGCCGAATCCGTACTACAAGTATGTACGCAATAAGATTTCTCTGGGCACCAGCGGCCAGACGAAGTCTCACAGGATTATCGATAAAGCACAATGCCTTTGTTCCATTTTTAGCTATAGCCGTCTAGCACAACAGCTGTCAGTGGCGGAGATTTCTATCTACTGCTATTTTCCCTAAGGGGATCAATCAGTATTCTGTGCCTGCCTCGGGAGCATTCGGAGGTTTGAGTCTAGACTGGAGTTTTGCTGTGCATGAATGTAGGGCTATTTTTGTAGAGAACTTCTCGAATGTGAGAATGTACCGTACCCGTGCCCTCACATTGAGAAGGGATTTAATGCAATAGATCCATAGGGTAGGCATTGTTCCATGGACCTAATACGTTGTCTTCAATGATCCAATCTACCCAATTACCTTCTATAAAGACATGTAGCATGTCTTCGCCTGGATTGTGTTATCATACTACGGGATGACCCAGCCCGAATGGGAATATCCGGAGATATCCCGGCCTATTTCATATTTTCCTGCGGCCCTCTGTACCTAGATCACCATGTTCACCGGGCATCTACCTAATTCCTAGCATGTAGGGTACGCTACATAGACATCTGGCAGTTCTGCCCTCTCCCAACCAATTCCACAGGTACTTGAGTAACGTCCCACTATTTCCCTCCTTCCATGTACTGAACGTACCGGAAGACCGAGTGGGCGAGATAAGCCAAGTACCGATGTACAGGGCATGGGACGTAGAGATGCGAGTACGAAAGAAATATAAAGGCGGGCCCGACCACGGAACATCTACCAGCAGGATGATCATTTCGAAGAAGAGAACAATGAAGACCACCGCCGTCGGGATCGATGGGATGTAGTCGTATTGACCCATGGGCCATGTACGGAGGAGAAGCGACTGCTTGGCAGCAGCAGCAATAGAGCCAACGGATGTTATTATCGGATTCCTACGCGATCAAATCGTCTGTATTTTCAATCGTCGCTTCGAGCTGCATTCAATAAAGCAAGTGGCGCGAAAGTTGGTAATTTAACGTCAAGTCGAACGTAAACATTCGAAGTTGGCGATCCGTTCCGCCCCACATCAACTTCACATCAAATCGAGTCGACCTCAGTGAATCCCACCGAACTCCCTGCTTGGACATTGAATCTAACCCTACACCTCCAACTAAATTTAATATTCAAAATTGGGACACTGTTTTCATTGAAAGCGCCCAAATATGGCCTGGCTCCAACAAACCCCCGGCTCAGGCCGACGCGCCTCCCCAACAGTCTTCGAACAGCAGCGTGAAGAACTCGTTCGCGAGATTGCAGTGGTAAGCGCCCATCGCTTGACAGAGTCAAAAAGCACTACAGATCTTAATTCTTTCGCACAGGGCATGGAGCAAGTGCTTCAAAATATCAACCGTCTCAATCGGAATTTGGAGAGTGTTATTGCGGTAAGTCTGGCAACTCGGGTGGCTAGCGGATCTTGTATATGTGCTCCCGAGCTAACGCGATTACTTAGGTAGGCAATGAATTTGGATCTGTAGAAGCTCTCTGGTCTCAATTTGAGAATTTTATGGGCCGTCCTGAAGACGAAGTTGAAGAGACTGCTACTGGGAAGCGGAAGGTTAGTGGGGGTAGCGATGCGCCGATCAAGTCGGAAGCACAGCATGAAAACGATGAGGGGAATTCAACAGCCATGCAGTGAGGGTTTGGAGTTTACGAGTTGTTCTGCATGATCTCGGCGTCGGTGGGCTAGTTTACTTTTTTTTTTTTCCCTACGGGGATCGTCTTCGTGAACACAATTTCATTTGCATTTCTGTAACACATAAGAGTCGCTTTCGCCAACGTAACATATCAATAACATAAACAACAACACCAGTCCCATGCATGCCAGTGGAAAACGGCAACGACCCGAGTCATGAGAGACATCAAATGGAACAAGGGGGACAAGGGTCATGAGATAAAAAGGGCCAGAAATAAGACAAGCAGGGAGCAAACGTAAAAGTAAACAAACAGCCTCCAGCAAAGTGCAGAAAATCGAGAACATTGTAAGGGCCGCGCAGCGTATCGATACAACATAGGATGCTTTTGGAAATTCATGTCGAGCTCTGTCCAGCTTGCGGCGACATATCACATACACAGGCGAGCGAGAAAGCACGCCGACGAAGCAACCAGGCTTGTGGTCCGGCCAAGAGAGAAAGGAAAATCAAGAAGTAGTCGAGAAGAGAATAATGAGGGAGACGAGAGGCAAGTAGAATCAATCTACAGGATCTTGCAAGTTCGCTTCTTGATCCTCTTGCCAGGACGAGGGCCTCCGCCTCCTGAAGGCGTAGCACCGGAGCGGCTGTTACGGCCAGCGCGATTGGCCGGTTGCTGAGCTGACCATCCCTGCTCCTCAATTGAGATAGCTTCATCAACGGCCTTTGCGAAGACCTCGTCCACACCGCGCATCTCCTTGCTGCTGCATTCGGCATACGTTGCACCCATTCGTTGGGCGACGTTCTCGCCTTGCTCTGGTGTGATAGGCGTCAGACCCTGCGTCTTGAGGAGCTCGACGCAGGTTCGCTTGTTGCGCAGATCGGACTTGAGGCCAACAAGGATAATCGGTGTAGTGGGACAGAAGTGCAGAACCTCGGGGTACCACTATATAGAATTGTTAGAGTAATGCAGTCAAGAGCTCTCTATTTCCGGAGACATACCTTGTCAACAACGTTCTCCAATGAAGCAGGACAATCAATAGCAAAGCAGACAAACAGAAGATCAGTCTCCGGGTAGGACAGTGGGCGCAAACGGTCATATTCCTCCTGTCCAGCAGTATCCCAGAGCGCTAATTCGACGGTCTTGCCGGAAGCCCGATGCGTTGTTTGAGTGATGTAGTTTTCAAAGACTGTGGGGACATATTTCTATATAAGGGTTAGCACTAGGCCCGTGTCATCCTTTGCCAGCTGAAACGTACCTCTGGGAAGTAACCTTGGGAATAGCTGATCAATAGACAGGTCTTGCCACATCCGCCATCGCCCACCACTACAAACTTTTTTGAGAAGGAGGGCGGCTGGGTGATATTGGTTGCCTCGGACATCCGTCCACTCGAGAAACTGGTGTGGGTGCTGGCTGTGCCGTGACTGACTCGGACGCTATCACTGCGTGCTCGGCTGTGACGGGGTGTCAACGATGGCGGAGGGGTTGCGAGTGAGCGGCGGCGTGAAGCTGCATAGTATTGATCATCATACATAGCACTCATGATGAAGACAGATAGGGTGGAATGTGGTTCCTTGTTTGTGATGTGCCTGGTTTGTGATGTGATGCAGGAGAAAACGGGGAGTCCACAGGGGTCGTTTGGTGATAGGATGAAAGGAAAAATGGATAGATATGTTAAGGATTTGAGAAGGAATAAGAGTGAGAGGAGGAGAAAGTACGGAGTAGACAGATCTAAAAAGATCTAGAGGATCGACGGTTAGAGCAAGAGGGCCTCGTCGAGACCCGCGAGAACCGTGTTTACACTTGGCTACCATAGCAACGGCCGTCCTCCATGACGCCAGGGCTCCGCTTGCCACGATCAAAAAGTCTTTGCTATCCTGTCATATCCTGCCATTGCCTGGTTTATCTCGATCTAGTTCTATTTTGGGGTCTAATCTGTTTATTTTCCCCACCGTTCAGCTCAGCCAGAACAAGATCCAGCTTCATGTTTTGTACTCCGCGTACACACACAATATCTGACATGGGTCATGTGATCGTAGATCTTACAACATAGACAACCACGTTTCTCCAGCTCAAGCTGAGGTCATTGAGGCAGTGTCTACACTCTACGGAATAGAATCCACCCATTTTTATCAATTCAATTTAAGTAAGCCACCACCCGTAGGTATGGAGTAGTTAAGAAGCATCTTGGTGATCGGATAGCCGCCAAATAGGTACGGAGTAGCTTTGGCGCCGAGGCCCCGCCCTCCCCCCAAGCAGTGACTAAGCACACACATGCCCGCGGCCCGACTTTAGGGGTGTAAAGTCGGGACTCGGGACCGTCAACCTCGTGAAGCAATACAATCCTAAGCTCGCAGTACCTGATTATCTGAACTGCCCACGAGATCTAACTTCAATCCGCTCCTTATGTTCCGAACCCAATAATACTCTCAACCCCTCGAACGGACTGGCAGGCACCGGCCTGCCTCTATGGAATCGATCCGATTGCGGTACTGTTTAGTTCAATAACATCACATCATGGGCAAGAGCAAAATAGACCAGCCAGATGCTGGGCTCAAGAGTCTGAATCACTGTACGCGATTAGTGTCCCTTCTATCCACCCGTCGGTCATCGCAATGTCCGCTAACCGCCGCGCGTTCACGACATAGATTCGCGCCAATTACCACTCTGGCGCTATTGGCCACGACAGAAGCTCATCCCACTGATCCGATATGAGACGCCATATCTGGCCTGGGTGCAGGAGAAAGTGCGCACGCCGGCACTCGACTCATATTTCGCGTTCACGGCCAACCTCGGCACACACACGTTTTTCATGGTCTTCTTGCCCTTCCTCTTCTGGTGTGGTTCTCCTAGCATTGGTCGCGGGTGAGTCCTCTTCAGAATTGGGACGTGCAAGGTATTTTGATGGCTGACAGGTATCGTCCACAGATTGGTACACATCTTAGCATCAGGCGTCTTTTGGAGCGGCTTCCTGAAGGACTTATTGTGTCTTCCACGGCCTCTGTCTCCCCCGCTACAGCGAATTACAATGTCTGGCTCTGCAGCCCTAGAATATGGTTTCCCCTCGACACATTCGACAAACGCAGTTTCAGTTGCGGTTTATGCCTTGGGCTTGCTTAGTTCGCCCGATTCAACTCTCAGCGCGCAAGTCACCCTTGTGCTCCAAGCAGTCACCTATATCTATGTTGTGTCCATCGTAGTGGGCCGACTATACTGTGGCATGCATGGAATGCTAGACTGTATCGTCGGGTGCGTCATGGGCGCTGCGATCGGCCTCGTGCAGTTCCATTATGGACCTGTCTTCGAGGATTATCTCTTATCCACCTCCTTGATGGGAATCTCTCTTCTGGCGATTCTGATCATAGGTCTTGTCCGCATCCACCCAGAGCCGGCGGATGATTGTCCGTGTTTCGACGATAGTGTTGCCTTTGCAGGAGTTATGTTAGGCGTGGATGTGTCGTCATGGCACTTCGCCGATGTCTGGACCGGTTATCCTCCCGGGTCAATTCCTTACGACCTTGACAAGGTGGGCTGGATCAAAACGGGTCTCCGCCTGGTAGTGGGTGTGGCATGTATCTTTGCTTGGAGGACTGTGATGAAGCCTGCTTTGTTGCGCATCCTCCCACCTATTTTCCGGACCTTGGAGAAGCTCGGCCTTCTTTTACCTCGGCGGTTCTTCACCACTGCTTCGTAAGTACAAATATGCATCGCTAGTGGGCGCTGTTCTGACTTTTGTGCAGGGAATACACCACCGTTCCAACTAACCTGAAGGACCATGACGTTATCCCTAACTTCTCTGACTTTTCAAACATCATCACCACGATGCGCCATCCGCGCCGCCGAGCCGTATCCATTGGGCCTCAGTCCGAGGCCGACGCTTATGAGACCCTGGCGTACCGCGAAAAGCGTCGACGTGAGAGCCAGTCTGGCAATCGTGCTTCGCCAGTGATAGAAGGCCAGGTTCAGGTCAACGGATCGCCTCTGCCGTCGAGAAAGACGACTAGGCTGGATGAGTATGAAGACATGATGGGCAGAGGCAGTCCCAGATCGACCGCAGTGGATGTAAACTCCGATATACAGACAATACCTTTCCCTTCGCTAGACGCCGACGCTGGAAGGCGGGATGAGAAGGAAGTGTTCTCCCAGATCAAGAAGCCTCGCGTGCGGTACGACGTCGAGGTGGTGACTAAACTGGTTGTGTATGCGGGTATGTGAAATCCCTGTCTCTGGACGTTCAATTTACTAACCTCAAACTCTCCCAGGTATCCCATGGGTGGTCATCGAAGTCGCGCCTTTGTTATTCGACCGAATCGGACTTGGAAACCGATAAGATGTGGGAGGCTTAGATGCCTCGCAGTCCCTTCAACCCTACTTCTACCTATTCGGGCTGTTCCCGGCTCAGCTGGCTGTGCTGGAAAGGGTCACCTCAACCCGTTGCCCATGTACATAAGCATTGAAAGCGATATAAATTACGCACATTCTTCACGCTGATCAGGGATTCTAGTCAAGGGGGTAAGGTCTAGCCTGACTACAACATAAAGCTCAGAAAAAGCATCAAACAAATGCGCGGTGAAGTAAAAGGATGTAATCGCAATGCTCTCTTCGAGATGGTCTCATGGTGGTAGCTTCATGGTATGCCCTCAAAGAATGATCTCTGAGATACGACGATGTAAGGATCGGGGTGAAGTTTGACAAAGATCCAAAGACAATCCTTCTCAAATCTCTTTCGGAAGAAGCGTGCAAACAAAGAGTGATGTAGATCATTGCCACAACCTTGGAAGAATGGAGCTGCCCTAAATACGGAGTAGGTTCGGGTTGGAATATGTGATGAGTCAGCAGAATGATGAAAGAACCCGCAAACCGCGTCGGCTCATCTTGTTTCAATACCTCTTGCTCTGCAGAGTATCTGCCTTCGATATAGCTACTGGATTGGGATACTTAGCTGATCCAGTCATGTCTAATGATGGATCTTGAAGTTCCCTCTTCATAGATTCTTTCAGTCTCCTCTGATCACACCCCCGACCTTCATTCAGCCGCCGCCAGTCTCCCCGAAAGCGCGTCACCGGACGACTAGACCACTCGGTTCAACTCCTTCGGATAACTCTCAGTCTCACCTCAAAATGGGGTTCTTTCATTGGCCTCGCCGCAAGCGAAGCCGCTCACCTGCAAAGCGGAAGGAATCTGTATTCAAGTCTCTCAATCCCTTTGAAGCCTCGAAACCTTCAATTGCCGCTCAGCATGGTAAGGTAGCTCCTCGTTCGAGTCTAACGCCACACATCCTGACTCCGTGTCCAGTCCTGGATGGCGCACACTTGCCCATCCCCGGAGCGTTCCCGGCGACTCCCCCGAATCACCGACCCTTGAACCAGCCGACGCGATCATCGAGGATGAATATGGTCTACCGAAGGGTTGGGAGTCTATGGACCTAGACGCTTGCGCAACACCGGCACTACCTACGGAACTAGGCGAACATCTTCATCCTCGAAGACTTCCGTATCTCCCTCCCACTCCGAGCCCCAAACGCGCTGCCTCGCCACGTCCTCCGAAAATCGCAAAGCCCGCCCAAGATGAACTCATGGACGTCGATGATCCGTGGGCCCAGCAAGCTAGGAAAGATGCGCGGCTCCCGCATGGCCCTGTTTCCGCTGTACAGTTATTTTATGCCGCCAAGAGGCCCATTCCTGCCAATCGCATGGCATCATGGTACGAGGCAGAATTCCAGAAGCGCGAAAAGGAACGACTAGCCCGGGAGCGGGATCTCCGACGTCCCAGCAGAGTCGTACCGAGGGGCCAACCTGTACGTCTACTCACACCGGAGTGGGCCGTCAAGCTTCAGCGTGCCATGCAGGCTGGACAAGGGAATGCTGTCGCAAGATCTTTGGCTGGAGATGATTTGTACCAGCGGGATATTGTCACATGTATTCGACCGATGGCCTGGCTCAATGACGAAATTATCAATGCCTACTTAGGTCTAGTCGTCCATTATCTCCGTCAATTGAACGGGAATCTCAATGATCGGCCGACCTTCCACGCCTTCAACACATTCTTCTACTCCACCCTTCGTGACAAGGGCTATCAGGGTGTCCGGCGCTGGGCAAACAGGGCGAAAATTGGCGGCGAAAGTCTACTCAATGTGGACACGGTCTTCATTCCCGTCCACGAGTCAAGCCATTGGACTCTTTTGGTTGTCCGGCCGATGGAACGTACAATCGAATATTTCGACTCCTTAGGGTCTCGCGGCGCTCGCCAAGTGAGAAATGTCAAGGAATGGCTCCGTGGAGAGCTTGGCTCACAATATAAGGACGAGGAGTGGGTTCATCTGCCCTCAGTCTCCTCGCAGCAAGACAACGGAAGCGATTGCGGTGTCTTCCTCTTAACAAACGCCAAAGCAATCGCGGTTGGAGTCGAGCCTACCTCCATTGGACCGGTTCACATCACACTTCTCCGACAAAAGATCGTGGCCGAGCTCATTAATGGCGGTCTCCACGGCGAGTTCAGTCCACAGGACATGAAAACTGGTGCCGTGTTGCTTTGAGCTGGGAACTCCATCTGTCCATGGCCATACACGCCTTTATTCGATTCAAGCACTGTCTTTCAAAATACCCTCTCCATCTCCATCCTACCGGACCTCGCATACCTCATCTCATCCATTATTCATATCCTTCCCCACATCCATCTACATCGAGCGCCATCCTGAAGACGTCCTCGGCTCCTTTCCGCTACCATTCCATATTATTGATACTTTTTCCCCGGCGCACACAAGACGGAAAAGATGAGAAAAGTGTTCATGATTCTTCCTCTTTTTTTGACGCGCTCTTTCTTGATGTTTGCAATGTGTTTGAATGATACCCCATAGTCACTACATCGGTGACTCAGTTGATACAAAGAAGCCTCCTTCTGGCAGACTGCCTTGGTCATATTTCTTTTTCTTGTTTTCATGATATCTGGGCATTCCATCGGGGCGTTTACTCTCATTTCGACTAACCGCCAGCTTCTTCTGCTGGTGTAGTGATGTACTTCTAGGTTGTCCCTTTGGTCTCTTGTCACTTACAACTCTGTTCAGATGTTCTTGATAGTATTAGTATCCAACCACTTTTATGATGTTATGTTCTCACTGAAGGAAATCAATGATTGTTACAAAGGATAGAACCGACGGCTATGAAGTAGTGCACTGTCTATTTGATAATGGCTTCACTCACTTTGTCCACGCAGAATTAGCATACAGTACACCCATGCCAACCCTTAGGATGTATAATAATACCCCAAGTCAACCAGAAAGCCTCTATGAAAACTCATCAATGTTGCACGGTCTCCGACAAAATCCACGACGCGGCCTCTTCTTCCACTTCTTCCTTCTGCACTCACGGCCCTGCCTACCAGGCTTGCACATCCCCTTCCCATCTGCCTCCAAACCATCATCATCATCAGCAGAGAGTACATTCTGATGACCACCATGGTTCTCCGAAAACGGGCCATAGAGACCCCTGGAGACATCCGATGACCGATTATACGCCAACTCAATGTATTCGACACCCAAGTAAACACTATCCCCAATCCCCATATCACCCGTCCAGAGTCCGCCATCACTCCAAAGATTGAGCACAATCATACTCTGCAACTCAGGAACCCCATACGACCTGGCATCCTGTATCTGACCGTCGACGAACCACCGCGACATGTCCGCCTGCCAGTCTAGTCGATGAGTAGACCAGTTCGTCCAGGGAACTGGCAAATCGGCGATAGTGCTCGCGCCAGGGATCTCTTCATCAGCGGCAAAATCATAATCTGGCTGATTGGCATAGTGTACGCGATGCGATGGGTCGCGAGTGAGTATCTCGATGTCTGATTCGGTGGTTAGGTCATGGTATGTGAAAATGCCTGCACAGGCACCGGGAGAAGGTTTTCCATCGGGAACTGTGATGGGATGGTCATTTGGAGGTGGCCGAGGGTGTCGCTTTGGGTTATTCGGTGGCCACTCTTGGGATTGAGCGGGCTCTGAGACGATGAAATTGGTCGGTAAGAAGCGCAGCCGGACGCGCAGCGAGCACCGGTAGATGTCCCGCAAGCGGGTTTCGATCTCCGCTGCCGAGGTGTAGTTTGAGAACCGGGTGGTGCGCATAACGAGATACGTTGCGTGTGGATCCTGTCGTTCGTGGTCTCGGGTGAAGAAAACGTTGCTCTTTGAGTTGACCATGACCACTGGGGAGATGAAGCTGCCGTCGCGTTTCCAGTTCTGACTGCTCCAGTCTCGCTCGAAGGCGGTTTTGTAGAATACCAGCGAGTTGGGGTTCGGGTCTGTCCCATAGTGGTGGTCTCCGGGTGCGACGTTGTCCCAATCCTCGTCATTATCTTGGACGGGCCCGGACATGTTGGGATGGGCATGTCTCCTTAAGTCCACGGCCCGGAAGTCCCAGAACTTGTAGTGCTGGAAGTATCCCGGATCGGGCCCAGATACTGTGTAGCAATCGCATCCGTGTGGACGATTCTTGGGGTAGTGCGACGGTGGTTGCGCATCTGGTAAGGCTGAGGTAACTGTACCGAGGTGGATCACGGCGGCCCCTAAGGCCAGGATGTGGATTTTCATGGCGGCAATCTGAATTGCTTAAGACTGTAAATATCGTCACAGGTCGACATTGGAAGTGAGTTGAAGGAAGGTCCGAGTTTCTCTCGACGGGAAACCGCGCTGGGCCTGACTTCCTTCGATGGGGTTTGAGTCATGACCAGCGAGATTGACGGACAGTGAAAACCAAGTTGACTCGATCAATCTGTCTGCAGCTAGGCCTTGGGGCTGTTGCACCGAGACGAAGGATCCATATGTATTGATGTGCGTCGTTCGTATATGATTAACAAGTAGCTGTTATTATTGTACATGCATCGTCCGCCAGAATGACAAACATCTGCGGCACATCTCGCACAGGAAGCACTTATACTCCTGACTCATTCTCCACTGGCTCATATAGGTCTTGTTTCAGCACCTCCAGTACCAGCTTCTCGTCAAGATTTTCAATATTCGCAGAAGTGCCAAGCAGCGCATCATTTACAACGGCGTTGTCCTCATCACTCGGAGAAGACTGACCCGTCTCCTCCGGTCCAATGGTACGGAGATACTCTTCCTCGTGTATGAACTTGGAGTCATCTTTCTCCGCAAACAGGGTCTCCGCTGGTTCTGGCAATGCGTATATCGTAGGGAATTCCAACACGGTCCGATTGCGCAGGACACTATTGAGTGTTGCAGATTTCAAGATGGGAGCTAAGACCGGCTTCTTGATTGAGGTTCGCGGACGGTGAAGGTAGAAGTACAGACCGCGATGAGATGATATGGTGTCGGTTGGTGTCTTCTCCGCTTCCTCAATTGGTGTCTGTACTGCTTTCTCCGTGTGTTGGATCGATGATGACTGTGGACCCTGATCCGGTGCCTCGCTTCCTGCTGTATTTGAATCACCTGCAGCAATAACGCTGTCTTTAGTGTCGTTATTCGGGGTGCTCAAGTCTTCTTTATTATCATTTTGCTTCGCTGGCTCAAGGAGTGGTTCTTGATCCTTTGGGCGTGGATGATTCCGATTATAAGCTTCGGCGATAGAGCACGTATCAAGGACCGAGTCCCCAGTAGTCTTTACCCCGTCACCCGCGATCCACTCTATAGTCCAAGCCAAGCGCTTGTGCCTTTCAATGAAAGCGCAATTAGTGATAAGTCCAATCAAAAGCGAAAAAAACCACACAACTCACTTCGGATGCATACGCGACCCGTTCTGCTTATTCCTCGACATACCCTTCGGAGCACGAAGAACCGTCACACCAGCAGCCTCGGCACCGCGCAGGAATCCAGCCTCACCCTTAGCAAGGCCCTGATTCGGATGCTTCCTCTTGCGCCCAGCCTGGGCATTAGCCTCGTCGGGCTGCGAGAGATCAATTCCGCGGTTATCGACTTCTCTCTCCGCGCGCTCGAGGGAGCGCTCGATGCCCGTGATAAAGTTGAAGTCACGATCGAACGCGGATTCTGTGGTGAGTTCTTTGCGCTTGAGATATGCCGCTGGGTCGCGCACGCCGGAACATTCTGACCAGAGCTTGTGGCGACGGGTGCAAGGTAGAGAGCAGGTGCGTGTTGAACAGCGCGGACAACGGTATTTGGGTGGATTTATATGACTGGATGAACAGGTAGGCTTAGAACCGGGGGTAGCCATGTATATATGGGGAATGGGTCATACCATATCGAGCAGAGATCGCTCAGCAAAGCTTCTGAGTCGGCCATCTTGGTGGTTTGTTTGAGGAGATTTGGGTCGGGGAAATAATTTGTTGTCTTATCGATAACGGCCTGAGGCAGAGATCAAAGCTAGCTTATCACGTGATCCATGATATGGCCGTGAGTTTTTACCCCCCGGGGAAAGGAGATGCCCTCGCCTACCCTGCGAACCTCACACCTGCGAATTTCGCCGCTCTATTAAGGATGGCGGAGTTCTACACCAAACCTGCCAAGGTCGTCCCTTTGGCTTTACTCAATATTCAATAATTAGAATATAAAAAGAGCGTGACAACCGAATGACTTCGTCCCGCAGATCCGTCGCAAGTGGTATTCCATGAGATCAGTACATGAGTAGTGGTTCTGTTCGAAAAGAAGCCGACATTAAAGATTATTCATCACGATGGCCTAATTTGTCTTCAGTTGTCATCTTATGAGGGGGTCCAGTCGTGTTCTGTACAGATGATATCATTTCCGGATGCGATGATCAATCGGCATTTCTAAGCTTCGGAGATTCCGCGGAACCGACAACCATTATATAGACCTATTCCTTTCCCAGCTTCGAGAGGCACATAATCTCTAACAAATCAAAATGACTTCTAAGATTGCAATCATCGCTGGTGTTGGTCCTGGCACGGTACGATATACCTTCCCCGCATCTGACTCTTTGACTCCCCGCAAGGAATATCTGCTGATAAAAGATCCAGGGCGCCTCAATCGCCAGAAAGTTCGCAAAGGCGTATTCTGTCGTAGTTCTGGCTCGAAACCCCGATAACTACAATGGCGTCGTGCAAGCAATCAAGGCCAGCGGCGGCCAGGCAATCGGCATCCAAGCCGATGTCTCCGATTCCAAGAGCATCAATGCCGCCTTTGATCAGATAGAAGCCCAATATCCTTCCTCGAACGTGGCTGCGGCTGTTTTCAATCCCGGCGGTGGCTTTGTTCGCAAGCCGTTCCTTGAGTTGACAGAAGAGGATTACGCGACTGCACTCGCTTCACAGGCGTAAGTATACGGCTCGTTGATTCTCGAGGACTTGTCTAATTTACATCGCCATAACAGACAGGGTGCCTTCAACTTTGCCAAGCGGTCTCTCCCCCTGCTCTTGAAAGCTCGTGAATCTGCAGAATACCCGCCTACACTAATCTTCACTGGAGCCACGGCCAGTGTGAAAGGGTCAGCTAATTTTGCTGCCTTTGCTTCGGGTAAATTTGCACTTCGGGCATTGGCACAGTCCCTTGCTCGTGAATTTGGCCCGCAGGGTGTGCATGTCTCGCATACTATCATTGACGGTGTCATTGACATTGAGCGCACTAAGGGCTTTAAATTTGACCATCCCGACGCGAAGTTGAGTCCTGATGCCGTAAGTTTGTCTTCACTGATTGCGTTTTTGCAAGATACTTACTGGCTATAGATCGCGGATTCGTATTGGCATTTGCATACTCAGCCGCGTACGACCTTTGCGTTTGAAATGGACCTGCGGCCTTATGTTGAGAAATGGTGAGAGGCTCTTGCTGGACAATCTGGAGATATGCTAGTAGTTCAATGAAATATTCACCGATCATGGGTTGCAATAGTACATATGCATTTAGAGTTGAGTCGGTCTTGTCAGCAGATCAAGTAGCGCTAATTCTGTACACCTATGGGTTAGTGCTCAAACGGCCATCTGGGCATGAGTCTAGTGATATAGGTTGTACAGGTTCATAGGTATGGTCTACATTCCTCGACAAGTTCTCACTACAGTTGGATGGAGGACACTGTCATACGCACTTGGTTTAACTGAAATGGATTGATTTGATGGAGTAGTCTCTAAACCTTTAGCCTACATACGTGTAGCTAAGGTACATCAATCACCGAGAATATCCTAGCTTAAAAACATTGGAGGATGGAAATATTCAACCGCGGCGCGCGCTACCTAACAGTGCCGAACCTCAAGAAAATCGAGAAAAGAACCGACAAAATAGACACCTAGAAACCAGTGCGAGAAGTGCTGCTAGTAGATTCGCTGTTGGTAGAAGCGCTGCCAGGAGATTTATGGTAAGCCGAGGTGCGGCCGGTCCTGAAATACAGGTGGATTGGCGAGACCTGTCTGGCTGGGGGATGATTGCCAGCTGAGTAGTCTCCAGCCGGACCGGCACAAGGAACCACAGTTTTGGAACCAGCTTGGCAAAACAAAATATGTTGATATGTTGACCCGAGCAAACAAGGCGAGGTCCTGACGCCGACGGTTTGTAGTGTTGGACTCGTCAGCCAGCATGCAGCTGGCTATATGATCGAGGAGCTCGGCGATTCCAAACACACGCTGGACAGCGGTCATATGATCCTCTGGGCGAGGGATGGAGCTTGGAGACATCCTTGCCAGTTGGTACAAAGTTGAAGTGTGATGCCTGTAGATAAAGGAGACGAAGTCAGATTTTATCACGCGAGATGACGGAGTGAGTGGTACAAAGCAGTGGCAAGAGGCAGAGAGAAGTTCGAAGGCACGATTTACGCAGTAGTTCGGGGACATACCTTTGTCTCTTGGAGCAATGAAGTCAGGAGATGGTGTTAGATGAAATTGATGAAAGATGTAGAGGGGATGGAAGCAAAGTGTGAATGGGGGAAACTGGTGAAAATTGACCAGGTTTTTCGGAAAAAGAGTGCATTGATCTAGAACAACAACTATGAAGGAGGAAGGGAGAAGAACAAGAAGGGAATCGGTCAAGAAGCTCTTTATCCCACTTATTGTCACAGGACTCAAGACAACAACCATCAGGCATCAGGTAGTCCAACCACATGACTACCTTAGTCCATGCTCTCGGCCTGCTTAACAAATGATCTCGCCATAGAAATAGTTATCCGGTTCACTGAATCACGACTAATGTGAATAACTCGAAATTGCTCTCCAAGGCCCAGTTCTTCTCAGACACTCTTTGCTAGTCAACCCCTTTGCGCTCCTCTCTGCAATCCAGGCCGAGAGATCCTGGCAATAATACTTAGTGCCGCTGGGGCTTATCACAATGATAGTACCTCATTATTAGAGCCGATGATCTAAGTATAACTAGTTTGTCCATACCTAGTACAGCACCTATACGGATTCCTATTGCTGGCAACGAGACTTTTTATACCATGAATCACCGCAGCAGTAGAAGACAGTCAAGTTTTCGGTGCGAGACGTGCAGCATGATCTAGACTATCCAGTTTCTTATATTTCTATACAGATGTAGTCTAGGGTCTATAGACTCCCTAAGCCTATAATGGTATCTTCCCTCGCGACGAGACCAAGATAGCCTACCACCGAGATGTAGCGTTGCCAAAAGACGTCCAGATACAACAGTCTAAGGGATAAAGAGGAAGACTTGTTGGACCAGGGGAGACCAACGGAAAACAGTTAGCATGAGCTTGATGCCGTGTCTTGCCGGTGTGCTCTATGAGGAGGATCAGTCAGCCCATGAGCAGTATCTAGTAGCAATTCTGCACATGTAGGTAGTTTGTGTTGTTGCCATGACTCGAGTTTTCAAGGTTGCACCTGCCCGTGCTGACCGAGTCTGACTCAGGTCTGTACCTTTCCTGGTTCCATGGTTGGGCATTCAAACCTGAGGCAAGTACGATCCCACGGTGCCCCCTCACCTGAGAGCAGCCCCACAAGCTCTACAAGCCAACTGGCGAACTCGATCCAACTGGCGAGTCTTGACCACGATGGCAGTACCCGAGTGTGGAGAGTGAACGGCCCAATTATGCCGGCCTTCGTCGCTTCTGAATAGTCAGATGTGCAGACTCCAACATCTATCACCTTGTTTGACGGACCTGTGACCTCAAGATGAGAGGTCCTCGAGGTTTCGAGCTTGAGCATGTAGTCAGCCTCCACAAAAACGGAGTCATCTTTTAACTGCACTGAGATGGACAGAATCAATAAAATTGCACTGAGCTAACTGGAAGAAAGAAGTACAGATATCAAGGAGAAGTAGAAGTGGGATCGTACTTGCCTCAGGTTTGAACCTGCCCAACCATGGAACCAGGAAAGGTACAGACCTGAGTCAGACTCGGTCAGCACATCGACAAACATGCCCACCAGTCGGCCAAAGTAAGGACACATCACCAATCGAAACTGGGGCGAGGAAGGGCGCAGGAATGCCGAATGAGGATGGAAGAGTGAGGGGAGCAGAGATGGAGGATGGACTCCACAACGGTCGTTAGAAGAACATTTCTTTTGTACTGGGTTTTTGCTTTTATATGGGTTTTACAGGCTGGACACATGGGAATGGACTGACACCACACTCTTCTCAAATCAGCCACTGCTTCCTTTGGGATCATGTGATTCCAGCTCTGGCGCTATGCAGAGTTCTCGCTCCAGTTGGAAGGAGCGCCTGCATAGTCAACTCATACGCAACTAGTTAAACTGCAACGGGTTAATTGAACTTTGATTGATTGATTGACTCGGTCAGTTACTAGATACCCGTAAAGCTGTCAAATATGTCAGCCGGATTGCACGTCCTCGGCTCCTCTTCACGGCGACGGACATTTTTGGCATGGTCGGCTTCCATCTCGCCAATGCTATTGTTTATGACCCAAGCAAGCAAAGTGTCAAAGTCGGGGCCACAGCTACCCCCCATCAGGCGAATGATATCGCGCTTCATGCGATCACACATCTGCTCCTTGCGAAGCTCCTTGAGGAGTTCTTCCTGAGCCTTGCTGGCTTCTTCACCAAGGCCAGCCCCGGCCGCGTGGCTGCGCATGTACGATTCCTGCGGGAAGAAGTTGCTTTCCCAGTGGTTGGTCCATGAGCGCTCAGATTGGTCCTGAGATTGGTTCTGGAATTGGCGCTCAGAGGGGCACTCAGAGCGGCGCTCTCTCTTTGCCCGCCCGCTGCAGGAAGACGAAAATTCATCAGGAGCACGAGCTCTCTTGCGGTTTACATTCAGCTGGGCATCAAGCCGGCCCCGGCTCTTGGGGTCACGAAGAACTTCGACAGCCTCATTAATCTGTTGACAATGGTTTGTTAGCTATGCCAACTTGACCGAGAACTATTTCTTTCTGCTGGAGACATACCTCTCTGATCTTTTCGTTGTTAGCCTCAGTGTTGCCAGCATGGTCAGGATGGAATTTCAGAGCCAAACGCTTGTAGGCAGCGTTGATTTCCTGAGCGCTAGCATCGCGGGCAACGGCCAGGATGGCGTAGGCGTCAATGGTTACTTTGAGAGAAGACATTTCGCCGTTACGAAAGTCCTATCATGGATGTCAGTGTCCCGTGTATGTCTATTCAGTATATGCATGTGCGTATTGAATCAGATATTGTTGGGGTGACTATAGCTACTTACCAGACCAATGTTGGGAATTGATTTAAAAAAGATGATCGAGAAGACCAACTCAAGCAGTGAGAAGACGATGAGAAGAAAGTAAATGAGATCGAACGTCAACTGCTACGAAGCAACGAGGAATTGAGAAGTCGAGAGGGAGAAGAAGAAGGAGAGAGGATGGGGAGAAGAAGGGGACATTTATAGACCGAAGGGAATCTACGAAGTCTACAAAGTTTCGAGGATGTGGATGAATACCTTTTGCTCAATTGGGATAATGCTATTGACAATAGATGCTATTGTATGTAAATCTACATGATAGGGACAGGTGTATAGCATGCTACATGGGTGCTGTTTGAGGTCTCAATAGGTACACAGTGACAGAAGAGAACAAAGAGAACGAAAGGTTTGGGAGAACAAAGAATCCATCGAGTAACTCATCGAACTCTATACACCCAGCCACATTTGAACAAAGAGATATCAGGGCTACTGTGTAGTATATTATATCATCGAACAAAGAGAATGAAGAGGTTGGGAAGAACAAAGAATCTATCGACAATGTTTATACACAACCTAGGTATTAGGGCTACTGTGTAGTATATCATTGAACAAAGAACAATAGAGAATTTAAACTTATTTAGGGCTGGAGCTTATTGAATGCAACTGATGAGCATCCAGGGCTTAGGGCTACACGGGTAAAGACCATAAGAAAATTGAAATGGATTGACTCTGATCTTACACAAGCTGAAGGTCGAACTAAATATGAACAAATCTACACTGAAGGCGACTTCGTCCCGAAGAAGGAAACTTCTTCTAGATGTCCTCACTGGCAGTAGCACCGGTGATAATCCCAACCAGCTCTCCAGTAATCGTGGCTTGGCGTTGACGTTTGTACGAGATCTGGAACCTGGGAAAATGTCAGTTCAAATTTCTTTAAGGAACAACATAAGAGCCTAAGAGGTAGTACGTAATTATTGCTTATTGACCATATCACCAGCGTTCTTGGAGGCGTTCTTCATGCCCGGCGTTGCGACGAGCAGAAATCTCACAGGCGTGGCCCTCGGCCATGGCCCAGAAGAGGTTATAGCCATTTATAAGGGTACTACCACCTCAATTACCCTGTATCAAACAGTCTTCATTATCACAAGAACCCTGACACTGTCACGTGTGACAGGTTTGCTGTTTATTATTACCTTTGTTGTTTGCTTTTGATGGTGCATTGAACTAGACGGAGGGATGTGCCAGGGAACACATGACGCGAGGATCTATGTCAAGGCCCCATCTCTCACTTCCCTTCTTCCTTCTTCTCCTTCCCTCTCTGTCTTCAATATTATGTTACGATGATGCCAGTTCCTCAAAGATAGAACAGTGCATTTGAACTAGATTCCGCAAACTAGTTTTGATTGTTGTGGTGAAGCGAACTGAGACCTCTCACGACGCGTGATAGTCCTTGCAGTGGCTTCAGAGAAGTAGAAATGGGTTGATAGTTGTTGTTATGTCTTGATGTATAAAAGATTTGGCTGGTAACATAACAACAACTATCAACCCATTTCTACTTCTCTGAAGCCACTGCAAGGACTATCACGCGCCGTGAGAGGTCCCAGTTCGCTTCACAACGACAATCAAAACTAGTTTGCGGAATCTAGTTCAAATGCACTCTTCTATCTTTGAGGAACTGGCATCATCGTAACAGACACTGCCGTAGTTTAGATATCAATTGACGAGCGTTACATCTTCTTTCACTGTCAGACTCGTTGCGGGTTTGCCTCAGGCATCACATGAGACAGAAGCCATAGTTAGTTAGTTAGATAGTCTCTTCCTCTCTCTCTTTCTCTCTGTCCACTTTTATCAATACGATGACGCCATGTGGCTAAGCAAGATCTCCGACTCGCTCCAAATACCAAGGCCGGATCTGACAACGATCTTCACAGATAACATCAACTCGCAGATTTGCCTTAGGGAAGGTCCAATTCCATTCTTGGAGCAAATTAGCGACATGGGAGACCCTTTCATGTACGCGGATGTGGCAATGTGGACGGTCATCGGTTGTGTCTTCCCCGCAATCTTGGGTCAAGCGCGGACGCTTCGATCTCGACGACCTTGTCCCAGGCATGGTTGATAGTGCGAGAATGTGATTGATGTAAAGAAGAAGATGCCATAGGCCAAGTTTTGAGATGAAATTCGACGTGGTGGTCGAGATCTTATGTTCAAAGTCGTCCAGCGCAGCGCAGTCTTGTAACGGTCTCACATTGTGCCACGTGGGCTCAGTGTGACCTCCCCATTTTTAGGAGGTCTATGTCCGTACTTCTCTGGTTCAGGCGGTCGATAATGCCAGTGAAGACATCCGGCAGGCCTCGCTGTATCAAAGCAATTATATACCAAGTTCTCATGGCGATCAGAAAGACAGGTCAATTCAAGACGTACCTCAGGCGTGTCACGTGCATACCCGACGGGTGGGTCCACACTCCACAGGGCACGTCACATCCCAAACCAGAAACGAACACAGCCAAGCTCTCCCCGAGCTCATCATCTGCAACATTGACACCTCTCCACCACACCTAACACCCGCCATGAGCACCAACAACAGCTCGCCCCAAACAGGCGAAAGCTTCAACAACAATGCCTCCCAAGGCGCTTCTCAAACAGACCTACAAGGCCACAATCCCGCGATCGCAAAGTACAGCAAGCTCCAGCTGCACCCGGACAGCATCGTGAAACCCGATCTCTTCACACTCTACTTCGGCTTCTTCGGGACACGCATCTGGAAAAACCGGGTAGCCAACACGATAACCGACCGCGTCGAAAACCACTACGTTTTAACGGGCCGAGCCCCCACCCAAGCCGAGCTAGACGCCCACGTTGAGCACGGCACCCGATCCCTCTACTACGCCCGAACCGGTGTTCCGGTAGGCTCGTTCCTTGGTACAGCGCTGCTGTACAGACAAGCAAGGAAATCCCCGCATTTCCCGCAGAACCCCACACCGGCCAATATGCTGGCGGCGCTGCGCGGCGCGATGACTGCTAGCACGGCGGGGTCGATTCTTGGGCCGGCTGTGTTTAGGGTGCTTTTTCTTGTTACGCTCGGTGGTATGATGTCGAGTTTCTCGGCCTCGGCTTACAGTGCTATGCGGACGTTGTCGGATCCGCGGTTGAAGGGGTTCCTTGCGGAAATGCGAGGGAGGGATCCGGATGATGTGCGCAAGCGGAAGATGCAGGCGGCTTCGGAGCGGCTTCGGTATATGCGTCGTGGGGAGCAGGATATTGGGACGCAGATGCGGAAGGGGATGGGGGGTTCTGATGGGTTTGCTGGGGATAGTGGGTATGAGCAGGAACTGGATGTGCAGCCTCCGAATTCTTATTCGGAATATGAGGGGAGTGGTGGGGGTGCTGCTGGGCAATATGGTGCGGATGAGTCGCAAATGAGGAAGGAGGCTGCGGGTGCTGTCTGGGCTCGTGGCAGGGGTGCGCAACCTGAACAGAAGTCGTCATTGGATTTCTTGGATGAGGATGATGCGAGCCCTACTGCTGCTGAATACCGGGATACCAATATCGATGGGTCGTCGAGTGGTAGTGCTTGGGACAGGCTCAGACAGCAGAATTCAGGTGGCCGCTTCCAGCCGAGACAGCCTGGTGTGCCATCGCATCCTTACGCTGGGGTTTATGCCCGGGGGAAGCAAGACCGGGATGACTCCAATGGTGGGAGTGAGAGGAACAGTGCGCAGGCGGAATTCGATCGGTTGATTGATTCGGAGAGGAATGCTGGTAATGGAGGTTCTCAAAGCCGAGGTTGGGGATCTTGAGAATCTCTAAGGATTCTCTTTGATCATTTTGTACAATATTCCATCCCATGAACGGGCAGCTACTGTCATATCCTACTTTCAACTCAGAAGCAACTGATACCATTCTTAAGCCTTTGTGCGCGTCCACGTATGCTCTGTAGGTACCTACCTTTGACTACCCTCATAGAAGAATTGAACCAACAGAAATGAAATGTTTAAGCTGTCTAGGTACAGTCTGAGAAGAGAAATAGGTAGTTCCTCGAATTAGAAGAGAAGGAGATTTGAAACGACCTTAGATATTCGGGCCGACGACAGGATATAGATATAGGTAACTTGGGGGAAAAGACATCAACGTCGAACAAAAGGGTATGATCCCCAAGAACAAGGGTTGATATCAAAACCAAAGCCCAAGGGGCAGTAAAAGGAGCCTCGGGCATGATGCGTGATGCGTGATATTACGGTAGACATAGCAATTTCATAAATGAAAAACAAAGCTAGTAAAGAAAGAAAAAGCAGGGCTCATGATGCAAAAGAGAGAAGAGAATTGAAGAGAAGAAGAAAACAAACACCAAAGAAGTAGCGTAAGAAATAGAAGTTCGACTCAAACATAATTCGAGCCCGGCGCAACATAGCTCTGACTCGGCAGAACATAATTCGAATTCGAGCCAGCCCCGTGCTGCTGCAAGTTCTCATACTCATTCTCAACCTGCGACAAAGGCTCGACGCTGCGAGTATTATTCCTCCTCGTAAAGCTGCGCAACTTGTTCGTGAAGCTCTCATTCGAGCTACGATTGCGCCGATGATCAAAGGACATGCGTCTGCTCCCCGACTGACGGGAGTCTGTCTGTGAGTTGACATTGACAGCCGGCGCGGCCGTCATGGCACGAGGAAGCAGACGGCCGAGGTCCTCGTTGTTCTCGATGGCGATGTCTATAGTGGCCGAGGACTCGCGGGGCGACAGCGGGAGCGGGAATGGGGGTGGTGGGGGCGGGGTGTTGAGATGCTGTAGTTCGGGCAGGATGGGCGGGGGTGGTGGTGGGATGGTCTCGTTGTTGGTTTGGCCTTGCATTGCGTTCTCGATTGTCTCCTCGATGCTTACTTGGACGTGCGGGGAGACGCCGGAGATGTAGCCACCGGAGCTTGTGCGGCGGTGTCCTGTGTTGCGGCTGCGGCTGCTGGAGCGGCTTCGGGGCAGGGCTGGGTTGAAGCGCGGATGCATGGGGATGTCGTTGGGCATGGTTGGCGCGTTGTATTGTCCTTCTGGGACGGGGACGGACATGGATCGGCCGATTCGCTCGGCTTCCCCTTGGTATCGAGCGTTGCTGAGGAAGAGGCTGTTTTCTGTGGGGAGGTTGGGCACTGATGGTGGTCGCTCTTCGTCTTGTCCGGTTCCGCCGTACTTGGGATGCCGCATGGCTCGAGGAGTCGCTGGGAGGCCGCCGGGCATACCGGAGCGTGAGGAGTTGGAATCGGAGCTGCTGGGGTAGTCGGGGGATGCTTTGCTTTGGGTCATCTTGTTGCGTGATGGAGCACGGGGGAAGTATGAGCTTCCGCTGGAGAAGGGTGGAGGACTTTCGACAAGTGGACTTCTGGCGCTTTGCAGCTCGCCTGGGAAGGGGATGTTTGGTGCAGATGGATTGCGCGCCAATGATAATCTTCGCGCTTCCAATTCAGCAGCTGCTATCTCTCGACGTTTCCTCTCTGCGAGGCTGACGAATGGTGTTGTTGGAGAGGTAACTTCCTGGAAATCATTGGCACTCGAGCTGGGTTGTCCATTCAGGTACCCGTTGTAAGTGTCTTCTTGACCGAAGACCTTGCTGCTTAATTGCTCCACCTCCGGTTGTGCCCAAGGGTCTGCTTTAGGTCCTGGCTGAATTACAGAAAGGCTCTGTGAGGATTTGTGTTTGATATCGGGAGAACCGTCTCTTTTGCTCGTTCCTTTCTCGGCTCGTCGTCGACTAGCACTTCGGTGGCGGGATCTTAGTCTCTTTTGATTGCCTTCGACAATCCTCAATGGATTGTCGACGCCAGGAGAAGATTCCTCAGTAGGTAATGACATAGGAAGAGGCGAAGATGGTGATCGAACGCTGGATCCTTGCCGGTCATTACTCCTACCTCGGACTGAAGCGTCCCGTTTATCTGTGGCGAGGCTTGCCGTGTGACGACTTGACGAGCGTTGGCGGGTTCGCGATGCAGGCCTTCTCACCTTGCTCGAACTCCTGGCGCGTGACTTTGACTTCCGCGGTTCCACCGACTTCTCAGATTCTCCGTTGTGATACCGAGCCAATTCTTCAGGGGACATCGGAACAGGCGAAGAAGGAGAGCGCTTGGCTGGCTGGATATATCGACGCTCGCTCATCCCACGAGAAGTCTCCCGCGGCTGATTCGTTCGTGAGCTCTGGCTGGCATTGTCGTCTGGGTTTCGTCTACCGCGGCCCGGGGTATGGGGACGGAACTTCCGCGCATGGTAATTTGCTTCATCGAGGCTACTGATGTATTGGTCGATGCTGCGACCACTCACACTTGGGCTCCTGGCTGAAGCAAAGCTATGGGCGGTCGAAGCAGTGCTCTTGGCACTGGGCATCAAATCGGAACGGTCTCCATTTCGTTCACTTTCCAAGGTTTCGATTTGCAAACCATCCGGCTTCCGATCTCGGGACCCGTTACGGTGGTCGTCATTTGTGAGTGCCTCGAAGACGCCGACGGCTGGCGATGGGAGTCCCTTGATTGACGCAAATTTATCTGAACCATGCAGCGCGGTCTGGGGACTAGGCTTGAGCGAGTCTAGACTGGGTGTATACTTTGCTGAAGACAAAGTCAGAAGACCACTGTTGCTTTCTTTCTCATCTTGGCTCTGTTCGCGTCCACTTTCATTTTCGGAGGTGGAGCTATACTCATTTTGGCTGTAGGAACCGGAGCGTGAGAAGGTCGGAGGATGCACGTCCACTGGCGTTTCTCCTATTGAAGGCAGACGACGCCGGTTGAAAGAAGGTGTGTTAGTCCTAGATGTCATAGCTTGGTTCAAACTTTGAATATTGTTCAGTTTATATGATCCGAAGCCACCAGGGGACATTGCCGAGTCGGGAACAGCAGATTCAGCGATTGGGGTGATTCCAGGTGCATTCGTTGGCGTGCGATCATCAGACTTCAAGCCAGGGAAGCGGAAACGCCCATTAGGCGCTGCATCAAAGGAGGTGATGAGCTTCAGGGCTGGCGTTCTCGCTGCAGGTTTCCCGTTAGATGCAGATCTTGGTCGGATAGGCGGAGGCATCATATTGGCCTTTGGTGCATCGTTGGAAGTGAGAGGAGATTGCGCGCGAACCATCTCTGAGAAGGTAGCATTCTGTTGTGCAGACGGTGAAGCCCATGGCTCTGACGGTTCCGCTCCTGTGCACATGAAACAGCGGATAGCGAGCTGTTGTTGGGCATGAGTAACGACGTGCTCTCCCCATCGACGCACGAGATATGACTGGCGTTGCCAATCGGACGGGAAGAGGAGACATGTCATGACAATAGCTTCCAGAAAATGATTGCGCGAAACATAGACCTCGATGGCATCGTTGCTGTCTCCAAGACCGAGGAGAATCGCAGCCGATGTATGGATATCGCCAATTTCAAGCAGCTTTTGCACAAATGCCTGCCCGACTTTGTTTGCTTGCGCTTGGCCGTTCATCTGACTCAGAGCCAGAATCATCCAGTCAGAGGTTGTCACCTGTCCTGGACTAATCATGGAGACCATTTCATCCGAGTCATTCTCTCCAAGCCATTGCGTTAAGATGATAGCGCTCTGGCTTCCAACAGCATGTCGGCTCACTAAGAATTGTCAATAGGTGCTTCCAAGAGAGGAGTGGGTGAAATCCATACACTCATCTATAATCAAATCCTGGACATCTCCGTCCCATCCAAAGACCACGCTCAACATCTGTTGTCGAAGATCATCTGAAGTTAGATTCGATTCATCGAGAGGCGGTTGTTGCTTGTAAGGCACATCATTCAAACGCGCGCGAGTAAACGGAAACAAATCGACAATATTTTTATCAGCAGGACTAAGTTGAACCTCATTCCGCAATCGTGAAGCCGCCCTCGAGCTTCTCATAGAAGACATCGAGACAGACGAGGGATACGCATAGGAAGCCGAAGCCTGAGGTGTATCATGGCCTGCCGATGTCATTGAGAACGTCGTAGCACTCTGGCCGGAGCGACTGGGCGGAGAAAATGGCCTAGTATTGTACTTGTTGGAAGAAGCCTTTGAGCTCACTGATTCTGTCCGACTTCGCGATGAAGCAGGGCTCGTAAGATCCGCCCTCTGTCTGATGCTCTCGATGCTGTTTGCGTCAAATGGCGTCCGTTGCACTGTTCCCGGTGGCTCTCGAAGGTCTGGGGGGTCTTGTAGGCGTCTTGGAGACATCGTTGATCGTCCTTCTGCTGTGCTTGGTCGGGGGATGACCGGCATATGTTGCACATTTGCAACCATTGCCGGGTTCTCCAGGTCATACTGCTGGACTGAATGCTGGGGACCGAGGGTGAATAGAGTCGCGGTAGGGCCGTAGTTTGCAATTCCTCGTACACCGTCTATCGTCGGAATTGGCTCGTAGGTAACATGTTTCGTCCGGACATCCCAAGACCATGTTTCCCTATCGGATGTCAGTAAATCAGTCACTTTTCGAACAATGCCTTGCGCACCCTTCCAAATATTGTACAAGTCTTCCGTTCTTCGACCATCCCATCCATTTCGGATCAGAAGAGTTGGAATCCGACCGTTTCAGCACCCTAATCACTCGCGGTGATTCTTTTCCCGGCGGTTTCGCCACGCTCCACACTCTTAAATCCCCGTTTGACGACTGCGTTGCCAGCATATCTGACTTCTGTTTCGACGAAGACGCATGCCAGGCCAATGAAATGATTGGCGACGGTCCACGCGAAGTGGTAAGGGTGTGAAGAATGGTGAATTGAGGAAGTAGAGTCGCGATCAATATAGATCCATTGTTATATCTAGAACCATCAGCACACTGCCGTGCCACTCGGTGTCACTCAACATACCCAATTGCATAGGTACGACAATCATTAGCAGGCGCAAGAGCAGTGATTGGATCGAAGATGGTGCGCGCGGAGATGTGCTCTGAAGTTGGAGGTTCGAACAGAATCACCTCGCCCTTGCCATTTCCTGCAATCTATTAGCCAGCAACAATTGATCCAAGATATTGAATCTTACCAAATGCAACATTTCCATTGCGCATCCATGAAGCTATACGCAGATGGTCGAAAGAAGCAAAGCGCGCAATCTCGGTGCCGGTGAAAATATCCCAGACAATGGCCGTCTGCCCTACATCGTAACTGACCACCAATCTACCCGCACCCCGCTCGCTGACATTATCGACCGATATGAACACGATGTTTTGCTGGTGACTCTGAAAGCGTCGCTCAATTGCCAGTGTATCATGGTGCAGACATAGGATCGTCGAGCCCTGGGCGTAAAGAAATAGCGACGCCGTCGAAGCGCAGGCCTGGAAGCCAGGCTGGGAAACTGGCGGCGGAGGCGCCATTGGGACGGTCCTCGAAGGTCGCGATTCTGTCCAGCTTCTGTTCCATGTTAACTTGGTCATTCTACCTATGAGATCTGCGGAAATTGATCTGTTGGGATTGTTTGGTTTGACAAGCTACCGGGCTCAATCCAGCAGACGAATGTCCTCAGAAATGATACATTCAGAGCAGGAGGGAAGGCATTGATTTAACCAAAGGGATTGGACTACTGACCTCACTTCAAGCCAGGTAGATTGCTAATCGACCACGACCTTGAGTCCCGGTCAAGGTAAGGAAAGACGGACTCTCTAGACAAGCTCGAGGCACATCTGGAGGGAGGATTTAGTGCCTGACAAGGGATATGACCGAATTGAAATAGGCTAGTAATTGCGAAGATCTGGAGCTTATGAATGAAATGGGTGAGATGTAAGTTCGGTCAAAAATATGCGAAAAGGCGAGGAAATGATAGCTGTTGGAGCAGGGGTGTAGGAGGGGGAGAGGGGAGGAAAGACCAAAATGAAGACTAAGAAAAGAAGAATCTGTCAGTGTGACTAGAACCATAGGTAGAAGTTCGCTTGCACGTTCATCACAGTGATAGAGGGGGCTTAAGTTTTGTGACAGTTGGAAGTCAGACCGGGGTAAAGTCCTTTGGCTATACATATAAGCACTTCAATCCGGACATCCCTCTTGAAAAGGAGACAACTAAAGAATTATTAGTCAACTTATGATTTATGAACTTCTACCTCCATACTGGTTGGCGCTCCGGAATGACTGGGCGCTTTCATTTCCTGACTGGGACCATACAACCTCATGCTAAGTTACAGAGTTCTACCCCCTGATGCCATGAACCAGATCAAAAATCACTTAATTAGCGGAAACGGTGAGATCGAGCCCTCTTTGGTGGCTGGGTTATTCGGACTGACGACCAACGAGCATGCAGAAGCGAGTGAGGGAGAGTTGAGCCAGTTTAGATCGATGCAGACTGTTCCCGAATCACAGTCCTTCTATCGTCATGGGTTATGAAGAAACTATCCCGGACCCTTGTCTATCTTTAGTCTCCTGCATCTGCCAATCCCGTCGATCTCTCGTTCCAACGTCTGTTCTTTCATATACTCCAACCAACTCGATTTCCCCTTCTGTAACAGCAACAATATTACACGTGTTTTTCCAAAAGAAAACCACCGACCTCCAGAGAGAAGGTATAATAAAACGATGTGATCTGAGACCGTGTGATTGAAGTTGCTGAATGTCAAGCTGCAGCTTCGTCACCTCCCCCACCAATCACCTTCCATCACTGCTGATCCCTCGGCGGCTACACCACCCACCCCTCAGCCAATGCCGGCACGTACACGGTGAAGGACTGCAGGCTTTAGCCAGTCTCAATTTAATCCCTGGACCTATAACAGCCCTCTCTCTCGTCATATCGAATCCGGAGAACACTGTCCAGAAGTTTCATGCTTCGAACTAGTGTTTCCGATGTACATCCATGAGTCATGATAATCTTTCTTTTCCCCGAGAGTCGAGACTCAAATGAAATCCGCCCTGAAGTCCAAGGCTTGTATTTCCCGTGATGTGACAGCCACTGCACACAAAATGCAAAGCTATGCAGTCATCCCTGCACAAAAAAGGCACCGTCGAACGTCCTGGAGCTTGGGCCCCTGTGATGGGATGTATCGGGGACGAAGTTACGGAGGACGGGGACGGCACCACCGGTAGGGTTTTCAATCGATCTTGGGTGTCAAGGCATTCCTACCTTGTACTCTACCTTGTACTCCGTACAGCCATGTACGATATAGCAATTCATATTGTAAGCATTGCGCAAGGCAGACAGAAATAAAGTAGTGTTGGAGTTTCCTGTTGGAATCACGATTCTTTGAATGCCACGTCGAAATCGGAACTCTGTTTCCAACAGCAATCATCAATGCACTGCGTATAGAGAAGTTTATAAGTGTATATGAAGCCCAGCTAATCCTCCTCCTTCATCCCCCACTGGCCTTCCTTATCGTCATCTGATCGCGGGGGTCAGAGGTCTTATCACTCCAGATATCGATCGAGTCACCCAACCAATTCCGCAGCGTCAGTCAGGCGCGTCTAACGATTTAACAATTCGTATAAAGCCATTGTTATACCCCTGGTGATCTGTCCAACATGGCAAACCGAGAAACAATAGTGGTTATCGGGTCAGTCCAACGAAACCAAAATATCTGAAGTTCTACCCCAACCTTCCATGGACCCCAACCACAACATAGCCAAAGAACGGAAAAAAAAAGAACAAAGCACAGGCACATGAACAAACAATCAGCTGACCCAAACCAGCGCAGGAGTTATCGGCCTCTCAACCGCCCTCTACATCCAACAACACCTCACACCCACCCAATCCATCCTCCTCATCGCCCGCGACTTCCCCTCCGACACATCCGTCAACTACGCCTCACCCTGGGCCGGAGCCCATTACCGCCCAGTCCCGGGTTCCACACCACAAGCACTGCGCGAAGCGAAGCAAGCGCAGCGCACGTACGAATTTCTCAAGCGCACTGCGAGCGCGGAGCCGGGTGCCGGCGTGGAATTCGTCGGCGGCGTCGAGTACCTCGAGGCACCGCCGGCGGAGTATCTGGATACGCAGAGCGTGCGCAATGTCTATGCGCATCTGGATGGGTTCCGCAAGTTGGGAGGCGAGGAGCTCCCGGCTGGTGTGAGGTGGGGTGTTGAGTATGGGACGTATGTGGTTAATTCGCCTGTTTATTGTGCGCATTTGCTGCGGAAGTTTGTGCTTAGGGGTGGGGAGACGAAGAGGTATACGCTGGTGAATTTGGAGGAGGGGTTTAGTATGGCGAGAGGTGTGAGATGTGTGGTGAATTGTTCTGGGACTGGGTTTGGGGATCCGAAATCTTTTATTATTCGAGGTATGTGTCTTTTCTACGGATTTGTGAGGGTTGAGGTTGATGATACTGGAGTTTTGGCTTGATGTTGATGGTTGAACAGGACAAACTTGTCTCGTCCGTAATCATGTCTCGAAGACAATCACCCGGCAAAATACTGATGGCTCGTGGTCCTTCTGTATCCCGCGTCCCCTTGACGGTGGAACTATCATCGGAGGTACGAAGGAGCCGAATAACTGGGACCCAAATCCGTCTCTGGAGACCAGGAAGCGATTGCTTGATAACGCCAGCAAGTGGTTCCCTTTTGCTCCCGAGAGTAAGGGCCAGTTCGATGTCATTCACGATATTGTCGGTCGGCGGCCGGCAAGAGAGGGCGGTTTGCGCATTGAGGCTGATAAGATCGCTGATGACCGATATGTCGTTCATGGATATGGCGCGGGTGGTCGTGGCTTCGAGCTCTCTCGTGGTGTTGCGGAAGACATTGTGTCCCTGATGCTCGAGAAGGGGCTTTTGCAGGCAAGAGCTTCGCTGTAGATTACTAGATCATATGCTGGTGCGTGCCAACATATGCATCGTTGATAGAAAGCGGTGATGTACATTATGTTCTTGCGTGTATAGACCTTACCCTGCAGGCTGATAGGGTGCCGGTGGGATTCCAGGTGCGGATCCAGCCTATCGATCATTTCTTTGAGCTTAGCCCAGGCATGTTCGATAGGGTTCAGATCCGGCGAATAGGGAGGCCACTTCATCACATCATATTTGTGCTCATCCAACCACGACTTGATTAAACGAGCCGTATGAATCGGGGCGTTATCCTGCATGAAGATGCGGTTGGTATCATCGAGAATTTGAGGTAGATTTCCCTCTAAAACATCGAGATACGAGCGTGCAGAGTAGCCGTTTCGGGCGGATGCCTCATCTCGAACCATTTGGTATATTTTCGAGGAACCACCACCCCAGATCGCGCCCCAAATCATGATAGAGAGACCTTTCGACTTCCGGTACGTGACCACATGTTCCTTTTTGTATTTTACGTTGGTGTGGTTCAGGTGGAAGACCCAACGGTGGCGCTTCCCTTTTCCGATCTCGACGGAACATTCATCACTCCACACAACTCGCTTCCAGTCATCCCACGTCCAATTCTGGTGGGCCTCAGCCCATTCTAAACGTAGCGCGGCCACTTCCGGAGTCAGGAAGGGTATTTTTTTAGCTTTCCAATGGCCGTAGCCCGAGGATTTCACCAGACGAAGAAGGGTGTCGTCAGACGCCGTTAATCCGCTTTGTTCGCGAATTTCTCGATACACGATGAAGGGATCGCGCGTAATTAAACGCAGGATCAAGCGTTTGTCACCCTCAGAGAGAATAGGGGGTCTCCCAGGTCGAGGGCAGGTCTTCCCATCTACTCGGGCGTGTTCTTGTTCGAGGGTATATTGGATGGTTGAAGGGGATAAACCAAAGTGTCGCGCAATAGTAGCCGTGGGGATCCCAATTTCAGCTTGGCTGGAGATTTTACCACGTAAGTATGGAGTTAACTCAGTTCCCTTTACCCTGTTTGAATCAATAGGACGTAGGGGCGTTCTGGGAACCATGGTAGGTGTTTGAAGAAGGTGAGTTGGTTGGCACGCGTCCTAAAAACGCGGGTGTGGGGCCGCATCAACGGAAACTTTTGCGGTGGGACTGCCAGATTGCCGACGCGGCGGATTATCCGGAACGGGCCCATCTTGACGGGTGACAAGCAGGAGCTGCCTTCCAACGTATATCCAACGTGGCCGGGCTTACGCGTGAGGCGGATATAGGCGTAGTTCTTCAGTTCAACTGGTTTGTGTTTTCTGTCGAAGTAGAATGCCATGCGTCCCTGGGCATATTGGAGTGCATCAGCGGCTTCGGCCCGTATTCGTTGGCGTTCGTTGATAAACTCATCAGCTGTCTCCATGCGTGTTGTTGTTGCCGGCGTGAATTCGGATCTCGGCGGTACGCCGTAAAGTAACTCGAATGGGGTTGTCTTTGTGGACTCGCTGATGGATGTCATAAGGAGGTGTTCGACATCAGGGAGTAGGTGTTCCCATATTGTTTCATCCGGTAATTGGCACAGCATACAACGTAACATCGTCTCAATGACCGCGTTGGAACGTTCCGTCTGGCCATCCGCGGCAGGGTGATATGCTGCGGTTAACCCAAGGCGAACCTGTGCCCGGGCAAAAAGGTACGTCCAGAATTCGGACGTAAACTTGCTATCCCTGTCAGAGATGATCACTTGGGGCAGTCCCCAAGAAGGATATACTCGTCTGAAGTACTTCCGAGCCCAGTCGATGGCGGAGTAGTTCGTCTTGCCCGGGAGTAATCTCACTGCCTGTCTGAGATATTGTCCTCGGTGTTTCACCATACTCTGTAAAAGACGGCGTCCTTGTCGTATCTGGATTCGGAACGTCTCTAGAAGAGGTCACTGCAGCCAAGGGCGTTGTGACTGGATTCGGGACGTTCCTATAAGCCTCGAAAAACTGGGTGAACAGACGTCGAAATTGCCGTATGTCCTTGGCCAGTACTCGTCTGTCAAGTGCCCAATCAAGAGGTAGCGGTTGATGGCGAGGAAGTTCGCAGACCGGTTCCTGTGTACGAACCTGTTGTAATTCCTGCTCGATCTCCGCTGCAAAGAGGTCCTGATGGGGCTGCTCTGGCTGAGAATGGTAGATGCTCAGCTGATGTGCTAGTCTGATAGTCCGTAGGAAGGCACGACCTGACATGGGCTTCCCAAAGGCCGTGGGGTTGTTGTCCCTTAGGTTATCAGTTTCAAGAGAGACGGGGTCGATGCCTCTTTCAAGACGTTGACGTTCTGGCGTCGGTGCTAGTCTGATAGTCTGATAGTCCGTAGGAAGGCACTGGGCTTCCCAAATGCCGTGGGGTTGTCGTTCCGTAGGTTATCAGTCTGATAGTCTGTAGGAAGGCACTGGGCTTCCCAAATTCCGTGGGTTTGTCGTTCCTTAGGCTATCAGTTTAAGAGCGACGGGGTCGAAGCCTCTTTCAAGACGTTGATCCGTCGTTCTGTCGGTCTCTTTCAAGATCGACGGTTTCGATGCCTCTTTCAAGACGTCGAACAGCAGGGCCTCCTGGTCGACCAGAGAATGCTACCAACTGTCATATATGGGGAAGAAGAAATGAATGTCTGCTCTCTAAGGCTAGCTACCGGAGGGAAAACAAGTAGGTGGGGCAGGAGGCCTCCTCACGTGACACTATGGTAAGGACGAACGTCACGTGACGGGCGAGGAGGCTGTTACATACTGTAATTGCTTCGCTAACCCGACGCTCAGCAATCATAACTCGTTTCGGATACCCCGTAACTTCAATATATTAACGAATTCAACGTCATGGCCATCGTGGTAAGCCTGTCGCTGTCAAAACATTGTATTCAACGCTAATGCAGATCATAGGATGACCCGCCGTCCGGGTGGGGCTCAAAGCCCGAGGACCTCGAGTACGTAGATGACTGGGAAGCGGAGGATAGTTTCGGACAAGAGCTGTGTAAACAGATGAATCTTGGGAGAGGCCATCCGATTATGTGCCATTGCACAAAGAATGCCTACCTTTTCGAAGCCGGCGGAAAGTTTTACTTCTGGTATTGGGTTGGTCTCGATGTCCTCGAAATCACCTCTCCGACAACCCTGGATGAGATCATCAAGACTATGAAGGAAAATGGAGATGCGGCCGTGAAGACCAAGAGGATTTTATGATAAAAAGAACTGGGGGTCCTCCAGAGACAGAAGGACCCGCTGCTGTGCGCTCCTTCCTCCTGAAAGGCACAATGCCAATGCAGAAACTTCAAGAACACTCGCTTTTCGTAGCCGTCGTAGTTTTGACTTCCCCGTTCACATCATCATGCTGCATGGTCAGTTAGGCCCCGCAGCTCCGGCTCCCTTTTCGGAGCAGATTCTACTAGCCTTCGGTGTGATGTACATTATGTTCTTGCGTGTATAGACCTTACCCTGCAGGCTGATAGGGTGCCGGTGGGACAGTAGAACAGAATAGAATGCCTCGGGTTCATTGAAATGAATGAACTTTTGCTACCAACAAAATGAACAATGTGCTATCAAAAGGTATCGGCCGTTGATTCTTCTATCACATAGGACACATGACTTCATTTGAGCTATGTGCCCCCGTGGCTAGTCAGCCTTAATCTCCCCTTCTACGTATGACATTTGTAGTACACACGTATAGAGACGGGGAGATTAAAGACAACCAGCCGAGCCCTCAGTGATGAACGAGGTTGCATACAAAGCAAGCAGCTTGGGCAGGCGATTGTAGCGATCACTCGACATCGCAATCCGACCCCATAACCACACAGAACCATCGCTAGGATTCCATGCTTCCCGGGGAGAAGGATTCGCAAGGGCCCACGAATCTAATATCGTGAAAGAGGGTATGGACTCAACCCGCAGCTTGGGGTGTGATAGTGGGCAGCATCCCCGCATTGGCCTTTGCGAGCCGTTCCTCCTCCTTCTGTTCGCGAAGCCTCTCGGTCTCTCTCCGCATGACTGTCAAGTTCCAGGTTCCACTCTCGTCCTCGCCCTCCTCAGGCTCACTGTCCTCCTCGGCCCAGTTGCCGCTCTCGAAGAGGTTACGGCCAGTGGCCTCCTTCGCCTGCTGTGCTTGTTGCTCGGCCGCCTTCTTGTCCAGACGTTCCTTCTTCCACTTGGCGAAGGTCTCCTCATTAACCGGTGTCAATGTTCCGGTCAACTTGTGCCGCTCCGAGTCGAGCCAGTCCTCCAAGGTCAGCGTGCTCAAGGGTGACTTGTCCTTCAGGGCTTTCTCGGCTGCTCGCTGTTCCTTGGTCTTCAGGATGAATCTGTCCACAGTATTAGTATTGCAAATAGGGCACATATGAAGGGTCAGATAGACATACCCTGGCGGCAAGCTGTGCTTGTACATGCACTTGTCTCCTCCGTTTGGACAGGTCCAGAACCATCCGTATTTCTGGTTTTCGACTGCTTCGATGAAGTATTTGCACACCTTGTCGGTCGTTGTGCGCGGGTTTCCGTGTTTGCTCAAAACGACACTGCGCAGCTTCTCCTCATCCCAATCGTCCATGGTATCCTTCTGCTTCTTGGCCTCCTCCTCGGCACCTTCATCACGGGAGTCGGTGTACAGATCCTTCTTGGCGGCCTTGCGCTCGATATTGGGGTCGTGCGAGAACTTGCACTTGCGGCCCTTTTCGCAGTGTCCTTGCTTGAAGAAAATACAGAGGACAGTCTTGGGGTCGACACCAAAGGCGACCTTTTGGACTTGGACGGGCTTGAACAGCTCAAGGTTTTCTTTCTTGGCCTGCTCAGCGGCCCTCTTCTCGGCCTCACGTTTCTCCTTCTCGGCGGCCTTCCTCTTCTCGTCTAGGTTCTTGTTGCTTGCGGCTTGTGCTTGCAACTGTTGAATCTGTTTCTTGGCGGCACCACCTTTTTTCTGTATTGTACGTTAGGGCATGCGATACAAATTGGGAGACAGTTGACGCCATCCGGGGGCTCAAAGAGCATAACGCACATTTTTCATACCAAAGGACTTATCCTCAACGGTAGCCTTCTTCTTCTTTGGGGCATCGGGTTTCTTGGGAGGCATGGTGACGGTTGGGCGGACGTGACGTCGCGGGTTCGGGGAAGAGTAAAAATGTGAAAATGCGCCTGTCTAGGATACGCCTCAGTCGCTGGGAACTAGAGATAGAAAAGATGGTTGTTACAACCTGGAAGAACGACAGTGTTGGATGTGAGAAAGAAGATGTCGAGGTGTGGGCAAAAATGCCAGGAATAGTTGTAGAGAGTGAAAGGATCTTGAAAACGAGGGGTGAGTGTGACGGCAATTTTTGGTTAACCAATGACGGTGCGGGTCGTCCTTTTACTCCAGTGCGTTGCTGCGGGATTGGGGGCAAATCATAGGACTCATGGGATAAATGTTATAGTCTTTACACTCTTTACTCAAGTCTTACTAGAGAATTATCTACCTACTATGACTTCGGAGTTCTCGTTGGTGGACGAAGGTTCAAATGGATGGACACTGCCTTCCCTGTGGCATTGCATCATAAGTTATGTCCACTCATATTTGCCCTGAACACCAACAATTGGACAGCCCTGTTCTGTAAGATTAAGTACGGAAGGATTTAGGATGGATACGTATCATTCAATTGTACCAGGCAACAGTAGATATTCCATAGATGTATCAGAATGGATCATCTCCAGTATACACAGTGACAGTAACAAACCTCGGTGACAGACAGAGGCTATTCAACACCCAGATACAGAGTCATAGAAACAACTGATCCCTTTAAGATCAATTTCCGCACACTGACTATGTCTCCCATCATCAACCAGCCAAGCGTTGAAGCCATTGAGTGAGGTCTCTTGCATTACTTCAAGGTTGATCTATCCGCAATGCGGCAACAAAGTCGAGGGTTACATCTGCCTACAAGTGAAATAGACTCGTCACGCTCATCAATCATCGGGATGTCTTCAAAGCGATAATAATAGATAGATCCGCTAATTATGAAGGTGGCCTTGGACCACAACCGCGTGGTCAGAATGGCCCGCTGTTAACGTGACAGCAAACACCCAAGCATATCCATCTTCCCATCCAGCATCCCGTGGGTGTCCCAATAGCACCCTCAATTTTTCGTTTCTGGTCGTCAAGAATTCGCAGAAATCAAGTGACTTGCGATTAGTTCACCTCCTGGATCTTGGCGGACTTTTGAGAATCAGCCTCTTCGAGCTCGGGGAGATCATCCTGCAATTTTGTGTTAGTAGAGTATTACACAGGCCATGTCCAGACGAGCAGACTTACATCGTCCTCCTCGGCATTCTCGGCACCCTCGGCACCAGCGCCACCGGCCATACCGGCCAGAGCACTGAGGTCCATGCCACCGGGCATACCGCCCATACCGGGCATACCACCAAGCTTGGAGAAGTCGATGTTACCCAAACCACCGGCACCGGCGCTGGGGTCCTCACCACCGAAGCCACCGCCGAAGTTGTTGGCGTAGTCATCTTCACCAGCCTCATCCTGCTCATCCTCATCGACCCACTGCATTCAATTAGTCGACATCCGTCGTAAATAAAATCCAATGCGATAGCATACCTTGTCGAAGTCGGTCTTCAAGAAGTGCATCTTCTGCTTGCTCTCGAGAAGACGGGGCCAGAACTCCTCTTTGAGTTCCTTCTTCCGGAGCACGAGCTCGACCTCACGGTCGCTGTGGTTGACTTTGCTGTTCTCGGGATCGATCTCGGCAAAGAGGTCCAGGGAGACGCTGTATGTTACACCCTTCTTGGAGGGGCCCTTGAAAGTAACATTCTTCTCGGTGATGCTGAGGGTAGCGTCGGATTTGGGAACATCGGCAGCCTTGATGTTGACGTAAAGGTAGTTTCGCTCAGGCTCTGAGTCGGACGAACGCTGAGCCCACGTAACTGATGAAACATGTCAGCGCATTTATTCCGACAGCGACGAAGCCATGCAATTGGCAGTCAGTCTTTCAAACCCATGATGGGATAACGTCATAGTAAATTCGGTGCAGAATGTACAGTCCCGCGTTCAAGAGCGGGGAACAAGTAGAGCAGTCACAACGTACCTTCGGGAGTCAAAGTCTGAGACATGTTGAATTAGAAGTGGTAATGTCACTGAGAAAGATTGAGGAAAGGAAGAGGGATAGAAGAAAATGGTCTAGAAGTGATGAAAAGAAGTGTAGGAGAAGCTCAACCGCATTCACTTGCTAAGCTACAACGTTGTAGAAACTGGTGGAACAATCAGGACTGACGCCCCAGGCACCAATAATGTGGGACAACGTGATTACGTCAGGGCTGACTCATGCTGCCGCGGCCGGTCAGTGGCCCTCCAACAACCCAAGACAAGGTTAGAGTGACGGTCGTGTCAGTAAACACTGATCTAAACGGAGAGATCGAAGACGATAATCCTGGTTTTCACTAAGTGTCTATTCGACCATACCCTCGATGCTTTGAAACCGCACCAATATAGCGAACGTATCTGCTTTGCCCCGCCTATCTCCAAGACGATGCCCCGGGCATGAGCCTTATCGCCGATCAATCCTCACCTTGAGACCATAATCATCCGTTGGACACTTTCCACTCATTCGATTCGAGTGCTTGACGTTCCGTCAACCCCTATACTGCCTCAAACGATGGAGAGTCTCAAGGCGGTCTTCTTTGGGCCCGACCCACAAGCCCAGGTGGGTATCTAAGCGGCTCGTTAATGCCTCCAAATTAAGAACATGGCGCTGATGATTATACTGTCAGATGAGGAAATGCAATGCTCTCATTCGCACCAACACACGGCAACTCGACCGCGACCTAGCCCGGCTGAAAGCCAGTGACAGCCAGACCCGCCAGCATATCCTGAATGCCTCAAAACGCGCCCAGCGAAACCCTTCCCAGGCCAAACAGGCTACGAATGACACTAAACTATTCGCAAGGGAGCTGGTCCGGATTCGCAAGCAGACTGCACGGCTGCATACCAGTCGGGCTCAATTACAGAGTGTGGGGATGCAGGTCAATGAGGCCTTCTCGGCGCGCAAGATCCAGGGCAGCCTTCAGAAGTCTACAGGGATTATGAAGGATGTAAACACACTCGTGCGACTACCTCAACTATCATCGACTATGCACCAACTTTCTACGGAATTAGTCAGGGCCGGCATCATCGAAGAGATGGTAGATGATGCGATCACGGACCCTTCAATGTTTGAAGAGGAGGAAGAAGAAGCGGACTCGGAGATTGAAAAGATATTGCAGGAAGTGCTTCAAGGCAAGCTCGCCCAGGCCCAGCCTGTCACTGCGCCACCTGTGGCCAAGATTTCAGAGCCGGAGACTCAAGCTGAAGAGGAGTTCGAAGATCAAGAAGCTACTCTGGCACAGATGCGCGGCCGGTTGGAAGCTCTCAAGAGCTAGGCTGCAGTAAATCCAGAACCGATTCTCATTCATCAGTCAAAGCCATCTGCGATACCTCTTATTGTTTGGAGTTGGGCGCGCGTTTCTTTCATCGTCTATCTATAGTCTATCATTCTCTCAAAGCGCGCTAGGCAGCAGCTGCACATAATGAAACTCTGTTATTCTTTTAGGACAATGAGATCTGACTTTTCAGTTTTCCTTTGTTCTCTGTTTGATCTCCAGGCACCAAGTGGCGTCAATAATGAATTGAGAATAACATCGTCCAATCGACTGATCGCGTGTTTGCAGCTGGCTCCCCAAAACGGTTAGCGCCAAACCGGTGGACTTCCAAGTTGCCCCCTCTCTTCCATCACTCATTATCCCGACACCATTCATCCTTCCCACTGCCCGCTACAGATATCTTCATCACTTCGAGCTCAACTCCTGCTCTTAAAACTTCTTCTTGTCAAGTCATCGAACGCTACATAGTCTTTACGAAGACTCATCAACCTCTTTCTCTTTTCTCTCCCTGCAAACCGCCAGCTTTGCTCCACTTCAACAATCATGTCTGCCAACCTCGATAAGTCTCTTGACGATCTTGTCGGTAGCCGTCGTCAGTCTGGTCGCCAGACTGGTCGTCGCCGCGGTAGCCGCCGCGCGGCTGCGAAGCCTGCTGCCGTGGGAGGCGTCAAGAAGCACACCAAGGCTGCGCCCAAGGCTGCTCAGAAGGCCGCTCACCCAGCCCCCGTCGCTCAGACTGGTTCCAGCAAGATTCTTGTCAGCGGACTGGTAAGTCTCTGATCTTTACACGTGTATTAAGACGCGTTTTTCGTTCATGCGCTAACCTTACAGCCTTCCGACGTGTCCGAGGCCAATATTAAGGTATGTTGATCTAGAGGCTGTCATTTGGCTCTCATCGCCACCTTTGTCGGGAATTTTGCGGCGCAAACGATCTCGACCCGCCTACGACCTCTCTACCACCCGCATCGATGGATATTCCTTGATGCATGGCACACCCTTACACATTGCTCCTTCTACAAGTCTCTGCACTCATATGTTGCTGGCGCTGTGCGAGACATGAAGTTGAGCTCTGTGTAGTACCGTGAATAGGGGTGCATCGCTCGTGTTGATTTCAGGGAAATCCACGTGCCTTGTTCTCTGAGTACTGTGCCGAGGATGACTGATGAAAATTCGTCATCCTGACCTCTTTCAATCCGCGCATCCATTCATGTTTCCTATACTTAAAGATCTGTACGGGCATCAGCGAGCACATCAGTTCGCAGTGGGGAATGGGTTCAGAGGGCAGGCTGATACCCACCTGTTGGCCCCATTTTGTGTTTGATCTCTCCGTGGGAGGAGTCTTGTTGCTATAGGGTGATTACCTATGCCAATGACTTGGAGAGCTCCAAACTATGTTTGCTGTTACCTGACTTTGTTGGGTTGACGAATTCATGGGCATCTGGCAGACCTTGCGTTCATGGCAGTGGCTTGAGAGGAAGACGCTTTTGTTGAAGGATCTGTTGTGAGAACTTGAAGGATTCATGGATGAAGTGGGACTACCTACTATGATGTTGGTTTTTGTGATGTTGTGCCGCACACGAGTGCGGCAACAAACGCATCCTCTTGAGCGACAGTTGTTATGGAAGTTGTATCTTCCTCGTCCGGATGTTGGAACGAAGTGGACTATCGATTGATGATGTGTGCTCGCTGATGCTCTTTCACCTTTGGCCGTCTTCGTTTGCGCCGCCACATTTCTTGCGGCACTCGAGAAAGCTCGCTATCTACAATTTCTGACGAAAATACTGATCGTGTCTTCGCACTTTAGGAATACTTCATCAAGTCTGCTGGCCCCGTCAGGAAGGTTATGCTCACTTACAACCAGAACGGCACCAGCCGTGGCATCGCCTCCATCATCTTCAACAAGCCAGACACCGCCGCCAAGGCTACCAAGGAGCTCAACGGACTCCTCGTCGACGGTCGCCCCATGAAGGTAAATTCACTGCTCTGGCTCACCGTATCTGCAACAATGGCTGACATTCCGAACAGATCGAGGTCGTCTATGATGCTTCTCACGTTCCCGCCGCCCCCGTCTCCCGACCTCTGACCGAGCGCGTCGCGTAAGTTGATGTCAGTCTTTCCTGCGGATCCACATACTCATTCTTCAACAGTCAAAAGGCTCGCCCTAAGTCCGCTGCCACTGCTAAGCCCAAGGAGAAGAAGGGCGCTGCTACTGAGAAGGGAGGCCGCCGTGGCAAGGGCCCTGCTCGCCCTCAAGGCCGCAACACTGGCCGTGGAAAGCCCAAGACCGTTGAGGAGCTTGATGCTGAGATGGCCGACTACTTTACCGCCGAAGCTGCCCCTGCTGCTCCTGCCAATGGCACTGCCCCCCAGGCTAGCGCCACCCAGGATGTTGGTATGGCCGATGAGATCCTTTAAACGGTTTAACAGTTGCTGCCATTGCTCCCCACCGGTGGTTCTGCATTCAACTTTCATGTTCTCGGGAGTTTCGGTTGATGCGCGGGTCATATCTCCTATTCTGCTCCAAGCTTTTTCACTCAGAGGCTATGTTTTTTTTGCTTTTTCTTTTACCCACTTCGCTGTTTACGGGTTTAATTCTTCGATGACTTCGGCAGACCCCGGTGGAGGAACGCATGTACCTACACACACAATGGAACGTTACAAATTGTAATCGGTTCTGCGCAGTTTATCTTGATGCTCTAGGGTGTAAAAAGAAACATCTCCCAGTATTGGCTCCGTTGCGACAGACGTCTGACCAGAAAGCTGAATCCCCGACTCCCTGCTAAACGAAGGACAAAGAACAAAGACGCCATTCCCCCAACCCAATCCCTTCTATCCAACACAATGAACCCACAAAACATGTACAAATTGGACCATAGCCACTAAAACACCCCAGCCCTCGTCATAACATCATGAAACTGTTCCAAAGTAACCCCAGCACTTAACCCAGCACCCCCATTCCCCTCCAGAATCATATCCTTAAGCAGCTCATCCCCAACACTATCCTCCTTCAACTCCCGCGCAATACGCCTCAAATGCGACAGCGTAATCGGGCCGTCCGTGCCGCGCGTGAAGAGCTGGTAGGCATCGTCCACCTCGGCTGCCATGGCGTCGTCGTCGCGCGTCCGTAGTTTCGCTGCTGCTATGGAGACGAAGGGAGAGTAGGGGACGTAGCCGGTTAGGGTTGGGTCGAGGGCGGAGAGGATTTCGGAGAGTTCGTGGGAGTCTGTGGGTGGGAGGCCGAGGGCGCTGGAAGAATAAATGTTAGTGTTTCTTTCTTTGTTCTTTTTCTTGGAGGTATTCTTGGAGGTGCGGTTTGTAGAAAGGTGTAGGAGGAAGAGGGGGAGGAAGATGGGGGAACTCACACCAGTGCCTTGCGCACATCTCCTCGGGGAATGACGCCCTCTTTCTCGTCTGGGAAGTCGGCGTTCTTGTCCGAAAAGAGGTGGAAGACTTCTTTTATTTCGTTCTCTTCTTCCGCGGTGATGTTGTTCTCCTTGGCGAGTTTGGAGGCGCGGCCGCGTTTTGGCGCTGCCGGTGCGGAGGAGCTTGCGGCTCCGCGCTTCTTGGGAGGCTTGCGCCGGGGTCAGATGTAGTCGGTACGGTGAGGATACTAGTAGATAGGTGAAGCTTACCATGTGTATGTGTTAGGGACAGGACTTATGGGTTAGTCGGGTATTGGCATGTCCTGGGGGCGACAATGTGGTTTTGGGGCGCTGGTTGTGAAGTGTACGAAGTGGGGAGAGCGGCTCTGGTGGAAAATGAGTCTAAATGACGATCTATGTGTGGAGGTAGTATGGAGGTAGCAAACTAGAGTCTAGAGTAGTTTACGCTTGCAAACAGATTTACAGAGGTTTGATGGAGTAATAGGATGTTCCTATAATATCTGGCTTTACCTTCCATTTGAGCAGCTGTTGAACTTTTGGTAGTCTGGTGTATTTCGTAGTTGTCGACTGTCAGGCGTCACATACTATCGGTTTTTTTCTTTGTACTCTTTGTAGTGAAAGTCGAATAATTAGTAGAAATTCATTTCAAGTCAAACAGTCGAAGTCGATCGAAAGTGATGGCAACCTGCAGCCCTGTCCATCCGGAGCTGACGTTATCTGATTGCAGCCTTCAGCGTTGGCCCTTAAAGCTCTTGATCTTCGCCTTGAGTGACTTGACTTATCTACTGACATTTCAAAATGGATGTCTCTCTTTATGTCTACGATCTATCCAAGGTGTGTACTGTGTAGCCAGTTCCACAACAAATATTCCTTAACTAATCGTGACTATAGGGTCTGGCCCGAATGGTATGTGCCTTTAGTGATGTGAAAGAAAGTGACTGATTGGAATAGTACTCCCTTGCCCTGACAGGGACTCAGATGGATGCTATTTACCATACATCTATAGTCCTCAACGGCGTCGAGTATTATTTTGGCCAGGGTATTCAGACCGCTGTTCCAGGTAGTACGCACCATGGACAGCCCCTGGAGATCGTGAAGCTGGGTACCACTGAGCTTCCCCATGAAGTTATTGAGGAATATCTGGGATCATTGGCGACGATCTATACACCGGAGGTTTGTCTATACATATCTTGAGCAAAGCAGCCAGATCTAACCAACCCTAGTCGTACGACCTCTTTTTGCACAACTGCAATAACTTCACCCAAGACCTGTCAATGTTCCTGGTCGGTAAAAGCATCCCAGAACACATCATCAATCTTCCGCGCACTTTTCTGGAAACTCCATTTGGACAGATGATGAAACCCCAAATCGAGATGGCTCTCAAAGGCGTCACTCAGGGCACTGGGGTTGCTCCTGGTCCAAGTGCCACAGCCAGGCCTGCTCCTCCCGCACCGCAACCCGTGGCACACCCAGGAGCAGGCACAGTCCGCATAGTGCGAGACAGAAGCCAACTAGAGAGCGAGCTGTCCGCCGCATCTCATTCCTTCGCGGTTGTTTTCTTCACGTCGGCAACATGTCCGCCCTGCAAGGCTGTCTACCCGATTTACGACCAGCTGGCAGCGGAAGTGGACGAGCGAGGTACCCTCATCAAAATCGACGTCGGCGTGGCTCGCGATGTTGGCATGAAATACGCTGTGTCTTCAACGCCGACCTTCATGACCTTCCTGAAAGGGAAACAACTGGAGCGGTGGAGCGGTGCAACCCCAGCCAAACTATCGGACAATGTCCGTATGCTGTTGGAAATGGCATACCCGGCTCATCCCCATCGCCAGCTCGAACTGCCCAGTCTCCAGCGAGAGATTACCAATCTCGTCATGTACAAGAAGGTTCCGCCGCTTGATAAGCTCCTTCAGAAACTTCCTGTCTCATTTAAAGAAGCTCGGGGTGTCACGGAAGTAATCAAATTTATCCAACAGCGTTACTCGACAACCGTGCCCGCCGATATCAAAGTTCCCGATTTGCATACTTTCGCCACAACATTGAAAACGACGTATCCCACACTCCCCGTCGACAGCCATTTCGCCGTGGTCGATCTGGTCCGCCTTCTTCTGCTCGATCCACGCATAAGCGGCTACTTCGCCGAAGAAGCCCAACATACAACCCTCCTCACTCTCCTTGCCCCGACCGATCTACCCTCCTGCCCATACAATCTCCGCATCGTGGCTCTTCAATTAGCCTGCAATCTCTTCAGCACACCCCTCTATCCAGAGCAACTCACCTCTTCCTCCTCCCCACTCCGCAAAACCTGCCTCGGTCTGGCAACCAATTCTCTGTTAGACTCACACGCTAGTCTTCGCGTTGTCGCCGCCTCTTTTGCGTACAATCTCGCTGCATACAATCACAACGCCCGTTTCAATGGGCGACCTGATCCACTGTCCGAGGAAGATCAGGTCGAGCTGACGGCATCTTTGCTCGAGGCTGTTGCTCGCGAGGACCAGAGCGTGGAAGCTCTGCATGGACTGTTGTATGCTCTTGGTCTGATTGTCTACGAGGCCCCGATGGATGGTGCTTTGATTGATCTGTGCCGTGCCATGGGTGTGACGGAGGATATTTCTGCTAAGATGAAGATTGAGGCTGTTCAGAAAGAACCGCTGCTTAAGGAGATTGGGGGAGAACTATTTGGCAAGGGCTTAGTTACTGAGGGATAGTTCCTTACTCCTCAGAAATCTGGGTCGGTTTCGATGGGAAGCCCAATGAGCCCAGTAATGACATTATTCTACTCAATATTTCTTGACCTGATCAGTGATGTCAGAGCGTATAGACATAGAGCGTATAGACATAGAGCGTATAGACATAGAGCGTATAGACATAGAGCGTATAGGTAGAGCGTATAGAGAAAGATTTACAAGATTGACTCCATGACTCATACCTAACATCGGTTATCCTCGCTGTTCATCTATGAGACCCGCAGACACCAAATCTACCCCGACATGACCCTTGTCATTGCCCCGGTGAGGCTCTGCAAAACATCTCCAACTTCACATATCCCGATCTCCAATCCTTACCTACTCACCTACTGTTCACCGGTGACTGTTCAAGCAGTTCTTACACTCACCCGACCTCGGCTACCCTCGGTCTCCCCACAACGGGCCCCTCCAAGAACGATCTCCGCAAAGATAGTAGTAACAGCTTTAAAAAGAAGCTTTTCAATCCCACCCAATACCCAACACCCAAAATCCTTCTACATCCTCACTCACCCTAATCATGTCACCCACAACCCACCACATAGTGGTCATCGAAGCCATCCACTGCCCAATCCCCGAATTCAACCTCCCCGAACCCCACACACGAGCAATCCACCGATGGACAGAACCCAGCGAGCTTCCCTCACGGGTGAAAGACGCCACAATCCTCATAACAACAACAATCCGCCTTAACGCCGAAACCCTTAGTCCCAGCATAACCCCCAATCTCCGTCTAATAGTCATAATGGCAACCGGCACCGACTGCGTCGACATAGCAGCCGCCACAGCCCGCAACATCCCCGTCTGCAATTGCCCAGGTAGCAACATCGACAGCGTCAGCGAACACGCAATCGGACTATACTTCGCGACGCGCCGCAAGTTCGTCGAGCTCCACAATGCCACTGCTGCTGTGCCGACGGATCCAGCGCTCGACACGGAGTGGAAGACGAATGGGTCTTTGCTTAGTCGGGTTCGGGCATCTGATGGAAAGGCGCCGTTGTTGTGTGCCGATGAGACGGTTTGCGTTGTTGGCTATGGGGCGTTGGGGAAACGCATTGAGACTCTGGCCAGGGCGCTGGGGATGGAGGTTATTATTGCTGAGAGGAAGGGGGTGGAGCCGAGGGGGGGCGGTATTTATTTGAGGATGCGTTGAGGAGGGCGACGGTTGTTGTACTGTGTTTGCCGAGGAGTGCGGAGACGATGAATATGATTTCTGATGCGGAGTTGGGGGTTATGTCGTCTCATGCTGTGCTGATTAATGTTGCTAGGGGGGTATTGTTGATGAGAAGGCGTTACTGGGGGCGTTGAAAAGGGGGGTTATTGCTGGTGCGGCGACGGATGTTTATGCTGTTGAACCGGCTGGACGGGGGGATTCGCCGTTGTTGAGTGAGGAGGCTAAGGGGTTGAATTTGGTGCTTACACCGCATCTTGCTTGGTATTCGGAGAAGACGTTGAGGAATCTTCAGGCTACGGTGAAGAATACGGTTGAGAAGTGGTGTGTTGGTGAGACTATCAATCAGGTTGGGTGATTTGTTTTTGCTTGAAGTACAGACCGGGTTCGGGGTTTGAGATAGATGGGATTGGTATAGATGTTATGGATCAATGAACAAAGAATGGTTGGGATGTAGATGGATTTCCGGGGAGTTGTGTACAGTTCTTGACGTTCAGGCTTCAAGGTCAGCAGTTTGTATATAGGTCAATGACATACTACTGTACTTGCTGGCTGGTAGAAACCTCTATGGTATTTGGAGAAGACGTTGAAGAATCTTCAGGCTACGTTGAAGAATACGGTTGAGAAGGGGTCGGGTGTGTTGGTGAGATCAATCAGGCTCGGCGATGTTGTTTTTACTAGAATCCGAGCTGGGGAATTGACGAAAAATGACCGCTTTTGGGCCTAGAGACGGCCGCTTGTCTCTCTCATCATAGCCATTTCTATGGCTTCAAAAAGAGGTATCCACAAGGGCATCTACATCCTCCACTCCTATGCTGATTCTGACAATATGGCTTGGAATACCAGCCTCTTCAAAACGACGCCGATCTGCATCCGTTGCCAACTGGGCGAATGGAGTTGAAAGTGTAAAGACGGTTCCAAAGCTGCCACCCTTGAAGATATTCACTGCATCATAGAACCGGAGATCGGTTTCGTTGTCTCGGAAGATGATACTCAGCAAATGACCGTACCTTCCATCGCGGCGGCGGATGCGCTCGTACTGTGGCCGTGTCGTCACGGTTGGATAGTTGACTCGCTCAACAGCAGGATGAGCAGCCAACTTGGCGGCGACGATTTCGGCATTTCTGTTGATAACTTGAACACGGTGGACAAAATCCCTAGAGTTGTCGTGAAGGACAGCAATATCTCCGGGAAACAATGGCTTCTCGTAGGAGACAGTCAATTGCCGGTGCAATTTCTCGTAATAAGATGACCGGGGGTTTACGACCGCACTTTAGAGTAAACTAGTTGCAATAAACTTGCAATAAAGAACAATTTGACATACCTGCCCACCAGTACATTGGCGTATCCACTGTACATCTTCGTCAGACTAGACATAAGCACATCCGCATAGGGCAAGAGGTCAACATTTCCAAATGTGCCCACAGTGCCGTCGATCAGAATCAAGTAGTGGTATTCATTTGCTAGGCGAAGTCGGGGCATATCAGGTGTGATAAGCATTGGGTTGGAAGGTACATCGACCCATAGGGCGGTGATTTGCCGCCCAGATTTTAGGCATCCTTCGAGACGATCGAGCTCTTCATCCCCAGACTTTTTGTAAATTTCAATAGCTGGCCAGCGATTCTCGAGGATCTTGACCGTTTCCGTGTACAGCCAACTGCTTTCATGTCAGAAAGGCAATCCTTCATGTGGATTGAGACTCACCCAAAACCGAAGACACCTGAGCTGATACCCAGATCACTCAAAGCCCGAGCAACCGCATTTATGGCGGACATTCCGCCAGGATATAAAAAGACATCGTTGGGTGATGGGAGTGCTTGGTCCTGGTCATCTGGTTGAAGAAGGGTCGCGATATCGTGTTTGATACATTCCAGCTCGAACGTTCCAGACGTAAACAACAACGGGATCGGCTCCCCCTTAGCGGTTAGTGTTTTGGGGGGTGCAGTACAGAACTCAGGCTTAGATGAATCGGACTGCAGGTAATCGAACCCAGTGAGGCAAGATTCGGCGTGGCGAGAGGACATTCCATCTCCAATGTTAACCCAGTTTGTAAAAGCTGCACCGAAATACTCAGTTGGGTAAATGATGGCATGAATCTCCAACCAGGAAGCTTCACAGCTATGCCTCTCAGGCTGGAAAAATCGCACAGGAACTACCGCATCGCCCGGAGCGCCTGATTCTTGGAGTGCTCTCTCACACCGAGACACGCTGGGAAGTGACCAAAGGAGCATACATACAGGAAACTCCATCCACCCCAGCAAGGCCGAGACGTTCCAAGACCCTCTTCGTCAGCTTTCGGACGTATGTGGTGAAGAAGAATCTATAAATTATCAGAGAAGTAATATCGGTCATAAGGATTGATCTGCTCACCGGGGTATTGAGTTTTGAGCTGTGAATTGAGCCAGGCTTCACCTGCAGCCAGCGCATTCATCGATTTCATGGTTGGCAATGAGCAGAGGATTGTCTGAAAAGATCGGTCAAGGCCTTTCCAAGACCAACAATGGTTTACTTACATGACGACTGTTAGCGGGAATTGCTTTACCAAGAGGCACAGATTGTGGGAGAGATATCTTCATGATGCAGGAACAAGATAGTCACAGGCTTGTGACACAAACTGGACGAGGAGGTGGGAGTGACCTGATGTTTATAGGTTCTAAGGTATGGATACTAAAAATCCCAGATCGCCCCTTTCCTTGTAGGCTTGTTATGTATTATGACCCTGAGAGTGAATTCTTCAGCTCAGCCCTACGCCGTAACGAGCTACAGATCAACGGTGTGGCCAGCTACGCGTTGTACTTGGATCGCAAGATGGCATCATGGGGTACCAGCTCACACATACCTATACATCTCACAACTAGTAAAGATTCTCTCCACTTGTATGCAGGTAGTATCAAGAAGGGTTCGGGCTTAGCTGGATCTTGAAGCCGTCTCCACCCCCAAGGTCTTCAGCCCTCGATCTATTTCATCGGGCAATGATCAACCTCGGAACCTCGTATGATTAGACAAGATCGGCGCTACTGGAAACCATCGAGTTGACTGCAGTAGTGACCAAGCCTCAGCCGCAAATTCAGAATTCCAAGGTTCAAGCCTTGCATATAAAGAAGCAAAAACACCATTTCAATCTACACACATTAGTCCCTCTCCTTGACGTATCACCAGGACTGTCTAAAGGTGAAAAAAAAACTCGTCAAAGCAGCTTTCCCTACTCCATTTCGTCAAAGCTATTCATACAAACCATTCCATTCTTTGAAGAGTCAAAAATATAAGGGCGGTGTTATAATGACGACGGAACGGACTTTCCTCCTTCGCCCTGACGAAACACGCTTAAAACCAAGGGTGGTTGTTGGGATTATCTCTACTTGGATCGTCACTTTCCTCGCTGCCGCAGATAGCACCATTACTTCAACTCTATCCGCGACCATCGCCAACGAATACAAATCTCCATCACTCGTATCATGGCTTGGCACTGGATACCTGATCGGTCTTACGGTCACCCAACCACTCAGCGGAAAGTTGAGTGATATATTCGGCCGGCGAGAAACCTTCTGTTTCGCATCTGTTATGTTCACCATCGGAAATCTGATCTGCGGTCTTTCTCGTTCGAAAACTATCATCATCATTGCTCGTTTCGTCACTGGGATCGGAGGCGGGGGTTGCATCTCCATCGCCACTTTCATCTTATCAGATAACATCCCTCTCCGGAGCCGCGGATATTGGCAAGGATTGAGCTCTGTATGGTTTACAGCTGGTATGGGGCTAGGCGCAGTCATCGGAGGAGCCACTCACGATGCCTTCGGTTGGCGATGGGCATTTATTGGAATCGCTCCCATCTCCTTTCTCGCAGGAATCGGTGTGGCGATTTTCGTGCCTGATCACCGCCAACGCGGACAAAGTCTTCAAGAGATGCTAAGGCGTGTTGACTTTGCTGGCGCCGCAACATTGGTTTCATCCCTAGTCCTCCTCCTCATCGGTCTTAACCACGAGGGAACTCGGATTGTAACGACTCTTTTCGCCGTCACGGTGCCCCTCGGATTGGTCCTTCTGGTGGTATTCCTGCTTATTGAATGGCGCTGGGCAGAGGAACCTATCATCCCGATGTCAATGTTTCGTCAACAAACCGTGATAGCCGTGTGCCTGACCGCATGGTTCGCATCTATGGCTGCGTACGCAATCATCTACTATGCTCCTCTCTATTTCCAGATGCTAGACTATTCTACTAGTCGGACCGGCCTGTATCTATTGCCAGACGGTCTCGGCTCGGGGATTGGTTCTGCCCTAGTCGGGGTCGTAGTTGGGATTACTGGAAGGTACGGTGTGTTCAAATACACAATGCCTGCCCTCATGATCATCGCCGGCGCCGGATTCATGTTTGTGACGGAGATAACTCATTGGGCTTTACCCGAGATCTATCTTCTCTGTAAAGGCATCGGTATGGGAGGCACTGTCACAACTCTCATTCTTGCGCTCCTTCCTGCCGTGCCTCATGACCAACATGCCACAGTCACCTCCGCCTACTACGCTTTTCGGTCCACGGGATGCACTATCGGACTTTCTGCCGCGACTGCGGTTTTTTCGGCTCGGTTGAATCAACACGCAATTACCACTGGGAACACTTGTGTACCAGGCGACGCTTGCTATCTCGATGCGCTTCATCGAGCGTTTCAATTGACCTTCGGATTCTCATGCGCGGCGCTTATTTCGTCGCTCTTCATTGTATCTTATGATACTAGAAAAAAATAATGGACTTCTGAAAGCGGCAGACCAGCAATGATTGCTGGAGCTCAGTATCTCCCAATATCAAAGTGATCTGGCATGAGTGCCCGGTTTGATTTAGATCCACTGGTTGGGAGTTTGAGATAGATTGGATTGGTATAGATGTTATGGATCAATGGACAAAGAGAGGTTGGGATGTAGATGGATTTCGGAATTATGATAAAGGTAGTTGACGTTTAGGCTTCAAGGTCAACACCTCGTATATAAGTCAATGACATACTATGTAGTTAGTAGAAACCCTCTAGTTATGGAACCGAGTGTACACAGTAGGTGTATTCCTGACTATCTCTTATCGAACAATCTAAGCCTCGGCACAGGAGATATCCAACTCCCCGAAAACGAGCCGCTACGGAGGATACTCCGACTGCCGATCTCCAGGACAGGAAGACTCGGGCTGTGGCTCCGTATATATGGAAATGGCTTCGTCCTTCGTATTTCGATAAACTAGCCGTCACTGACTCACTGTTTTGAGTGACTAGTTGAGACAGACACGGGTTGACATGCCTTTGTTCCGCTAGTTGACCATTGTATCCAGCACCAAAATACAATATGTACCCTCTACAGACTATCACAAATTAACCGACTCCATAGACAGCCAAAACCAAAACCCAAACCCAAAGGAAAGTCCGAGGCTGACATGAACACCAACACCTGACTAATTATCCCCAACTATTGAACCAAAATGTTCTCCGATCACATCTAACAAATATTCATTCACCTAGACATGACCATCCCTTACAAATCACGATCTCACTGTTGCATCCCTACAAAAGGAACCATGCCAACCACATGACTCATGTACTACAGCAAGGAACAAATAAGCTCTCTTACAGCCTCATTCCCTCTCGAGGCTCCGGGCAGAAGGCGAGGCTATGGGACGGTTACGCAGAACGCGAATGGGGCTGCGATCGATGGGTTGGGGTTGGAGGTTACATCTGGAGTGTACATGAACGTGGCAGAGGTGGTTGTGGAACGGTGATCATATTAGTGAATCATATTACTGTGTAGTGATATTACTGTCTAAATAGTATTATTTACGATTTCTACTGTGTGAAGAAGATTGTGGATAAACAGGCTTAGTTCGGTGAGGCTACCTAATGTACTTGAAGTACCGAGAACCAACTATGGTTGGTTGGATTTCTCAACAGGTATTGGCACATGTGCCGCCTGAGGATAGATCACCGTTGCAGAAGAAAAAGCAAAGCGCAATACGAGAGAAAGCAAAGTGGGGGTATCAGGACAAGGCGCTGGAAAAGAACAAGTCATTAGTCGGATCGGAAAGGGAAATGGAAAAGAAACACCGAGGCCATGGATGCACGAAGGGTATGGGTATGATAAAGCAGGGAAATCAAGGCGCTGCAACTCCATGCATGATAAAACGTGCCGGGTAAAAAAAAGAAAAAGGGAAAATGAGTCAGAGAGCCGAGGACAACTCAAGAGAAGCAGCGGTGAAGAGGGTGATGAGGTGGGGATTTCGGTGATTTCGAGAAACCGCCGACAGCGAAGAATTAGGTAAGCGCGGGGGCAGAGGTCGATATGAAGGATGATCAGTCATGGTCACGTTGTTGATGAGATCTCCATGATTCGCATTTGAAAGATGTGATCGGGTATCACGGTTGAAGTGAGAAAAAGGGTATTTGTTGTGTGGGTCTCGACTCTCTCCCGCACTGGAAAGATGCGGGGGAAGAAATTAAAAGATAAGAAGAAAATGACATGATTGCGAATAGAATGTGGCGTTATCGGACAGCGCCTGCGCTGCATCGGGCGTAACCGGTGGTAGGCTTTAGTGACCCGACACCTTGGAGGCCGAGTGAGCACGTCGCTTGGGCTTGGGGGTTGGCACGACACGGCGCTTCTTGCGCTTTGAGTTGGTCTCGCGCTCAGTGACAGCGGCCTGTTTGGCGGATCGCAGGGCTTTGGTGGCTCGCGCGTGGGCCTCGACTTTGGCTAGGAAGTTGGCACGATCCTCTTGTTCGCGGATGGCGCGCAGGCGCAGGAGCTGTTGTTCGGTCGTGATGGAATCGACGGAGTCTTGGGTGGCTTCCTTGACGGCCTGTTCGACGGCGGAGTTCTCGGGCATCCATAGCAAGTCGTCATCCGAAAGGTAGGCATTGGCGTAGGAGTCGTTGCTGGAGAGAGCTGGTCGATTGGGCCAGGAGGGGAAGGCATATGCGGCTGCCATCTCGCTCGAGAAGGATGACTTGCGAGGGCGGATGTCAAGGAGAGAGTCGCAGGGAGTTGGCGGAGGAGCGAAGGGACTCGACATGATGGAAGATGCGGTGCTGGTCCAGGTGAAGGTTGGCTGTGCTGGATCGGTGCAGGCGATGGGAGGAGAGCCTTTGGGGAGGGCCATCTCCTGCAAACGCGACTGGATGGGAATCATGACGAATGTGTTGATGTTGTTAAGAGGGTTGGTTAGACCAGGGCCCAGGTGAGAGAGACGACAGTGTGAAGGTGTGAAAGGTGAAATAAAGGTGAAGATCGAGGGTGGATGATGTTTATCAATGGAATGTGTGGGAACACAAATAGATATCAAAGCCGGGGGAGAAAGACTTCTAGACTCCCGGTACCCTTGCAGGTTTGAATGAAACAAATAAAATAAATCAATTAAATCAAAAAGAACAAAGAAAATAATATTTAAAAAAAGCCTAAAAGGGTAAAATCAAAATCAAAAAAATGAGAACAATCAGCGGAAGGGAACTTCCGCAAACAAAACATGTCGATCAGTTCAATTGATCAGCAATCGATTGATCTGAATAGGAATTATTTAATTGATTTTCTTTTTCTTTTATTTCCTTTTATCCATTTTCTTGATCTGTCGTTCTTTGGCACTTGTACGGGGAAGATCGGATTCCCTAAATTGCTTCTTCTTCCTGACACACCCGACACCAGACTCGAGGTCTCAAGTTTGACACAAATGTATCTATTTGTGTGTACATACTCCATAGTGAAGAAGTTACAAAGCCTAGACCAAGATCTTTCTGAGCTCAGAAAATCAAGTATTTCATCTCCACCCCTTACGGCAGGATATCAGTTCCCCGAAAGGGCTGTCCAACAAAGCTCGAGATCTGGTGAAGATCGGATTGTCTGGAATATTTGTACGGAGTAGTAGCCCCAATATCAATCCGCCAATGATTGTCTCACTAATACACCGCTCTGAAGAAAAAACACAAAGTGGGATGCACAAATGTCGGGCTGCGGGCCTAACTTGAATATGCCCTAATCGCATGCGCCCAAACGGGGTCTTCGAACGCCTCGACGCGTCGGGGATCAGCAAGTTGGCATTTGGCGGTCAAAAGTCTTTCAACACGTCGACACCGTCTTTGATCGTTATTGTTTGCAAGTTCAACTACATATTCCAACTTGTCGGAAGAATACCAACCTTGGAATCCATTTCATTTTGTTAAATTGTTCATCTGAAATGACCTCGGCCTGGCAGTTCGCGGAGTTCACGGAGTTCGCCCGTGTCTCCACCTCGGCTCAAGTCTAGAGTCCGTGGAGAATTCGAGAAGTCGAGATTCGACACTAGAAGCCTTAGCCTATGTTGCAATCTGGCTAGTACTAACCGGCTTCCGACGCCTCGGAACTTCCGCCGTCTCTACGTCTCCACGGGGATGGCGGTTAAATGCAGTTCCTCGGTATTTTGTGATCGCCTTTACTTTTACCCTCTTCCTTATGTAACTGTCTTTGTTCTAGGCGTTCAGTCAGCAAGAGCCTATCACCGTTGTCTCCCCGAAGAATATCCGTAGGGGTATATATTTTCGCGCAAATCAGCGGCTCCCCACATTCTCCCCGGAACCGCGGTAGTTTGTACTTTGTAGTGGATTTATGTCTTTGTTCAAAGTCCGCCCGTTATTAAGTCAGTCTAAGTCAGTCTAAGTCTAGATCGTGCAATAGACCACTTACAACAAAGACATTTCCCATCTATCGACTGATTTTCGAGTTGTACCCCAGACGATCACCGTTCTCCTTTCCGTCCTGTCAAATCGACATACTGTGTAATTGTTTGTCCATATATTGTATGTCTTTTGGCTTATGATGCACCAGATGACTTGCGTGATGCAAGACTAGCGTTTCCCGGGAGGAATGCGGCCGTCTTCCCCGGCCCAAAGTGGATCAATCCGCGATCCTGGGAATCCCGACCAATCTACACATCCGCGGCCTACTCGCCAGTTATCATACTCATCATATCCCAAAAGACCCTTCCTAAGCCACGACAGTACTTTAGGAAATGGATATATCTAATTCCCCATCCCAAAGAAATCTAACAGATGCAATCCATCTATCCCCCCGCTGCACCATACCCCATAATTAATGCTGGCGCGTTCCGGCCCGTCGGGGAACCAGAAAAAGGAGGTGAGCGGGTCACCAGAACCAAGGAAATCACATCCAGGTCGACGCGACAGCTCTGCACAACGCGCCTCCCGAGGACCCGTCACTCCAGTACTTATGAAGTCATAACACAGCTCCCTTGTGAAAATCTCGAGGAACAGCCACACAAATGTCGAACTCCACTCGCCTCACATCCTGATCCCCATCTGAACCCCCTTTCTGGTGCCCCCGATGGATTTTCATTGCATGCCCTGTACCTGTCTGCTGGGATATAGTGGAGACGGATGGTTCCGACCGGGGAAATGGAAAAAGGGCTGGATGGAGCTCAAGCTAAGCTCCAATGTATTGAAAACGGAAGTACGGAGACTATTGAAGCTCCCGTGAAGGATAGCTTCCTCAAAGGGAAACACAGCAAATTCGGACTACTGGCTTTGCCGAGGTTGTGGTCATGTTTGTCGTGAATCGGATGCAGCCTTGCGAAACTTGGTTTTTGCCCGTCGCACATTATTTGCTACGAGGTCAGGTTCTTTTACATGCACGGGTTTGTACTGTAGACTGAACTTGGATTCTGTGTCCAGTCGCGGATGCAGGGTTGAAGGGAGCTCCGTCTGTTGATTGTGGTATGTTGTGGTCGGATCTGGCCCCTTTGTGAAAGTGCATCGTAGGTCGGACCCACACCGCGCTCTTCCAGCCATTCCCGGGTTGCCCTGCAGATTGGGCCCATGCACTATGCAGTTCATATGCAAGATCTCTGTAACTAATTGCAAGGACTCAGATGGTCGGGTCTGCTCTTGCATACAGATTATAATAGTGGGCTATCATAGTGGGCTGCTGAAGAAAGAGGTCGAATTTAAATACTGAATTAGGTAGACGGATCAAGGCTATCGACAAGGTAAAACAACATAAGCGCATTTCAATCTGTCAACTGCTAGTTACCTCCGACCGAGGCGTTTCGGCTTAGAAAGTGCCAAAATCAATTTCCGACCGACACCTTGACCTCAATTCACCGACTCCTAGCCACCAATCTTCCATCAATACTACTGTACACCATACATCATCGTACTTCTTTGCTGCACGAGTTAAGTTCACATTCACGATCAGATGCTGTACGGAGTACATAGGCTCACATCCGCACCGGGGAACCAGACTAATAGCCTCTATTGAACCATGGAACGCACTGAACCCCACGGGGATCCCGCCGACCCACATCACCCACATCCCGCCGAGGAAATCTCAGAAGAATGTGCCATCTCACATTCTTCTGCACGCCCGCATGTGCATCTGCACTGTGAGTAACCCCAGCATCGACATACATCCGGGACCACTTCCGCGGGGTCTCGGCGATCGACAAGGGTGTGATGGCAGTGGCTGGTACGGAGTAGACGGTGTGTTTATCGACGTGTCGATAAGCCTCGAGGCTTGCCGATTTGTATACAGTCTACTCTCATTGAATGATCACGGAGCTTGGCTTGTGCCCCCTGGTTTATTGCAGGGGGGGGGGGAGGAGGCATGCTCGCATGCGGTTTTGTATGTTGTTACCAAAGCCACAAAAGCCTTGTTGTCTAGACCGAGGCCGATATGCTAGAGATTGTGAGATCAGACTTTGTGATCGAGACCGCTTGGTTGGTGATTGTTATTGGGTGCGGTATCAAGCCCTTTGGCGGTTAAGAATCAAGATGTTGTGTTTCTGAGTCAGAAGGTTACTTGTACATGTACATCTTACGCGGATTCCAGGGATATCTCTTCATGATGGGTTAGGCTGGAGACAGTCTACGCTGACCGATATTTTTGCGACCGGGTAATATGCAATTTACCCTCGCCATCACCCCGAAGGATCAAAAAAATCACTAGCAAACCTCAAATCAGTCAGTCTCATAAACACAACCAACCTACATGGTTCCTCCAACATCCACTTTCGAGAACATTTCGATAACCGCAAACCCACTAGTTCTGCAATGTACAAACCCGTACCCAGTCCGGGGAAGCCGCCTCCAACACGCAGAATTATTAACATAGCCGACCACGATGCATCTCCGAATCCTTCGACAGCCCTTCTCGGCTTAGTAGTAATTGCTTTGTTCCTGCCGAGCCGTTGCGGTCTGACATATGTACATTACGGCGCTGTCGTTTCAATCCGCGCTGGGTACTGACATCCGCGACGGCGTGGGAAAAAGTAAATATCCTTATTTTGTGTATGCTGACTGGATGAGGTGAACGTCTAATATCCGAACAGGACAGGGTCTTCTTTTTTGCTTATTTCGTGGGATTGATTTGATGCCTTGGGTTCAATTTTTCCCCCGGTGCACGGAGGATGGATGGACTGGCGGTGAATTGTGTTTTCTTGCTACTATTTGGACTTGGGCAGCATTTGGGATGTTTGAATGTTTGGGATTGTTGGGTTGTTGGGCTTGTTTGCTGGGAGGAAATTTGATGTCTTCTCTCGATTTCTGAGTGATGTTGCCCAGGGTAAGTCTCTTTCTACTTTGGGTTGGTTGGTGCTAGCTAAAAGGGCTCGGTAATTATCCCGTCGGACAACTTGGGAACAGTCCTTAATTGTAGTAGCTTATGAGATGGAGATTACTCGTCCTTCAGATCTGACAGTAGCTAATAGACAATCTTGCACAATTCTGCCCAGGTGGTATGGTTATTGAGGGGCGCCTGCCGCAGCGGGGTATACTAGATGGATGCCCGCCTCTATTAAGCGCAGCTCGGCTTCCTTTGCTCTACCTACTTTTAATGAAGACCAACCTATATAACATGCTCGGATCGATTGTTCCTGTACATACCCTCAGATTTAACGAGATGGGATCCGTTCAAGAAAACCTGTGGAACTGTCGCCCGCAACAGATCTAGGTTCCAACTGGAACGAGCCCGGCTATATATCCCGCTGCACGTGGACAGAGATCTATGAACATAGAACCTAAACCTAGCGTCGGTCAAATACCAGTCAACCTCTAGGTACCCGCTACCCCCACTGAATACCTAATGCCTTTGCTTGAGTCTCGTACTCCATGGTTGTAGCATTCCATATTCGCGTGAGGTATACATACTCGAAAAGTCGAAAGACCGTTGTGATTCTTGATGATTTTCAATGGATGTTTCTATCATACAGTTTTATAGATTAAGGCACAAGGATAACCACAAACCTTCCTACCTACCCTCAACGGACCCAGACACCAGCGAAGCAGAATCCAAACCCTCAGACCCAGACGCCGCATACATGGGAACCAGAGGAGTGGCAGAACAAGGTCTCAACCTCCAATTCTCATCCCCAACACCCGCAACATGAACCGAAGAATGACTTACAAGCCTCCTCCCAACCTCCACCTCACACATCCCCCAAACCCCCTCCAACCTCCGATCAAGTCCGCTCAGCTGATGTTCCCGATCTTCAGCCTGAAAAAGTACCTGTCTCCTCTCAGAAACAATCACCACCCCACAGTCATATTCATCCAAATACATCCCCGCCACCTCCAACCGCAGACTATCCCAGTCTATATGCTCGGGAACGGACTCCGGACCCGGCTGAGAGGTATCTGGCTCTGGTTCATAGACCCATTTAGGATTCCAGAGCTCGAAGTTCAAGGGGCTTGACCGTCCGGTCCAGAGTATCCACTTGTTGCGAGTTGGTATCAAAGTGCTGCGGTCGAGGAGGGCGACAATGTGGCTCATTCGTAGGAATTGGCCTGAGTTCATGGCTAGTTTCGTGAATTCCGAGTCGGATCTTTTGATTATTTCGAGAACGCCGATTGACGATGTTGGTGGTTGTTGGAGGAGCATTTGGCGCCAGCTTGCGGTTTTGCGGAGGAAGGGCTTGAGGTTGCGGTGGTCGGATTTATGGAGTGGCAACCTGCTTACAGCTGTGGGATTGGAGGAGGAGGAGGAGGAGGAGGAGGAGGAGGTTTGTTGCTTGAGGAGGAATTGGGCCCAGAGAATGTCTTCTAGGAGGGGGTTGCGGTGGCGCTGGGTGGGATTTGAGTTGGAGGCTTTGGAGGGTTCGAAGAAGAGGGTTTCTTGGAGCTTGGTTGAGGTTTTGATCATGATGTTCCAAGTGCGTGACACGCGTTGAGCGGATGTTAAGAGGGTTCTTGTGTCCATGTGTAAGAGTATGTTCTCGAGGAGCTCGTTGATGAGGAATATGCTGTGTGGTGAGGGATCGTTGGAAGACATTGCGGACGGTGTAGAATTTGTAGGTCTTTGGTGAAGAAGAATACCTACCTAGGAATAACCTAGATTGTTATATATTGAGGTAAACTGCATACTATATGACGATCAGTGGTAAATGAGGACCCTGGAGGACATGCGGAGCGATCTATACCTAGTAACAGACTTGCTGCGACCAACTTGATTCCCAACAAACTATTTTCGAAAGTTAGCATGGAATCAACGTTGCTCAGCATTTGGAATGAATTGCCTGAACAGAAAATGAGTCGATCCAAACCCAAATCTCCGCGACGAAAGAGGTCTTCAAATTGTGAGGCGTGGTAACTGGCCCCAAGGTACTTAATGAGGTGATTGCGGACATCACCCACGGATTGACCCTAGGACCTTGTTAGATCACCGTTCACAAGGTTCTGTCTAAATGCGATGATGGGAGAAAGGAAAAGAACAGTGTGAATGTAACATGCTGTTGCCCAGGTGAGAGTATTCCCTGGCAGTCATTGTTGACAATAGCTGGTGCTTGAAAGGGCAGCTACGAATCAATTCACGAGGAACGTCTGTCTGTACTAAAGCCAAAGGACTAAAAGCCAGTACATGTACTTATGCAGGTAATTCCATTCTGAACAGATCAATTTCGCGTATCAAGTCGAAGCCCGTGATGTTAGTACATAAATTTACACAGAGAACTCTCACAGCACCGCTCAGATCAACTCAGATCAACGCCTCAAATGCAAACAACGCGGTATTGGGTATCATAACATGCAGCAGCCGGCAATATGGCACGACTATGCTGGCAAAAGGAGAAACAGAAAGACAAAAATGGCAGCGAAAAGCGGTCATCAGGCAATGACCGTAGGGCGTGAGTCCAGTCGATCGACTGCTGGAACATTGGCGTCAACATTCGAAGCCTTCAAAGGAGGTGTATCAGGGATGTAGTCCTCCGACTGGGTGGAGACGCTAGTGGCACGGGAAGTAGAGGATCCAAAGTCCGTGACAGTAGATGAAGTAGAGATGGCGTTCGAGATACTGGAGTCGCAGAATGAGTCTGCATCGATGGGGTAGTCAGATGCTAGGCAATAAGCCTCGGGCAGCTCATTTTCAGGAGTCGTAACCCGGGATGAGCGAGGCGCGATGGGGTCGTCGATGGCTTCATAGAATAGCATGAAAGCACCTCCTTGGGAGAGCACATGATCTTCACTGACCATCTGCACATCATCATCGCTGAGCCGCCACCAACGTTCGGGTTCGTCCTTGTAACCTTCAGCTTGAAGGATCTCATCCGGAGCGGGAGCTGAAAATTCTGAGGTCGGGTACTTGCGATAGCAAATGTAGTGTCCGTTCTCGTGTCGGCCGTAATGGGTGATGATGGCTCGGAGTTCATATTGTCTGCTGGGGACTTCAATGCTTTGACCCTGCGGAAGCATTGACCGCGAGGGATTCGTTTCCCATTGCTCCGAATCGTCACCAGATTCCCGAGAGGCTTTGATGCCAAGACACCAATCGTTTAGATTGAGGGTTTGCGGAAACGCAACAGCTGCAAGATTCTTCTCAAGCGCCCCAGTCATTTCATCGAACACACTTCGGTTGACATGAATAGCAAGGCAGCGAGGAGCCCGTGCGATGACAGCCTGTCGAGACTTCGTCGTCGAAATCCAGTTCTTAGAAGGGATGCGACATTTTTCTTTTAGTGTAGTGTCGCTGAAATCATTGCTCTTCAATGCTGCCTCGACGGCCGCTAAACGTGAGCAGGCCGACTCTTTGACGGCACTCATTGCCTGGGCGTTGCTAGCTGGCTGACCTTCAGTCTCTTCAAACCCGCGGATCAAAGTGGAAAGCTGCTCTTGTTGATGCAAAAGCGTGCACTTGGTGCATTCAACACCGTCGATGGGCTCAAGTGCCATATATTGGTCCAAGCATTCACGAATATCGTAGACAGAATTTCTTCCCAGAGGAACAGTGAGACAATTGAAAGGGATTAGCGAGAGCCCTTCCGTCCATCCGCAGTTCATGCACCCAACCCGTTGAGCGAGTAAACCTTCGAGGGGATTGCAAGTTGAGACCCTATCAAGATAGAGCTTGTCCGTCGATGGGAGTGATTCGAGTTCCCCAGACATGCGTTCGTCACTGTCATTGTCTTTAACCCGGAATACGTTCTCCTCCGGGCCTGCAATCTTCAATCCCAGATTCGATGTCTGCCCCCGTGCACCCTTCTCGGCCTCAAAGTCGATTTGATCAATCAACCTGGAAAAGTATTCTTGAGCATCTTGCTGTTGCCAACTGCTCATGGACTTAAGGGGTCCCGCGACCCACAACTTGGTTCCGCTTTTGTTGGCACTGTTCAAACTGTCGAGAAGGTCCAGCAGCGCCCTGTGGGTCGAGATAGGAGCCTTTCCCGAGAAATTGTCAATGTTGAAGCTTAGGAACTCGGTGAGGGATTTCAACGAAGCCAACCCTTGCATAATACTGTTCTGAAAACAAGAGTTGTTCCAGTTGCCCAGCCCCGGGGGTGTGGTATCTCTTGTATCTCCCAGCACTGTGTTACCGAAGATGGAGACGGATCTTGGCCGCGAGAAGGAGAGGAAGGGCTTGTCGGTGTCTAGGCGCAGAATCCGTTTCATGGCGTCACTCTTTTCGTGGGGAGGCAAATGGGCTGAGATTAGAGACTCGCGATCGGACTTGGATATGCCAGGATCTAATGCGATAACGATTCGAGAGGGGATAAGATGGACGAGGATATCCCAGAGCATGTGGAGTAGCGATACGGGAACAAATCCGAGATAGCCGAGTACGATAGGAATAGAAACAACAGCAATAAGAAGATACCCTAGCATATGGTTGTTCAGTATCGGAGTGAGGGCAGTGTCATAACGGCTGTTGCGACTTGAAAGCTGATCAGGACTGGGAAAGATCTCAGGCCGTGCAGGGCGAAGATTCATTGTCGATGAATCCAAGAGAATATCTGGGACAAGAGAATGTCTCCAGCATGAACAAGAAGCATGAGTGAATAGTGACTCGTAAGGATGGTGTAGGAAGTTGTGCTGAACAAAACACAAGATGGCTTAATGGCGCGAAATAGTTGCACAGCTGGTCGCCTCTGTCTACCGTAAACTTTTTTTTTATCGATAGCGATTCCCCCCACTGAGATTGTCAATTCTTCATAACAAACCCTACCACAATGGCGAAAAGCAGAAGTACGTTGGCCATCTTACAATACATTGATATCTGTGTATCTAACAGTCGAACAGATCAAAACCAGCGTTCCCGCGCAGCGCGCCGGGCTGCGTCCCCAAGTCTGGATCTCGATAAGTCGGTGACTTCGCTTCCCCGAGCAGAATCCCCGACCGCACAAAGGCCTTCGATCCTGGTTGAACGTGCCAATGCCGGTGTCCAGAAGAAACAGAAGAAAAATGACAAGATCACGAGGGCCCAACGCTTAAGGCAACAAAAGGGAATGGACAGAGCCGAGGCAGTCCTGGATCGATTGGAGATCAAGAAGGCGAAAAGTATGGCTCGCGGCAAGACCGTCAACGCCCGAAGGGTATGAAATCAGAGTCGTGTGGGTTGGGCGTACAATTTGCTAACAATGAACAGGCTGATTGGGAAGATACGAATCGCAAAACCATGTCGTTCAACGCTCTTCAACAAGACGACGACGAGGATAGCGAGGATGACGATGCGATGGCCGATGATTCTGCAGCCCCTAAGGTCGCTGTAGCAACAAATGTCTTCGAGATGGCGACTGAAACTGAAGGTTCCAATCCCGCAGTTGATGAGCCTGCCCCCACCGATGACACCGACGAGATCACCTGAATACCGCTAGAGCAGGCCTGCGTGGTTCCTGATAGATGTCGAACATCGCTAGTGGGCTCACTTGCGTGGCCTCAGCTGGTTGATCATGCGCTCGATCTCGGTGGCTGCGGGGCCAGATGCTTTGCCGCGGAGGAGTTCTAGGGTGTTCAGGTCCTTGGTTTTTTGTGCCTCTTCTCCGGCCTGAACAATCATTCCGCATTTCAGCCACATTTCAATTCTCTCAGCGGGGGGCAGGTGGGTGCACTTCGGCACAAAACCTGAAGCAAGTTTCGTGTTTCCAGCACCCAAAATTTCGTTGTAAAAAGGCTATCTTGTGTTAGCATCTGTCTGGGTAGTTTGGGTTCTGCGACTCTCTTACCTCCCATCCGATTGGGGATTTCTTGACCTTAGCGATTTCCTCTAGTTCACCCCAGTCACGTTTAGCCACCAACGCTCTCAATCTCAACCACCAGAATGTTTTCTCTGGCATTCTGAATTCACTTTGAATTCTGTGCGCTCTTTTCCCGTAACCACCTCGGACAAGTCTGTAGACTGTCTCATTGAGGCTAAGACCAACAAACTCGCTGTGGTCTGCCAGGTCTTTGTCCAATGCTTCTTGGGCCTTCAGAAGCTGGGAGGCTTCAGCGACTAACTTCTGATTTAGCACGACCGTCGGCTCCTTGGAATCTGACAGGAGGCGAGATGCTAGATGTAATTTCTCAATCCGGCGCGTCACTTCGGTCTCTCTCAATGCCTCCGATAGTAGCACGTTAGCACCGTCAATAGGCCGATCATCTTGGTAGAACAGATCTTTTAATAGCTCGATATCATCACCCCGTGCAGTGGTCTCCACCAGTGCCGAAGCCATGGGGCGAGTGTTGATCATCCGGAAGAAGCTTGCGAGCGGCAGCTTGCTCTTGAGGTGCAGTAGCACGTAGTTCACCAAGTCATCATCCCCACTCTCGATTGCCTTATCGAGGGCAAGCTCATCTTCTTCCATATTCAAAAGCAAAGGAACTTGCTTACCGCCCCGTGGTTCATGATTGAGCAATTGGGTCGCCAGATGAGATCGACCTTCGTCATAAGCAGCTTGGGCGATGACTTCGAATGATATACCTGGCTTTCCCTCGAGTCTTTGAACAATGAGCTTGCACACAGCTTCGTCATCGACAGTGGAGACCTTCACTTTTTGGCTGGCCCAGTGAACATAAATTCTGTCTGCAGGAATCTGGAGGTATTCCGAGATCTTTATTGCAAGCAGATACTCATGCCGGCTGATCAGGCGTTCAATAAGCCCTTCTGGCGTAAGGCGCAAGTATTGCTCGTAGGAGATTGGCAAGCCGATCTTGTAATCTCTCAGTGCTTTGAGAACGCGTAGCTTTTCTGTCATCTCTACGAACTCATCGCTGTTGTAGAGTTCTAGGACAGATTTCCCGAAAGAGGCTGCCTTCAGAAGGCGCTTCTGCCAATATGCGTCAAATTCATGACCCGCCGCCTTGATGCAGGCGTCAACTGCTGAAGGTAAACTTGATCGGATTCGCTGAATGTTCTCGTCAGCCTTTGGTGATTTCTTTTCTAATTGGTCTACCGAGTCGAGGAGCACGGAAGCCGGAGAGGACGATCCGAGACGGAATATCTCCTCAGTCACACCTGTAATCTGTTAACGGTGGCCTCATCTCCTTCTTGGTATATCAACTTACTAGCGACCTTGTGCACAAATTCGCATGTGTCATTAGTTATAAGGCGGACACCGTCAAATTCCGGTATGACGTGAACACGACCATCGTAATAGTATCTAGGATCATTAGATGGTGCTCCCAGACGTCCGAAAAGAGACCCACTCACTTCGATGCAGCCCCGTTGGGCCCGACAAGATGAATTTCATCTTCCCATGCAAGAATGACAGCGTCATCGCCACACCAACTGACGGTATCTGGCGGGACCCGAGATTTTGAATCGTATTCGCTGAACTTGTTTTGGAAGTCATTGCTAACTACCCATAACTTCCCTTCCGCGGTGAAAAGAGCGACAAAGCGCCCTGTTGGGGACACACTGATATGTTTGAATGGGCCATCTTGCAATATCTTGTCTTCCGCCTCTGTTGAATCGATCAGAAAAACGGTCTTGTCAACAGCCAACAGAACTTCGACAGAGCGCGAGAGTGTATGCGCTGGAGGGATCAAAGCCCATGATGAGACCTCGCCTTCCGGGCAAGGTGCCAGGGGTCGCGGCCGAGGCTCATCGTATTTGGACACGGCTATCAGCTGGTTATTGGACAGCAATGCAACGAGGCCAGATGACCAGAATTGGCAGGCTCTCACACCATATTCTTCGGTGCCCTGCTATATTATCAGTTTTTGCATGAGGAAGAAAGGCAAAAATCACCGATCCATACATTGCCAAGAGAGAACGACGTGAATTCGCCGTCAAATCCAAAGTAGCGTCGTACTGTTCCGTCCTCGGAGACGACTAGCAGCTCTTCCTTATCGGACCAACCCACGCCACGAATAGTAGCTTGCTCCCACTAAGACGCGTTAGTATACTCATTCTGGCTCGATCAAAGGTGGAGACCAACGTTTATACGATTGATCAGCTGTCCAGAGCATGAGTAAACATCAATTGTTGAGCGATGACTCTGTCCGTCGCGAAGCCTGAACGGTTTGGTCTCATCGCGATACAGCGCTGATAGGCGATTTAGTACAGACCCTCAATTTGCCAGGCGGAAGTCTTACCAATAGCTCCTCCGTAGGGGGCGCCCGCGACAATGTAGTTCTCTAACTCAACGTCATCCTCAAAGATGGCGTCGTACACGGCGATTTTGCGATAAAAGCTATCTCCAACCTTTTCCCAGTTTGCCAGTGGGTTAGGAGGCATGACTGTGGATCTGAGCACTAAGTGAAGCACTGGATGCCCAGTTGTTCGACGTAAGAGCTGTTGATCGGGGAGGACGGGGGTCACGGGCGCCAGGCCTGATGGGGTGAGTTTGACGCCTTGATTATCAGGCGGATATTCTCCACCTCAATCCTCGACTTCTTTCAATAGTTGCATCTTCATTGGCCACCTATCGTTACTGAAATCATGAATGATACAGATCTTGCAGATCTTGCAGAACAATTATCCGATCTTGAAGTGGCATTGTTTCTGTGTCTTGTTGCTCGAGAACACTGCTTGATCGAAACGACTAGCTACTGTATTCGCGACCTTGCCAAAGAGCTTGCCTTGGTATGCCGATGCATGTCCTTGGAATATTGGAAATTCGGCTGACTTCAACCCAGATTAGCTCCAGCACATTTGGTTATTCATATTGTGTTCTTGAATGTTCTTCTGCAACGTCTATTGAGGACATCTTCAATGACGTACTCAGCCCGGATGCACGCGCGAATTATCGCCCGTCTCGTCCCTGGATGAACGCTGAGACAGTATGTTCCCAGTCATTCTTTACTTGATTGCAGTATACTCATAGACTCAGTCAAGCAAACGTTCTTCCTTTAAGAGTCTCGACAATTACAGCAAACCACCAGCTCCACTTTCACAACTACCAGGCAGTAATGTTGTCAATGTTGTCGTTGCGAAGAACTTCAATTATGTTAGTGATGATATCCAAGTGCAGATGCTGCATGTAAGTATCTCGCCCGGCAGCCTCACAAAGACACTGCTGACATGCAGTAGTTGATGCGCTCAAGGGAGCTGGTCACCGAGAACGGGGCCCTGAATGCGCCTGAGGACTTCCTTTTCATCCCTCTTGTCGCACGGGATTCCGATCAGCTCCAACCGCCTTTAAAAACACATCTGGTCAGTATTGTGAAGGATGCCGCAACTTGATAGCTTTATAACTAACGCCATAGTAGGTCGATAATCTTTTCGTTTCTCATTTCCACAATCCGGGGTCTGGCTACACCTATCTTGAAGAGAATGATTGGCTGTCAGATGGACAACTCTCGGCTTCCTCTGTTATCCATAAGTCGAAGCAAAAGCAAATGAAACAGGCTATGGTCAGCCGAGCAGTACGTTTGTCACTTCCAATTTGTTCCATGAAACCCTGGTTCCTGACCTCGGAGCTTATAGGCTCTGGAATCACTTCGAGAAAGAAGTGCATTAGTAAGCACGAGCGCCGAAGTTGTTCGATACATCCAGGACATAGTTGTGTTCTTGCGGCTCAGCCGCGCTGTTGCGCGTGGCGTGTCCGCCAAAGCGAACATCCAGTTCTCTCGATTTACACAGTGAGTCTGAACAGATCTGTATCTGTTATCCGGTTCAACTCGTGTCATTAACCGCATTATGCAGACTGCTAGCTCCTCTACATGGTATCGATTACGTGACTCCCTCCATCGTGGCCCTAGCCGCTAGAAAGGTCTTTCGCCATCGCATCTGTGTTACTGCTCCTGGCGAGGACCGCAGTTTACAGTATGGGAGCAACCTGCATGCGGTGTCTCAAGTTCTTGCTGACGTGACACCGGATTCAATTCTGGATGGTGTTTTGGCACTTGAGCCGCCGTTATGATATTGATCGGTTCGTACTTTTGATTCTTGCATTGGATACCCCGCGAATAGGTACATATCTGGAATTCGTGTACTTAGAATAATACTGCTGCGAATTCTACATAGGAAAGGTTGACACCTTGATTTGCACTCCGCCGTGGTCAAATATCAGGCGTGATACGTCAGAAAGGGTCGGATTCCACCACATCCTTTGGATAGTGCCAATAGCTTGATATGCCTGTGTAAAGGCGGCTCGACAAGCTCGACACCTCGAGATACCCCCATCAGCTGACAAGAGTGGTTAAATCGCATTCTCTATCATAAGGAACGTACCCGAGGGGCGTATCTAGCAGGATCGTACCCAACCTCTCACCTGGCACTGCCAGTATTTGGCCACAACCTCAAGAACAAGTCTGGAGGCATATACTTCCCATTCACGCCCTCATTCCCGGCTTCATTTCTCTCCGCCGATAAACACAAATTACCATGAACTGCACCAGCGGGTTGTTGACTCAAAGCCTCCATAGCCTTCGAATGCGCCCGCCACTCAGACAAAATAACATCAATCTCAATCTTCAAGTCACCAACAATAGCATCCATCTTGATATCGTTCCTGTCATATCCAAACGGATCTTCCAACTGCGACCCAATCCCCTCAATCCCATACAAAGTGAAAATAACAAGACTAACAACAGGAACAGCCCACCACCCCATCTCATCAACCATAGCAAACGGCAAAACACAACCAAACAGCGCAAGGACCTGTTTTTGATGAATCCTATTTCCAAAATCAGTAACCAAACCCCCTTCAAATGATTCAATTGAGAACTCACAGATGAGCAACAGGCATCGGCGTCAATTTAATCGTCTCCATCTTCCCATAAGCATCAGTCAAAGTATTCAACTGCCCCTGCATCTGACTAGCCCCAGGCGCGGGAAACCACCCTCGCTCCTCACCCCGCTTAATAAACCCATCAACCAAGAAAGTCAACTGAAACGGCAACCCCAATCCCTCATGCTCGTGGCCCTCCAGTCCAGCTGGTAGCAGATTCGCATATTCGGGGTTATACAGCGTTGTTTCATGCATATTCAGATCCTCCTCGACGGCATTTCCGAGATCCCAGGCAGCGCCCCATTCAGCGCGAAGATGGTTCTTCACTGCGTGGGGAATTGCCATGAGGATTCGGATTGTGCGTTCTATGTCTTCGCGCTCGGCGAGTGTGGGCGGTCCGCTCTTGGCGCTGTGGCTGTTTGTTGCGATTGTGCGGACGAGATTGCGCACGCAGGTGTTGACTGTGTTCATTCCGTTGCGGCCGTCCCAGAAGCGGTTGTAGGAGGTTTGGTTGCGGAAGACGAGCATTAGGCCTACGACTATGGAGAGGGAGGGGATCTGGTTTTATTTCAGTTTCTCTCCGGGATGGGGGTTGGGTATGTTGGGATACATACGATTGTGCTGGGTAGGCCGACAGTTTCAAAGACGTAGGTATCCAGGTATACGATCAAGGCTGTGAACATGGCATGCAGGAAGACGGGAAATAATATTGCACCGTGGATTGCGCCTTTGATGAAGCGGAAGACTAGTGGCCATCTTCTTGGCTTAGCATGTATTGTGAATATTAGACATTGTGCAGCTCACCTTCTTGGCTTCAGCCGCGATGACAGCCGATGGGGATGTGTGCCCCGTCGCTGATGATTACCTTGTATTGTAGTGTTCTGGCGACTCAAGGTGGGGGTAGCTGTCTCGCTGAAGTTTAACCGCATCTCGAGATATAGACTCGAGCTGTGGTCAGTCTCGGATATTCCAACAAAATACTCGTGACACTATCTGTGTTCCTTGGTGTTCAATACAGGGCTCGAATCCGGGGAAGATTCAGATCTGGACCGGGAAGCTGTCCACGGTTCGATATCCAAAGCGGGTCCAGGGATTTGCTTGATCGGACCCACTTGGTGGTCACTTTATGCCGCCACGTGATACTACTACAATGATAGTATCGTCACTATCATCTCTTTATCGGCCAACAAGTTGGGTTACGAACTGGAGTTGAATTGATGGGACTTCCAGTTCCTGGCTTAATTTGACCTGTCTCAAGTATTAAGTCCCACCACATGCACTGGCCTAGTGGAGGTCTGGGGCCGCTATGCCAGGGCTATGCCAGGGGAAGGTCCTAGTAACTCCACTTACAGGCACAACTGGGACCACGCAAGGGCACTTGGCAGCAGTGGTTCACCTAGAGTTCATTGTCGACATGATTTCAGTCAACAGAATACCCTAGGAGATCCTGACCTGAGCCCAAGCTCGACCAACTTGAGAGATTACATTTTCGAAGCGCTGTTGGGAGGAAGGCGCGCAAATTGAGGTTAGGAGGCATTGTAACACCATAATATCTAGGGTCTTTTCATAAGCAGGGAGGCCACACCGATTAGGGCCAGTAAATCAGCCATATTTAATCACGTTGGATGTACACGCTGGAAAGAATGAAGAATTAAATACACGGAAGCCGTGAGACGAGGTTCGTCCGAGCTGGCGAAGGGGGTATCTTGCCGCCATCCATTGTTATCCGCATTATCTCATTCAATGCTCCAGAGAACTAATCCCCGACAATGGTCAATGATGTGCCCAGGCGCGGTCCAGCACGCTAGATTCTGACCAGGTTAAATGTGCATGAGATAGAAAGCAATGCAAATTTAGATGATATTAACTCAGAACACCCGCTTCCCAGATATGGTGTAACAGATACGACCTGAATTAAGACATCCCAGCCCGACCATCGAAGGCTAGAGGGCCTGAGTCGTTCCGTGGAGTCAACGGGTTGTCATCGGATGTGGGCGTCTCAGATCGTAGTTGTGCTTGGCGAGGTGGCACACTGAGTGGCTGAGTTGGTTGCCATCCAGGTATATTACTAGTTGCACTGCGAGCGAGGTCATCGGTGCTGGAAGGAGCGGGCGAGGCAGTGCTTCGAGTGTCATCGGTCTGTGGTTCATCTTGTAAATGTAGGTTCTGGACGTCGTTGACCAGGTTGTCTTCAGCAAGCTCTTCGAGCTGATCCTGAGTTTCTCCCGTGCGGTTCGTTTCCGAGACCGAAATTTCCTCCGGTTCGGCCTGCTCTCCGGAGTCGTTGGCGGCTTGACCTTCCGTTTCCTTCACTCGTTTCTCCTCCAAGTCATTCGAGTCATCCACTTCGGCGCTGAGATCGGTAAAGGCACGGCAGTTGGGGCATTGGAACATCGGGTAATCAGGCGAGTGGAGCAGACGACTGATGCATTTGTAATGCCAGACGTGCGCGCAGGCTGCCATGAATAGACATTGGTAGGGTCGCTAAGGAACAATTAGTGAATGTCATATCATCAGAAAAAGAAAAGAAGGAACGAACAAGAACGGAGCCAAGGCAGATGGAGCATTCGCGGCAACCCGAATAATCAGCTGTTTCCCCCTTGCCGAGGTTTTTGATCAGACTCTCGGTGTTTTTGCTGCAACTCTGTTAGTATCACACGACACTGCATATCAGATCGCGGACTAACTTAAACTCATTAGGCTGCTGCTGCCATGATCGGTTACATTCAATTCGAATCCGAACACATCGGAATATCATTTCTTCGCCACCTCGGAAGTCGATACCCAGCTGCACAATATCACCATCCTTGATGGTGTACAGGCGGGATACCATGTTCGGTTGACTCAGCCGCATGTGATTCAAAAAAGTCCCAGAAGAGCTGCCAACATCCTTGATGTGCCACTGACCCTGCACATACAAAAACTCGCAATGTTTCCGACTGACGACCTTTGATTTGAACCCCACAGGAGCATCCGAGGGTTCGGTCGGGTTGGGCAGGGGAATACCATCCCGCTCCGAGTATCGGCCAACGCGAATAACACAGCTCTCGGATGGCAGAGTACGGGTAATAGGGACGAAAGGTAATGAGGGCCTCGAACTCTGCTGAGAGTCCTGGTAAGGGAAAAATCGAATGGTCGCCTTGATTTCCGACCTTGACGTGGCCTCCGACTCCTCAGCAGGAGCGCTGGTGGGATCATTCACATTGTTTTGAGCGCTACCGGGTTCGGGGGACGGTGTGGACGCCTGGGAGTCGAGGGTTGTGGTCCGCTCTACCATGCGAGGCGGTGGACGCTGGGCGGCCGATGAGCTCCTCAACCGCGCCATAGCATGAGGTGTCTGGGTAACGTCGTGCGAAGGTGTAGAGGCAGCAGACTCGGTGGATGATATCTGACTGTTGAGTTCGGCGCCAAAACCGTAACCTGGGGCGGGTGCAGATGTGTAACGAGAAAGTGTTGGTTGGTCACTTTCGGGGCATGGAGGTGTGGGGTTCTGATGGGTCGGAGAGATAGAGCCCGAGTTCGAGAAGCGCCAAGGGATTCGACTACTGAGACTATGCCTGTACGAATGCCCACTCGGTAATGAAGATGACAAATTCTGAGTGTGACTTCGTAGAAGGCTGAATCGACGCAGCCCGCGACTCGGGCGAGGGTTGTCAGGGAGGGAAGTGGAGGCGGTGACTGATGCAGACATGGATTCGACTTTCCGGACCATGAAAGATCTCGATGTTTTGCCAGGATACAGACAATCCAATAGTACCCAAAAGCTCAAGATGGCACGTTACAAGTGGGATCTGCAACTGGGCTGATGCGATTCAATGGGGAGTTACCCGGTCATCATACGATCAATGGGCGGGATAAGGGATGAGTTTCAAAGCAGAGTAGGAACAAAGAAGTTCAAGGTGAGAAACAAAGAGAAGTAAATCAAGCCAATAACAAGTAGCAAATTGGAGAAAGGGAAAAGAAGATAATTGAGGACTCAGAGCTCTATTGGATCGTATACTCATGGAATTTTGCCCATTTGCCATCGGTTATTAAGGCCCTGACAGTCAGCATGTCTTGGCGGTGCGAAGGCGATTTCCCCGCAAAATCGATAAGGCTTCGAACGCTGCTTCCCTAACAGACTATCAGGCTATTAGTAGGAGCTACTGCGTATAAGCTTTATCGAGCTATCAGCCTATGCCCTATCATGCTATCAGGTATGGAAACTACAGTCTACTGGTTTCTTCTCTCTCCCTGTCAGCTATGATTCCAAGACTCAATGCTCATACTCCCGCCTTCACATGAAGACAGGCGATGGAAGGGAAAGCAGGCAAAGGAATGACTCGCCACAGCCTTATATTGGGGCACTGGGTATGGTCACAATACCTGTCCCTATATCGCATGTGATACACTTTCAGCGACAAAGGTTATGTCCCCTCTAAATCAGGCTAAGATGTCCCTATTCAATGTGACTCTAATACTTTGTCTGGTGATCATCTGCGTCACTTGAAGACCAAAATCACAAGAGCAAAGATAACGATTCTCATTGGCGAACAGTCTTGCACGGACCTTCGAAAGAGGCTGGTAACGGGCGACTCGGTTCGCTTCAGACGGGCCGAGTCGAAGGTAAAAAGTGCCTGGAAACCGATTCGGTGGAATTAACTGTAGTCTGTATGGTGAAGAAGTTCCTTATAGTAGAAGTAGCAGTTATGCAGAGGTAACACAGTAGAAGATGTAGTGGAAGCAGTCCTTGGCTATTCCGGATTGGTCAGTCTTAGAGCTTCCCGATGATGCACGTATCTGGAGCTTGTGAGTGGAAGATCAAGGTCGAATATGCTCATTTGTCCCCTTGAATATAAATCCATGGTCTTGTAATCAATGTAATGAAGGTTAGTGAAGTTATCTTCATGATATAGAATGAATATAAATTCTAAATTAACGTAGTCCATCCCATAGTTAACCACCCTCGAAGCTATTGAGCTAATCTCAGGTTTCTGCCTGAGGAGACTAGTTGATCTCTCCTCCCCCCTCCCTTAAGACTTTCGAACTTCCTTCCTCCAAGCATCAGGAGGCTTCCCTCCATTACTTTAAAAGTATCACGCGCCAATCTTCTACTTCCTTTTTGTTTTGTGTTCCTCCGAAGCTTCGGTTTTATGCGTCCTACCCCTTTCACCTCGCCCTCGCATCTCCCGACCGCCCCATCCTGCGCCTTTATCTCCGTTGACCTCACACCTTTTGCAGGACCGCGCTTGATGCGGGCCTGCTAGCCAGCATGAGTGGAATCGCAAGTGCCTGTCTGTCCTGCTTTTCAGCAGTCGACAGATGGTGTCATATCACAGCATGTCTCGGTCCCATCGGAGCTCGTTCTCGAGACGGTATCTACGAGACCACCTTGGCGGATAATGAACGAGAAGCCGTATCAGATCTGTTAGGGTACCTCGAAAATGTACGTGCATAGCTGCTGGGTAATCTGTTTGCGAGCTTTTGCTCTTCTTTGATACCAGACTGCGAAATCTGCCTGCCTCCGTGCATCCTGCTGACTTGGAACGACTTACAGCGCGCGGAGACCGATTTCTTCAACGGCGAACCTCTACGAGCATTGAGTACCCTCGTCTACTCTGAAAACGTTGACCTGCAACGAAGCGCCAGCTTAACCTTTGCCGAGATCACAGAAAGAGGTGCGTATCACCGGCTCGCATGGCAATGATGCAATACCTGACCATACTCTCATCTGCAGATGTGCGCGAGGTCGACCGCGATACCCTCGAACCTATACTTTTCCTACTACAAAGCTCGGATATCGAAGTCCAACGGGCTGCTAGCGCAGCGCTGGGTAATCTTGCTGTGAATGGTTGGTCCCGATCCCAGTTCCCTTCCCTTTTACCCGCGGTCGCTGACTCGGCGCAGCTGAGAACAAAGTCTTGATTGTCACTCTCGGGGGCTGGCTCCCCTGATTCGCCAGATGATGTCTCCCAATGTCGAGGTACAGTGCAATGCAGTTGGCTGCATCACCAATCTCGCGACACATGAGGAGAACAAGGCCAAGATTGCTCGCTCGGGGGCCCTAGGCCCTCTGATCCGCCTGGCCAAGTCAAAGGATATGCGTGTCCAGCGTAATGCAACGGGCGCGCTGCTCAACATGACGCATTCTGGTACGTGATGAACACCCATCTGAATGGGCACTGTTTCTAATGAAGCCTAGATGATAATCGACAGCAACTTGTCAATGCCGGCGCCATCCCCGTTCTCGTGCATCTTCTCTCATCCCCCGATGTCGACGTTCAATACTACTGCACAACAGCTCTCAGCAACATCGCCGTTGACTCGACAAATCGAAAGCGACTCGCCCAGACCGAGTCGCGCCTGGTACAATCTTTGGTTCATCTAATGGATTCATCCACCCCGAAAGTCCAATGCCAAGCGGCGCTCGCTCTTCGCAACCTTGCCTCTGATGAGAAGTACCAGCTTGAGATAGTTCGGGCTAAGGGTCTTTCTCCACTACTGCGACTACTTCAATCGTCATACCTTCCTCTTATTTTATCCGCCGTCGCTTGTATTCGCAACATCTCTATTCATCCTCTCAACGAATCACCTATTATTGAAGCTGGCTTCCTGAAGCCGTTGGTGGATCTCCTGGGCTCGACGGACAATGAGGAGATACAGTGCCACGCTATTTCTACGCTTCGCAACCTGGCTGCTAGCTCGGACCGCAACAAGGAACTTGTTTTACAGGCCGGCGCAGTCCAGAAGTGCAAGGACTTGGTTCTCCGAGTCCCGCTTACGGTCCAATCCGAGATGACTGCTGCCATCGCTGTGCTGGCCCTCAGCGAAGAGCTGAAGCCGCACCTCTTGAAGTTGGGAGTCTTTGATGTCTTGATCCCTCTGACGGGTTCCGAGAGCATCGAGGTACAAGGCAACAGTGCCGCTGCTCTGGGCAATTTGTCTTCCAAAGGTGAGTTTCTTCTTCCATCTTGACGTTCTTCGTCCCTCTCTCCTGTCATCATGTACTAATTACATCGCAGTTGGTGATTATTCCATGTTTGTTCGCGACTGGGCAGATGCTAACGGTGGCATACATGGCTACCTTCATCGCTTCCTGTCCAGTGGAGATCCAACATTCCAGCACATTGCTATCTGGACCCTCCTCCAACTTCTCGAGTCGGAAGATAATAAGCTCATTGGATATATCTCACGGTCTGAAGACATCGTACGGCTGGTCAAGGAAATCTCCGACAAGAATATCGAGTCGGATGACGAGGAACTGGATGATGGCGAGGGCGAAGTCATTACGCTCGCCCGCCGATGTCTGGAGCTGGTTGGCGCTGGCCCTAAGCAGACACTGGTGGAAGCTTAGGCCTTTGTCTTCCCAGTTCATCCCACCATCGTCGCTGTTTCGGCTCTTTCTATGTCTATGTTGACCCCTCTGGGTCTCTCTTCTTTTCCCGCCTCTGGTCTTCGTATGGCCATTTCTTTCTTCACTTTTGTCAGCGGGCATCTGGAGTGGTACGGGCTTTCCTCTTGTGTTTTCCATCCTTTTTGTTGTTATATTGTCCATGGTACGTCTGGGCTGGTGCTATTGTCTGTTGTTTCAACGCATAAACTGTGTATTCAGGTTAGATATGAGCTTTATAATTTAGTTGCTCGAAAAACTGTCGACTATGCTGTCGAGTAATTGAACCTGACATATGAAAGGATGAGAAACTACACAGCTCTATGTCAAACGGAGTAGATACATGCAGTGGACCAGTGGTACTGGGGTAACCTAGACCGGACAAACGTAATACCGGGCCGTATAAGAGCTCTCCAAAAAATGCTTCCCGAAAAATTAGTCCTCTTCCTCCACCTCATCCTAATTCCACCATGAATTCTCTTCCGTCAATCGCGATTCCTGGCCAACGCCTCGGATCTACAGCCACATATTTCGCTGGACCCGGCACACACGTCCATCAAAACGCCGTCTATGCCTCCATCGCCGGACCCGTAGTTACAGACGCTGCACCGCCGCAGACACGATCAAGGCCCACCCTCAGAGTCTCACGAGTGACCGATACCAAGCATCCCAGTCCCTCAGCCGCAACCGCTACCACATACAAGTCGAAGCCCCGCTACAACACCCTCCCCGCTGTGGACTCTATCGTTCTCGCACGCGTCACTCGTGTGCAGAAGCGACAAGCCACAGTCTCCATTCTCGTCGTACTTGACGAGTCCACATCACAACCGCTAGACCAGTCAGGGGCAATCTCAGACAAAGAATACATGGCGTCTCTTCTCACATCCGCGGCCAACCCGGAAAACCACAGCAACTCCGATGATCTGCGCTTTCAGGCACTTATTAGGAAAGAAGACGTGCGGGCCGTTGAGAAAGACCACGTTGTCATGGATGAGATGTTCCGGGTGGGCGATATCGTTCGCGGCTCGGTGATCTCGCTTGGCGATCAGAGCTTTTACTACATCACCACCGCGCGCAACGATCTCGGTGTCTTCATGGCTCGCAGCGAGGCGGGCAACATGATGTTCCCTGTGACTTGGAAGGAAATGAGGGATCCTATTACTGGAATCAGTGAGTCGCGGAAGGTTGCCCGGCCATTCTGAGAACAACATAGTCACCTACTTGGACTCATTTCCCTTCCATACGTGGTTTCTGGCTGTCTATGTGACTAGCCAACAACCTCGTGCCTTCGACCAACCCTCCACTGTTGACTGATTGTCCAGTGGGCTCAGTCAGCAACAACCAAGCAGGCTTTGGCAGCCTTGCGCGAGCCTGACTTGAACTCCAAGAGCATGGTTCTTTAACTTGGGGATCAATGGATGGACAATCCACATCCCCGAACCCCACCGAGAAATGGCTTTGAAGATCCATACTTACTCTGGGCTATCAAGCAGCAGCATTCTGCTTGATCCTGACGACTTTCATGTTCTACTGAGTCGGGCACTGCCCGCGTTCCACTCAGTCCCCCTACACCCCTATGTGCTGCCAGACATGTGTATCATTGACTTCAATAACGACTTTAGAATAAAGATACCCCACGGAACCATGACTGAAAAGCTCATGTCGTTTCCGTCTTTCATTTTCTCTCGATCTTCGGACATATTCCTGCTGTCCTTGCTTGCTGTCTTCAAGTAGAGCAGCCTTCACGCTGCCAACCGTAGACCCTTCTGGGTAACCCTCCTTAGTATACACGGTCGAGACCTATGCCATGTCGGACTGTGTTTGTCAAGAGAGGAAGATTGAAGCTTTTCATCCGAGAAGCACGCGGAGGACTCTCATCCCCTGTGACCCTCCGATTCATCTGTCATGTCCAAGTTTACCCAGTGCGACTTGACAGATGATTCCGGAGTGACATTCATAATACCTTCATACCACGCTGTCTATCTACCTACACACTTATCTCAAACTTCAAAAAATGCATGCAGAAAACCTCCATTCTCAATCATTTATAACCAAATACTATAACTTATTTCTTCAACGTCTTCTGCTTCTCCGCATCAATCAACTTCCGACCCTGAACAACCAATCCCTTCCTACTGCGCACAGCATCCATATACCGCTTCGCAACATTCTGCTTATCAGCCAGCTCACCGAGATCCTCCAGTTCCTCCTCGGTAGCGGGGACCCAGAACGGATCCTCGTCGAGGGCTTCGAAGCCGGCGAAGATCAGCTGCGGCTGCGCAACGCCAGACGTGCGCTTGCGGATCTCCTCTGCGAAACCGAAGGACTCGGCTACGGGGAGGAGGGCGATGATCGTGAAGAAGGGTGTTCCTTCTTTCATAATTTCGGAGAGAATGCGGCCTCGGCGACGGGTTATGACTGCGTAGACGCGACCTAGGACTTCGGCTTTGGGTGAAAAGATGGGTTAGTTATGGGGTTGTGTAGGATGGAAGAGATGGGAAAAGGAGGACTTACTCGTTGCTTGGATCTCGCAACTGTACATTGCGAGCATGATGCGAGGACTCCAGTCTAGGAAACCGGCTGAGATGCCTTCGCGAACGAGTTTGATTGATTCACCTGTTAAACGGCCCATGTCGAGTTCGTCGCCGTTCGCCTGCACGGAGAGATCCTCCAGGAACACGGCTACGCCTTGCATGGGCTCCTGGCAGAGGGGACCCTGGCCTGTTGCGAGCTGGAAGGCATAGGCGATCTTGTCGTTGAAGTCGCGGACGAGGAGAGCTTGCTGGTTGTCACCGGGAATCTGCTGCTTGATGTCGTCGACCAAGCTAGAGAGACAATGTTAGCGCTGATTGATAGTTATGATATGCTCCAATACTAGACTCACAATTTCTCGCAGGTATTGACGGCCGTTGCATCGACTAGAATGTTGGGTCCGACTCGGCGGGGTCCGAATGCAGTGATTCGATCGACGACGTCCTTCCATAGCTCTTTGTCTTCCTTGACGTCGTCGTCGAATACTTTGGCTAGTGCCTCGCGGAACTCCTTCTTGCAGAGAATGCGACCTTCGGGTGCTTCGCCAGTGCCGTCGACGACAGCTTCAACGGCCGTCTCCGTATCCGTTCTGGCTTCGGTCTCCGAGCGCTTCTCTGACTGGACTTGCTTGATTGTTCCCACTTGTTTGGTCAAGAACTCTGTTACAGCCTCTGGCAGCGGGACGACACGCACACGCAGCGTCAGTTGCTTCGAGGCTGAGACGGTGAGAACGGTCCCACGTCCGAGTTCGGGGTGCTTGGGAGCGGCCATCTCGGGGCCATGAACAATGGTTTCCCGGTAGGGGACGATAGCCTCGCCTGTTTGGATCTCACAACGAGCGAATCGCTCTCGGAGATCCGTCACGCAACGCTCCAAGTGTAGTTCACCTGCTGTGAGAATGACGTGCTCACCACTGGGTAGCACTTCGTACTGTGCGCAAGGATCACTCTGTTCAAGAAGGCGTAGACCGGTGACCATCTTGCTCAAGTCGGCTGGGTTGACTGGTTCCAGGGCGACTCGAACAATGGGCGGCATGCTCAGCGAAACACCAGCCAAGTTGACACTTCCGTCAAGTCGGCTGCAGAGTGTACCTGTCTTCAACACATAGCCTGCAAGACCTCCAATTCCAAATACTACACCGGCCGGTACTGACTGGAGCGGCTCCAGTGCTCTGCCCATCATTAGGTATAGATCTGTGACCGTAACCTTCTTTGGCTCCGGGCTGGCGTGCGGGTTGGCTGGTGAGAATTTGGGTGGGAGGACATATATCTCGTCTCCAACTGAAAGGGTTCCTGAATAGAGTCGCGCGAAGCCAATAAGATGGTCAGGATCCTCTTTCTCGACCGGCTCTTCTGGTTCATCTATCGTCTCAGTAATCAACGAGGTGCTTTCGAAAACGGATGTCATGCGCTCAAAGTCATCTGCCTGGCCGTTACTGGCCTCTGCCTGCATCTTGGCAATCTCCTCTCGCTTGCGGCGAGCAATCTCCATGGCTTCGCCCGCGGTCATAGCACCACCGCCACTCCGCTTCTTGCTTGCCAGAAGCTCGCTCTCCGGGATCGCAACCATCTTGCTGACATATGCCACAACGGGTTCCTCGGGTCCTGTCTTGAACTCAATCATGGCCTTTTTGATATCCTCGGCAACGAACTCAGCACCAGGTGACGTTTTGATCATTTCTGGTAGTCGGGCAGCTTGCGCAGCGGGGGGACTAGGTAGATATTCAATGACAGAAACCAGTAGGGCAGTAGATAGAGGCAGCCATTGAGAGAACAATGTGTTCATGATGTTTCTGGGATCACGTCCGCGCAAGACGTATGCCGGGATGTTGATGTTTAGCGACTTGGTAATCTTCTCCAGCAACACCGGGTCCCTAACGTATGTCAATATCAAACGTCGATACGGATGGTCAGAATGGGTTTCTACTTACCCCTTTCCTTTGTCTCCGCCTGTAGTAGCTTGATATGCCGCCCAAATACTGTCCAAGACCAACTGAACGAACATTGGTTTCAGAGCCCGTCCCTTCAGATGCTTGGTGCCCAGGACACGCTTAGTCTTCGGGTCAAGATAGTAATCACCCCAAAGCACTTTCTCCAAGACGGTTCGTTTGATTCCCAGTTTCTTCTCGTAGATGGCAGCAAATTGCCTGATAGTGAAAGCCCAGCCATCGACGGCACTGCCAAAGATGACGTTATTTTTCTCAGGTGCAAAGTAGATATTCTCGTCGTCGCGCTCCTCAAATTCAGTCGCCTCAGTAATGGGCGATGCAGAGTCGTCATCTCCAGCTGACTTCTTCTCTTTATCCCGCGCAGCAGCAGCGTTAATATTATCTTCCATGCGCTCACGCCACTGCAGATCCTCTTCCATACGCTCCCCTTGGTAGAAACTACCAATGACAGCGTTGACCTGCTCCAGCAGTCGGCTAAGATGCGAGAATGCTTCAGAGGGACTCATCTTCAGTTCGGTGATCAAACGGTCCATTTTGTTAATGACTAGAATCGGCTTCAATTGCTCGACCCAGGTCTGTCTTAGAACTGTCACGGTCTGACTACAGACACCTTCGACGGCGTCGACAAGAACAACGGCACCATCACAAAGACGCGATGCTGTTGAGACTTCGCTGCTGAAATCAATGTGTCCGGGCGAATCGATCAGGTTGATCAGATACTCCCGGGGCACTGGTGCTGCGTCTGGGCTTGGACGACGGAGCATTGAGAAGAACAGCGAGATGGCTGATGACTCCATAGTAATACCTCGGAGCTGCTCATCTGGACGAGAGTCCAAGTAGCGGATTTTACCCGCCAGCTTGGGTGAAATGATGCCATTCGTGGCAATGAGACTATCCGTCAAAGATGTTTTGCCATGATCCTAGAAAGATACCAAAAAGAAATGTGATAAGCATTTCAGACACATGAATGACTGACAGTTTGACTTACGACGTGGGCCAAAATGCAGATCTAATTGATGTTAGTATAAAGCCGTGACATCAGACATCAAGGTGGGATGGAGGGGCACACATTTCTTATGTCCTCGGACTTCCGCTGTAAGCGGACCAGCTGGTCAGTATTGACCACAGGCATCTTATCTGATGAGAAAAAGAGCAGCTCGTACGGAGTAAAAGAATGAAGCCGGAGGGCCGACTGGATCCCGCAAGAGAAAAAAAAGAGAGAAAAAGATTGCAGAAAAGTTGCTGATAAAGAAGTGCCCTTGCCCGAGCCCTCAACAGCACTTCAATTACACAGTTTCTTACTCGGATCGAGTTGGATAAATACCTCTCTTTCAGATCCAAATGCTATTTGCAGCAAATTCTTCTATGTGCTTGAACCTGATGCCAAGAGGCAGTATTTACACCTATGACGCTATACAATCCCGGTTATGTTGACTCATTATGAGTCCCGCAAGCCTTACGCTGAGTAACCGGAGCACCTAGCCCTGACTTGGAAACTGGTATGTGAAAAAATATACCTCTTGCCTCAGCTTCTTATTCCTCGTCAAAAGAGAGCTTGATCTTCTTGGACTTCTTTGATTTCTTCGCCGCTTTGGGTTGCACCTCTTCGGTCTCAGCCTTGTCCTCGCCCACCACCTTGACCTGTTTTCGTTTCCTCTGGCCTCCAACTTCTGTGAGATTGCTCTGCTTCGTGGGACCAAGTGCTGCTGCTGCGGGGTTGTCTTCGTGGGCGGTGGATGGGTCCTTCGCGGAGGTAGCGTCTTCGCCCTCTTCTTTCGAACCACTCTCGCCAACCAGTGCCTTGTATTCCTCTTTGGAGATCACTTCATTACTTTCTTCGTCGACATACGTAGGCTCATCATCGTCGTCATCGTTATTGACCTTCAGTCTTGTTGGTCGTAAGGCGGGCCGCTCCAAGCGACCGGTGTTGTCTCCATACTGGCTGCGGAGCTTCTGGAGAAAGGCCGGCTGCTTTGCCTCTGATATCCAAATCAGAGGGAAATAGCACATGACGTGTAATTGAATGTAGACATACCGTATTCGAACTTTGGGTTCTTCGGCATGGTGAGGATGCTGCGGCCAGAACCGATGCTGCTAGCGAATTCGAGTGAAGCTCTGTGCTACCTTCAGCTCGTTCAGTCGATCATTGAGAGATATGCATTTCTTAAAGTGATCAAAATAGAGGGAAGCAGGGCATCTCTATACACAGTAGGCAAACGGTAAGAATTGGAGGTCAATTAGAGCCAGTGTAGCTTCAGTCGGCAGTACTACGCTTGTGTCCGTCTACGTGCATACTCACCGCCTTGTTCTCCGCCCTCTCCACCGCCTTGATCCCCACACCCAAAAGGTGTTCCAACTCCAACGTAACTTCGCTATCAAATTTTCTGCCACAGGTATCTGCCCACTGATCTTACACCGCCCAACAGCTTCAGGCGCTAACCGCAATTAGACACATCGAAAAGTCCCAAGGAGCCGCTCCGCGTCGACTGCTCTCTATCGACTCTCCTCTATCAAGATCCATTTAATCATGCTTTGTGCCAGTAAGTAGCCCCATTATTACTGCTCTTCAGCGGTCTTATTTGGCACGGAAATATCTAACTCAATCTCACTTCCAGTCTCCGGAGAGGCGCCACAAGTGCCCGTCGTCTCTGTCAAGAGCGGTAAGTCACCACGATCACCTTGCGCGCAAGACATTCCCATCTCATAGTCAAACAGGCAATGTTTTTGAGAAGCGCCTTATCGAGGCATACATTGCAGAGCATGGCAAAGACCCTGTCAATGGCGAGGAGCTCACCACCGACGATCTGATCGATGTCAAGTCGCAGCGCGTTGTCCGACCCCGACCTCCTACTCTCACATCCATCCCGTCTCTTCTCAATGTATTCCAAGAAGAATGGGATGCCCTAGCACTGGAAACCTACACTCTGCAGCAGAACTTGGCACAGACAAGGCGCGAGCTGAGTTCGGCGCTCTACCAGCACGATGCCGCGGTACGGGTGATTGCACGTCTGACACAGGAGAGGGACGAGGCCCGTGAGGCGCTTTCAAATGTCACGGTCGGCGCCACTCGCTCTGGTGGTGAGGCTATGCAGGTGGACTCCACAGGCTTACCCCAATCTGTGTTGGAGCGGATTGAAAGTACACATGCAGCGTACGTTCCACTGGTGCTTAATCCGTCCATTCTTGGGACTTGATGCTGACTCGTTGACAGGCTATCTAAGACCCGTCGTAAGCGCCCAGTTCCCGAGGGCTGGGCCTCAAGTGAGGCAATTTCCACATTCAACCCAACTGAGACCTCTGAACCTCTTTCTTCCGGTGGTCGAGCTCTATCTCTCAATTCGACTGGCGATTTGGCTCTTATTGGCGGTGCTGATGGAGTGGTGGGTGTTTACTCGCTTTCCCAGAAGAGCGTGGTGCAGACTCTCAAGACAGATGGTCCAGTCACCGGTGCGACTTGGGCAGGCAACAAGGTCGTTGTTGGCTCATCTACAGGTTCCGTCAAGGTATTCGAGAATGATGCTGAAGTTGCAAGCTTCAACTCGCATGCTGGTGAGGTGACAGCTGTCGCAGTTCACGCCACTGGTGACATTGCCGCATCTGTTGGTGTCGACAAGAGTTATGTACTTTACGATCTTGCCACGAACACTGTGGTATCTCAGGTCTTCAGTGACGCCGGTAAGGACTTACCATCTAGGACAGGAACCTCTAAGCTCAACGCTAATAATATTCTTTCTACAGCTTTACTGTCTGTCAATTTCCACCCGGATGGTCACTTGATTGGAGCCGGCACCGCAGATGGACAAGTCAAGATCTTCGACGTCAAGACTGGCGCTGCCGCTGCAGACTATGCGATGTCGGGCCCGGTCAAATGCCTTTTCTTCTCTGAGAATGGCACTTTCTTGGCTGCGGTGGCCGAACAGTCTACCACCGTTTCGATCTGGGATCTACGCACTTCGAAGGAAACCAAGGTGCTGGACACAGGTAGCCAAATTAATTCGATCTTCTGGGACTACACTGGCCAGTTCCTCCTGGTTGGTGGACCTGGCGGTGTGACCGTGAAGCAATATTCCAAGGCCAACAAGGAATGGTCAGAACCTTTGCGGCGTGCAGTGCCTGCTACCTCAGTTGCTTGGGGTCCTGCTGCTCAAAGTATTGTGGCATTGAACGAGGCGGGTGCTCTCACAGTGCTTGCGGCCCAGTCATGATCCCCAGGATGAATAGTGTACGATTAAAGCTGGTCGGAATTTGAATCGTTAACTGGTGTTTGTCTTGAATCAATTGCAGCTCTGAATCCAACCAAATGCCCACATCAACTCCATAAAATTGCATGTAACAATGATCAATGAGGTTGGCACCCGTGTGAAGTCCTCATGTATTTAGATCGTTAATTCGTCTGGAACTTGCTTAATTTACTGATAGGCATTCATCCTATGGCAAATCGCCTCCAGGACTTCAGAAGCAACTTAAATAACTACGAAGACCCCCTTGGGGCCTTGTCGCTGCTTCCCAAAAACAACAGTAAAACTTTCGATCCCATGAGGGAGCAGTGGGACCGCCAGGATCTGTTGCCACTTCCACACCGCCTGCCATTCCAGGTAAACTTGAACCACTTCGCATCATTGACAAATCTGACCGCCTTCTAGACTTGACATTAACGCTCTGACCGCCTTGAGACTCGGTCTAAAGACAAAGATGGACCACCCCAATTACATATCCCCTCTCTGTTTCACGTCAATCCATTCTCACTCTGCTATTCATCGCTGTTTACCTTCAGTACTGGGTTTTGAAATGAGTGATGACTCTGGCGTCCAGTTTACGGGCGCCAGAACCAAGGTAAGCCTTCATCCGTCGTGAAACGGGCGGGGCACCTGATCAGATCACCACGAACGTAGCTAACAAGATTCCTTCTCTTCCAGCGAACACACCGTGTTATGGCGGCCGAAAATGACAGAGATCGCGAGGCCGCTTGGGAGGACTACTTCCATCCACCTCCATCCGACTACGATCATCAGTCTACCAGCTCGCCACACAGAAGCCGTCGACCTGGGTACGACTATCGACGGCCAGCGATGACCTCCCCTCAAGAAAATGCCGTGATAGACTTGACGAATGAATCTGAGGATCCCCCGCAAGCAATGAGGCCACCATTTCCTGGGCGCTTTGGTCTTCCACCACCGCGCCGTCAAAGGATATATTTTAGGCGAGACCCGATGAGTCGCGATTCCCCTGTGGATACCAATCCTCCTGTGATCGACCTCGAAGCAGAGCCACCGAGCGACCCCAGTGGGGATGTCCTGTATGTCGGGACTTCCTCTAGAAGGCCCGATCCAGACGAACCGAGGTTCCTCGACTTCGACGGCATTCCCATGGACTATCGCGCCACACAGGGGCCAAGGCCAGGGAGCCCAGGGCATGATCCAAGAAGAGAGTTGATGGCTTTACAACACTTACACGAAGGTTTCCTGTCGGCGATGGCTTCTATGCCAGGTGGACTAGACTATCGATCTCGCCGTTCCGCCTTTAATTCTCCATTTCAGCTAATATCTCCGCCTCCGCAAGAGATATACAAACCACCCACCCCAGCGCCAGAAGGTTTCACCAGAAACTTTTCGGAAGATAGCATGCCTACTTGCCCGAACTGCAAAGGGGAGCTGGGAGCCGGAGAGGGACTGAAGCGACAGATTTATGTTGCTAAATCATGTGGACATGTGGGTAGCAAGCTAATCCAAACTTGAGTTACACCAAGGAAGCTAATAATATTCTCAGGTTTACTGTGGCGAATGTGCCAGCAATCGGTCTATATCGAAGTCCAAAAAAGCAGCTTCAAAAAGCAAGCCGTTCTCAAAGTGCCAGGCCGCAGGGTGCAACAAACCTGTAAGCGCGCCGACGGCAATGTACCAGCTTTACTTATGATATTCACCATGGGCATTGTTTCTGCGGGCGCTCAATCATTTGCATTCGGTGTTATGGCCATGTTCAAAATCATTCCGTCGATACCCAGGATGCATACAACTCACAGGCGTTGTATTTCTTTCACGCATTTACGATTCAAATAGGGCTGGTTTTCTGCCTACATAGCGTCATGAGGTTTCATCCCATCGTGTACATCCATTGTCTCCTTGTAAAATATTTGGAACTCCTTTCCTCGATAAGTAGGTAAATACGAGGGTCTCTCGATTGTGGCCCAGATCGAATACTGGCCAGTTTCAGTACGTTCATATCAAGGTAGGAGGCTAATTCTGCCTACGACTGAGGTTGGAGAGACTTGTTGTCTTCAAATTAGACTTATTGTCTTTTAATCTGATGCAGTCTCCAGTGCGGTATGCATAAAATGGTCTCAAAACACCATTGGCTTCCATGTAGCAAATAAAACAAGAATGATAAAAGAAACAGAACCCAGGTCAATTGTACAGTAGACCGCAGTGGAGATACCTGAGAGTCACCACCACAGAGAGAAAAGAAACCATAAAAAGAGAGCACTTTCGTCTAAACGCCCCGAAGATCACCGTGGTATGGTGACCAGATACCACGCACACTCTCGTTCAAACTGGTAACCGGCTTCTTGGTCCGCTTCAGCTTCTCTCCGCTAGCTTCCTTCAAAAGAATTGCCTTCTTCAAGATGTCATGAGGCTCCAAGTTGCGCACACATACGGGCTTCTCACGGCCGTTGATGTAGAGGCCTTTGATGAGGGGGTGTTTCTGGGGCCGGGGAGACACGCGGATCTCGATCTGAGGGTTTTCGCGGGCGAAGGTGGGGAGAGTCTTCTGGAGAAAAGCGCTGTAACAACCAAGGTCAGCTTGCCTGATTCGAAAAAGGACTTTTTCTGGCCATCGAGTAAGCACTTACACCATGCCCCTTGAGCTGCCTGACGAATTGCAGTAATGGAAGTCAAGGCGCTTGCATTGAAGGATGAAGGCACCGGCGCCGTTCTAAGCCATGTCAGCTGCGTCTGTTCGACATTCAAACCTCGAAGACGAATATTCCACATACCCTGGCTGCCGTCGTCGTTCTAATTCCGCGCAAAGGCATTGTGTAAGTCGTTAAATTGTTATCTTCGTAGTTTCCAATCCGCAATGGCTCTTCGGGGCATTTTCTGGAGGCACGTGATATTGAGGGCGGTGAGCAGCCAGCGCCAATGGCGTTTGCAGTAACGCCCCTCGCCAGACGCTAACACCAGAACTGCGACGCGAAGCTCACACTCCTGAGCTCGACTTACGCACATCGTCTTCATCGTACCTCTGTACTTCGTCTGGTCGGTGATCTCGCTCAGAATGACGGACAAGCTCCCCCCGCCACTTTTGGCGCTGTTCCAGCCCAGGCCACCCCTTCGATACCTGCCTCCCAATGATCGCGCACCAGGAGATTGTCCAAAGAGCACTCTCTCGGGAATTGCCCAATACGTTGCTGAGGCCAAAGCTTACGCCGAGGAGGTTCCCTACAATGCGACTGAAAGCTGGGTCCAGCGCAAATTGCGTGAAAAGACAGAGAAGAAAGAGTTGTTACAGAAGAAGATCGATGAGGATTTGCAAAATTGTACGCTTTGTTTTCTTCTTTCATTTGCTCATGTTTCGGGAAGCTAACGGATGTCCCACAGTCAATCCTGAGAAAGATCCTCAAGCCCGAGGTGATCCATTTAAGACGCTCTTTGTTGCACGCCTTAGCTATGATGTCAAAGAAGCAGACCTAGAGCGAGAGTTCGGCCGATTTGGCCCCATTGAGAGAGTATGTTTTGTGCTATTTCCCTCTGTGATGACGATCCATACTAATCTCTTGGCTCCAGATATCCCTCGTCAAGGATACAGTATCAGACAAGAAAAAGAAACCCCATCAAGGTTATGCATTCGTTGTGTATGAGCGCGAGAAAGACATGAAAGGTATCCCTACCACGCCAGCCCACTGGCATGAAACCACCCCCTGCGCTTGACTTTGTGGTAAGATACGTCGCTAACGCCAGTTGTTCACCATCATCAGCGGCCTACAAAGAAACAGATGGCATCCGCATCAAAGACCGACGAGTATTGGTAGATGTCGAGCGTGGCCGTACCACCAAGGGATGGAAGCCCCGTCGCTTTGGTGGCGGTCTCGGAGGACGTGGATACACCAAGGCTATGCCTTCTCGCCCCGGTGGCCCTGGATTCAACGCACCATCTGGACCCGGTGGGTATGGAGGAGGATTCCGTGGTGGTTTCGGTGGTAGGGGCGGAGGTGGTGGCTTCCGTGGTGGAGGTTTCCGCGGCGGTGACCGCTTCGGTGGTCCTCGCGGTGGTATCGGTTATCAAGGCGGCCGCGGCGGCTTTGGTGGACAAGCACCCCCTAACGCCCCATCTGGCCCCGGTGGTGGGCGCAGTGGAGGATACAGAGGTGGCTTCGGCGGCGATCGCGGTGGTGGAAGATTTGACAGGGGTGTAACCGGCAGCAATTCGGAGCCTGTGCGCCCCAGAGATAGCTATGCTGACCGTGACCGCCGTGACTACGATCGTGATGATCGCTACAGAGATCGCGGTCGTGACCGCATGGGCGATCGAGGAATGGGTGATAGGGGGATGGGAGACCGAGGCGGAGACCGTTACCGTGACCGGGATCGTGAGCGCGATAGGTATGGCGGCGGTGGCCGGGATGGCGACCGAGAGGACCGCAAGCGAAACCGCGAGGATGAGCCTGGCTACGATGACCCCCGCTCCCGAAGGAGATACTAAGTCTTCGTGTATCTGGAAGTTGTCCCTTCCTGCATCGGTTCAGGTTTGCTGGTGGGTATCAATATCACTGATCTACCCAGTTTTCGTGCCTCTTGTTACAAGGGTAAGGGGTGTCTGTCGAATATGGTCTTCGACCATGTGTGATTAGCATCATGACGATTACAACCACCAATGTGCTCCGCCTCCACTTACGATATCGGACTCGTCGATGTCGAAGTGCTTCCAAGGTTATTTTCAATGTTCCCTACTCGGTCCACGCATACGGCCCGGCAGACCGAAGCTTTCATGAACTGTGCTTGTATTCCCCGTTTTCTTTGTTGATTTATTTCCCTGGGTGTTCTATGTGTTTTCTTTCCTCCCTTGTGTTTCATTGTTCTCTTTTTTTCCCCGTGTCATTCCTTGGCCCTGATGAGATCGTTCATTCTACAAGGGTAGGTATTTGTATTTTAGCTGGTCGTTTGAAATGGAATCAGGTGAATGCTCAGGTAAGACCAGGTAAGGGCCATGAGAGATAACCGAAGGCAGGTATCTCGTTATGTATATAAAACTCTAGGTAATACAGCTAGCACTATGTTTGACGAAGGCCCAAGAACGAGGTATATTTATAGACTTTTTTTCGGCCTAGTATCTGACCCTAATCGTAGGCTCATGATCCAGGAGGAATAAGCCCTCCAGGCAAGAGAGAAAGAGAAATACAACACAACTCTTCAAGATATTTGCAAAGGAAAGCGCCCTCACCAAACTCCATAAGATGCCCAGCAGAGTTCTTTTTTCAGCCACACAGAGGCCAAATGGGAAAGAGAAGAAAAAATCAAAAAACGGAACCCAATCTATGCATCAACATCCATTCCACCCTCAGACTCGAGGATCTTCACCTCCTCACTACTCCGAGTCCAGTAGGCCTTGAGCTCGACCTTGAACTCAGACGAAGTGATACCGAACATCTTCATCAATGTAGTCTGTCGCGAAGTCAATGTCTCGCCCTCTTTGCAAACAGGATAACCCTCCTCGCCCTCAGTCAACTCGAGCATGACCTTGCCCTTCACCAGACGGGTGGGGACACCGAGCTTGCGGAGCGCAGGCTCAATGGTGTGGCTGATGGGCTCGTCGTGTTCAGCGGGGATCTCGCCGGCGCGTGCGGTGACCAGGCCGTTGGGAATGGTGAAAGAGCGGGTGGCGATGGTTCCGGCACGGGCGAAATCCTGGGGACGGAAGGTGTTGAAGTGGGAGATCACGGATTCCGGAGTGCGGTTGGTGAAAAGCAGTCCAACGGCTCCGGCGAGGAGGGGAGTGAGTTTGTGCACGTTGGGAGCGGCCTCGCTTTCGGCGTCATTGCCCAGGGCCTTGGCCATGACTTTGGTCTTGCCGAAGAAGACTCTGCAATAGTTCAATTGTTAGAGTGATTGTGTTTTTGCGTTGAAGGATTTGCATGTAGAGATTTGATATTGGATCCACCGCTGGTTTCTTAACCGCCTGGTTCCAATTCAAGAGGTCGAAGCAAATCCAAGGTGTTCTTCTGCTTACCGGCTGTCGGAGAATTCAGTGCGCACATCCTTTAGGTATGTGTTGCGCATGTTATCGACCGCAAAGACAAAAAGATGGTCATATTCATCGATACATTCCCGGATGTTGGCGAAGAGCCGGCGGGTCTGCTCCTTGTGATCTTTCTTTTGAGTCTTGGACTCGTGGACGACGCGCGCACGCTTTGAGCGGGGCATGATGAATTATTTGGAAAAGATTGGTTGTTTCTTGAATTCAGACAGAGGGTTGGATGTTTCCCCCACAGACATTTTTTCTTCGTTGATAACCGGATCATCATACCGCCGGGCTTATCCAACGCTAAACTCAATGGGGCAATCAGCTGTACAATCAGGGTGAAGTTCAACCTCAGTTGCGCTCAACTGAGCTTCTTTTGTTACTTAGATCCCACTACGTGAGTCCAATTATTGCCTGTACGGGCTAATTGCAGATGATGCTGGACTTTATGGACTATATCCAGCTGTCCTTCGCCGAGGCGACTCACTGGAACCGTGACAACTCGTACTCGTCACTGACAACGACCGCCCAATGTATGTAATTGATTGCTCCTCCAGGACTTACTACGGTATAAGCAAATTGCAGTACTAACACAACTGGTGTAGCGATTCTGGACTTCTCGACTCCCGAACGATTGCGCGTTCACCTTTCGTCGTTGGCCACCCCTCATTTCGCGACCAGCTACACCCTCGGCACTGTTGGACTGATCGATGGATCGGTCTCATATCTGTTTAGTACCGTACCATTCAACAACCTACCGAGTCGAAGCGCATTGATCCCGCTTCGCAAGATATCCCCAGGATACCGACAAGTGCAAGCCCCCACAGCTCCGATCCAAACATGGGGCTGGAACTCGCTATTAGACAGCGTGAGCATCCCAGGGCTCAAAGACGCAAATCACACAGAACCACCAACTCGCGCAGACGATGAAACAAGCAAAGAAAATGACCTAAAGCGAAAAGCAACCCTACTCCATGCCTCACTCCACCTCCCATCTCCAACAACCCTATACGCCCTCTTCCTCCGCCGGATCTCCACGAACATGCAGCTATCCCTAGCAGTCTGCTCAACCCAAGGACCACCACAATCCAAGTCCGCACCGCAGGCTTCAATGCTCACCCACCTATCCCACGACACAGGCAAATACAGCAACGAATACCTCTTCAGCACCGACAACGCCCTATTCGGCTGGCGCGGGCTCTGGAACTTCGGCCCAGACCCTCGCTACACGCCCGCCGACGCACCGCCGCCATTATCCCTCCTCTCCGCCGGCGCAGAGGCATATTACTCCCCCATCTCGTCATTGGTCGGCATGTCAACCGGCCTGCGATTCACCACATTACCCGCAGCCACCGAAGTCCCTGTCCTCTCGTCCTCATCATCCCGCTCCACCACCCCAGCACCCATCTCAACATTCCCTTACACCCTCACACTAACACTAACACCGTTAACGGGCTCGCTATCAACGACATATTCGCTTCGCGCCTCGCCCAACCTCGCCTTCAGCTCCCGCTTCGGCTTCAACGTCTACAGCTGGGAAAGCGAGATGGTCGCTGGCTGCGAGCTGTGGCGCCAAACGCCGAAATTCAAGTCCGGTCATGACGACGACCTTGAATGGGCCCGTCGCAAGATGCGCATGCAGGACTTTGGCGTTTCACTGCCTGGTTCGCCCGTCTCCCCGCTACTAGAGGACCCGTTGAGTCCTGAGGGTACCGTGGGTTCGAAGAGTGATGGTGAGATTGAGACGAGTGATTCGGTTATTAAGCTGCGCATTGATCAGTCTTGGAATGTACGGCTTCTTTGGGAGGGGAGGGTTAAGGAGCTATTGGTGAGCGCGGGTGTCGGGTTGGGCCCGGGTTCGTTCTCGTTGTCGCCATCTATCTCTTCGGCTGCTAGCGGCTCGGCTCAGAGTGGAGGTGGGGGTCCTGGGACGTCGTACTGGCGTGGGGTTGGGGTCTCGGTGCTGTACTCTTCATAGGCTACGTGCTGTTTGAGTCTCCTGTGATATAGGCGCATACGGCTTATTTCGTCAAGGGAACGGCTGCTCCGATGGAGTAGTTATGATTACATGTTAGTTATCGGAATATACTTAACAATTGTACATAGATTCATGATTTGTTCATTTATCGACGCCTACACAGAGTTATATACTCTGACAATACGGCATTACGAGGAGGGTATTGAGCTTTTTTCGGTAACCCCTTAGATGCGGGCGTTGATGATATCGACGACTGTGGATGTTGGTTAGTATCACGGCGAATGACCTTGATATATAGACATGTATCTTAAACTTACAGGCAGGCTTCAAGCTGGCACCGCCAACCAAGAAACCGTCAACATCGGGCTGAGTGGCAAGCTCGCGGCAGTTCTTCTCGCTGACAGAGCCACCGTAGATAATGCGGACGTTCTCCTTAGCCTTGGGGGAGATGGCATCGCCGAGCCACTTGCGGATAGCGGCGTGGACCTCCTGAGCCTGCTCAGTGGTAGCGACCTTACCGGTGCCAATAGCCCTATCGAAAGATGTTAGTTTTACGTAGTACAGGGCGAGAAAGCGATCGGGTAGGTTCATACCAGACGGGCTCGTAGGCAATGACGACCTTGTCCCACTGCTCAGCGGTGAGCTCCTTAGCGGCAGCGTTAAGCTGGCGGGTGACGACGTCAATGGTCTTGTTGGCCTCACGCTCCTGCATGAAAATCGGGTGTGAGCGGAATACATTCAATAAACTATTACCCGATGCTGGCCCGATGACCCACTATCGGGACGAAACCGGGCGGGAAATGACGTACCTCAAGAGTCTCTCCGATGCAGAGAATGACAGAAACACCACCCTCAATGGCGGCCTTGGTCTTGCGGGCGATGAACTATAGTGCACTAGTTAGTAGCTGGCGTGGAATTTTAATGTTTCCACGGCATTGGAACATCGCGGGAAATGCGGATATGCATACCTCGTCGGACTCCTTGAGGATCACACGGCGCTCGCTGTGGCCGATGACAGCCCAGTCAATCTTGGTATCGCGGAGCTGCTCAACGCTGATCTCTCCGGTGAAAGCACCGTTGGGCTTGTCGTAGACGTTCTGGGCAGCAACACCGATCTTGGGGTTGGCGAGCTCGCGGGTCAAAGTGAGGTAGAGGGCGGGGGGGAGATGACGACCTCGGTTTCGGAGTCGAGCTTGGCGGAGTTGAGGTTGTTCACGATGTCGGTGATGCTCTTAGCAACACCGTTCCTTTATAGAGTCAATTGCGTGTTCTTTCACTGGTCAAGTACGCATAGCGAAGCTTGAGGGTTGGAGGGACTCCGAGACCGCGGGGTAGCGAAGCTCGAAACGACGTACATCTTGAAGTTACCACCGACGAAGAATTGGCGAGGCATTTTGGAAGATTATGTGAATGAAGATTGACGAGGTTTGAAGGAATAGAAGAGTAGTGTGAAGTATGTGGATAGCTAAGAGGAAGAAGACCGGGTGAGAGGAAAAGTACGTTAAGTAAATGGCGGGGCATGCCCAGCCTTTCCGCCCGAATTATCAGGTATCAATTATGACATCAGTCAGATCTTCCGAAGCTGGCTCCTTCGGACCATATGAGCTTCTGTATACTTGAAAGTTGGGTGATTGGAGAAGACTTCTTATAGTCCACTGTCAAGTCATAATGTCATTATTTTATAATTTTGTTCTATGATTTTCTGAACTGACGGTAGAATACTGCGTACATCATGATTTTGCTCAGGTTGCTGAGCCCCCACCTTGCTTGCCCTAAATGTTCCGCATCACAAACTCTCCGGGCTATGTACATCTTCCACGTCTGAGGTTGAAACCGGGGCATAAAAGGAAGGCGGAAGCCCGGAAGATGAGACTCTGAAATGCCCGGAGTGTAGCCTTGGTCCAGCTGACCTGGGTGGTCTTTGATCATAGTTCAAAGAGGTTGTGTCTTCCATCTCTATACCCAGGCACTAGCTTTCCATATTAAGACATTGTCTCAAGGGTATATCTTTCAGCTTATCCTTATATTAAGAGGTAAGTAACCTAGGTCTTTGTTCCTCTATTCCGAGACAATACATTGAATGTAGTGCTCTGTGCCTATATAACCTATGAGCGCCTCTCCTGTTGATCCACCACAGTTTGCCTACCCAATTCCGACTATACTATACCGATATAGTTATGGCCAAACACCCAGGCATTGATCCACGGGATCCATCCGGAATCAACAGCATCCTGGGCAAAGATGTAGCTGCAATCGAAGGAAACTATATCCGCCGCTCACCCAGACCACCCATGGGCGAGGTGGACGAGCAAAAGAGCTTTGGGTTCAGTGCCAACTTGCTGTTAGATCCTACAAGCAACCTCTCCCAGAGCCATCCTCAACTGAGTCGTGTTCTTCGAGATCGACTAGGAGCAGCGTTCAGTGCGCGTAAAAACCATGAATTCTCAAGATGCGATTGCCGAGACCAATCAGGTAACAGATGCGACAGCCCAGCATTTCAAGAGAACAATTACATTCCTCTTGATGCTTTCAACGATCTAAGTAAGAAGGAAAGCCGCCTTGTCAAAGTAATAGGGCTTTGTCCGAGTCTCAAGGAAAGAGTGCAGCTATACGGGATGATTGGCGAAGGAAGTAAGACTCGCTCCACGTCTTAGTTTGACTGTTCACATTGCTAACTACATATAGCATTTGGTGTTATTTTTCTTGCACGAGAGAAAGGTGCCCCGGGTGCTTCGCTAGAGGGGCTTGAACAGTTCGCAATCAAGGCGCAATTCCACGAGACTATGTGGAAGAACCTAGAAGAACGTTGGGAACATACGGAGATTGTGACTTTTCGAGAACCCAATGGAGAGGTTCGATATGTGCCAGAAGAAGCCCTTATATTGATGTATCTTCATGACAGTGAGAGATTCCCACGAGTTGACTCGGTCTACACGCACGGTATATTAACCGCGATCCTCATGACCCCCTGCGTGGATCCCAGCCATGAATCTGTTTCCCATATCGATGAGAATCATTTCAATCAGATTGTGACAGACGAAGACCCATCGTACATTTACAAAAGATATCCCAGCTTTCCAGTTTTCAGTGGCGATAAGCTCATGTCGGATACCAAACAGCCTCTGGTCAATGAACTGCAAGGTAACAAGATTGCTGCCCAGTTTCTCCAAGGTATATTTGAATTGGCTGATATGAAGATCTGGCATGAGGATCTCTCGATCTTCAATTATCTCATAGACCAATTCCTCAATGTTCAGCTAATCGATATGGGGCAGGTGACATTCGGACTGGACAGCCAGCAATTCCAGAACGAGTGGGACTTCGCGATCAGTTTTCAAGAGTATCAGCTGCGGCCGGAGCGAGCCATTGAGCTAGAAAAGTACGACGCTTCGAGGAATCCTGTTTGTGATGATGCCTGTCCCTCGGAAGTGGAACTGCCTAATGACACGCGGAAAACCGTCTTGTGGAAGTATTCAACGCTGGTTTACGGATTTCTGCACGGCTTCTGGCCCTGGGAAGACCCAAGTCCGGACTCTGTGAAATGGCACGATCAGTACTTCGGTACATACGGCGAACACGTGTATTCAGCGGTCAAAACCAGACGCAAGAGGATGATTAACGAGGATGTGCAAATCAGCGAATCCCTCTCACAGGACTGTAGAGATTTCTTACAAAGTACCTTGTCCAGGACTACAGACGACCGACCATCCTTGCAAGAAATGTCCTCATTTCCCTGGTTTTCTCAATGGTCTTCCGAAGAGGTCGAGTCTGGTCGTCCTTTGAAAAGGCCTTTTGTTGCAGATTTTCACAATGAACAACAAGGATGTGGTCGTAAGGGTGTCCCATGGCCAAGTGCATCGGCAAAGACGGATGGTTCGGCCATTGCATCTAACACTTCGTCGGATGACGAATACTATTCCTGTTTCGAGGAGCTTCCGATCTCTCAGGATCCTTGAACTCTAGACCACTGTGAGGTAGGCGAGTCGACTCCGCTTTGTAGGTAGCACTACTAATTGACGAACAATGTATTGGCATGTTTGCTACTGAGCGGGAGTAGGTATATCCTTTATCGATGCAGAGAGATGTAGACGCTAACACAGCTAATGACACTTCAAATATCCTGGAATCAAAGCTCGCCGAAAGATGCGAGTAGTAATGTATTGGACTGGTAGGCAATAAGAATGTCTTTCTCAAAGGCATGCTAAATCAGCAAGACAGGAAATCCCAAATGGGATTCAAAAACAGGGGATAGAAATCCAGTGGCATCAACACCTCTGTCATCCATGACATATAACAAAAAAAAGTCGTGATCATCGTCGAAGACTGTCGAGTCTTGCTTGAAGGTCGTCATCACTCGTGTTGCCTCCCCCTATAGCCTGCGCAACACGAGTTTCATTGGCCGGTGCCTTCTGAATGTCTGCGGGTGTTTCGCCCAGCTGTAGGTGGAAGATGTTAGCCTATATGGTCCGCTATCAAGCAGTTGGGGGCCGAGGGAACGAACCGCCTGGTTCAGGTCAACTCCAATCTCATCCAAGACCTCCCTCACGATATCCTCGCCTTCATCTTCCTCCCCTTCCATTCCTGTGGCCTCGTCAATAGCATCATCCATCATCTCTTGCCGTTGGTCCATAACGTCGTTTTCTCGTTCAAATTCCATAGCAATCCGTTGCAGCGCTGGTAAATTCATTTGTCTGTTCATACTACCCAAGAGCATGGTAGCTCCCTTCATTGACTGCATCATCTGCTCATTGCTTCGGACGGTCTTGAAAAGGCGATAGTCAGCGCATCGCGGAATTAAGTGGGGGTAGTGAACGATAGCTTGCGCATACCTGGATGCGCAGGGAGATAGCCTGTAATTGAGTGCGCATTTGATAGAATTTCTGAATGTATCTATGGTCATCCTCCAATTAGTGACCCTGCGGCGAGCAAGTAAACAATCGTGAGGAACTGACCTCCGAGTCCGGACCAGGTCTTTGGCCTGGATCTTGCATGCTCCAACTTGTCCATTCTTGGCACTCTTCTTGATATCTTGTACCAGCTTCTTCTCCTGATTTTCTAATTTCACCCGCTCCCGGTCAAGCTCACGCTGTGTTCGGTCCAGGGCGCGCTGGTGTTTGCGCAGACGCTCCGCGGGGGTCATCCGCTTCCCGAAAGCCCACTCAACGATCTGAGCGGCTTCGCGTAAGCAAAATAGTCATAGGAAGGAATGTATTTTCAACCTACATTCATGGTTGCAAGCGATATTGCGCAGTCGGCTTGAGTCGAGAAGTGAATTCTAGTCCAGTGTAGGAGCCTTGAGCGGTAGGAGCAGTGACATCAATCAACGGTGGTATGGTAAGATTACTGCCACATTACGCAGATACCGGGTCACATGCACGCTAATCCCCTTTTGGCCCGACGTCATCAAACCTTCCAAGAACTCGATTGTTCCATACCAAACGACCAAAACACAACTTCTCTTTGATGATTTGCCCCTAACGCTGAGGTATTTGTCATGAGTCAGGATTACTACCCCGGTGAGGGCTCGTCTTCTGGAGCTGGCTCATCCAACTTCCAAGGCGAGGAAGAATTTCTCGAAAAGAATCCTTTTTTCCGTCCCCCGCCGACTTACATGACCGTGGGCAACGGCTCGACTTCCGAGAGCGCTACCGCCTTGATGTCTTCACTCAACCAAGATTCCGGCTATGGAGGTAGCATTGCCGACGATATCGCCACAGAAGAGGATGCAAGTGCGGCTTGGCGTGCAGGATTGATGGAGGATAGACCGACGCCGGTGCATACTCCCACGCGCCCCGGAGAGTGGAATCCCGCAGGTAGGTGGCTCAAGGCGATACAATGGTGTGGGTTCTTCAAAAAGCGCTTGTACTAATTGCTTCCGGGAATAGCTGAGCACGAGAAGCAAGTTGTTGCCAGCCATGTCTCTCAACTTATGTAGTATGTTACACTTTCCCGCAAATTGTGACGAAATAACAGGGCTCACATCGTCCTCAGTAACTCGAATCGAAACCAGCTTGGTCGCGCAATCTCCCGGACCATCGAAACACTGAAGGAGCTCCAGGACATGAACCGCCAATGGCCCGCCCACTATCCTTCCGTCCAGAGTTCGCCTTCCATCCTGGACCGACGACCATCGCTACAACAGACTCATTCAGAGTTCGGTAGCAGCGCCGCGGACAGCAGACCTAGCACTCCGCCCCGACCTGATATAAGACGTGCGGCCACTACTCTGGGTAGCGACGAAATGGGAGAATCGAGTGCCTCGGCTCAACGGCGCGCCCCGACAGAGCCAAGATTGATGACTCCACAGATTGCGCAAGAGTTCTCGATTCTGAAATTGGACCTCAAGCTTGGTGCTCTTTCGCAGGCAGAGCTAGTGCACTCGTTGGAGAAGGCCTCGGTCGCCGCGCTTCTAGACGGAAAGATCACCCAAAGCATGAAGCATCTCCTCTCACTGCGAGACAGAATTGAAGACACTTCGAGCAAGGTTCTAGTCACAGGAGACTTGAATGCAGGTAAATCGACGTTCTGCAATGCTCTTCTGCGCCGAAAAGTGTTGCCAGAGGACCAGCAACCTTGCACCAGCATCTTCTGCGAGGTTCTTGATGCTCGGGAAAATTGCGGTGTTGAAGAAGTACATGCCGTCCACAAAGACACGCCATACAATCGCAATGATGAGAGTACCTTCGATGTATATGCTCTTGCCGAACTTGAGAACATTGTCATCGACAACACGAAATACATGCAGTGCAAGGTCTACGTCAAGGATGTGCGGTCTATCGATGAATCACTTCTCAACAACGGCGTGGTTGACATTGCCTTGATCGATGCACCTGGCCTGAACTCGGATTCATTGAAGACAACGGCTGTGTTTGCTCGGCAGGAGGAGATTGACGTCGTTGTGTTTGTGGTTTCCGCGGCAAATCATTTCACTTTGTCTGCAAAGGAGTTCATCCTGAACGCTGCGCATGAAAAGGCATATATCTTCATGGTTGTCAACGGTTACGATCAAATCCGTGACAAGAATCGCTGCGAACGCATGATCTTGGATCAAATTGGCAAGCTGAGTCCCCGCACACGCAAGGAAGCTGCTGAGCTGGTACACTTCGTTTCCAGTAATGCTGTTCCTGTTGCGCCTGCCATCTCGCAGCCCGGCTCTGGCGGTGACGGTGGTGGCTCTGATCCTCACGACAACGACGATGACAATGACGATCCCAACGATAAGGGCAAGGGCAAGGAACGGGAGAAAGTCCAAGACTTTGAAAACCTTGAGGGAGCTTTACGACGATTCGTGCTCGAAAAGCGCTCCCGTTCCAAGCTTGCGCCTGCCAAGACTTATCTTCTCAATCTCTTGGCTGACCTTACTTCTCTTGCTACAGTCAACCGCGATGTTGCACAGTCGGAACTCAAGCGAGTGACGGATGAACTTGCAGAGCTTGAGCCTGCGTACGAGAATGGCAAGAAAAAGAAGGGAGAGATCGCAGAAGGTGTCAACAAGGCTATCGACGACTCATGCGATGATGTCTACGACTACACTCGCTCGACATTGACTGACACAATCACCCGTGTCTCTGATGCCGACCTCGGTGTTGAGTACCATGGCCTCTTCTCGGCGTTCCAGTTCGCTGAGGATCTGAAGTTGGCAATGCTCGATCAGATTGCTTCCGCGGTCTACAGCTGCGAGGACTACGCCCGGGAGAAGACAGTCCAAGGAGTTGGCTTCATCCAAAACATCGGTCTCTTGCACATTGGTGAAGATAAGTTCACTCCACTCAGCTTCCGCGCGGATGCGATGTTCCGCCGTGGCCGTCGTCACACACTCGCGCGTCAAGTCGATACTGAAATCGAGCTGTGGGACTTCTTCGACGTCACTGGTCTCTGGGAGCGTCAAGAGAAATTGGCTGGAACAGGAGTTGCAATGACTGCGGTCACCGTACTTGGTAGTAGGGCATTGGGCGGATTCAGTTGGGTGGACAGTGCCTTGAGCGCTGTCAAAGTCATCGGGCCAAACAACCTTCGCCGCTTGTTCTTCCCTGGTCTTCTCGCTGCTGGTAAGTCTCTTCCATCAAATCACGCAAAGATACATACTAACTTTTCAACCAGCTGTCTTGACCACTGCTTATGTGCTCAACTCCATTCCGACTACTCTTCCCCCACGCCTGTCGCGGAAGATCGCCGCAACTCTCGCTGAGATGGACTACGTTCACTTGAATGCCAACCGAATTTCGACTGAGGTTCGCCGCATGCTGCGCATGCCTGCCGGCAATCTCCAGACCTGCTTATCTCAGGATATCGAGGATCTCGGTAGACGCAAGCAAGAAGTCTCCAAAATCAAGCAGGAAAGCGATATCGCCACCAAGTACTTCTCGAATTTGTTCCGGGACAGCAGCGAGAACCGCCGGTCCATTGAGAACTTGGATCTTGATGCTCACTTGCCTGGTGCTATGGGTGCGGCTATGCAAGCATAAGTCTAAGCCCTCTGTATAACAACTCACGATTCTTACGATCTCTTCTCTTTTCTTTGCTTCATTCTATCCCCTGGACTTGTACAGTTTCCCCATTTCCCTTCCGCTTCCCATCTCTACATTCTGCTTTACTCCCCCCACTGGTTCTTCATCAGTTCAACCGCGTTTTCTGCCGCAGAGCTTTCCTACCTCGTCGGCTTTCCTTGTATTCCACGGCGTGTGATGGCATGCACCAGAGGGTATTTAATTCCCCTACCCAAGATTCCCACCTGATTTGAAATTGCATCGATTCCAAATTTTCTCTCACTTGTGACGTCGAGATTGGAGGCACTTTTCCTTTCCGTTGATTCTAAAATAGTGTCAGAAGGCAGGTCTTCGTCATAATCCTTACAATGTTGTAGGTTCTGGTAGAGGACACATAGATTGTTCGGTCTCGGCTACATTAGATTAACATCGACAAAGTCTAGATCTTGCTCCTCCAGTCTCATAAATAATCAAAAGGGCGCCAGTCGCAATGCAATGCCATGCTGTCGTCGATGAAACAGCAAGAGAATGAAAGAAAAGAACAAACAGCAAGACCACCACCCATCTCCCATGTACACACCCGTAGATACGCCAACCATTAATCATCATCCACAATAATAGGCTGGTTCCTCGTCCTCCGTCCAGAAGCCCATCCAACATCCTCCAGTTCCCTTACTTCACCAACAACTAAACCGGAGCTATCAGCCTTAACTGTCTTTCCCGATAACTTCCCCGCATCTCTAAGGAACTCCGCCCTCATAGCAGCCGCATCAGGATCTTCATACCCCAACTGCGTCATCTGCGGTACCTGATTCTCCTCATCTTCTTCCTCGACATGAGCAGAGAGCTTATCATTCAGGAAATCGAATTTGCCACCGCTGAGCATAGATGACAGACTCTGTTCTGTCCGGCTGTTAGTCCGTGAGAGGGAATTGTCTCTAGTCTGTTGAGCGGTTTCCAGTGTTGTACCGAGGCCGTCGTCGTTGAGTGTGTCGATCGAGCTGGCGCGGGAGACGGGTCCTCCCAGTGCACGCACTGATGTGTGGGATGGGGCGCGGCCTAGGAGAGGTTTGCGCTTTCGTCGTGGTGGGTTTCCGTCTTCGGTGGTTGTCGTGCTCTCGGCTTGCTGTCGTGACTTGGCGGCGCGGGCTTTCTGGAGAAGGCCACTGAGAGCGGTGTCTAGGGCGGATGGTGCAGTTGGTGCTGCAATTGGTGGTACTGGCTCGGTACTTGGCGTTGGCTGTTTAGTGTTCGGGTCCTGGGGGTCTTGTTTGTCTGGGTTTCTGGCTGGGGATGGAGATCGGGATTCTGGCACAGAGGGTTTCGGTGCATCGTCTTCGAAGCCCTCGCCGACAATCGGTATTGTTCGACTCGGAGCGTTCTTCGTTGCATCGGGCTTCCCGGGCCGGCTACTATTTGTAGACTCCGTGGAATTGTTGACAGGGGCATCTGCTCGCCTTTCATCGATGTTCTCGTATGGTTGTTTTCGCTTGACAGATGCAGATCCAAGTGTCTCCAAGCTGCTAGCATGCTGTGGTAGTTTTCGTCGGACCAGGTATGGCTCAAATGGCTTCTTTTGGCCAGCTTGGATAGATATCCAGAGCCAACTAGCAGATACTGCTGGGACTCCCCACTCAGCCGTGTGCCGCAACTTTTCAATGCTCGCCGTTTGGGGGTCGTTGCAAATCAGAACGGAAGCTTTCTGGGTTAGATAGTCTCCGTATGTTGCACCCATCAATTCTACCAATTTTCGGAGGTGTAAGAGATCGATGCGTCCAAAGCCGGTAGAACAAATCCGCATTTCCGAAAATCCTAGGGGCGTTAGAGTGACTTATGAACGCTTGATCCGATAGGTACTCACCTGGGATAGGGAACTTTGGGAATGGGGTGCTTGCTACATGAGTCTCCGGGGAAACAAAAGCTCGCGCATCAATGCATCTTTCCAGCCACATTTCCGTCACAACCTCGCATTCAAAAGCCATGTCTTCGGTTGACGGAACCTCCGACCAGGGAGTCTGATATGGCACCATGATGTAAAGCCCATGTCCGGTTTTTGGAATAGCAGGGCTAGAGAAATCATTGAGTGTATCCACCAATTGAGCCCCATTGAACGTGAGATGCTCACGTAAAACCTTAGCCTGATTTACACATTAGTCTTTGGTCAATAGCGAGCGTGGGCAAGACCATAGGTGCACAAACCTGCTTGGAGGAGAACCCATGAATGAGGAAATAGGTCATGTGTAGGAATCCATTGTCTTTTGATGGAACAGCTGGCGGTGGAACATGAGTCTGGGTGTTTCCCGAGTATGTGGTCTCGCTAGCAAAGGACTTATATGCCTGGATGGCAGATCTAGGGGCTTCAGGCCTCCGTCCTGAGGCGTCCTTATTCAGTTCATTTGTCGTGCTATTGTCGAATCCGGTTCCGACGATGTCTCCCCAAATGCTTTCATTCTGATCCACCAGCTTCATACTCGCAATCCTGCGTAATTTTCGAGGCCGTGGGTTCCCAGGGTTCTCTTTGGTAGAGACGCTTTCCCGTTGAGAAGGCAACCTCGCTGCGGGTAAGGATCGGTTCCACGCTCCAACGCCTTGTTGTTCTGCTGGTATCAACGGGTGATACTTCTGCTCGTCCAGAATCATTCCGCGCTCCATGCTGTCGGTAAACCATTTCACCGAAACCACATTGATATTCCATTGTGACGCAAATTTGTACTTCTCGCCCTCCGTGTTGCGCGCAATAAGATGTGTCACGGTTTTGGTCAGGTCTTTCCGATATTCAGCCCCATTCTCCTCTGTCGTCTTCTGCATGTGTGATCGGAAGGAAACTGCGGCGCATTAGTTAGCGCTGCTGCATGTCTAATTGTAGGAGCCGGCAACTCACGGTCTGAGAAGCCCGTGGTACAGATCTTGAGTCCATGCAAAGTTGGCAGTCGATATTCTCTCTCCAGCGCCTGTATATCAATGTCCTCGCCCTGCGTCCATGACTGTCGTACGGCCTCGATCCATTCCGGCTTCATTGCCACCACATCGTTCCGTTCTCTTGCAACAAACTTGTACTTGTCGCTGTTTGTGTCACCCACGATCAAATGCGTTACTTCCGAGGTGAGGTGAACACTGTGCATCGCGCCCATTTGTTCTGCCATTTGGGTCAACGGAGTCTGTATGAAGACGCAGGTTAGCCTATGCGCGTGATTTCATGAATCGCAAGAGCTATCATGAACACTTGCCCTTTTCTCAATTTGGACGGACGTAAAGCAAATGACTACACCCGTCAGAGGGTAGTCTTTGTCTATCAACATGGCTTGTTAGCAATTCACACTCGAGTTCGAGAGATGGTCTATTTCACGTACTTGAAACAGCCATCCCTGCCATTCCTCATGGTCGCAGAGTGCAACCTGCGCCAAAATCGCGTAATTGGCAAGAACTTGTCGCGACTGATGATCGGGGGTGTCTGAATCGTGCATTCTCGTCCCGCGTGTTATGCGGTAATTGACGATCACGTGAAGCGGTATCTCCTCGCGTCTTGGGAATATTCTCGAAATGAGTCGTAAAATAGAGATTAATTATTCTACTAGTAATAACTAGCTGATACGCTTCAATCTCGCATATCACAGGATGATCGAGTATCACGTAGTTTGAGGTATGATCCATCTTGGCAAGATTATGCATGTTGCGGGATCGATCTGTTACCTCCGAACTATATATTTGCAACGAACAGGTAAGATATTGTAGGTCACTGCCACAAAAATCTACTTATTGGCTTTCCCGGGCATGACTTTACCTAGTCTATAGACCAGCCAACGTCCAGGTGGAGGATCTCTAGACCCTTACAGTATATGACAGACTCATAATAGTCAAGTAAATCACTATCCAATGTTGCGTAGAGGCTAGACCTCGACCTCGGGCTCGGAGCGGTTATCCTTATCTGGTCCAAGTCACGTGTAGATAATCGCGTCTTCCACGCGTTGTGCCCGAAAATCGAAGCTGCCCTCGTATCGGTTTTATCTACCGCGACCGAGTCGTCTTGATTTGCATTGTGCGTTCTATTTTATGCATATTGCCAGAGTCAGGGCGCGGGGAATACATACTATTCGATTGCTCTCTTTGACTTGCCCGAAGAGACCACCGAATTCATCTACGTATTCGTCCTCATCGCGACCCCTCAACGCCGCTGAGAATATGTTCAAGAAAGCCATTCAAGACCACCCGGGCAATGGCACGAAGGCCTTGCATCAGACCGACTTGTTGCAGGTCAACGGACAGGCTCCCCCCAAGCCACAACCACAACCACAACAATTTGGGGCTGTCAAACGCAAATTGGAAGCACAGGAGTCCTCACTGGGGTCTCTGCACAACGCGGTTTATTTCGACGAAAACGATTTCGATGATGACCTTGATCTCGACGAGCCCCAGCCATTGATCGCACCAAGTATCTCTAGCTCTGCACCACCACAGCCCGTCACATATCCAGACCTTGATACTTTAATCAAACCCAGCCAGTCTGTCAACACCAGGGCTCCGGCAGATGTCAATTACCCAGATCTTCCATCGATTTCCCAAGATGAGCCCGCCATTCCAAGCAGCATGCAGTTGCCGTGGTCATCCTCCCCTCCCTCCCATTTCCAGCCGCCCGTGAAAAAGCCTCGAACCCTCCCTTGGACCAAAGAAGAAGAGGAACCTCGCAATGATAAACGAAAGAGCTTTGCTACCCCCCAACGCAAAAAACCCCAAGAGCCATGGAACAAGTCCGAGAGCGCCATCAAGGCGCAACAGAAGGAGTTACGACAAGAATACAAGAAGACGCAAAAACCCGAGCCGAAACCAAAACCGAAAACCCCGGCCGATGCGAAGGTTGCCAGTCTGTTTTTGAGCGATGAGCAAAAGGCCGTCCTTGAAGCAGTCGTTGATCGTGGGAAGAGCATGTTCTTCACTGGTTCTGCAGGAACAGGAAAATCAGTACTCATGAGGGAAATCATTAGCAAGCTGCGCCAAAAATATCGCACAGAACCTGATAGAGTTGCAGTTACAGCATCAACGGGCCTTGCAGCTTGTAACATTGGAGGTGTGACTCTCCACAGTTTTGCTGGTATTGGGCTAGGCAAAGAACCAGCAGTCGAACTAGTGAAAAAGGTTTGTCCACATCTCTCCTTACCGCGGAAACCGATGCTGACAGCCAATCTAGATCAAGAAGAACCAAAAAGCACGGAATCGCTGGCTCCGTACCAAGGTCCTCGTTGTGGATGAAGTCTCCATGGTAGACGGTGATTTGTTTGATAAACTCGAGGAGATTGCCCGACGCATCCGCAACAATGGTCGGCCGTTTGGAGGGATACAGCTTGTTATCACAGGCGACTTCTTCCAACTACCTCCCGTGCCAGAGATGGGCCGGGAAGCCAAATTTGCATTTGGGGCCGCATCCTGGACAACCTGTATCCAGCATACCATTCTTTTGACCAACGTCTTCCGCCAACGAGACCCCGTGTTTGCTGGTATGCTGAACGAATTGCGATTGGGAAACATCTCTCCTAGTACCATCGAGGCGTTCAAAAAGCTCGCTCGACCCCTTGACGTTAAAGATCAGATTGATGCGACTGAGTTGTACGTTTTACTGTGCCACCCGTTTGAACTGTGCCTAAGCTGACTCATGATAGGTTTCCCACGCGAGCTGAAGTGGATGGTGCCAATTCGGCGCGCATGGGAAGGCTCTCTGGTGAGGTTATGAGGTACAACGCAGTGGACTCAGGGACGATCCAAGACCAGCAACATCGCGACAGACTTTTGTCAGCTTGCATGGCCCCTCCTCTCATTCAGTTGAAGAAGGGTGCCCAAGTGATGCTTATCAAGAACATGGAGGACTCGCTTGTCAATGGGTCCATCGGCAAAGTGGTAGCCTTCATGAGTGAAGATTACTTTGATGCTTACAGTAAAAACGATAAAGGCTCTGCTGATGACGCGATGGGGAGCGATGATGAGGCAGTTCATCGGGCTCGGCAGAAGCTTAAACATCTGGCCCACACAGAGGGTTCAGCCTCAATGGCACGCAAATGGCCCCTAGTGTCGTTCCTTCAACCCGATGGGTCAGAACGTCATTTATTGTGCCAACCGGAGACATGGAAGATCGAGCTTCCCAATGGAGAGGTGCAAGCCCAACGACAACAAGTTCCGTTGATATTGGCATGGGCATTATCCATCCACAAGGCCCAGGGCCAGACCCTTCAACGTGTGAAAGTTGACTTGGGACGAGTCTTCGAGAAGGGTCAGGCTTATGTTGCACTGAGTCGAGCGGTGTCGCAGGAAGGCTTGCAGGTCACTCGATTCGATCCTCGAAAGGTGATGGTGCACCCGAAAGTAGTGGAATTCTATTCCAAACTGGCCACAATCACAGATGCACTGAAGAAGAAGAAGACGAAGAAGGCGCGCACTGCTCCAGCTGTGGACTACGATGACTTCGATGACTTCGATGACGATGATTTCTGATCATAATTAAGGATGGTGACAGGAAATGCATGCGTGCCAGGTCCCGAGGCCTGTATAACATAGGTCCCCAGGTCTATTGCATGCGGTTAGGTGAATGAGAGCAATGTATGTCATCAATATCACACAACCTTCGAATATTTAAGAATGTATTCTCAGTTACAACAATGTACCAGCAAGCTCGCTTCAACTAGATGTCCATAATCAAATCACCGCCAAGGCAGGAATCTTGGCGTCAAGTAGATCTCCAAGTTTCTGAAGCGCCAACATTCCACAGGAAAAGAAAATTAGTAGACCTGGCCACGTCTATGTTACCTGGTTCTTCTGCAATCTCCTTATTAGTTATTGCGTAAATGTCATAGTTATGATGATATGCCTTATGAGCTATCCCAGTACTGATTAAGGCGGTCTACAAGGCGGTATCAAGAATCATAGGACCAAAAGCCTCTCAAAGCCCCACCCGGGCCGTTATCCTTATCGATAACGATGCCACGTGACTGAATAGATCACCCCAAGAAAGCTGCGGGATGACAGCTCTTTCTTCCCTGTTGGGAATTTGTGTTTTCTCTTCCTCTCGTCTGAAGTTCGCGCAGCGCTACAAAAAGGTCCAATCGTCCGATCGATGCTTGTTTAGCTGCAAAACACAAGCTCACAATCATCATGGCCGCCGAATTCATTGGCTACAATGTTCTCGTGACGCTGAAAGAACCAGCAGGTGGACAGCTGGTGGGCCAGGTCGCCAACGTCTTCGGGCAGCGTCTGCTGCTTCAGGATGGTGAGAATTGCCAAACCCCAGTATATCTTCGCATTACTAAACTCTCATTACTTAGTCACTTTTCTCTGGAATGGCCAACGTTTGCCCCAATACTCCATCGACGCCTTAGGCATTAGCAACCTGTCGCTTGAAACGCCCACCCAGGCGCCTTTGCAGCCGCAGCAGCCACAGCAGCTACGCCAACACCATCCTAACCCTAACTTTCCACTTCATGCGCCAATGATCGCACCAGTGGCTCCCACTCAAACCACTCCAACTCAGCAACGTTTTACGGACCCAGCTATTGTGAGCTTCTCCAAGGCTTCTGTCCCGCCTCAGCCATCGCATGAAAATGCCGCACCGGTTATGGCTGCCCACCAGGTGCAGGAGCAAGTTTCAGCTTCCCTGGTGGAGCCATTCGGTAGCCTGGAATTGGATGCAGATGACGATAAGATCAGAGCACAAGGAGCATCCCACAAGAAAATACTCCAACCCCCGCAGGAGCTGTCCCCTGCAGACCTCAAATCAAAGCGGAATCGACGTGGCGACCAGGACAAGGCACGGGAAGAGCGAGGCTACGCTGTTAAACACGGCGCAGCGGCAAGCACCAACCCAAAGAGCAAAGGCTGGCGTCAAACTGCATTTGTTGAACCAGCGGGATCTGCAATCCAGGACTCACCGGAGCCTATGAGCCGGTCAGGAACTACCAGGATTCGCAAAAAGAAATCACGCCGTTATGCTGAGAATCCCAGTGGCTGGGCAACTGAAGATGCGACGGATATTCAAGAGCTGGGTGAATTTGATTTTGTGGGTAATCTTTCCAAGTTTGACAAGCGAACTGTGTTTGAACAAATCCGAAACGACGACACTACTGCGGACGAGGAGCGTCTTGTGAGTTTCAACCGGAAAGTCAAACCAGGTACCAACGGCGGCAAGAACCTACATTGGACAGAGAATGTCCTGGATAGCTCGCCGAACAGCGACACCGGCGATGACATCGAAACGATTAGCACGACCATCTCTGGGCGTGGGCGTTCCAGGGCACCTCCACACGCACCTTCCCGGAGAGACAGCGCGATACACGCTCCGCAAATGGCGCCACAGCTGAGTGCACATGGCCGTAGCCAGCTGCATGCAAACATCCCTCATGTTACCAGTCCTCGACTAGGCCGGCCTGCGGTGTCACCTATGATCGTTCCAACCGTGCCTGCTGTCGGGTCCCTCCGGCTTACAACTACCAATCGCAGCTGTCCTACCGTCAGCCCCTTGCAAACTCTGGAGATTGAACAGATCACTATTGCCGAGTTTGGCTTGGCCGATGAGATAATTGCTGAGAACGCTGGCCGAGGAATCGCAGAGGCCGCTGTCGCCCTCTTGTCCAATGATGCCGCTGCACCTACTATGCTTGTTATCACTGGCAATCATCGCACTGGTGCACGGGCCATTGCAGCTGCTCGCCATTTGCGCAATCGGGGCCACCGAGTCACCGTCTGTCTGCTCGGACTCGAACACGAAGCTGAGTTGCTGGAGAATTGCCGCAAGCAACTGGATATTTTCCGCAAAGTTGGTGGACGTGTGCTCAGGTGGGAAGACCTCTCAACGCGTTTGGGCACTGCGGATCTGGGCCCCGATGTGATCATCGATGCCTTGTTCGGCATGCATCTATCTTTCGATGATCTTCGAACCGACGACCAGGCTGTGGCTTTTGAGATCATTTCCTGGGTGAACCGAAGCAACATTGGTGTGCTGTCTGTGGATGTACCCTCCGGAATCAATGCCTCTACTGGTAAGTCTCCACGCAATCCAACCAGAATCAATGAAACTGACGCATCACAATCCACAGGCGAGCCTACTCTGGCCGAAGGTGGCCGCTTATGCATTAATGCCACGTCAGTGGTGTGCCTCGGAGCTCCCAAGACTGGTGTTTTGAATGCTCTTCTTTCTGACGAACGCCTGACCTGGAGTTTGTCAGTTGCGGACATCGGAATTCCTCAGATCGTGTGGAGAAAGTATGGAACTCGTCGTCGCCATGGAATTGACTTTGGAAACAAATGGGTGGTCCCGTTAAAGTTCCAATCGATCTCTTAAGCACAACAAACCAGTCCACTCATATGAATGTTTATGATCTACAGCGTCATCGGAGGCGTTTTCAATTTGCGTACTGGGTCATTGAGGTGGCGGAGTTGCTAGCTCTGCCCACGGCGTTGTTATTTTATCATGTGTTTATGTACTATTACCCATTGCTATTACTTAGACACTCAAACCATGCCAATAGCAGAAGTTAAAGAAGGGTCGCCTGGTCATCGACTGTGCAAAAGTCAGGGACCTTATATAACTGGATAGTACGAGAATCACCGTCTCAATCTTAGGTATCACATAATTCAGCAGTCAAGGAAGGCCCTACAAGTGTAGTGTTCCAAACTCACTTATTCGAAGACCAATATCACGTATCAATTTATCTTCCGAGTGAAACCAAGGGCCATGGCCATTCAGAGCTTTCAGCAGAGGGCTATCCGACTCCCCAGGGCCTATGGTTGGGAAGCGGTTTTCTGCCGCCCAAACTAGTCTCAAAGCAGTAAGCTTCCTGCCGTCATTTCACCTCCGCGGATTGCGCGAAAGATACTAGCAACAAGCTTCATTGTCAATCATGGGAAAGGGTATGTTTTGAATGATCGCCTCTATTGGCAGTCTCATACTGACATCTTTGGCTGCAGGAACGGACAAGCTTTACGTATGCGCTACCTCGCCACTTGAGACCTCTACCCTCCCCGTCGCATACCGCATCGCTAATACTTGGATTTCCACTAGATCACACACTCTGAGTGGGCATCGGAAGACGCTTTCTCAGCCAGTGCTGGCGCTGGCGTTTCCAAAGCAAAGAGAGGTGGTCCTCACGCCGCATTCAAGCGCTTACCATTCAATTTCTGCTCGCTCTCACTCCAACCATTTTCACACCCCGTTTGCACGCCAACAGGAACGATCTTCGACCTCACTCACATCTTGCCATGGATCAAGAAGCATGGGACGAACCCTGTCGATGGAGCGCCACTGAAGAGCTCAGACTTGATCAAGTTGACCATCGCGAAGAACGAGGATGGCGACTATGTCGACCCAGTGACCTACAAGGTCTTGACGGATAATACACATATCGTCGCATTACGGAATACTGGGAATGTATTCTCCTGGGATACAGTGGAGCGACTCAACATCAAGGGGAAATTGTGGCGTGACTTGGTCACGGATGAGGAGTTTAGCCGGAAGGACATTATTACCTTGCAAGACCCGCAGAACATCGAATCGCGCAACCTCAGTTCCTTTAATTACATCAAGGAAGGAGAGAAGGGGGTTCTGGAGGACCAAAATACCGATAATGTCAATACCAATGCACTTGGCAGTGCGGCCAAGATCCTAAAAGCGAAAGAGGCGGTCGCGAAGGCACGGGCGGAACGTGCTCAGCAGGCCAGTGCTGCTACGGCTGGCTCTAACGCGGTTTCGAAATCTGGAGCTGGGAACGTGGCTACCAAGACAGGTGGATCCCAAGCGGGAAAGCCGACGCCGTACAACGCCGCACGGTTCACTACGGGCAAGGCGGCTGCCTCATTCACCAGCACCGGACTGACACCACACACGTCTGCCGAGCTAGCGGTATTATCAGAGGAGGAATATATGCTGAAACGGGGCCGCGTGAAGGCCAAGGCTTATGCACGCATCATCACCACTGCCGGGCATTTGAATTTAGAGCTGTATCCCGAGCATGCGCCCAAAACCGTTTGGAACTTCCTTCAGCTGGCCAAAAAGGGCTATTACAAAGATGTACCATTCCACCGCAATATCAAGGGTTTTATGCTCCAGGGCGGCGATCCCACCGGCACTGGACGCGGCGGCGAGAGTATTTGGGGCAAATATTTCGCCGATGAATTCGAGGGGCCATTGAAACACGATGCGCGAGGCACTCTGAGCATGGCTAACAAGGGCAAGAACACAAACAGCAGTCAATTGTGAGTGACATAGGTATCTTTCCAGGTCCAACGTACTGATATTTTCCCTAGTTTCATTGCTTACCGAGCCCTGCCTCATCTCAATCTCAAGCACACCGTCTTCGGTCGTCTGATAGATGACCCAACCCCCTCATCTACTACCCTGAATACACTGGAAACCCACCCTGTGGAACCAAACACGAATCGTCCTACCCCCGAAATTCGCATCGAGGATATCACAGTCTTTGTAGATCCCTTCGAGGATTTCCTGAACCAGAAGCGTGCAGACGAGGCGCGAGCTACAGGTGCTACGGCTCCGTCTGCCGAAGAAGAGGAGGAGACTGCCCGTCAATTGGACGCTGATCGTGTCACCTGGACCGGTAAGCGGCTGCGTACCGCTGGCGCGGACTCAACTGATAACGGTGCCTCCGCTGGGGTTGGAAAATATCTGAAGGCAGCATTGGCAGAAAGGGATCAACAGGAAGAAGATGAGATTGTCGAGTATGTGGATGAGCCTGCGTTCGAGCCTGCTCGTAAGAAGACCAAGGGGTCTGGGGGCTTTGGAGATTTCAGTTCTTGGTAAAGTGAGTGTCCTTTGTCATGAATAGGTCGTCTACATATGTACAATAGCTACGACTACGAGTATCATTGATAACATCTACCCCGTCAAGTGTGGAGAATCCAGTTCTGGGGTAGAAATGGAGATAATAGCGTCATCGACCGCATGCGAACTTATGAAGATATTCTCAATTAATTTATGAATCAGCTGACAGGCTGAGATACTTCTGAACATATTGAAAGAGCATAGAAAGATATGCAGTAGACCAAGTCGGTAGTTGTATAGGGTCTAATGGTACTTCATCGAGCTACGGAGTAGATAGTTTCCACCCCGACGGTCTTGGCTCGCTCCGCCCACTGCCGCGTGAGCCGTCTTAGGAGCGGAGTTGGACTACTTTTCCTCTCACCTTCATTCTACATCTATCAACTATTTCTCACACCTGTTCTCAGTTGACTATCAAGTAAGTCTTGCCATTTATTCCGGACAATGTCCCTGTCTCCTCATAGCTGGTGGGGTGGAGAGGCGTGGAGAGGCATGGAGAGGCATGGAGAGGCGTGGAGAGGCGTGGAGATGACGAGATCCGACACGCTGTATATACTCGACCGTGCATTCTATCTCGTTCATCGGAGCAAGAATTGAGAATCGCTCATGTATTTGATACCATTCGATTGGTCTTTTCGAGGCGATGTGGCATGTGGGAGTCAGCGAGCGCTTGCTTTCGTGATTTCTACTACTATGCGCAGCCACCCCGGGCCCTCTCAATTGACAAACGCCTGTGTCGCTGCCTAAACTAGCATCGTCTCGTCCTTGCTCTTACTTCTCCGTCACTCCAGGCAATCATCAGCAAAGATACTCGCTAATTCATTCAGCACCTTACAGCTCAATTCCTCCCACTTCCGCCTCGACCGACCGATCCTACGTCAGTCTCGCAGCGCCCCCCATCCGTGTTCGCCCCGCCCCGCCCAACACCAACCACACCCGTGAGATTCAACAATTCCTTGCGAAAGGAATACAATCAAGCTGGCAGGAAATAAGCGCCGCAGTTTTTCTTCGCAGGGTGGGTTACTGAACAGAATGTTCAGTGGCTCCTCAAGTCCACCTAAAGACAGAGCAGACAGTCTTCCGGAGACCAATCTCGACACCGACGCCGTGGATATTCAGACCGATACAACAGGCACCAGCCCGCGTGCAACGAGATTCTCTCCGCCTGGCTCTGGTTTCTTCCGCCGACAAGGTGACGAACCGGCCGTACCTGGTGAGAAAAAGCGCAGAAGCAGCACCGTTACCAAAGCGGCGAACTTCTTCAGTAACGCTAAAAGCTCGCTGATCTCCACCGCACGCGAGAGCTCTGCCTTCAGCACTAGCCCCACGATCAACGAAAGTCCGCTGCAGAAGCTCGGAAAGATGGATCCAGCTCTCAGCGTCCCCCAAGGGTCGTTCAATAACTCTGCTGGAGAGTCAGCACCCACTGCTCGGTCATCCTTCCGCGTCGGTGTCACGGAAGACCGAAATCGGAAATGTCGCAGGACAATGGAGGATACGCATGCCTACCTCTACAACTTTCTGGGGACGCCCACCCCAGCTGCAACATACCAAAATGGTGGTAGTTTACCCACGGCGGGCGCGTCGCGGTCATCAGAGGAGTCATCCAGTGTTGTAGAAACAGACAACGGCTATTTCGCAATCTTTGATGGACATGCGGGAACCTTTGCCGCAGACTGGTGTGGAAAGAAGCTGCATCTGATTCTCGAGGAGGTCATGCGCAAAAGCCCCAACACCCCGGTCCCAGAACTACTCGATCAGACTTTCACCAGCGTCGACCAACAACTGGAGAAATTGCCTGTCAAGAACTCTGGGTGTACGGCTGTCACTGCTGTTCTTAGGTGGGAAGATCGTGTGCCTAGCTCACAGTCGGCTACCGGGTCTTCTGCTCTTGCCCCGGCGACTGCCGCGGCGATGAAAGGCGACACAAATTCCGAGAATACGGATACACCGACCCAAGCTAGTTCGAAATTGCAGGATAAAGCTATCCGGCAACGGGTTTTGTACACAGCCAACGTTGGTGATGCGCGCATTGTATTATGTCGCAATGGGAAAGCGCTTCGGTTATCATACGACCATAAGGGTAGCGACGAGAACGAAGGGAGAAGAGTCACCAATGCCGGTGGGCTCATCCTGAACAACCGCGTCAACGGTGTTCTGGCTGTCACCCGTGCCCTGGGTGATGCATATCTGAAAGACCTTGTCACCGGGCATCCTTACACAACGGAGACTGTTATCCAGCCCGATGCCGATGAGTTCATCATCTTGGCTTGCGATGGGGTAAGTGATCGTCACTGACTTTGAAAGACATAAGCTAATCATATTTCGTAGCTCTGGGACGTGTGCTCTGATCAGGAAGCCGTTGATCTAATCCGGAATGTGGATGATGCACAACACGCCTCGAAGATTCTTGTTGACCATGCGCTCGCACGGTTCAGCACGGACAACCTGTCTTGCATGGTGATCAAACTCGACTCCGACCGTCTGAGGGATGTTGTCAACAACAACACAGAATTGATAGGTGTGGACGGGGACCCGCTTACAAAGGTGTCCGAGGGCATGAGTGAGGCCGATAAGATCGTCGAGAACGCACGGTCTGGCATTGTCTCTTCCGGTCTTGCCGATGATCCAGCAGCGGCAGAGAAAGCTGCCGAAGACACCCTTCAGCGGATGGCCAACAAGAACAATCAACAAGAACCTGGGCCTGAGATGTCAGTTCACGAGAGTAACGACCTTCCCTCTGTGGATATCCTGAGTCCGAACCGGAGTCCTGAAAATCCTTCAGGCTCGACTCAGTGATTTGATGACTTTTACACGCCGAAGCACACCAAGCAGCGCAAACGACTTGATAGAATGTGCCCATCTCTTTCTTTTGGTCTACTGTCTACTATCTACCTCTTTTATGCCTTTTGAGACCATTGTACCCTACCTGGATTAGGGCCGGGAGTTTCCTTTTTGTGTGTTCCTTTCTTTCTGACACTGCACATTTGGCGTCAATGGGCCACTCTGGCTGCCCGTTGTCCCCTTTTCAAGTCAAAGTTTTGTTTTTGTCAGACGTCAGACCTGGCTGTCTTGATGTCTTGTTCTAAGCATAAGTCTTTGCATCACTAGGATATGCCTGAATATGGACCCTATGAAAGTTAGGCTTTGTTATTTCAATGACTGCTTGATCAACATAGAAACTTGGGCCGTGGTACAATCCCTTCTTTTGTAGGAATTTCGGATGTACGTAGACTCGTAGACTGGGATCCATTGCAGTGCACATGGTTCGCTTGGTGGATTCAATAGTGCCTCTGCTTTGCCATGAATGAAACCGATGTCTACAGTATCGACGAGTCAACCCTTGAACTCACGCTACATGCCTCCTAGTTAGTACCTGCTAGTTCACCTTTGCGTGTGAAACAAAGGTTGCTGAAAAGACATAAGATAGCTGCGCCTACAGTAGATGCAAGACAAATTACCATAGAAGAGCTGGAGGCCACTTTGTTGCAACCGTAAACTTCCATCTGATATATCTAAAAGTACAATTTATGAATGCTATGATAGCTAGACAGAACACGAGTGAGAAAATACAAAGAAATTACCACCCATCAGGCCAAAGCCAGAGGGAAGGATACACCCAATCCCCTTGCCCAGCTCTGGATAGACAGGCAGATAGACAAGAGAGAAGAATCCCACGCCGCACGTCTACGTCCGTGCCGGGGTCACCTCCTCAAACGTTCCATCGGCGATGACATCCTCACCAGCAACAAGCTCCTCCTGACCAACAATGTGGTTGCGAGTCCAGCGCAGTTGCCCGTGTTCAACATGTTTGGGCCAGTACTTCGCATACTGCGCATCGTAAGGCTCCTGCCACAAGATCTTAACACTCTGTTCCCGTGGTGCGACATGATCAGCAGTAATCTCAGCATCGAGCTGCTCTCCCAACGCCGCAACCTCCGCGGCACGAGCCTGAGACCGCTCAGCCTCCTCCTCGGCAGCCGAACGCCTGCGCCTGCGGGCCTTGACGGTCTTGTACCCGGACTTGGTGCTCTCGGGGAAGCCGGCGATGATGTGATCTCTGTGCTTTTGCAGGACGAAAGCAACGTCGGCAATCGAGGTGGCCTTTTGGTTCATGAGGGCGTATGCACGCTCTTTCTTCATCATGATCTGGCCCACTCGGCCCATGTTCTCCTTATCCCATTGCTTCTGGTCCCTTAGGTCTTTCGGCCGCTTCGAGTCAAGATATTCTTTTGTCACGGTGATCATTTCCTTGGGCGGGGAGAGTTGGCGCAGCAGCGCGAATTGCCGCAGGTGGTTGTACACGTTCAGGCCGACTTGCGCTTCGTTGAAGTGCACGGAGAAGTAGGGAACCCACATATCCTTGCGGACAGTGGCCGGAATGGTCTTCTTGCCGTGGTTGACGCATTGCTTGAGGAGGTTGGTTTTCTAATGGTTTCGAGAAGTTAGAAAAATTGTGATCTTTTTACGAAGACACGACCTGCGGCCGGAGACACTCTGGTCTGGTACTGGACTCCCCACCGATAGGGAAACAGCAAACTCACCTCCAAGTAACGAGTCAATGAGTAGACGACCTGTTTCGTGCGGATATTGTGGTACACGAAGATGTTCTTGCCATGGGCGATCGAGTTCAAGGCCTTCTGTAAGCGCCGACCTTCCTTCTCCTGTTGATCTCTGTATGCGTTTGAGCCCACTACACGGATCTTTCCTTGAATTGGCACTTTCGGATCGATCGGTGGCCGGCGGATGAATTTCGTGGCCGCAAGTGCTGTTGAATCCAGCACTTTCTGGAACGCTGTTACGTTGGAGGCCATTTCGGCCGTACCGGAGGCTGCGTTCAGTCGATCTGAAAAGAAGTAGCGCAGAGAGAGGTGCGGCCTTATTGCATTGGTGGGAGAGGCGCGGACGGTGTTGATTGAGAGAGACGGGAGGTCGATTTTTTGACGGGGAAGACTGAGGTCTTGGCGCTTGTCTCTCCGCATCACCTCTTATCGGCTTCACCCTCTCAACTCAATTGGAATGTGATTGTGTTTATTTTCTTTTTTCTCGATTATGTACAATCGGATTTATTTGCGAATCCCCATATGATCACCGCGCTGCCCCGCGGCGCTGGCGTTATGGATAAGGACACGGAGCAAGATACATGTACTCGTCGAGAGCGGCCGTGGCTCTACGCTTGGGTATGGAACATGAAAGGGAATGCGGTAACTCATACTGACAAGCTATCAGAATCGCAGGCTTCGACATCTTCAGGGGATCTCTGTTCGCAACTTGGTTGTGACGCCGCCTCCGACCCGGGCTCGTGGCAAGACCATTGATGACGACGATATTCCGAATACATTGAGAACGAGCTCGAAGATCTTATCGCAGACCGAGAACCGTCCGTTGCACTCATCCCGATCCTTCACCGACCTTAAGTCGCATACGAGTCAGCATGAGAATGCAAAGGAGCCCGCTGTGCGCTCGGCGCGTCGCAGAAGTACCCTGTTCTGGAACGACCCCAATCCACGGACTCGACAGGTCAAACTAGAGGATATCACCAACAGCCGGATGGTGGATTCGTTCTTCTCACTTCACGGCGAGGGTCTCGGCGAACCGATCTACGTCAGTGAAACGGTCGACCGTGCAAACAATCCTAGTTTCCGATCTTTCGACTTGAATCTATGTGGCCCGTATATCTCTCGAATGGACGAATTGACTCTCAAAATCTGGACCAAGACTGGGGATATGTCGGAGTTCATTTTACTAGTCGAATTGCAGGTGCACCTGCGATCTCTACAGTTCCTGGGAAAGACATTAGAGAGCTTCCACCAACCACTTCCTGCGAACTCGATTCTCTTTCACTTCCCAGACGGTGTATATTCCAACCTCACGGACCTTCCGCCGGTCGGAACACCACTCCACACTGCAGGGCAGAAGGCCACTGCTGATGGTACTATGCTTTCCTCCTCATCTTATGACGCTTTGATGAAACTGGCCAATCTGGACGAATGTGTACAGGATGCGTTGGCGACCAGGGAGAAACTAGAAGCCCAGATTAGCTCAATCCTCCAGCAAAATGAGCGCTCACTGAAAGTCGTAAGTGAAGCAGCTGCAGCCCAGGAAAAGCTTGCTCTTACCAGGCAGTACGTTGCCATGGAGCGCAAACGAGTCCGCACTGCAGTCAAGCGCAAAAACGAACTCATTGCCAGCATCAGAGCCCGGAAAGAAGCCATGGAGAAAGGCAGTAGTTCCCAGGAAAAGATCCGCAGCCATCTTCCTGAGGCCCAGGAGAGGTTGATCTCCAGCGAGCAATTGCTTGCCCAAAATGAGGAGGACACCAAGGGCCAGCTCCGACGTATTGCCGAAGACCTTCTCACCATCTACCCTATTGAACCCATCCCCGACAAGCCTCTGGCATTCACCATCGCTGGGCTAGCTCTCCCAAACTCGACTTTCGAAGATATCGACCGTGAGGTGGTCGCCGCGGCATTGGGCCACACAGCTCACTTGGTGTACCTCCTCTCCTTCTATCTCTCGGTGCCTCTCCCATACCCCATCAACGCGAACGGATCGACCTCGTTCATCCAAGACCCCATCTCCGCAAACCTTCCACAGCGCACATATCCTCTCTATCCGGTGAGCGTGCAGTACCGATTTGAGTATGGGGTCTTTCTTCTCAACAAGGATATTGAATACATCCTTATCAAATACGGACTGCGTGTCTTGGATATCCGACACACTCTTCCCAACCTTAAATATCTCCTTTACGTTCTGACTTCTGGTGATTCGGCGATCCCAGCCCGCAAAGCTGGTGGAGTGCAAGCTTTTCTTGCTGGGCGATCGACTTCTAACGAGTCTCTACGCGGGAGCGTGGACAGTGGTGCATCTGGTGAGTTAGTACAGCCGCGCAAAGCTTGGGAATCTGTTTCCAAGATGAATGGCAGCTTGGTTTCAAGGACGAAACAGTCTCTATCGACTGCAATGTGATCCTCTGGTGATTTTGACTTGGGTTGGGCCTGTTTAAGGTGGACATTAGCTTGGACTGGGGTGCGAAGGGGACTGGACTGGGGACTGGGGACTGGGGACTGGGCCTGGGCCTAGAGCTAGTTTCACATTTCCCCTCTCGGCCTTTGACCGAAGCATTGTGTGTACATGTACATGAACAATGGACTTGGAGATTTCCTCTCAAGTTCGATAATTCCAATCTAATGAGAAATGCAGTAAAGTCCCAAGAATGTGAAGTGATATGCTGCCAGCTGCCTATCCCTTGATTCTTCAATGTCTTACCCCGCAGAGTTCTCATTATACAATCGAAACTACGCTGGTCCAGTGACTACACAAAACTACGCAAAGAACGAAAAAAACCAAGAAAATACTCAAAATAGCTTGGAATTGATAATTACCGAGGAAAAAAAAGTAATCCTAAACACCTGTTACACCTCAGGGTCTCTCGTCTATTTCTGTCTGTCTTTGTTCTGATCATTCCTCTCTGTACCCCACCGCCTTTCTACGCTTATCTCGCTTTCCATCGCTTTGTGTCGGCGACTTCCCCATCTTTTGTGTTATCCACAACATGGGGGACAATAATGGCGCTTACAGCAAGGCGGAGTCTGATGCACATCACCGCCGAGGGTACCAGGCTTGTGATCCGTGTCGCAAACGCAAGGTAAAGTGCGACCTAGGAAGTATGCCTTTCAATCTACTCGGGAACCTGAATGCGACTGACAAATTGCAGGTGTCGACAATCCACGTCCCCCACCGTGTGTTCGATGCCGTCGCGAAAGTAAACGATGTGAATTTTCAGCAACTCGGCGCAAGCGCAAGACCTCCGACATTGCAGGAGATGAAGCGGAGGCAGCGGCGATCCTGCATCGCGACAAGCGAATGATGGTAGGGGAGGTAGCCAAGAATAAAAGCCCAGTGGAGGTCGAGGCCCCCCCATTTGCATCTGATCCCTCCCAATTTGATCCCGAATCCGTGCGTGTCAAACAGAGGTGGTCTGAGGCACCGTCGGCAACGCCAGCCCCGCGGTACACGCCCAGTGCCCCAATATCACGGGCTCCCCCGTACTCCGTTGAGCGCACCGTGCCGCCTAGCTATGGAGGACCCCCGATGATGAATCGCACGGCGGTGGAGCTGCTATCACCTGCAATCACTAATACCCACGAGGCTTTGCATCTACTTTCTGAAGCAGCGGGCAGGACAGAGGACCTCAACCGTCAAAGTCTCGAGAATCGGTTCGCCGCAAAGCAATCTGTCTCCTCGTATAACTCGGGACCTTCACCTCTCGCGCAAGGCAACTCGCCACGGAGCATGGGTGGATCCTTTGTGCGAACTCCTCGATCAGGAGTGTCCATGGGCGGCTCGACATATTTCCCGGCTGGTGTCTCGGGGTCGGTAGATCCCCAGTCAGCGGATGCTGTCCCACAAAGGGAAAGCCCGGTCAATAATACTCCCCATGACCCGGGGTATCTCGATGCAATCCGAGCTTGGTCGCGATTGCGATTCGTTCGTGCCGGTTGGCTAACGGTGGAGGAGGGAATGGACTATGTGGCATATTACTATGAGAACCTCGCACCGATGAGCCCTGTTGTGATCCCTGACTTCTCCCTTCCCTCTACGCACCGCACATTGCTCACGGATGAACCGGTGCTGGCGGTCACTATCCTCACCATCGCATCCAGACATTTGAAACCCAAGGGCGATGGTGCTAATACACGGGCATTCTACATCCATGATCGACTCTGGGCTTACCTCCGCGGCATGATTGAACGTCTATTTTGGGGCCAAGAGAAGTTCGATCCTGGGACATCAGGCATTGGGCGACCTCGGTCGCTTGACCTGAGCTCCCCTTCAACATCAGGTAAAGGTGGTGTGAAGGGACAGTTGAGGTCGTTGGGTACCGTGGAAGCTATGTTACTTCTCACAGAGTGGCATCCCCGAAACCTACACTTCCCGCCGGGCGACGATGAGAATTCTCTTCTAGACATCGATCCCCAGACACATAGTCGGGCCGATAACCCCTTGGGTCACGACGGTGAACACACCGGCAGCAAAGGGTCAGAGGGAAGGGTTGCATTCCAAAAATGGCTGGAACCAGCCTGGCGGTCAGATCGAATGTCGTGGATGCTCCTGAGCACAGCGCAAGCTCTGGCGTTTGAACTTGGCGTCTTCGACCCTAAAGAAGACGCCAAGACGGCCAATGAACCGCTGTCTGAGCAAACTCGGAAGCGCCGATTACGGCGTTTAATCCTCGTGTTTATCACGCATAGCAGTGGTCGTTTAGGCATTCCTTCTATGCTTCCATTGCCTCAATGGGGACAGGATATCACACCGACGCTTGCTGATGCAAAGGATGCCGATGCCAATCTCGATCGGATGCAAGACTGCTGGATCAGTATCTCGAAGATTGTGTATCAAGCCAACCATCTCTTGTTTGCTTCCAGTGACCAAACTATGGAGTTGATTAGGACCGGGAGGTATCGTGAGCAGATCGACCGATTCCAGCCGTTTTTACGGGACTTCCAGCAACAGCTGGACAGTGTTGATCGTAAGTCATTCCGCTGTGAGTCAGTAATGCACAAAGCTAACAGCGAGAAGTTTCACCGGCCATGCGGAGCGTTTTACTTATTGAGCTCGAGTATACCCGTAAGTTGGCCCCATTGCCCGACTTCTTGAAGAATGTGACCTAATGTATGAATAGGTCTCTATATCAATTCTCTCGCCTTACAAGCCGTCGTCGATCGATGGACGACCATGTCCAACGAGTCTGCCCAAAGTAACAATCCGATACAGAATGGACAGTCAGGATCGGGGCCGTCTCATAGCAACAGCTGGTTCCAAACGTTGAATGAGCTCTACCGTGTCAATGAGCCTTATATCCAGGAAGTCGTCGATTCCTCACGCAAAATCCTGCAGACAGTTTTAGACGGCCTTGTTCCCGGAGGCCGCCTCAGGCACGCCCCCATTCGAACCTTCTTCCGAATTCTGTCTGGCATGATCTTCATTTTGAAGGTATGGTTTCTTTACGCCAAAGCCGGCAAGCATCATATTAATTTCGTCTCTAGACTTTCACACTAGGTGCTCGGGAAGACGACGTGCGTGTCTCGCTCGATCTGCAGGACCGTACAGTGGAGGCATTGCGCCTTTACGTCGTGGATGACGTGCATATCAGTAACACGGTTGCCCGACTTCTGGAGCTTCTCACAAGCAGTATCCGCACGCGCTTCCTACGCTTCGCACCCCCTGACCGTGGTCCCGATGGAGAGGGACATGAGCGCACATCGGTTTCCGGCTCCCGACCTCACTCTCCATCGCGCGAGAACACCGCACCTCGTCGTGACGGCCCGCATACCCCCTGGTCCGCTAGTCAAGGTCATGATACAACGTCGGGCGGATCGGGCCTAGGATATGTGGATACCCATGGGTCCCACTCGATTGGGTCGTCGCATGATCCGCTGGCGAGCATCCCTGCGCAGCCGATCAATTCGTCGAACCTCAACGTATCCTTCATGCCGCCTCCACCATCTGTGTATCACAACTACTATGACTCAAACGCGACATTCCCTACCAGTGATATGGACAGGTCATCGCCAAGTCACGTACCCTCCTCGCAAGCTATGGGCGACAGCCATCACTCCACCGCGCTTCCGGATTGGTTTGCGTTGCCCCTCGATCAATTCTTCAATAGCTCTACTGGCGCCGTTGACCAGGGTCTGGGTGGAACTGGTCCCATGCTTGGCGAGTTCGATATGCTTGAAGTGCTTCTCAATGAGGGCTACGATGGTAATCCTAACGGTGAAGGTGACAACGTGGGTGGGCTGTCATCCCAGTACCTATGACGAAAATAATGATGACTATGAGTGTCCTTTGTCCTTCGGTTCTTTTCTTTTGGCGTTGGGCTTTTCTCGGGAGCTTTTGACTTATCTAATTACCCTGCAAAGGTTGTGATACTCAAAATTATATACCCCTGCGTGATCCGCGCGGCGTTTTTAATCCTTTCTTTGGCTTTACCTTACTGTATGATCAAGGGACTGCCTTTCATTTTGTTTTGTTAATTTGACTGAAACCACCCCACACATCCGTGATTTCAGCCTATATGGTAGTTGCAACGCTGGATTATCTCGTAATATTGGAATACATGCATGCCAACGGTCTCCGTCGGTCGAATATACGCGATTGCGGGGGTGCAGAAACAATTTGTACGACTTGGCTTTCACATGAAGATTTCCCTAAAAATGCTTGGTCTACGGCTGCGTCGTCGAAGCTTTCGGGTGGCTTTCTCTTGTGTACTGTGCACAAGGGGGAAGATGCATGAAGTTCTGCAGACGATGTGAGGTGGCTCAAGCCTGGGATTTGAATGTTCGTGGAATATAGTAGAGATCCCTGCCCGTCTTATTCGGAGAATTTGTCAGGTATATACTAGTGCGTACTGCGTAGTTGTCGACAAGTTCCTAGTCATGCTGGATTACTTTGAGGAGTATCAAGCAACCACGTGAGTGTCCATCTACCGTAGTGATCATCTCTACAAACCACCAGCAGCACCTGGATATTCCTCAAATGGGATCCTTTTCCCGAGATCCCAATGCTTGGCATGCCTGATAATCCTTGCCAACTGAGTTCTACTATCCTGTCGATCTCTAGATCAAACGATCACCGTCAGCCCGCCAGTTAGTCATTCGACAACTTCGGTGCGGCGGTGCCTGCAATGCCTTTGATGAAGCAGATAAGAGCCGCTATTCGACTGAACCCCGCGAAGGGTCACATTGTCTGTGAACCCAGGATTGATGCAGGGGTCCATAGGGCATAGAGGGACGGTTCCCCGTCGGAGATTATTCCGTTTCAGTTTCATACTATGCACGAAACCGCAAACCCGAAAGACCGATTGGATAATGCTGGTAACCACTCTCATTAGTGTAGAGACAAGATTTAGCCCGAAAGCATCACCTACAGGTTATTTCCTCCAATGAGCCCTCCAGTTTCAAAAATCAATGGAGCGATGTGACCATGTCGGACTTGTCTGAACTCTTGTCGTGCTCTAGAGGAGGTGATTGGCCGACGTGGAGATAACGGGTGATGATCTTCAGGGCTTTTGCTAGTCTCGATATTTCTACACAACCACTTCTCTTGGCGTGACTCGCAACGACGACGGAAGAACAATCAAATGGCACTACTATATCCCGTAACCCGATGGGCCACCTAATCTCTTCTCGCACCAGAATGGCAAGATATGACGATCAACCAGCATTCACCGAATGAGAAGGAGATGCAGTGTCCCAAGACAACGCCTCATTTTTGGCCGGACTTCTCCGTCCTGCGGCTAGAGATAGCTTGTTACAACCAAGCTCCCTGGGCGTTGTCTGGGCATAATGCTTCTGTTGCATTCATGCATCTCCCCGCCCTGGCGCGGTGGCCGCGCTAGTCCTATCACGCCCATTCGACGCCATCTGCGCTCCACGATACCCTGTCGTTATGCTCTTTCGGGTATGCCCCTCCATCGGTTGCTTGGCGGATTCCGTCGCTCTATCCTGGAAGGCCGATGGTGTCCGTGAAGATCACGAACTTTCCCCTCGATCCTTCTATGTTTGACCCTGGATCGTCATGTCTACTACCCAGAAGAGCATTACCACTTCTTGGGATGTCGCGATAGCCAGGCCGAGTTGATGCCGTCTAGTCTCGGACGTCGGAGGATAGCAAGTCTCAGAAAAGGTATAAAGAAGGGTCCTTCGTCCGGCCGTTTGGGGAATCCATCCTCCTCTGCATCGCCTTCAATAGCTCTATTAGAATCATTCGTTGTTCTATAGAACTCTCCTCATCATGGTTGTCCTCAACACAATTACCGCCGCCATCGTTGGCTTCTCAGCCATCGCTTCCGCTGTACCGGTCAAGAGCCCTCGCAAGGGCTTCACTGTGAACCAAGTGTCCAAGCAAGCTTCTCGCACCCGCACCGTCAACTTGCCGGGTGCCTACGCCCATGCTATTGCCAAGTACGGTGGCTCCGTCCCGGAACATGTTCACGCTGCTGCTGCTAGCGGCAGTGCCGTTACCACCCCCGAGGATGGCGACATTGAGTACCTCACCCCGGTCACCATTGGCAAAACCACTCTGAACTTGGACTTCGACACTGGCTCTGCCGACCTGTAAGTCGAAAGATGACATATTGGACGAGAGCAGCAACTGATATTCTGTAGCTGGGTCTTCTCTGATGAGCTTTCCTCCTCGGAGCAGAGTGGCCACGACGTCTACAAGGCCCAGGACGGCAGTGGTTCCAAGATCTCCGGTGCCAGCTGGTCTATCTCATACGGCGATGGCAGCTCTGCCAGCGGTGATGTTTACAAGGACACTGTCACCGTTGGTGGAGTCAAGGCCACTGACCAGGCCGTTGAAGCCGCCAGCAAGATCAGCTCGCAGTTCGTGCAGGACAGGAACAACGATGGCCTGCTGGGTCTGGCTTTCAGCTCCATCAACACTGTCAGCCCTAAGCCGCAGACTACCTTCTTCGACACCGTCAAGGACCAGCTTGACGAGCCTTTGTTCGCCGTGACTCTCAAGCACGCCGCCCCTGGCACCTACGACTTTGGATACATCGACAAGTCCAAGTACTCTGGCGACCTTATCTATACTGATGTTGACAGCTCCCAGGGCTTCTGGACCTTCACTGCCGATAGCTACAAGATTGGCTCCGGCTCTAAGGGCGATTCTATCACCGGTATTGCTGGTAAGTTATATCTTTCTCTTCCCCTCCCTGCCATTCATGTTTTCGATCAGGATGACTGACTTCTTTGAAATAGATACTGGAACCACCCTCCTCCTGGTTGACGACGAGGTTGTCTCCGCCTACTACAAGGAGGTTTCCGGCGCCAAGAACGACAACTCCGTCGGTGGTTACACTTTCGACTGCGATGCCGACCTCCCTGACTTCACTGTGACCATTGAGGGCTACGATGCCGTTGTCCCCGGTGAGCACATCAACTACGCCCCCATCACCGATGGCAGTTCCACCTGCTACGGTGGTATCCAGAGCAACTCTGGCATTGGCTTCTCCATCTTCGGTGATATCTTCCTCAAGAGCCAGTACGTCGTTTTTGACGACCAAGGACCTCGCCTTGGCTTCGCCGCCCAGGCATAAATCTCTTGATGAGATGGCTTCATGGGAGTCAGGAACTCGCCATGAGTGTTGTACAGACAGTGAAGCGACAGAGATGTGATACATCATGTATGCTAGATTTGGATCTGCGAGTCAATAAGCGAGCATGTGAATATTGGCTCTCGCCTGGCATTGACTCAGCTGAATTTATATAACAATATCTAAAGAGTGGTATGGACATAACATGTGAAACAATAAGATGAAGAATGTACTCCGTAGAGCCTCCGAGATAACACCGAACCAGCTAAAATAGTGCGGCCACTAGCGTCACCGGATTGCGGAGGAACCTTCTGCCAAGCCTGGAAGCGGATCATCTTTGAGTCCAGATTCCCTGATCCATTCTCCTTATTGAACCTTTTCCCCTCCACCCCCTTAAGTCCATGATCTTCATATTTGGTGGGACAGAAAGAACGAAAGAATCACCTCTTGTGGCCCCCTCGACTCACACCGCTGTCGCTATTCAATTCCCGCCTCCCAACTTTAATCAACTCAGCTCCCCCGACACTTCGGACTCACAACGTCTGTACGCGTGGCAACCGGTCAAGAATGGAAGTTTAATTGGCGAACGGTCTGTGACACAGACGCATCGGTGGAAATCGCGCGTTATATAAACTGTTTCTGAGACGGGTGAATCGGAGGCCCGTCGAACAAGTCCCGATCATGGAAGATGACTTGCGCCTGATTCCCCGACAGATCTGGGCGAATCCAACACCGACAACGACGAAGAAGTATTCACCAGGCTGTACGCCTGTCGTCTTGCCGAGCAATGGTATGTGCATCGGCTTCTTGTCCTGGATTTTCCGTGCTGCGACCTGCAGACGTGGTGTCGGAGAACACTTCCCCTCAGAGCTGTGGCTAATCGCGAGTCGCGCAACCGTTTGTAGGAGTTATATGGCTTAACACCTCATATCCTATTACTCTCACCGAAAACGCCGTCTTCGAACCCCTCTGTACCGGGGCCCCAAGCGACGATGTTCACACCTCCGCCGTCCTCGATACCCGCGATCCTTTCTATTCCTCCATTACTCCCCAGCTATACGCCATCGGTTGTGCGACGGTCGTTAGTTATCTTCTAGTCATTATCCTTCTCATCACACCGCGCACATTCTACGTTGGAGGCCCCGGCGGCGGCGCCAATTTCCTCGGCCGCCATGGTATGATCAGCGGATCATATAGTGGGAACTCGTCGGTTGTCGGAGTGGGCGGACGACCATGGCTGCAGAAAGTGGCTGCGATCTTGGTCGCGATCTCGTTAACTATAGCCACGGTCGATTCCTTCAAGGTGGCTGAGCGACAATACAACTATGGGTATTCGGATGCCGAGGCGCTCTCCGAGGAGGTGATTGATGGGCTAGAAATCCGAATCGTGCGCGTGGTCTCGAGCACGTTTCTGTGGCTTGCGCAGGTTCAGACGTTGATTCGACTATTTCCGCGACACAAAGAAAAGGTCATGATCAAATGGGCTGGGTTCGCGTTGATTGTGCTGGATACGACGTTTAGTATTTTGGAGAATTTCTGGGTCAGGAGTTCTTCAACGCGGCCCAGACTTTATGACGATGCGATTCCTGCTCTGAGCTATCTGTTCGAATTGTCGCTCAATCTGCTTTACGCTGCTTGGGTTATCTTTTACTCCATATCCAAGCACCGATACGCCTTCTTTCACCCCAAGATGCGGAATATCTGCTTGGTCGCTCTTTTGTCATTGTGTGCCATTTTGATACCCGTCGTTTTCTTCGTTATGGATATTGCCAAACCGGAAATTGCTGGCTGGGGTACCTACATTCGATGGGTAGGCTCGGCAGCAGCTAGCGTGGTGGTCTGGGAGTGGGTAGAGCGCATTGAGGCGCTGGAACGTGATGAAACCAAAGATGGAATCTTGGGACGAGAAGTCTTCGACGGAGATGAGATGCTTGAAGTCACGCCGTCCGAGGAAGTTGACTGGCCACGCTATTCATCCCAGGGTCACGATCGAGGTGGCGGCAATGGTACCTCATCCGGATGGGGCGGCGTGATGGGCTTGGCCCATCGTCCTTTACGAGCTCGGGCTGGATTGCCCCGCGGCAATCGACATAGGGGTGCTGGAGCGCCACCGAAGGACCAAGCCGCTACGTCGGCGCCGCTGGGTAACCGGCCCACACCACCGCCCGCGGCAATCACACCGGTCAGCCGTGCTGATACTGCGAGCGCAGCAAGCACGGTGTACAACATCCGGTATCATCCAGTAACTAGCCCAACGCCTCCCGTGGCAATGCCCAATATGGACGAGGAGGAAGAGATGGACGAGGCCAAGGAGTTGGAACAAGGGGACACCGAATTAAATGATACGAACGGCAATTCTCTCAGTGCCCAAAATACCCGAGAGCAGTCACCGCAGATTGTCCAAGCCGACCCCCGATGGCATGCCCTCCTGTATCCATTCAGGAGGCGACGTGCATCTCTACCCAAAGAAGTGGCATCAGCACAGGCCGGAGAAGAACACTCGGAAAACAGACTATCTGCTACGGGCGAAGAGGCCGAGGCCGAGACAAATTCTGCTCGATCTCGAGCGGATCACTTCTTTTCTCTTCATCGCAAGACTCGACTAGGCGCTGGATCGCAAAACCCCGATGGCCCATTACCAATCACCGTTATCCCCGCACGTCGGCGCGGTCAGCACACATGGTCCCCGGAGAACCGATTACTGGAGGAAGCTCGTCCAGCAGGTGAGATCCGACCGATTGAGCCTGCTCCACACCACGAAACGCCTTCTCGCCGTCCCAATCTGCCGGTACGGGTCATTCCGACTCGAGCACAGGCATCTGCTCCATGGACCGAGGCAGACGTCGAGCGAGGGGGCGGCGACTACGTCCTGCACTATGATCCTGAAGCTGCGGCGCTAGTGGTCGACGAGGATGTCGGCCATGTGCACGATGATCGTGTTATGGATTATGACCAGCGAAGTTGGACTGGTACGGCGTACTCAGAAGAACGGAATGATGCGCAATCCGGGGACGAAGAGCAGTCCCCTGTGAGATCCCCGCACGGCGATGCGGAGCAAGGGCCTTCCGATGTACAGCATGGCCGCAATTCCTGATTTGGCCATTTGTGTGCATACATGTGCGGTGTGCGGAACATCGAGGCTGAGCAGGATGATGCTGGGCACGCGAGTCCCTTACAGTGGTGTTCTAGGCAGTTATATTTTTGTCATATTGGATGGAGTCCGGGATGTGATATTTTACTGGAATGGGCGTTGGGAGGAATTTGTTGAACATCTAGAAAGATACCCATTGTCATTGGAATTTATATATTCATTTATCATTGCCCTGTGGTGATTAACTGGTGATCGTGTTAACGTAAAGGCCGAACCTACCGTAAAAGGCCAACCTCCGACTGACCCTCCGAGTGGCTCACGGCCGAGAAGTGGAGACGAAATTTCACTCGGAAGGTTAAGCTTCCGGTGCACTTCAGCACTTCAGCACTTCAGCACTTCTCCATACTCTCCATATCCTATGTGACACTTTAGGGATGTCGCATCATGGCGACCGTCAATCAAAATATGTTCGGAGCGAGCATAACTGAACGACCTGGTGGCGCCCAGTTGATGGCGCTACCGTTGAACCTCATCGCGGAGATCGTCTCACATGTGAGAGCTGCAATCGCGCATTCCACTAATCCGATCTAACCATGACTCCAGGTTCATGATGCGGGGGATCTCGCCCGATTATGTCGAACATGTCGCGTCCTCAACTACATGGCATTGCCGCAGCTATACCGCAACTTGACGCTGACCTCCTACGACAAAATCCGTTATCGCGGCGAACAACCAGAAGGAATCGGGAGCGCCAGTCCTTTCACGATGGGTCTCAACGCTGTTATCACACGGTCCTATGCAACGTTAGTACGATCAATGACACTGCGGGGGGAATGGAAGGAACCGGAGCTTGAGGAATATGCCCGAGTTGGCCGAGTGCCCGATTCTTCAATGTTGCTGAACATTGCCGCCCGCGCCGCCATAGATCGCATGACAAACCTGGAAAGCTTCCATTGGGAACTGAATACCAAGATGCTGGACACAGTGTTTACGGGACTAGTACAGCTGCCGAAGCTTACGTCTTTGACTATCCGGTTTCCCTCGAGTCGTCACCCGCAGCCCACCTTTGTGATACCCGGCATGCCGCACTTGCGATGTCTGAAAATCACCGACATCGACCCGTTATGCTACCCGGATGATATCGCGACGCTTCTCTGGAAAAGTAGAAAACTGCGCGAATTGAAGATGCACTGGTCGCCTCGCATGCGGGATGCGCAGGAGCCCAGTGTCTCTCTGCACGATTACTTCCGTAAGCTTATCTCAAGCAAGCAATCCCTAGCCGTGAAGAAGATGTCATTCCAGAATCTCTATGCATTCCACACAGAGGATTTCAATTTCGCTTTCGATCCGACGACCGTCGAAGACGTCACATTCCTCACCGGTGTCGAGGGATCCAGTTTGGGCAACACCTTTGTCGAGAACAGTTGGCCGACTGTCCCGCCCCGTGCGAAGCTCCGCATGAAATCCGTTCGCATGGATGCAGTATCAAAACGTAACGCCGAGTTCATTGGGAACTTCAATGGGCTCGAGCGCCTATACTTCGTCAATGTCACCGCCGACTCAACTGACCCTCTCAATTCCCCGCGACCCGGAGCAGGCGGCGGATCCGCAGCGCTCACGCCGCCGGGATCTGAACACCAATCGACCGGTGTGCAAAGTGGAACTACAGCCAATTCACCTATCACTGCTACTTCACCGGTTAGCCAGCTCACTGCTACGGCTAGCATGCGAGATATTTACCTCTCACACATTACCACGAACCACGGCGCAACACTGCGCCATCTCCTCCTTCCCTCCAAATGGCCTCTCTCCATCGGCATGGTCGCGCGTCTTGTGCATAGCTGTCCGAATCTGGAGCAGCTGGCGCTAGCCACAGAGTTCGCCAGCATGGATTCTCTGGGCCTGCTTATACCCTTCCTTCGAAAATTGAAAGCCCTTCGTCTTCTCATACCCCCGTCGACCGTTACCCCATCGACCGGACAGTCCCAGCCCGGTCCAACAAACACTGCTGTCAGGACATCCCATCCCGCCCAAGGAAAGCCCGCGTCCGAGAGCAGTAAAATAGTCGAATCGACTCTTGCGAATGCCAAAACCCTCGCGGAAATAGTAGAACTCGACGACGCCATCCTGTCCGAAATGATAAGCTACGAACTCGCCGACAAGAATGTCTACGGCAACGTGAAAATAATGGGCATGGGTTGGAAGGCCTGGGAACTCAGAGACTTCTACAAAGCACCCCTTCCTTCCGAGCCCAACGGAGTCTCCCAATCACCGATTAATGGCGACACCGAGCCCGCAGAGACTGCTAGCGACAGCCCAGCTCATCTGCAAGGGCCCAATGGCTCCCCTGCTACCAAACTACCACATACCTCAATCTGGTCATATCCCTCACCGGCTCCTAGACCCGGTCTGCCGCTATCATCATTAGGAAAAAGAACACGCGAAGACGATACAGATAGTCCAAGACGAACTCCCGGCTTCGGCGATAGACGTGAGGAGAACGAGGATGATTCACACCGGGATCCGGCTCTGGGCTGTGGTCCTCACCATATGACGAATGACGGCCGGGTGTGGCGGCGGCGTATGCGGAGGGTTGGTTGGGAGGCTTTGAAGCATTGGGAGATTTGGGGGTTGGATGCACAGGAGATTTGAGGTTTCTTCTTTTTTTAACATTCATTCTAGGAGTTTATAGCATACGAATGTTTTGGAGTTGGTGGTCCTGACTCCTGGTGTCTGGAGTATGGGATTGGTCTGGTTTGGTTTAGAGTCGAGATTGGTATCTGGACTTTGGCGTTGGATATCCATAGATACTTGGAGGATTTCTCTCTTCTCTTAAATTACAGATTTACATATTGACAGGATAATGTCTGACAAGTCTTGGCTTTCCCTTTCCGTTTTAGTGCTCACCCCAAGCCGCTTTTTGCTCACTGAGTAAAACTGAGCACACCCCTGAGTATTATATAAGCATTGTTTTCGCTCACTGAGCATCACCTGACCCTTATGTAAGCCAGATGAACCGTCACTGAGCAATCCGATCCCACTCACTCACTGAGCGTGATCTGAGCGCTCTGATTTGCTTACTGAGCACCCCGATCCCACTCACTGAGCGTGACCTGACCGCTCTGTCTTGCTCACTGAGCGCGACCTAAGCGAAGCGGAAGAACTAAGTCAGCAGCTCTCCTCAATAAAATGCACCGCGCTAGCCTCATCCAATGCACTTTTTGCCGCTTGCTCCTAGGAATACGACTTCAATTATAGCGACCTGAACATTTGCAAAACTATTCTAGACGTATAGGCCATGTCTACTAGATGGTCTAGCCTCCCATAATGGCATTCGCGACCCCTCATTTGCCCGATATATTCTAACTACTACAAATAAAACACCTCAGAAGCCTGGCAGGTATTCCTAGGAGCTTCCAGAACCTTTGTGCCGCCACAATGTGATTGGTGAGACAGGATAGATCCTAGGAGCTCAAGTGCTGGTACCCATTCGCGAGAACTGGTGCCGCTACTGCTGAGAGTCAAAGTATATAAAGAAACACCGATCCCTCCTCAAGGCCTCATAAAATCTGCTCATAAATTTAGCAACTTCAGTGATTCAGGTCTGTCTCTTTTCAACCCCTCAGCCAGAGTAAAAGCCTAACTATTATGCAGATAGTCTGATGCCGCAAAGAAAACCGACAACCTGATCGATACCCAATATTTCACAACCGATGAGAATTGCGATGCCGTTTCATGCGTATGCCCGAGCTCTGAGTTCGTTATATATGGTCGAGAGCCAAACGGGGAGATGTACGTGATGCACATTCTTCTCAATCTTGCTAGACATCGACATAGACCAATGGCAGCGAGACAACTGAACCTTTCACAAAATTGGCCTAAACTGCTACTTGTTTAGATGAAATTCATACGTCACAATACTACTACTTCGGAAACTGGGAAGGTCCCAAGTAGAGTACTACACCTGGAAGAGAAAGTTTGAAGATGCCATGAATACGCACAAAAATGAGCCCTCGCTTCTTCCGTTTCTAATGAGTAAGTGTCTGATCTGACTATCGGCCATGCTACGATAATCAGCCTCGCTTGCCGGTCTTCAGTCTGTATCATTCCACTCTGACTTATAGGCATCTTCTTGACTCTGGCCCTTACGCCCTTACTCGTCCGACCATGCTTCTTCCGGCAGTAGGACTTAAAAGCTTTCAGTCGAGTCATGATATTTGAGAGAACTAATCTATCGGAGCGGAGACGCGCATCCAGCAAAGCCAACATCAACTGTATAGCTTTCTACACTCAATGCGTATGCGTACAATATGATCCTCAATTTCTTCAAGACAATCCGCTCCATTGGGTCTCCGCTTTCGCTGCCATGAAGCGCACTTGATAATGACCGACAAAAAGTGACACAGAAATTCTGTGGAAATTTCAACCTATTCGGACTTGATAACCGAAAGGCCGTATTTTACATTATGCCCTCGGCGTTCCGGGCTCAATATTGCAGATCTGGATTACAGTTTTTATTTATCTTATTATATTGTTCCTGTTTGCCAGGTCGATACGGTTGGATCACCATATGACAGGTTTAGAATGTTGTGATTTGAGTGAGGCATTTGCAGATTGGGACCGAACCCGCTTAATTATGTACTATCTATAGGAATGAATGAGCTCATTGAAAACCAGTTGGACTTCATCTTGTATCCTTACGGTGGATATATGGACAAGGCCCGACAATCTACTCCCATATACTTGTATTATCTCGGAAACACATTAAATCTTAGACAATCAAAATTCACAGAAACTGCAATTACGCCTCGAGACTCAATTAATCAATAGCCGGGCCATTTCGGTCATCAGCTTAGTAGGTGATGTTCTGGGCCCGTATTCGATACAACCGCTTGTTATTTACCGCTGTAAGGTAATTACAGCGGCTCTGTCCAACCTGCACAGCCACCGCTTTAAGACAGATAAGCCACAATACTTAAAACACCTGTAACCTGAGAGTTACATGAAACAGGTATGATCCTGTATGATACTATTATCGTATGGTGCCGTAGCGGGCTCTTCGGCAGCGGATTCTTCGACAGCGGATTCTTCGACAGCAGGCTCTTCAGTAGCATATTCCTCAAATTCAGGGGTCGGTTCCTGGGAGCAAGCGATGACCCATTTTGCCTGTGTGACGGTTCATGGATGCTTGGGTTTTACCACTACGCCATCTGGCCAAAAGGCACAATGTTTGGTCAGCGACCAAACAGCCAAGCTACTATATATGCTCGATCTCTGACAGCCTGTTCATGAGCTCCTGGAAGCACCCTTGGTTTGTTCCTAGGAATGATCATAGCCCATGAAGCGCGTTCAGTGGAAGCAGGGTTGGAAACTTGGCTGCACATCGTGCGTATTACTCCTAGGACGAATTGCATGCATTCTGGGGCATGTGCATCAACCTGGTGATCCTGGGAGCGCTGTATGCTCCCTTCTCTACAAGACTGGCTGTTGTTAGGACTATTCCATCGGACACATCGGACACCAGTTCCAAAGATGAGCTATAAGTACTGGTTGAATTTCCATAAAATATCAGGTTATCAGAACCGGAGAAAAACCACCATCACAACAAGTCGGCTTTCCTTTTGCTCTCGCTGAGTCCTCAAGCTCATTCTACACTCTTTTTCAATATTGAGACATCGAAATGTTTCTCCAGGCTCTCGATTCAGCGGGCGAAATCATGGATCTATCAAATCCTTGACATTCTCCCTGCGCAGCATCGTGAGGAACTCCTCATGCTTTGGCCTCGTTAGGGCCTTCGTGAGTCCATCTGCGACCATCTTTCCCGTCGGTGTCCATTCGAGGTCGATTCGGCCTCCCTTAACCTCCTGGCGAATCCAGTGTCCGTTGATATCGACGTGTCGCAGTTTTGTGGTGATCTTGGCATCCTCGGAAGACATGAGATTTACTGTCTGTTTGTTGTCACAGCGAGTTGACAGTCGGTGGCCGGGATCAAAACCAATGCCTTGCATGAAACATTTCCACCATTGTAGGGATTTTCCGGAGTCCGCTAACGCTACCAGCTCGGCCTCTGTCGTAGACGTGGTGACAGTGGGCTGCTTCACGGCTTTCCAGTCCACAGGGCCTCCATAGACCTGTATGATGTATCCTGCGGAGCTGCGCCGGTCGGACATATCTCCATAGGCAGCGTCGCTAGCGAACTCGACCGACTTCAGAACCGTTCTCGAGATTTCTTCCGCACCGCAATAGGTAATTGCGTGGTAGCAGGTTGTGAGGAGATAGCAGATCAACCGGTCAATCGCTCGGTGGTGTTCCGGACCCGGGTTCGTGAGGAACTGCGACAGCTTGGAGGCAGCGAATGCAGCATCGGGGCGAGTAGCGGTTGTCGCATACTGGACTGACCCAACGTTACCCTGGTAAAGTTTCGTGTCCTGGGCGCTAGCTGTTCCTTCGTATTTCCTCAGTTCCTCGGTCGTTAAAGGGGTATAGACAGGCGAACGTGTCGTGAGGTGATATCGCATAGCGATGCTCTGGATATAGTAATCCTGGCATAGCCAAAGTCGTCGACGTCTCCTATCACGTAAGAGACGAATCCCAAGGAACCAAGCAGCATCTCCGTGGTCTGTGAGTTCCCACTGCTTTTCTAGCTCTCCTTCGAGCTTCTCTGCAGCATTTCGTTTCGAAGGGAAATTGGCGATGAGTATATTGTCCACATAGAACCAGATGATTATTCCATCACCCACGAAGACACACGGGTCTTCGGGAACGGGTTTGAGTTCTGACGCAATGAAAACTCTGGTGGCCTCCTGCTTCCATAACTTGGGTGAGATCCGCAGTCCATAAAGTGCCTTGATGAGTTTCCAGCACTTATGGGGAAGTTGGAATCCTTCTGGCATCATCGTGAAAACTTCTGAGGGAAGAGTGCTGTTTAGGAAGGCTGCCACAGCATCGCGCTACCTGAGGTCGAGGTCATATGCTGCCACGAGACTGAGTAACATGCGAGCCGTACGCGCGGCGAGAGTGGCTGCTCTCTTGTCTCTGGGGCTGATCCATTCGAGGTCTCCTCGGACGCATATACGAGCCTTTACCTTCGTAAGGTAGCCGTCCTGATCGAATTTGTACTTGAATACCCAACGCAGCGGTATGACCTGCTTCGAAACGTCCCTCAGTCGGTCAATGACCTCAAACGTTCCTTTTTCTGACAACCCTTCTATCTCCTTCCTGCAGGCTTCCTCAAATCCCTGTCTGTACGGATGCTTCTGCATTTCTCGCCGGACAACGAGGCTTGAAGAACCCCGCCTTCTGCCAAGCGATATTTTCAATAGACGGTCCGAGGAATTTGACATGGTCTTCTGCCATTCGAGTCACTGCTATCACGACGGATGATGATACTACATTTGTCGCATCGTACTTGCCACCCATGTGTGGCTCATAGACTGCAACGTCAACCTTTTCTTTGAGAAAAACATGGAAAGAGAGAAGGGTCAAAAGCTGGAGGTACCGGGGGATGTCCATGTCGGGGCTCACCTCACGTGGCAGTTTATCCCATATTTCGAAAACGGCACTCGCAAAGGCGTCTTCCTCTATCGGCTTGCCGTTGATACGAATTCTCTCACGGATGCTAAGAAGATGTGGTGAAGTATAGAGTCCGACCTTGCACCCGGAGTTCTGGGGCATGGACGAGATATATGCGCAGGTGCTTCCTTTCCCACTGGTGCCAGCTACATGTATGATGTTTAACGTCCTTAGGTGGGTTTGCTGGTGCAATCTTAGCAGCTGCGCTTTTTGGTGATACCGCGATATCTGGCCTTGCCATACAGAATAACCGAGTAATCCCAACCATTTTGTCATATCATCTGAACCCTCATTTGCTCCAGACTCGGCTGCGCACTAGCACGTCTGGAATTGAGAAACTTGATAGCGTCCTGTGACAGTTAACATGAGTGGCACCAGAGTCGATAGAGAAACTCACGTTGTACTGCGTGTTCATCATAGCAGTCATCACTTGAGGACATATTAGGTCACCGTAGGTGTATTGATGATGTTGGTGCGACCCAGGGTTGCTTAATTTGGCGGGGTGGAATGCCCGCTGCCCCCTAGCAGGACTTACGGCGCCTAGTTACAGCTGTACTTAATTCGATCCTTGGTACTTACGGTGCTAACCTGTCTTTTCTTGTCCAAGGTCCATCAGAATTCAATATTAGGTAGCTAGGGTCTCATACCTTGCCGGTATAGATATCCTTCTCTTCCGTTCCTTTCCACTTGGGCTCTTCCTTTGTCTTCATCTTTAATCATTGAACCAACTCCAGGCTCATTGTCCCGGCCCAAATGTCAAAGAATAAATGATGCAAAAACAAAAAAAAAAACATACAACAGTGAGGATTCGCTGGTGGTCACCCACCCAACTACTAACTCACCGGCGTGTGGCTTATGTGCGGTCAATAGTTCGGTGGCTACTGCCCGGGTGAGAAATGGGTGAGCGCCGCTTTACGGTCGCGCAACGGGGGTGAGAATCAGAGCCGCGCGACCACTGCACGAGGATACAGGTCCCACCGACATCGAGAACGGGATCCACCGACACGGGATGAAAAATTCGACTGATATTGCCTAACCGGGACTAGCCTAGTAGTAATAAATAACTTACCTCGTTTTAACATTTCAGCTTCTTATTCTCTACTTCACTCTCGTATAACTACGCACTTTATCTTATCACCACCTTTTAATCACTTCTTAATTGTTCTAATAAGGTATATACCGGTCTCCTACCGGTAGCGAACCGGTAGTAAACCACTTACTTTATTTATATTTAGATATATAGCTACTCTACTATAGTAGCTTAATACTATTATAGTTTAGAGGTTTTAGTAAAGGATAACTAGTTTAAAGAGTATAGTTTTTTATATATTATTATACACTAGTCCGATACTAGTTAGAAACCGGTAGGTAACCGGTTACCTATCGGTAGGTATCTCTATATAATAAAATATATATTATAAAAGCTAAAGAGTATTATATATAATTAGTATATATACATATTATTACTCTGGAACTTTCGAGCCGACGGATCGACAAGCCAAGCCACCCTGGGTGGGGTGTTGACAGACGTCAGCCAATTATGTACCTGAAGCGCCCCTTGATCCCAAATTAGCAACCATGGGACATTGATCTAGCCCACGTTGGCTGGATCTTGAAAGCGCAATATGACGTAACACAAGCCTCCAGAACGCCCCTCCGACCAGACATTCACGCTGTGTCAATCAGTGGCGTTCAATATTCCCAGGGAAGAAGTGAGAGAGGGGGAAGAGGGGAAAGAGGGGCATTTACTACTGTGTTCGACGGCTCGAGAGTCCTAATTATAGAAAAGACGTCATAGGATTTTAAGTAGCTCGTGAATGGGCCCGGAGACGCCAGGAATTGAGTTCTCGTCCCTGGGAGCAACATAATCTCCTCCTGTGAGCCTCCGGTCCCAGGGAACCATGATAATAGACCTTGGATGCTAATTACCATGGTTCCTAGGGTCACAAACGATCCCCTGGGAGCTAATTGGACTGTTCGGGGGAACATCATCATGGTTCCTTGGAACACAAATGATCCCAGGAGCCCATCATACCTTACCAGGAGTCTCAAAGTCCATCAGGAACGTATTAGTCGTTCCTGGGAGCTTTTGTTGCTCCAGGAACCCCAGGACTAGATGGTCGCGCAGGACTGGATGGTCGCGCAGGACTGGATGGTCCCGCAGGACTGAATGGTCCCGCAGGACTGAATGGTCCCGCAGGACTAGATGGTCGCGCAGGACTGGATGGTCGCGCAGGACTTGGGTTCGAGGTGGTGTACAGCATCAAACCACTTCTGCGGAGTCTCAGCACGTCCTGTGCGACTCCAAAGTGGGGAAGGGATAATAATGGACCAATGATCCTTGTATCCTATGACGTAACGAGGCAACAATCGTCCGGCTCCAGTGATAACACAGTCAGAGTCTGGAATCCCACCACCGGTGCTCTGTATAAGATTCTTGAGGGCCATTCAGACTGGGTGCGATCAGTCGCATTCTCGCCCGACGGCTGTCTATTAGCGTCTGGCTCTTATGATCAGACAGTCAGGATCTGGGATTTCACCGCAGGCACAGCAAACCAGATTCTCAAAGGCCATTCAGGTTTAGTATGTTTTTTGGCATTCTCACCCGATGGGCGACTGCTAGCATCAGGCTCCAGCGATAGGACGGTCAGAATCTGGGATGTCGCCACGGATCCAAAAACCCAGGCTCACGAGAGCCATTCAGGACCAGTTCGCTCTGTGGCCTTCTCACCCGACGGCCTACTACTGGCGTCTGGCTCTGATGATGGAACGGTCCGGCTCTGGGATCCAGCCACCGGCGTCTTGCACCAGACCACAAATGTAAGAGGGGTAGCCACCCAACTGGACTTCTCCGCGGATAGTTCGCGCCTAAACACAAATCTGGGGTCTTTCGATATAGAGCCGTGCTCAAAAAATCCTGACTCTAAACATCTGGCGAAGGTTGAGATACTCATGCAAGACGATCAGTGGATAACTCTTGACGGCGAAAAGGCCCTTTGGCTTCCGCCCGATTATCGACCTACTTGTTCGGCTGTCAAAGACAATACTTTTGCCTTGGGACACGCATCCGGACAGGTTTCATTCATTGGATTCGATGCGTAGTACTGTACAGGGAGCACTAAAAAGATCCTTTTTTCAACCAACAGTCTCCTATAGCACATCTTCTAAGGCCTATTTCGTTGAAAGCTGAGTTGGGTAACTAAGCAGCCATCGTGGCCCGTTCTGGTGAATGGTGGGAGTATCATTTTATCAGTCGTATCACCATCTTTCTAGGAAACGCGCTCAAGAAGCTTTACCTGCGTTAGCTATCCAGTTGATCTCATGATCTCCCACACTACCTTGAACGCACCATCTCTACGGCTTTTATTACCAGAAGAACCTTGGTGTTTGCTTCCACGGATCGATATCCACTCCATACTATGGTGCATGATATGATCACGTGAGCTAGATTGCCAAGGACGTAATGGCGAGCGGTGGGGACGACGACATCTAGTCGATTAAAATGTATCCGTTTTTCCACCTAGAGCCTTGGCAGTAAGGCTCTGGATTTAATATCTGTGCCCTCTGGTGAATTGGCGCTGCACTTGACTGCATAGTATTAGAAAGAGAGCTCGCCGAACAGATACTAAAATTTGCGAAATTGAGCCAATGTCCAATCATGTGCATCGAGTAACATCTCCGTAAAGTACTCATGGTGCTGTCTACTGAGGGCACCCATTTTTCTGGCTAGCGCCTTGGCAGTGGGTCTTAGAAACAATGTGAATGTGGGCAACGGTGAAGCTGGATTTGCACTTGGCTGTATTGAAGACACACCATCACATCTGTGTGGCCTCGTATCATGGATAGAATTGACGGCTTGTCACAGAGGGACAGAGCATGTAGCCAGCATTATCATAGAAAACCTCTCCATACATGAAGTTAGTTAATGAATTAAAATACTTTTCACTAGCAATCAACAGAGCAAATGCTAGAGACCGTAGGACATCACAGAATATTGTATATTCCCGGGGTGGGGGGAGGCTTGGTTCAGGAATGGTACTCCAAAGTGGAGATAGGAGAAGCACGAGCCACTCATTCTTGGAAACAGGGCAACAAGGCACTAAATTCAAGAGTCAGAAGTGGTTAGCGCTTCTCTTCATGCTGCTCAGAGTAACGCTAGGCCCAATTAGGGTGCCGCGACTTGGTTTGGGCAGCAGTACCACTTTGAACCTACTTCCAAGACTATTTCTACAGAAAAGAGCTACATACCACCCGCCGTGGTATTCATGTACGATATTCCTGTCTCCTCCATAGAGAATCGACATCATGGCGGATCGTCCATGCACTACATTGCTGGAATAAGTGGATTTTGTGTACGGAGTATGACTGAGCTGTTCGATAACCATTCTGGATGCAAAACCTTGTAGGCCGCTACGGGTGTTCCCGAGAGTGGATTTTCTGGTTCCCTGGAACCAGAGAATCCGTTCCTGATTTTCGCAGCACCTTAATGCTGCCTCTCCCTCCTCCGTAACCTTACTTGTAGGGCTGCACTTGTTATACGACGGCCAATTAGGCCCTATGCAGTGGAGATTGTAACACGTGTAGGGCTTGGCATTTGATGCCTGAGTCCATCAATCAACTTCCGGGTGGAAAAAAATCTGGCCGTCGAGCTGGGGGTGTGCGGGGGTATTACCAACGCGCGTGATTATGACTCACCTGAGCGTGCAGGGATGTGGTGATGTTTGGCCAATCGATTTAAACCTCCCTCTCCGTCCATTTTCAGAGGGCAACGGTTAAACAGCAAATTTTTGTTCATCTGTTTTTGGGTCTTCCCAGTTTTTGACCTGGCGAGCTGTTGCTTCTTCATTGGCTGCCATTCTCCTCTGCCTGTCAATCGTTCATCGCTTTTGACCATCAAATTCACGCCTCTTCACCCACAACCACATGTGTGGATATCTGTCAATCTGAATGATTATTCCTATCAGCAGTTTACTTTCTCGTCGGTCACCACTTTCAAAATCCGATCCATTGACCGTGTTTTTCCCTACCCTCGATTTTGTGCCTATCTACTGTATTAATCAACAACATCCGACACACACTCATTCCCCGTTTGATCAACTATTTTCCCCACCAAAGGCCGAGGGTCGAACGCAGCAGTGTAGTAACTATCCACTTCTCTGTTGACTACTCTGTTAACCAGGCCAGATTCCAGCGGCATGTGCCTTATGGACATCGCTGATTCCCCAACGAATGGATCCAAAGAACATGGAACCCCGATCCTAACGACCCCCAGCATAATCTTCATCCACGGTCTCACATGCAACCGTACAAAAACATGGACCCACCAAAACGGCACCTTCTGGCCAAAAGACCTCCTCGCAAACGACATCCCCCAAGCCCGCATAATGACCTTCGGCTACGAACTCGACCTCGTCAACTTCACATCAACATCAACATCGAAGTCAGCCACAAACCGCCTACACGACCCCGCTCAATCCTTATCCTACGCACTCGTCAGCCAACGCATAGACTGCCCAACCAGGCCAATTATATTCATAGCTCACGGTCTCGGCGGACTCATCTGCCAACAGGTGTTTATACTAAGTAACAGCGTGGACGGACTATGGGCTATATCATCGAGTGCTATCGGTGTGGTATTCATGGGAATGCCGCATTACGGGTCTTCGCTTGCGCATTACGGGGAGAAGCTTGTGAACTGTGTGCGTGCGAAGGGGGATGTAATGCATATATGGTGTATACTGTATACTATGCTAATATGACACTAAATCCATCCAACATTCAGATAGGTACAGCTTGATGAGATTGTCTCTCCAAGCAGCCACATCCATCTAAGACCGAGGCAGATTAGGACACTTCCCAGGCAAGGTGATCTTGCGAACATTCTTGCCAACATTGATTCCCCAAATGAGACTGTAGAACTTGTTATTCTTCTCTCTAGAGATATGGTAAGTATTGGTAGCATAGATGAACAGGGTTAATAGAAAGTGAAGTACGTACGCTCGCTGCTGGAACATCCACGAGAGAGTCCCCTTTGACCGATTGGCCATGGACTTGAGAACAGCATCGATATACTTGGGCCATTCGTCTTGCAATACAGGGAAGCTGTTGCCTTTCTGAGAGTGGTACTCGTCAAATTCACCTAGACGGTCATAAATGGCTTCGTATGTGGTACAGAACTTCTCCCATACATCTGGGTGATTTATGTATTCGAAGACCATGCCCATTGTCTTGGTGGTTTGAAGCTGCTCGTCTGCGCTTTTCCTTCTCCAGCTTCTCCGATCGGCAGCTTGGCTTCCTCCAAACATCTTGTTTCGAGGTCAGCAATGTGCTCTCTAAAGCAGCGGTAGATCCAGCACTTACTCCGCCTTTCATTCCATTGGCTCGGCCTTTGAAGATCGTCAGCCTATCCAGGTGCTCTTCGCTGCCAAGTTCTCGTAGAAGCACCTCAAGGAAAGACGCGCCCTCTTTATGCCCATTGCTGTCTGTAATACTCCACGACTTACCTTCGTGGACGTATTGAAGTGCATTTTCGCAGGACCATATGGGTTGCGGGTTCCTTGGCATCGGTAACTGATTGACAATTTTACCTTTGTCAAGCCAATGGGTGAAGAAGTCGCCAATGAGTTGGCCTTCAAAGACATGTTCGGCTATATCGGTTAGCAAGCTTTCAATTCGCCATCATGGCGATACATACTCTGATACTGGGCTCGATGTATCCCAACGGGTGTCAATTCCACGTCGTGTTCCTCCAAGGGTCCGACACTCCAGTCGCTGCATAAGGAAGAGGTGTTTCCCCACCATCTTGAGATGGAATCCCATTTTCCATTCTGAATCCCGACCCACGGGGAGGAGGCATCTTGGGGAAATTGAGGATACTTGCCAGGGGAATTGGCGAATTCCCTCTCTCCGCACATCGAGACGTACTTCTTGCCCATATTCGCCCTTCCAGGTTCCCGGCTGTGAAGTTGATGAAGCGTTGAGTTGCCCTTGAATTCCTCGTCTTCATATTCGGACGATGGTTCAAGGCCTCGCTGCTTGAGTGGGCCTGGCACAACGATATTACCTCCGTAGGGCCACTGTCTGTTTGAAGGGCTTGATGAACAGGCATCACAGTCCTTATAAGACGGGATATCACTGTAGGACCACTTGTAGTCCATACTCACGCAACCACAACAGGGTCTCTTCTTTTTCTTCTTGTCTTTAGTATCGGTGCACGACCCACAGTCTTTACATCCAATGGCGCCCTCAGTTGCGTCCCCGATCCACTCCAACACGTTCTTGTCAAGGATCTCACTTGCAGTCGGCGGCTTGGACTTGAGACTCCCGTAGTTGAAGTCCCCAGGAAAGGCCATGTATTCACCTGGATCCCCGCGGAGCTTGAGGCTGGTTCCCTGAACCTCTTCGGGGAGGCTAGAGGAGTTGTGGACATTCTCATACCTAAGGCTACGTTTGGCATCATGACTGGTGACATAATTGGGGTAACAGACGGCTCCACGGCCAGGTGTTTGCTAATTTGTCACGAACAAGATGAGCCTAAAACATTTGACGCATTCACAGATGGAAGAACTCACGAGGTCGTCTCCAAGCCGAGGAGATTCATTGGTCCAATAGGCTTTCTCCAGTGCCTTTCTGCCAAATGGAAATGGATTAGAAAATCATTTTTCAATGGCCGAAGCAGAATATGGTCGAACTCACGATTGGGCCTGTTGAAAGACAACGGTCCTATAATTGGAATCGACGGTCAATGACGCTCGTAAACAGACGGTGTCTTCACTTGACACTTACGCAACCGTGAAATCGGTACAAGACATATCAGAATCATCATCCGCAGGATAGAAGGCGAAATCTGAGACGGTGTTGTACATCAATGCCATCTATGACGGGTCAGCTAGCTCCAACAACAGAACACCCGGCCATTGTGCCCGGCAGGTATCGAGGAACTCACATCTCCAACTGCGGTCGATTCGAGTGTACGGCGATCTTGCCCATGTACGTCAAGGTGGATATTGACGCCAAATCTTAGGAAGGTGCCGACGGCCAGCTTGCCGCCGTCGCCGTCACTGTACCAGACCTTGTTGTTGTTGTTGACAAAGATCTCATTCGGTGCAAATTTGCCAGACTCAGGTTTTTCGCTCTCTGGAAAGTCAATTGGCCAGTATGCAGTAACATTGGAGAAGTCCTGGATCACTCGCGCCTCGAGATGGCCGATGAAGCTTGTGGCACTGTTGCTGAAGGACGTACTGTTGGATCCGTTGAAAGAGGCGAGCTCATAGCTGACGTCAAGGTAGGGGCTGAAAGACACGAAACTGTTTTTACCAGCACTGATGGTCATTCCTTTCAGATCGAAGGATCGTGTCGCGCCGTGAATTGGATTACCCATATCTGCCCTGGAGAAATCGACCTCACTGAAGCCGTCAATGCCATATGTCAGATCACTCTGACCGCCGGCCGTGATAAAACCGTTGGCCTGTGAGACATAGAGCTTGTCGTAGTACTCAGCAACCATCGAGAAGCCAATGTACATTTTAGCATCAATTTTACCAACGACATAGGCTGCAAAGGCTTCGCCCCAATCTTCTCCCTCCACTTCACAATCTCTGGCAGTCTGATACCAAACCAGCTCGCTGATGTTCCGCTTGATAGGGATGGCATTGGTGCTATCGTATTCAAAGTCTGCGTGTGCGCGTGAGGACGTATAGCTCCTCTTCCAGTCCTTGGGGCTGGACGACCAGAACCTTTTGACTCTGGATCGTGCTTCCATCACGCCGTCGTCATCCTCGACTCCGGGCGAGTCCACTGTTTTGTCCCAGTATCCTTTGACGTTCGAGTAATCTAAGCGGATACTCGTTCTGTTGGTCGTATCACGCCGACTCAGGCCCATATTGTAGTCAAACTTGAAGTCGTAGACCTGGGATGTAGGGTTCCGCTTCTTGATCTCGGCGGACACAGCCTGGTCTAGAGCAAACAATCAGCGATGATTTTGAATATCTCCCAATGGTGAAGAACTCACTCTGGGAAGGCTGCAAAGAAACAGCTCGGGCGAATGTGTCAGGAGCGCACTGGAGCTTGCGTGTTAGAAGGGTCACATCACAGCGGCTAAGGACAAAATACTTACATTGTCGGGCATCTCCACGATGGTGCCCTCGACGCCTCGCTCCATCACTTGGAAGCACCCGTTCAGGTCATCACTGAGGCAAACGACTCGAGCTGTATGAATGTGGTCTTTGGGAGCATCCGCAACATCTGAAGGGCAGTCGAGGAAGTGAAAAGGCTCCGGCTCGTTGTCTCGCCTTCGCAGTCTCGAGACGGCATGGGACTCACCAGCAACAAGAAGGAAACCAAAGCCACCTCCATTGGGACTCATAGAGTCACCACCTCCAAAGGTCGAAATGCCGTAAACGGGTTTCGTGGAATTTAGTGGACGAATGTCCGAGGGGAAGATGTGGGCATAATCGACAAGATCAAATGCAGATCCGGAACTTTCCAGAGCATCTGAATCAGACACAGCTCGCAAGGCGCTGAGACGGTTATCATCAAGATCAATCGCCCAGATCATCAGACCGGAAAGACCCATTTTATTGGCATAGTCGATTTTCATCTTGAACGTAGTCTCGTCGTCAAAAGAAACCCAGCTATTGTCATCGTATACCATATACCTGACAGCAGCCTCTTTGTCAAGATAGGCAGTGCCCCCAGTATCCTTACGGATCTGCGAGATTTCCCTATATGAGAGAATTCCCTCAGTATCAGTGCAGGGACCTTTTGCACCAGCACCGCTGAATTCACATCCGGGCTTCCAGCACGAAGCATCACGAAGCTTAAAGGTCCGGCCATAGAATCCTAAGCCGAGGACAATATCAAAAGGATCGATATCCACTCGCCAGAACAGATCAAGTGCTTCATCAATACCAGTCAAGTTGGTGTGAGCGAGGACTCGACTGCCGATTGGATTATCTCTATCCCATTCACCGTGAAGGTCATATGCCATCAGATTAATCCAGTCGACATTATCAGCCATCGCCTTCAGATCAAAGTGGCGAAGATACCAGTAGGATGTTGGAGATGTGAAGGTGACAAGATAGTCACGGCCGCTGTCTTTGATTGCATCTTTGAGCTCCCTGAGAAGCTTGGCATAGTTGGCTCCATCATCGGCAGAGCCACCACGGTCATCGGCCCCAGGATACTCCCAGTCAAAGTCAACACCATCGTAGCCATACTCGGAGAGAAATCCAAGAAGGTTATTAATGAATGTCTTCCGGTTGGTTTCACTGGACACCATTGTCGGAAACACACTCTGCCAGGTTCCGGGGTCATTGAAAGTCCATCCCCCAAGAGCAATCATGATCTTGAGCTTCGGATTGCGCTGCTTCAGATCACCAACGATCTGATATAACTTAGGAGATACACCGTCCATGTTTGTAACCTTGAAGTCATGGCTGATGTAGCCAAAAGAAATGATCAAATGGCTAAGCAAGTTAACAGGAATTTCACCAGGCTCCATGGTCCCACAATTATGGTCCATGTTCCAAGCCTCCCAGTACCCAATAACGCGCTTCTGGACATTGGATTCCTCGGTCTATGGCTTTGGCTGGGTACAATGGGATTGACAGCCCTTGTCGCAAAACTCACTGGTTGTGCCGCAGAATCCATATTTGGAGCAGCAAACGTTCAGAGGGCAACCTTGGCCAGGGATCCTCGCATATAGTCCACAATCGGCAGTTGCGTTGCAGTTGGACATGCAGCCGTCGCCACAGTATGTTGGACCATATCCACAGTTGCCGCTTTCACCACAGCAAGCACCGTTGCTGCATGGCTTGTCTTTGGAGCATGTGTATGGATCTTCGACATTGTTCATGAGATCAAGGACATCAAGGCCTTCTAGCAAGTCGGCACGGGTGGAGGTAATGAATGAAAGTAGAGAAGTCAAAGAAAGTAGTAACAAAATGAGCGAATCAAGGCGGCTCGAGGAGGCCATGCTGTATAGTTTCGTTGTATACACAGCTATATGGTTCACGCGAGTGAAAAGGGACTTGGAAACTGGGCCATTTCAATGAAGTAAGTATCGGGGGTTTTCATACTAATTTTTGTCGGCTTGGAAATTTTCCTGGGCTCCAGTGGATATGTCCCTGTCGGCCTAGCAATTCTACCTGCAGTAGTCCATTCTCTGCTTCCGAGGGCGAAGGATCCATTGCGCGAGATTTTCAGGGCACATGCCGAGCTAAGCTCGCGATAAGAGTCAATAAGATCATCCGTAGATTCTTTCTCCACAGGGGGCCAGAAATGCTTGGGTTAAGGACCACTCAATGTTAGCAGGCTACTGTGCCGATGTGACATTGACAGTGATTGACTTGCATTAGTGTGATCACAAGAGAAAAGTCATGAGCTCTAGCCACGCGCCGCAGCCTCCCGAGGTCAGTTAATTGAGCGAGACGCAGGGGTAGTGGAGAAGGTGGGTTCGTTGATCTTTTCTGTACATATGAAGTCGCTAGACATGGGAGACATTCCTGCGGTCTTTTTGCACGATTGAAATTTGAAAAGAGGTCCTTCCTCGACTTGATTTCCTGAATGCAGATTCCATCCTCATAAATTTGCTAAAAAATGTGACTCAGTGGGATGAGAAAAGCCGTTCAGTAGGAGTATGTAGGTAGAAAAAGAGTTCTTTGAGTTCAAGTGGCTGGACACAAGCAACACGCGCTCAAGCTGTAGGTGGGCCCAAATCCACGCACTATACCCAAAAGGGCTCTGATCTGCGGATTCACCCGCCGGAACGTGCGGATTCTCCACTATCCCCACTATCTCCACTATGTGTCTCAGCCTTAGGCTCGGACATTCGATGAATATCAATTTCCGATCAGGGGGACATTTTCATCTGAGACATTTTGATTCTCTATTTTGGAGACCTCTTATGACAACCGCGAGACGCATCTTGAAACCTGGGAAAACATTGACAATATGAAAGGCCTGGCATACTTCGCAGTCATTGCCTCGGTGCAGGCTTCAAAATTTGCGCACCAGTCCCTCCATCGTGGGGCTACCAGTAGTCCGAGCTGTAACACCTACACAGTGAAGGATGGAGATACTTGTGCGAAAATTGGCAAGTCGAGTGGAGTCACATGGGCGCAGTTGCTCTCATGGAACTCCGATATCAACCGCGAGTGCTCGTATGTGATCTCAGGGACATCATGATTGATGATAGAATGCAGCTCAACGCATAATTTTCTAGGAACCTCGGTGACCTCTCTGGTAAGAATATTTGCATCAGCAATCCTGCGGGAGACTATGCAATTCCTGTCCCTAGTTCCACAACCTCAAGCAGTGCAACCGGTTCGCAGAGCATTATCACCACTACTGCGTAAGTTCTCCTGCAAGAACAGAAAGACGATTAGCACTCTCATGCTCATGGAAAACAATCAGCTCTATCCCCTCGCCAACAGTTTCCGGAACCAACAGCAAGTGCGCTCGATACCATAGAATCGGAACGGGCGAGACATGCGACGCTGTGGTAAAGAAGTCGGGTATCTCTATGTCTGACTTGTCAGTCTTTTTCATCGCTAGAAAAAATGAAGTTGATAACTAATAATTGTGCAGCCTGTTCCTGAATTCAGAGATCAACGAGAAATGTACAAACCTCCAATTGGGTGTGTACTACTGTGTGCAGGCCGTTGGATACATTACAACGTACCCTGGCTATGGAGGGACCTCAGATGACTATACCAAAGTTTCCATGACCGCCGTTCCTTCATCCGTTCCGAGACCAGATTATCCCGGAGCCTTGCCAAACAATTCTTATCCCGTTATTCCCCTTGCCAACGGTACCAGGAAGGACTGTTACGAGTAAGTGCATTTTTTTTGGTATATCAAGGCAGTAACTAGCTAATGCTTGGATAGCTACATGTGGCTGAGCAACACCACGGATGACGCGCTCGCGGATTGCTGGACAATGGCCATGACCAACGGTGTCTCTGCAGAAGTATGTTCTTTTTTCCCCTGGTTGGGTATGTCTTACTCTCTTTCAATACAAGCTGACCCATCTAAGGACTTCATCATGTGGAACCCTTCGCTCGAAGAGAAGCCGCGTAGTAGTTCCTCCATAGCTTCAACCGCCAGTGCTAGTGCAAGCTCGAGCTCGAGTGTTACCCCAGACTCGTACTACTATCCTTGCACGCTGCGAGCCAGCTCGTCATACTGTGTGATGCTCTCTCAGCCTAAGAAGACCAAGGCCAGCGGGTCGCGAACCACTTCATCAATTGCTGCGTCGTCGACCCAAAGTCCGAAGCCTACATCTAGTGAGTTTCTAAATATCAGCCTTGTATAATAACCAGGTTCATATATGCTAACCATATTGTCAGGTACCTAAGTGGCCCCCGGACAATGCGCTGGATAGAAGGGGCAAGATAATTGGAGGTACCAGTGTAGATGAATCAGACATACCTATCTGTCTCATGGGTGGCCGGTCATCCGTGGCGCACCCACACCGAAAGGGGTGGGAAAGCTCCAAGGCATGGACAGATATATACTCCCGTCATTGTAAAAAGACTTAGTGGGCTGACAATGGACCCTTACGCACATGTTCAAATCAGTATTCATTGGAGTCATAATCTTCCTTACAAATATCCATTTTTATCAAAGCATCGATCGGTCATGTGGATGTTCAAAATCGGGGTCCAATGCATCTCTCAGCACACCAACTCCACGGCGGACGTTAAGGGGCAAACGCTGCTCAAAGGGATTTCCTCCTTCACCGTAGATGAAATCCTCTACCTCCTTTTCAACCCATATACCGTGTCCAAGTCTAGGGCTCCCCATTTTGATTGGCACGCCGACGGTAATCTTTGGTCTTGAGCCCGCATCCCGGTCTCCCCACAGCGTGCCCTCCGATACCATTCGCCGGATCTCTTCCAGCATACTATACCAGGTTTCACCGCGAGAGAGGAAGTGCAGCATACTAAGCTCAATGGAGCGGACGGATTTTGGTAGCGTATTGAGGAACGAGACACAATCATGCTGTGGAAGAACAAAGCCGGAGAGTTCGAAATGGCGCAAATTGGGCCATTGTTCCACAGGCACCATGTCCTGTAATGGGAGCACAGGATATTCGTGGTCATAGTAGAGATCTTCATCAAATGTTGTATGCAGCCTGAACTCTTCCATGTCTTTTGCTTCGCCGACTGCCCGGCGCAAACGCCCATTAAGCAGGGATCGCCAGCATGCTTCGAGTTCTTCATCCCCTTTACCACCGACAAGCAAGGCAAGGTCCAGACGGCGGAAGCCTGGCTTCTTGAGCACGGTAGCGAAATGGTCGTACTCTTCGCAGGGCTCGTCGAATATTGTGCAGTTGATTCCCGTGGGGATAGAGTTGGAAGTCATCACCAGCTCAGAGACAGAGTTGGGTTCGTTGGCGAGGACGCGCATTGCCGTGCAGAACCCGCGGTACCGATCTCTAAGTTCTGGGTATTGATTCCATGAATATGCAGTAGCGGGCTCCCCAATGGCTCTAGGGTACAGCCAGCCACGAGGAATGGGGTAGTTAAAATCTTTCGGGAAAGCACGAATCATAGGCGTCGGGTAGAGTGGGGTGATGAGGTTGCCGTGGGCTCCAGGTGTGATGGTAACTCTCTTGAGGGCAGGAAACTGCTTAACGCCGAACGCAAACGCTTCCAAATCACTCTGACTGGCAAGAACTTCCTTCTGTTGACGCAGCAACTGCTGATAATATTGCCAGTGCTCCCTTAGCGAAGGGTGAGCGAGAACCTGTTCTCTGCGCGCGATAAGGTCGGGCCTGTCCACATCACGATCTTTCCGGCAATTTAGAACGTAAAGGGTTTCTTCACAATCCTTTTTGAACCATTTAGGACACCCATCTCCCTCTTCATACTCATGGCGCTCAATGATGTCCTCTCTGTATTCCTGGTAGTATTCCGCAGCCCATTCTCTGTTGTTATCGGGTTCATCCTCGTCCGAGAGCAATTCATGTCCCTCATTAGTTTGATCTGTTCGTGCTGGACCTCGATGCAAGCGCGCCTCATCCCAGATAATCTCGTTGACCTGATGGCGGAACTTGTCGTGTGAAGCAATGTTGCGGAAGACGTCTATGTTGAGGGGGTTGGCGGATAAGAAAACCCGATTGAGTCGAAGAGACACTGTATTGTTGAATTGCTTGCATGTCAGACGCAAAGATTTTATGTCGGCATTGGGTAGATGGGACGCAATGCAGCTCCAGAGCTCCAGGGGGAGCGCGGGGGGGCTTGTATCAGCCATAATGTGATATTGTAGAGTTGAACTTGAGACTTCCAGGGACCAGGGTGATAAAGTGCGTTTTATTGCTGAGCAGTGAGCGTTACCGAAGCACCAAATCATATGTTATGGCATGTGGGCCTGACACCACCTGCCTAACGTAAGTCCAGGCGTTAAGTTTTAATCAAAAAGACCACTAACTAACGTATTCGGTAAGCGAGTCGGCCACGTAAGCCAGCCGGCCATTCCAAAACACATAGTAAACTTGATATATTATCTCAACAACCACGACTTTATTTGATCTCCTTTATATCACGATAGCAATCGATAAGAGCACTGAGCGCTCTGTGTCAATTTCAAAGATATTAAAAGGCTATGTTATGGTGATTACAAAAGTTACCATTCCCAACCCCCCAAGATATATATAACGCAAGCATGCATGTCTGGGATTTTCATCAAACTCCCTATAGATGCTAGTTATGACCTTAAAGATGCTATGCTATAGGATAAAGTCGGTAGAGTCCACCGTTGTTGAGATATTGAGTTGTAATTTATCGCATTTACTATGTGGTTTGGAATGGCCGACTCGCTTACCGATTACGTTAGTTAACTAG